CCTACTTCCCCTTCCCACTCAGGATGGTCATATTCCCAAAACCAGTTGCTGATTTGCCTCGTACATATTTATTCTTGTAGGCAAGTATGCACACGAGCTCTGTGAGACCTGGGACCATTCACTGTGCTCCGCTTCCTTGAAATGCGGTATTAAACCTTCAATCAGCAAGCACCCGGGCGCCTCCTCCTAGACAGAGTCTTGCCCCGTGCCATAGCATTATATGATGGGCCCCATCACCATGCGTTCAAGAAACGCTTCCTCTTCGTCCCATTCCATTCCAATATGCACAAAAAGGTCCTTTAGCCCCTTTAATCGGGCAACTGATTCAACTATTCGTCGATAGGTGCCTGGGATGTCAAGTTTCGAATTTATAGGCTTCTCTTCTTCTTCATCAAGGTGAGGTGTGTGTTCCAAGAAGCCAACTGTCCATTCCTCACTGAATTCCAAATGAAGTGAAAGAACAAGGCTCCTCACATTCATGCGCTTATTGATAAAGTTAAGCGTATTGATCCACTGTTTGAAACTGTTCGATTCGTGCATATAAGTATTCCTGTCTCTCAGATTGTTAAATTTAAGAGTGAGAAACCGAACATCACGGAGGCTGCGCTGTGGGAAACTGTTCCGCAAAGGCCACGGTGAGACGGTAGAGCAATCTCGATCATAGATAGTAAATATGTTTCCGGAATAAAACAGACGGCGTGAGTAGTCCCTAAATTTGCGACTCACTAGAAATATTTCGCCTGGGTATCTCCAGCAAGTGCCTCTCGAAGCGTACCCAACGCCTCGAAGATGACATGATTTATTCTTCAGAACACCCAAACATACCATTTCGAGGCATGGGACCAAAACAAACTGCCGCTTATTTATCCGTGTCAGACTGCCTGGTGCGGACAAATCTGTGTGGCTGAGAACCTTGAGCTGAAGCTCTGCGGGCAGATCGTTGAAAGGAAACGTGCAAGATTTGACTTGACCGGTAACTCGCAGAATCGTGGCTTCCAATAACCGCTGGAGTTTGCGATCTCTTGTATATGTCAAGGTCGCAGAGCATTGTTTCAACGTCGGGAGTCGAGAAATCTGGTGTACTATCGTGGGACCAAGCGCAAGCGTAGAGACGGGCAATTCCAAAGAAATCTTGAGACGGCCCGGCTGGACGTGGGATGCGAGTACAGTGCAGCATCTTTCCCATTCCTGGGCTACCAGTACTTCACACAGGGCATTTTCGTTCACATGGAACCCATTTTTATCCACCAGCTTGCACGAGTGTTGCCGTGTACAGAGATCCTCCTCAGATATAGTGGCAGGGAATGATGGACATCGACGAGGTAGAACACTTATACGAAGCGATGATAACGACCTTAGAGCCAAGGGGCTCAGCCTCTGGAGTGTCAAAAGGCCACGATAATCGTCCAATCCCACTATATTTTCGGAGTAAAAGACCTTTATCGCCTCATTCGAGATCGCACGGGAGACGTAGAAGAGCTGGTTCGGAATAGTGACGGGATGGTTACCGGGGATGTCCTTAAACTTTTGGTCCCGGGCTGACCACGCAGTTGGGGACCCTGGGATATGGGAAGAATAGAGCGTGATATGGACAGCGGATGGCAGAATGAGGCCTGCCAATGTATAAATCCGCCGGCGTATTGCGTATGGCAGTCGAAGGAGCATCGGTTTGTCAACATCCTCGCGGAAAAAACAGCTGGAATCTTTTTCCTTAGACTCTGCCATTTTGGGACAGGTCTTGGTGGGGTATCAGTTAACTAATTAATTATATAACTAGTTCATCAACGGTATTGTCGTGGATGCCTTGAACTTCTCTCAGACGAAGAGACCAGGACGTGGTTTAACGGGCAGACTTGACACAGAAGGAACTCTTTCAAAGCTGCCAGAGTTGAAAGTTGAACACGATGAAACCAGACAACTGTTAAAAGGGGAACTAGATTTATCCCAACTGTAGTGAGGAACTGTTGATTTATATAGCCGCAAATGACTCAGTCAACTGAGTCAGACTTGACGATGCAGCAGTGAGTCAAGAATGAGGATGACCTGAATAGAGCAAGTAACAATAGAGCAAGGAGTACTCCGTAGGTCGTCAAGAATCGAAAAACCAAGACAAATGAACTGCGCCGCAAAGACGGAGAATGAGTCAACACTCAATGCCATCAGTGCGTTATCGTGGATTTTCAAAAGCCTCAAACAAACAGTCGAGAAGTTCAAAACACAAATACAGAGTAACCACTAGTTAGTGGCAATTCAGCACGGAGAAAAGACAATCAGACAGCCTTGAATAGGCACAATATATCCTTCAGGACAACCTGTAGGCGAAACTGGCTTACAGTTGGCTAGTTAAGCGTGTAATCAAGCTACACATTTGTAAAAAGTAATATATCTCAAGAGCTCAGGGTGCTCAAACACCGGAAAAAAAAGGTGTATCCCAGCAATAGGTCCCTTTGGGATGTAAGAAGGAAAGATACATATGGGCAAAAGAGAAGTTGATAGAAGAAAATATGTTCCAATCCACACCACCAGCTCCATGGCTAAAGAGCCGTGTCCAAATAGAGAGCAAAAATAAAGCGCCTTTGATCCACAGTGCCCCCAGATGCCAACAGATTTTCCACCCGGGACCAAGAAGACTGCAATAATGCAAAAGTAAGAATATCCGTCCAATGCTTAGCCCGTACATTCCTCCCCGCCGAGAGCAATTATATCGTCCCAAAGGCACAAGCGTGTAGAAAGTCTAGAGTGAAGTGTAAAGGTGAATTCGGGTCGGAAGAAATGGGAGATATCGCCGCGCGCGATCAAAGATTGCGCGAGGGCAGTGTGCGTCCAATGTCAATCGATATAGAACTAGATTGTTGCTTCTGAGTGAAGCGACAAAAAATGACGTCAAAATAGGATGCAAGCAAATCCCGCGGGCTTGTATCAACATCCTCTGACCCGTCCATATTTCGAATTTTTGACGCGAGATATTACCATTAAAGGGTAAATTCGGGACGAGGTGATAAAGTGATGTACTGAGACATCATTTCGCGGATTTGCACTATCATTATGCGTAAATATGGGGGTCTGAAAAGGTCATAAGTCAGTCGTAAGTCGTGCAAAATGCGCAGAGATGCTCCTATGAATCGTATCCGTGTCGGTTGTCGAGTCGACAGATCGGGGAATAAGGGTCGTATTCGGGTATAATACTTCAATCAATCAACGGCTTTTTTACATTTCCCACGATGGCGACGTTAAGATAGTCCAAAGCATGGGGATCATGGGCTCGTACTATCGTTGGTAACGGTAACATTGGATTGTCGGGATTGATGTGCCGAGCTTCTCTAGCTGCTTGTTCTATAGCTTCCATTTCTTCCTTGCATCCGACATGGTCTTGGGGACACACGACGATAAGTTGGCGAAGAGCTATGTCTTTTGCAGAAGTTAAATGGGCCTACAGAGGGTTGATCTATTAGCCAAAACAGTTTCCTTCTGAGCCGGTTTGGTAACATACCTTAACGGTAAGATAGTGTTCAATCTTATACAATGATGCGGTCGTTGTAAAGGAAGTGACAGCATACGAAGGAAAAGCGGGTTTTGCGCGTGGTAGTATTCCGTCTGAATCCCGTAAATCTCTCGAGGGAAAAACAAGCCCCAAATTCGATATATACCCGGCTTCTGGGAGCTTCATACCCACGCTCTCCGTTCTTTTAGCGAGCGTCTTGACCTTGCGTTGTGGCTCATCGCCCTCATGGTTGTAGATTATTTCTTCATCGATGGTGAGAGTAAGCTTTTGTATTGTGACCTTTCGAGCTTTCGCGATCCAGTCTGGATTTGGAGATAGCTGCACGTATACACTGACGGGATCGAGAGGGCCATAAGACCACCGCGGTAGCGATATTCCCAGTGTTACCAGATGATCAGAAACCTTTTGCGATGACTCGGGTCTGTTATACATCCCAAACGTAGACAGGGTGTCGTATCTCGCGAGCGGTACGGGGAATGCATATTTCTTTTGTTCCGACGGTCCCTGTTGTACCAAAACCACCAGTTCATAATACGTCTCTGCCGTTCGACTTGGGAGCTGTAAGCTCGACGGGGGTAATCGCCTCGAAGACTCCTGTCCACCTCGACCAAATGGCAAAAACAATACAAAAGGAAGGTCCATCGCCATAATCTCTTCGTGATCACGCCCCATCGGACAACGAAATAGTAGCATTTCTTTGCCAACAATATCCGTAAGTTCCTTCCGCGGCGCCGCCAGATGTTTCTTCGTTACCGAATCGGCAGAAGGGTGTATCGTCTCTCGCCGTTGCAGACATATTGTGACCATGGAAATGTTAACGGGAGCGGATATGCCAGTGCCGGGTCGTATTTCGACTCTTCCTTCAATGCGGGGCTAGACGAGGCGGGTTAGCCGACGTTGATCGAAGGAAGCGCTCATCAATAGGTTTGCGCAGACTGAGAATGAGGTTGACGGCAGTTGGAAGAGCAGGAGACACTCACCAGGGTCGCGGATATGCCAGGGTAGCCGACGAGAAAGTTGCAGTTTGGAGGTCCGGATACACGCACAAAGGCGGCCATCTTAAATTGAAGCTTCTACTCAAATCACCGTGAAGCCGGGGAATTAGATCGCGGGTCGCAAAGTAGGGTTTTGCGGTCAGAATTTCTCCAAATAATCATTCAGTTTGCTAGTATTGACAATGGGGGAGCATCAGGATATCCCTGCCGCCTATTCAGCGTTGGCCTGCGCGACCCCAGCGCCAGGCGGATGTTTCCCAACTGGTTATCTCGACGATCGCAATGGGTCTTGTGCCGGCGGAGACGCAAAGAGTGCTCTGGGACGGTTCAGGGTTCAACACTGACGACGCAAAATAGCGAGCAATGGTAGCAGGAGAATGTGAGCAAGCGCAGGGGTGATGGGATCAAAAGGTAACCGTAAGCAGGCGGCAGTCAATTTAAGGTGGTTGCAGATGCTACATAGCGTGTGCTGCAGACAGTCCCGACAAGCAGCCTTCCCAAAGATAGACTGACAAGGATGGACGGCGTGGAAGAAGGGGAGATACCTGGTTCACTGCTTAGTTCAACCACTTCTGGCCCACAATCACGATTATCATCGCTGTCCCACCTCCAGGTTGGCGCTGGGAAGCGGAAACAATGGATTTTTGGTGTCAGAAAAACAACAAGTGTTGAAGCTTGCGTGTTCGATCGCCGTGGTGATGGCTAGCCTGTGGAAATCTTAACTTGGTATAAATGCAAACCGCCTACATATTCTTCATACTTTGTGTTAAATACGGCGCCTTTTGAGAAGTGAAGGATGAGTGGAGAGTGTGAGCCGCAAGATGCCAAAACATCCATGCAGGATAGACAGGCCAATGATGAAACTCACGGCTGGTGACTCTGTCACCAACTGGTTAGTTAACTATTATCAAAAAAGGCCAATTATAAATTGATATTCGAGAGGCATTTCAACTCGGCCTATGAGCGAGCATGCATTCGTGTTCATCTGCGCTTCGTATACTCACCAGCCGGATATCGAGGCTCTAACTAGTTCTGACACCCAAGTAGTTAACTATAGATGCGTATCTACGGCGTACATCTGTCAGCTTCCGAGGTGTGTGTTTATATGTCCGCACACATGAGCCAGCTGCTGGAACCCCCTGTGATTACAGAATGCTCTCCGCATCCTCCAGATCATCCGGTCAAGACCGAAGCCGCGCCAACAACACGGCGGCGTGGCGACAAGTCATGTGACTGGCTGCGGATGTGGCTGCGCGGCCGCAAGGACGACAAGACAACCCGACGATGTGAAGGTTGGGAGAGTGTAACTACTGTGCATGACTCTGGTCGTTCGGATGGCTGCGGGGAGGATACACAATGTCTGTCACTGTAAGTCTGATACCTTGGAGCTCCGGTGATGATTTGAAATTTTTTATGTTGACCATACTGGCTCTAAGCTTCATACCACCCACGGCGATCTCAAGGTCGAGGTTTTCTGTGAAGCTGTCCCCAAAACTGCAGAGGTATGTTTGAACTGTATTTCGATACTTTCGCACCACCTTTCTTCCCTTGAGCTCTACACGTGAAGCGTTCGGCGCTTACTGACAAGTCGATAGAATTTCCTCGCCCTCTGCGCTTCAGGCGCATATAACAACACTCCTTTCCACCGCCTGGTTCCTTCCTTTATGATCCAAGGTGGGGATATATCTCTGGCCCTACCATCACCCGATTTGAAATCTCCTCCCCAACGCCCTTCGTTCCCGTTTGACATACCCAAGGGCGGGGCATCGATCTACCACCCAGAACCCCTCGAGCAAGAAATCCACCTCCCGTCCCTCCGACACAATGCCCGAGGAATACTTAGCATGGCAGCAAAATCGGTAAAACAAAGCAATGCGAGCTCGGAACCAAAGGAAATCAACGGAAGCCAGTTTTTCATCACGTTTGCTCCAGCGTCGCACCTCGATGGAAAAAGTACTGTTTTCGGGAAGGTCCTGGGTTTAGGGCCCAAAGGGACTGAAGACGACACGCTGACGAAGCTTGAGACGGCGAAAGTGAAAATCGATAAGAAGGGCAGGGTTGTGCAGCCGGGTGACAAGGCCAAGAAGAAAGATACCTCGCAAGCGGAGGGCGACGAAGAATGGGAAAGGATTGGGATCGAGAGCGTGACAATCCATGCAAATCCTTTTGCAGACTGAGATGCATCGCCTCGTTTGAAGGTCTAAAGAATATATTCAAGGGCAGCGCACATATCGAAGCACCCGCCTTTCTGGATGATTTACACAAGGTCGCCTAATCGTGCAAAGCTCTTCCACAAACGAGAAAGTGTGATTGCGCGGCCTCGATACTCGGAGCCAAGATAACGCTCCATGACGATCCAATGCTCGGCGCTCCTCTTCTTAGATGTACCATTTCCGTGGGTTGATGAAGTAGGAGTATCTTAAGATGAAGCTGCGTTTGAATACACGGGTTTAGAAAGACCATTTACGTTGGCTTCATTGGGCTAGATAATGCAAGTGTGAGTATGTACTCATGGATGATTAGAAGCCGCATCCTTACAAATGGCTCGAACGATACCTTGCTTTCTATGCTTTAGTAGAAATACATATTTCATTTATCATTAAGATGAGTGTCAGCAAGGCTTTTTGAAAATACTAATGCGTGGAGAAGTCCACCTTGCAAAAAAGATCGTTTCGGTTCGCTGATGCAAAGTATCATTTTCAAATTAGAGCAATCAGTCACTATGATTCCTCGCCGACTGCCGTAGCGTCTTGTTCATAGCCTTCAGTTTTCATATCTTTCAATCCCAGTTCATCCTCCTCTTCGTCTGTTCGGGTGTAGTCTTCAATATGCAGTTGAAGATCGGGGTTGGGAGTATGAAGATTCTGGACATAGCTGTTGGCTAAAGGATCTTCCAACACTATCTTGAATTTCATCTCTCCTTTGATGGCTGCGTCCAGTTTGCTGAAAAATCGTTCCCACGTGGCTTTCTCCTCTGTGGCCATCGAGTCGCCGGGGGCCAGGTCTTCGTCACCGATTTCAAATATCTGGCCATGGAGCTGATCCCGCACCTGAGTTAAAAGGCCCTCGACCGTGGTAAACCGGCCACCAAGCGTGCCAGGCTGCACGGAAAGGTCCAATTCGTCACTCGAAACAGCACAAGTATCTGACTTGAGAATGTCACGAGAGAGATCCTCCACACTTTCGACTTGTAGCCGAATACGTCTACCCTTTTCGGGAACAGCGCCACCGGTTTTCACTTCGTTTGTGCGATAGCCGCAATGATCGCATACCGTGCTCCAAATGAATACTTCTTTGAAATGGGGGATATCTACTTTCTGCATGTTGACCGTGCTTTGTTTCGTGCAACCAGGGCACTCGGCAGGGAGACTGTATACCACACCATCGACAATATCAAGGTCTTTCGGATCTCCCGCGGCCACCTTCATGTTCCCGCTTTCTTGCTCCGCCGCAAGCCCAAGTTCTTCGTTCTGTTCCCGGGTCCGGGCATAATCCTTGCGTTGATATTTGTTCCCTTCGTCATGCGGTGCTGGTGCGATCCAAGAATTGCCCGATGGGTCATCCAGCGATATCGAGAAGGGGAATGATTCGCGGTTCAGTATTTTCTTCAGTTTTTGGATTATGGTTTCTAAAGATTGATAAAGTTCTGGGTTTACCGTCTTTCTTGCAGGCTGATCGCTTTCCAATTGTTCAAGAATTTTTGATAGTATTCCTTCAACATTTGTGAGTTGGCCCTCACCCTTGGGCATTTCTATTCCTAGAGTATCCAAACGGAAGATGGCCGAATCACTTTTGATGACTTGTCGCTCCAGATCTCCTGGGCTTTCGACCTCCAACGTGTACTTGGCTCCTTGCTCCTGTATCTGGCCGGCTGCCTTGATAGAATTATTTTTGAAGAAGCAATGGGGGCATTCAAACGATTCTAGAAGCACGTCTCGGAAAAAGGGAATACGGAGTAGGAGGATTTTAGTGACACCCTAAAGCCCGGTTAGCATGATCCCCTCACCGCAAAATACTGGAAAGAGAGAATAGCGTACATTTTCATGGCAATTCATACATAGGCTTTCCAATTGCATTGGTCCAACGTCATCTTCAGCTTCGGCATCTTCCTTCTCCCCAGGGTTTTCAATCGGCCTTTCCTCTATTTTGACTGCAAGATGCTGTGCAGAGCTTTCTTGCTGGGTCCGCAACGATTTGTCGACGTCTTCACTGCTTGCCATGGCTCTTATTCTTTTTAATCGCGCCCCAAGGAGGTGAGGACGGCACGTGCAAGGTGCGCTAACAATCGGGTCTGGGCTGGTTAGGCGGTAACTGCAAACTAATAAAAATGACGGTGACTGTAGGTAGTGTAGTTATCTGTGCTGATGCCACGATTTGTTGTGATTCATAGTCGGTCAAACTTGCATTCAAAAAGTCGTGATGAAATAATAATTTTCTTTGCTGGGAATCGCCGTCCCCCGCACTAGCCCCGATTCAAGCTAGCAGCAATCTCCACCCCGCGCTAACCGGTCTCAGTCTAGTGCGTCGAAGGGACAATATCAAAAAAAAATTGCAAATTTTCAATCGCTTGAGTGACCAGTTTTGAACGTTAGTAGTGTCTTGTCCGGGGATTGTATCGATTAAATGGCTTGAATGGCATGGGGGCCTTGCGCCATATGCTTGAAACCCGCCTCAAGGCTGTAAAAAGTCGAGGAGCCCAAGCGACGTCGACGAGGCCTGCGTAGTCGGCGGCTTGCTTGCTTGTAGCGCGGCAAGTAAGCCTTGTTTCCGAGCCTTGGCTCTCTTCTTGCTACTTGCATTCTCTGAGTTGCTCTTTGCCTTAACGGTGCCCGGCGATGCAACTGTAGTAGTCGGCGGCTTGCTTGCTTGTAGCGCGGCAAGTAAGCCTTGTTTCCGAGCCTTGGCTCTCTTCTTGCTACTTGCATTCTCTGAGTTGCTCTTTGCCTTAACGGTGCCCGGCGATGCAACTGTAGTAGTCGGCGGCGATGGGTTGTTTTGGCGTGGAGCGGGAGGAGAGTTGACGGAGAGCTTGTCCTTCTTCCTCTGGTGCTGCTCCGATTTCTCAAACGGATGGATGGTCTGTTGATGACATTGTAGACAATTGTAGACGACGGCCGACTTCTTAGAAGGACTAGGCGATGTTCTCCCACGCCGTGTAGGCTTTCGGACTCTCGACTGCGAAGAAACCGTGCACGTTAAAGGTAGAGACCTAATGGTTCCGCATGATGGGCAGAATTCCCTTTGTTGCGCGTGGGATATTGGTTTTGATTGCTCATGAAGGAGCTGGTTGTGAACAGTCAACAAGTGTGCTGAGGTGGATGGGCTGCCTGAGCTCAGTATCTCCGCCGACCTCTTTAAGAAGTTCAGCTGTGCAATAGTTCCAGTTTGATTCATGGCATGTCGTTGCCGCAGGTAATGTTGAAAGACTTGCAATAAAGAATCTGTGTTATGGGGAATTAGTGATGGAGTTGTTGCGAAGAAGACAGTTGAGGGCCAAAGGAAAACCAGGTGGAGTTAAAAGGTTTGACGACGACTGTCTCTTTACACACCTCACTTCACCAACAGTGACATTTCCAAGCGGTTAGTCTTTGTGAATCATCAGGAGGATCCCGTCCATTTTCCCCCTTGCGTCTATTTAAACTGAATGATTCCTTTCCCTCTCACTTTCTTTCCTCTCCAAACATCTCCCTTTCACCTGCCGACTTTCTTTATACTGGCACATCAGCAATACAAAGCACTTGCATTATTCATAGCTAATTAGTTGGTAGCCAGTATGGCATCCCAGCTATCATCAACACGGACGGGCCTGCGCCTTGCCGTGGAGGGTTGTGTGAGACTTTCCTTTCTCTTCAAATGATACAGTTATGGGCGCAAAGCTTTGTTACCGATAAGCCAAGGCTAATTTGTTCAGGGACATGGAAAACTACATGATATCTACGAATCAGTCGCCAGCGCTGCTGAGGCCAAAGGCTGGAGTGGTGTGGATTTGCTGATTATTGGGGGGGATTTTCAAGTGAGAGCATATTGCCTAATCCCTTTTCTTACATTGGCTTTCTTACATATATTGCCAGGCTGTCAGAAACTCCAATGACATGGCCTGTATGGCTGTTCCTCCAAATTACAAGAAAATAGGCGATTTCCATGAGTACTATAGCGGCGCCCGCCATGCACCTTACTTGACCGTCTTCATTGGAGGAAACCATGAAGCAAGCAACCATCTTTTCGAGCTATATCACGGCGGTTGGGTCGCTCCTAATATTTATTACCTTGGTGCCGCAAATATCATTCGATGCGGACCTTTGAGAATTGCTGGTGTGTCGGGAATCTGGAAAGGGTATGATTACCGCCGCCAGCACTTCGAAAGGTTGCCGTATGATGACGACGCCTTGCGTTCGGCCTACCATGTCAGAGAAATTGACGTGCGCAAGCTACTGCAAGTTCGTACCCAAGTTGATATTGGAATCAGCCACGACTGGCCGCAGGGCATTGAATGGGGCGGCAACGTCGACGAGTTATTTAGGAGAAAACCTCACTTTGTCGAAGATGCTGAAACTGGAAAGCTTGGAAGCCCCGCAGCAAGATATGTCCTTGACCGACTGCGTCCAGCTCATTGGTTTTCTGCACATTTGCATGTGAAATACGAATCTATCCTGGAACACAATGAATACGTTCCACCCAGAACAGTTAACGCCATTAATCCTCCGTCTCAACAGTCGCGTATGAAGGACCCTGCACTCAATCTAGAGGCTGAAGTGGATCGGAATAAAGGTGTGCAAGACTCTGTGGAGCAACCGAACCAAGCCCCTGAACCAGTTGTATCGAGCCAAAGTCCTACCATGCCTCGTATGCAACCACGAGGTAGTGAGCAAGACAGAGTAAATGCATGGAGGGGCTTTCATGAAGTTGCTGCAAAAAGAGAAGCTGAAGAAAACGCTGAGTATTTGAAAGCTGCTGATGAGTTTAGACGTCGTGTCGAGGCTGGGGAAATTGAGAAACCGAAATCACAAATCGACTACCAAGTTACTTGGAAGAAGGTCGTCACCAATGACGGCCTCTCGCGGGAAGTTGCAGATGTTGTCAAAACCAGCATTAAAAGCGGAAAAGCCCCGGCGCAAGAAGAAAGCTCCGAGCCCGCTATGAAAAACGCAGACGAGATAGATATTGAAATGGATTCTGCCTCAGAGACAGCCGAAACTCCTAACATACTTCCGTCTGCTCCAGCTTTAAAGGGAGATTTGAACACTCACGCAGAAATCGCAGCGCATCCAGAACAGGTAGATGAAGTGCCTGATGACCTTCGTACCCAGTTACCAGCCAGTTTCCACAGACCTGAGAGGGCACAAGTAACCACAGCTGTTGAAGAATTTCCGGACGGCATCACGAACAAAGCGACAAAATTTTTGGCTTTGGACAAGTGCGAGCTTCGGAAAGATTTCCTGGATTTACTAGAAATTTTCCCTCTGTCCGGAAGCGACATGCCCGATTCACAACGTCCCTATCAATTGGAGTATGACAAAGAGTGGCTCGCAATCACGCGGGTTTTTGCTGAAGGATTTGAAGTCGGCAATAAACAAGCCAGCACACCTCAAGACAGAGGCAATGCATTTTACAAGCCACGAATTATCGAGGCCGAGACGTGGGTTGAAGAAAACATTGTCAAGAAAGGCAAGATGATCATTCCTCAGAACTTCAGCATCACAGCGCCAGTCTATGACCCATCTGTTCCCGTTACCACTCTCGAACAACCGGTTGAGTATCCTAATCCTCAAACTGCGGAATTTTGTGAAATGCTCGGAATTCACAATCCATTCCAGCTTACTGAGGAGCAGCGTCAATTACAAGAGGAGGCTGTTTTACAAGCTAACGAACAACGCAAGCTGGAGCCTAGCGGTGGTCGGGGGAGAGGGTTTAGAGGATCTCGTGGCGGCGGTAGATTCGGACGTGGAGGGGGCAGACGCTGGCGTGGTGGTCGTAGAGGACGTGGGCCGTAAAGCGCCGTCTAGCGACTTCGTTTCCAACCCGTCTTTATTTTCCAAGCTGCTGCTAATGCAATACAACGGGAGACTGGCGTTGAGGCACATTATGGAAATATCCCTAAAGATCGTCGACTACACTCCGACCACCTGTCATTTTCCTGAGGGTGGCCTGAATTGCAAGCTTGACGTTTGACATGGAAGGGGGACGGAGTTAAGGGAAGGGGGTTAAGATACAGTATGATATGAAATAGGAATATTCCTCAAAATTGAGATATTCAAGAATCTTGACATTTCTTAAGCTTTGGGAGTCTAACATGGTATGGATGTAGACGAAGTAGGACCTTCTCACAATAGGCCAACTTGGGTAGCTATTTATGTTTAGAAGCTAATATTGTTCGGCGGTTAACATCGTCAGGCGGCCTGGCTTCATTTAGCCTACTCGATTTCTTGAATTCTCGGGTGAGCTCCTGTCCACTCGCCGTCCCCAGTGCCAGACAATGGGTTAATATCTAAACCGGCCAAACGATCACCCAATTCAAATTTTGGTTGCTCCATAACACCTTGTTGGGTGCGAATCCCCCAGAGTAGGGACTTTTCGAGCCACGCTTCTAAACTCTCGATCAACGCCCGTAAATGACCGCGAACGATTGTGTCGGTTTCCTTGCTTTCTACAAAGCTCAGTACACGGAGGATGTCCGGTATATTGCCGATTACGCTGTACGTTGAAGTAGATTGCTGTCCGGATGTTGCCGGTGACGAAGCCGTAGCTGAGAATCCAAACCCGAGATCTTTCCCGGCTTCTCTAGCCTCATCGAGTGCTTTGAGTAGGTCAAGTAAGAGTACCACAGCTGCCCGTCGCAAAATCGCGCTTTCCGGTCCGGGTTCGAGGGTCATTATAGAAATTGCCAGGTCAACTGAGGAAGCAGCCAGCGAGGAACCTAAGCCTGCCAGATTTGTTTGTATTGCAGATGCGAGTAATGATATCGCTGAAGCACGCGCGCGCAAATCGTCTGGCGCAGGATCTGCGGTCACGCCCCTGGCCCAGGCTTCAAGAATCTTGCTCGAATACGCTTCCTTGGCCGGGTCTTCTGTTTCCGAATCGATATCTTCATCTATTTGGTCTGCAAGGCTAGGCGCGATCCCGGCCAGCTCTGTATCACTTGCCGCCTGTTGTTGTCTTGAAAGATCCCGCTCTCGCTTCTCTTTTGCCTTTTGCTTCATTCCCCTCCTGCTAGCCACTTCAATCATGGTGTCTCCCAGGACTTTACCTGCATCGTCTACCAATGCATTCCCTAGGTTTTGGACCGTCCTCAGAAGCGCCTCGCCAATCTTAAGTCGCTGATCAAGAGTCGATTCTTCGCTTCGATCAGCGTATCGCTCCGCAAGTGTTTTTATCACCGTGCGTGGGTGCCTGGATGCTAACGAGCCGATGAGCTTAATAACATTGAGATAGATAAACTCGTCGGTGGAAGCGGTTTCATCATTGTTTGTCAAAATAGAAAGGAGAAGAGTGAGGGTTGCCGGGATATCAAGGATGGGGGAAATCTTATCAAGTAGTTGTGATAAGATAGAGAGACCTTCAGCTTGAACTGGAGCTAAAGGGGACGAGATATTATGGATGGCCTGACGGTGCATTTCAAGATCGGAGATGCCAGGAGACACAGCTGTAGGTCTGGGTGTGCCCGGACTCGAATCGGAAAGCGTGATTTCAAGGAGCACCGAAGAAGTGGTGGCGGGCCGAACGAGGGCTGTGGGAAGATGGGGTAAGAGCGCATCTATGTTAGACTTCAATGACTGTAAAATCGGCGATACCGAGCTAGATTTCTGAAAATCGGGCGACGCAAGTATTGTAGAGAGGAGGCTGAGCGCCGGCGATAGTGAATCGAAAGTGTCTGCCATATGGGACACAGACGACGGACCTTTACTGTCGGCGCTTTCGGTTTTGACAATGTTACCAAGTGACTCTAGAGAGACATTCTGATATCGTTGGGGTAAAATCGCAGATTTCTGAGTGCGGTTCTTTTCACTCTCGATTAACTGCTGAATGAGCTCCAGGACCTTCGTGGGATGGCGAGATAAAGAATCTTTGAAATGGTCCAAGAGCTTTTCTGCGATTTTTGCGCTGACAAGTTTTCGTATTTCGGGCTGCAATTCATCGTGCTTCTTGTGCAGCTGCGGCTCACTTGTAATTTCATTCGGCAGGCCTCCAAGGAGCCATTGTCGGCTTACATGGAGGAAGACGTCTCCAGCAAACTCCTCCTTTCGGGGGTCTGCAGCCAATAGTTCTAGGTACATTCCAACGCGCCCATCTAGATTTTGAATGACTGTAAGAATATTGGCCTCGCCTAGTCCGCCGACCTCACGCTTCCGAATTGACACACCGCCGTTCTCGCCTGGCCCATAAACGCGAGCTTCTGGGCCATCCCACAGGAGATTATCCGCAACTTTTAACAATCTATTGACGTTTGCTGATACACTGAAAAATGTTTGTAAGATGGTGCTGATCTTTTGCTCCCACCAATGCTTTCGGTGTTCTCTGGCGTAGCATTGCAGTCCCCATAGGGGTAACAACACTGGGCTGACAAGCCGTTTAAGTAGTCCAGGATTTGGATGCAAAAGTGCTAACGAGGTCAGTCTATCCAGCGCCAGGAGTAGCTTGCTTTCGTTAAGTACAATGGACCCATCAAGGCTTTCAGTTTGAGTATCCAGAGCGACAGAACCGTCCGAAGAGAACGTTTTAAGCCATTCTGAAACAGGGTCTGTAATGTTACCATTCAGGGCGTCAAATATCGGTTGGGCGAAGATCGTAAAACCAATCCTTCCAGGAGCACCGAATGCACGTTTTCCGAGAATCCCATTGCCTATTACGTAGGAAGCTGTTTTCTTCATGTCCAGGTCTTTCCCATCCAATAACGGGAAAAGTTTAGATGCAATGTTGCCGAAGTATACTTTGGAAGAAAAGCCTTGTGGTACGGATGACAGGAGCCGCGAGGATTGCATTATAGCCTGGACAGTAATTGGCGGCCCTTCAAGCCGGATGCCTTCCGTTCTCTGCCCTAAGGCCGGCGCAAATTGGGAAGCGAGAAACAAGATCGTTTGAAACACTCCATCTTTACGCAACGGGATTTGGGAAAGTTGCGAGGAGATACATGCCTTAAACCACGTCGCCGTACTTTCTTGTAGTAGGGACGAGAGCACGGGTAACAGCGACGGGGTTGTACATCTATACGTTGGTTAGAATGAAGCGCAACGTCGAAGAGCGATCTTACCCGTTGATAAGAGCATAAAATGCTTTTGTGTATGAGTTAATTCTAGAATGGGTCGCACCCTGTGAATTAAAGGCCAACTCCGCCGTCCCGCAAATTATGTCAGGTAAAATTCTGGCAAGGATGATGGGTTGGATTGATGGGCGGGCATCCTGGAGAATTTCATTTAGGCTACTTAGAATGCGGTCGAGCAGGCCCAAATTCTGAGTCACTGAGTCTACTGGATTCGGCGCCTGCTTTGCGATGACACCAGTCGGAAGGACTGAAACGACTCGCTTCTCTAGGGGAACGCCGACTCCATTGGACAGAGAAGGATATATACCTTCAAAGGAAAGAAGATCAAGTAAGGCATGAAGGGCCCGTCGTCGTCTAGCGTCTTCCACAGCCGGTTCTTGCTGCTTCCCTAGAGGGCTTTCTCCAATGGCCGGTTCTGACACAAACGCAGTGTGAATGCGGCCCAGCAAATCCAGCGTTTGTTGCACCACGCGAACCCTTGGTGTCTCATTCTGATAGTATTCGTCAGGTATGGTTTGATTCAAAATTTCAATGAGTGAAGCGCCCCGGGATTTCTGTATTTCCTCTTCGAACATGTGTCAGCCTTAGATCCGTTGGTAAATAGGGACTGGACGAAGGACTCGTGCCTTTGTTCAGGACTGGATGGAGAAACGTATATGTGGCATTGAACGCATCTCTTAGCTGCACGGTATCTTCCATTTCCCTTCTCAAACTCGCTGGATATCGCTTTCCGCAGATGAACTCGCGAGGAGGAAACGGGGAAGGTTTGGATTTCCTTTTTGGGAGATGGCGAGGGTTGAGCCACAAATGACGTCACGCGACACTCAGCGCTGCTTGTGGCTGAATCCGCTAGCCCGATTGGGACCACGCGTCACCCCGGGCTTCGGAATTTGGATGCTGCTTCATCTCTTCCTCTCCTCTCGAGCTCCATATCAACAGCACACTCCCAGCCAGGATCGCTCAGTCACTCCGTTCTCATCAAGGAAAATCGTGCTAAGGGACTTTCTGATTCTCGTTGCCTTGGTCTAAAGCCGGATTGTCTATGTTGTTTTACAGCTCTCACGCATTCTTCCCTCTCTACTCCAGTAGCACCATCCAGTGCTTCAAATATGCAGTCCAAACTCCATACAGTTCTCCAATAGCCGTTGCGCGTCAAAACGCCCCTCGCGAGGATTATGTTGCTTTGATTGGCCTGTTGCCTCTCGCGCCACTATGATTTCGGGGAAGACGGATATTGGAACTTAACCCTACGAACCTTCGTCGAGTGCCTCAGCAAACCCACTTCGATTGGCACAAGTCTCGTGGTTATAGTTATCGAATTCTTGATCAGCTTATGTCTTCCTCCTTGCTGGGGTGGCCTAGGTGAAAGGGAAAACGATGTCCAGAGCCTCGCAAGCGGCATCAAAAGACGGTTCACTATGCGTTTATCAAATTCCAAACGGAATACGCGTCAGTTTTCCCAAGCTGGACGGCATGCTCAGATCAACGAAAGGATATCCGGTTTGGTGCGTGCGGTCATTGGAAATTTGGGAGATGGCGGGTGAAATAAGCTGGGCACCTCAATATGAGGACCGCCTTTGGGAGTGCGTGTGCCACGACGTTTACGAGATCTGTTGATTATTCACCTAGTCATAGCTTGGGAGTTCCTTGTGCCATCTACCGTAAGGGAATGCGGCCTAAGAACGTGACATATCCGTCGCTTCGGCGGGTTGCCTACAATCGCCCAATTAATATGTTTCGCTGGCGCGTTTTGAGTATTCTTGCCGGAACCGGTTCTATGTTGCCTGGTGCAGCGGGAATCGTAGCGAGGTGCTCATTATTAGCTAGCGTAACTTTGGGTTTCTTGAGTGGTAGTCTTTTTGGAAATGCCGTCAAGATTGCATGGCTAGTTTTCTGTTCCGGATGGGCTAATCTCCATGCCCGGTAGTGGCCCCTGAGCCTCTTGAGCTATGCTGGCATCGATTTCTGAGGATAATCGATGTATCAACGGTTTCCCTTCGCCGTGGCTGTCTGTCCCATGCTTATTTCGAACCTCCATATGGGGTAAACTCCCTGGGGCCCCCGCCATCGAACCCAACCCCCTTGACCAACTATTTCAACAATAGGAGCTAGCTCACTGGATTCTATGTCAGGCGAACAACCCCTGACGTAGATCTCTCTTAGGAGTATCCGGATCTGCCACGTTAGTCGTCTCATTGGCAAATCGAGATGAACGTCGACTTTATAGGTATTTACGAAGAATCTCTTCGGGGATACCTCCTTCTCTCTCCGAGAAGACGGATGCGGTTTTTTGAAGATGTTATTTGTCCGCCTCGCACTGCCCTCCGCTTTCAGGAGAGGAAACAAAAACTTGTCTCCGAGGATACTGCTTTACAGACGCTGGAGGTTTCCCAGATTGTGGGGCTTGAGGCCGTCGAGTGTTGAGCTGAATTCGACTGATGGACGTACCATTATCACAATGGTTTGGTAGACAAAGGTGGAACGGAAAGGCTGAATTTAGCCCGGTGACTACTTGATGCGGAGATTGGCGCCCTGTTGGAGTGTGCTTTGTTGTCGCAACTCAGCTGCCGTCCGTTACTGTGACACTTGTCTACAATATGCTGAGTCATTTTCAGTGGCTCCGCCGCCGGTCGACCTTCTCTGGGTAAAAAGTTGGTCATTTGCAAAGTGTCGTTTCGAGTAACCTTCTCACACCTGGCCTTCTCTGTACCATTTTACTAGGGCGTGCCGGAGCCTGGCGCTGGGGTATATCGTCCCGTTGAAAAGCCTGTAGTGAGATACAGAAATAGGGGAAGCATATGTCATGCCGGAGCCTCTCTCGAGTGAGGATTAAAGCTTTTGCTTATCTGGCTTGATGTCTGCTTTTTCCTTTTTCCCACCTCCTACTACTTTTTGTGACAAGCGACCACAAACGAAATGCCCTTGAAATGGACGAAGAGTCAAAGAGAGGTTTGCGCTTAAGAATTGTTTCTCTTTGGTTTGACGAGATGGCCGACCGGCGGAAGCTTCCTGGAGAGGACGCGTCGTTATAGACTGGTCACAGTGGATTTGGCACATTGCGGTGCTTCTGCCGCTCTCCTCTGGAGAGCGGCCCTTTTTTTTTTTATAAGTACCCCATTTCACAACGCGTTTCTCTATAGAACTGACTATCCATCTAGCTAAGGTCCCCGATCAGCGTTGCGTACACGTACAATCCTGTCAATATATCACGAATACTAATAGCCCTTCGTGCACTCGGGTGTGGAGGGATTATGCGCCCGGCTCCCAATTCTATTTCTTATAGGAGATGGCATCTGCATTGTCTTTTGATTCTGATGGATGTTGTTCTGTACGGCGTCCCTGTCTGCTAGTATTGACTTAGACTATATCCATCATGGACATATTCGCTCAACATGGTCGCTTCCGACTCATGTATTGGGCCCGTATGCTCCTTCTCGCCCGTCTATCAATGCGCATTCGTGCTTTCTTCTGGCTACATCGCACTTGCCAGCCTCACGAACGCAGTTGCCAACCAGCCGTCGTGGTTTCCCTGCTACCGCGGGCACTCTTTCCAAAGTCCCGGGCCTGCTTTTGCTTATTTTAACCCGTCCCCCATCAGGGCATCTTTCTTCTTCTCTTCTTCTTCGACCAGTTCTCGTTCGTGTCGCTCTGGCTGGGAGATAAGAGGACGCCCATTCTCAAGCCCTTTGTTTTCTTTCCCCAGTGTTTAGCGTTCCTATAATGTTTCTGGAACGTCTTCTCCCATCTTTTCTTGCTGTGGTAGCAGGTCATGCCATCATCGTCACCGGCAAACCCACCGTAGCTGGGACAAGATGGCCTTCTCTCCCGAAGTTCCCTTCTCATCGCCTCCCAGCCCCAATGCCCCCTCCTGGATTCTCTGCTCGCAAGCAATCAGAGAATCAGAAACGTGCTTATAATCGTTGCGGACCTGATTTTGGCTCCTGCCAGGAAGGCCTCTGCTGCTCTTCGCACGGTATGTGTTTGTTATCTCAAGCACTCCATTGTAGCGACTAATCTTTATCTCAGGGTACTGCGGGCATGGCCCAGAATATTGCCAGGCTCCTGATTGTTTGTTTGATTTTGGCAGTGGGTGTGATGCTTTGAAATGGCCGCAAGGCGATAGTACCGCAGGCATCCCTCGTACGAAGGTCGGTGAGGTGCCTTACGGAGTTGTTCCAATCTACCAATGCGTCAATCCAAACACCGTCGCGTTGACTTACGATGACGGTCCGAATGTCTATACAAACGATCTTCTAGACATTCTCGATTCTTACGACGCGAAAGCTACATTTTTCGTGACTGCTTTCAACTCGGGAAAAGGCAGCATTGATGACCCCAGCTACCCTTGGCGTGACATCGTTCAACGAATGTACGATAGTGGGCATCAAATTGCGAGCCATACATGGTCACACCAGAATTTAGACCACATGTCTAGCGCTTTACGACGCGAGCAGATGATTAAAACGGAGATGGTACTTGTTAATATTTTTGGAGCTTTCCCGACTTATATGCGGCCTCCTTACTCGGCATGCTCAGTTCAATCAGGCTGCTTAGCTGATATGGATGAATTGGGTTATCATGTTTCTTACTTCAACGTTGACACAGATGACTATAACAATGCTTCTCCACACCAAATCCAGCGCTCAAAAGACTTGTTTGATCATTCCATGGCAATGCACGAGGCCACCGGTCGTCCTATGCTTGTTATTGCTCATGATGTCCATGAACAAACGGTGTATAATCTAACGGTTCACATGCTTCGTCGCCTATACGAATCCAATTACAAACCGGTTACTTTGGGCGAATGTCTAGGCGATCCTCCGTTTAACTGGTACCGCTGGATCGACGATTCGTTCGCTTTATATCCTGGTCAAACAGATCCAGACACGTACCGCCGCCCTGGCCAAAAGCCCGTCTCGAATGATGGCACTTGTGGCAAAGAATACACGTGTGTCGGCTCCAAGTTTGGCAAATGCTGCAGCGCAAATGGCTTTTGTGGTAATGGCTATGAGCATTGCGGGTGGGGATGCCAAGAATCGTCCGGAGAGTGTCTTTTTCAAGGAGAGGACATCGACGCTCTGGAGAAGAAAAAGCACAAACACAAGGAATGCAAATGTGAACCTATAGACGACAAGGATGACGAGTATGAGATTGACGTTCTGGGGAAGAAGAAGCACAAGCATAGAAAATGTAAATGCAAGGATGACGATTACGGTTATGATTACGAGATCGACATTCTAGGAAAGAAAAAGCACAGGCACAAGAAATGCAAAAAGGACAAGGACAAATGTGACCACTATGCCATGGATGACGATACTGACGATATCAACGAGGTCGACATCCTGAAGAAGAAAAAGCACAAGCATAAGCATAAGGAGTGTGACAAGAACGAGGGCACATGTGATGCTTACCCCATGGAAGACGACACTTATGATATCGATGAGGTCGACAGCCTGAAACAGAAAAAGCACAAACACAAGCATAAGAAATGTCACAAGGACAAAGACAATGAATGCGACTCCTATGTTTTGGATGACGGGACTGATGATATCAGCGAGGTCGACATTTTGAAGAAGAAAAAGCACAAGCACAAGCATAAGCATAAGAAATGCGATAAGGACAAGGACAACGAATGCGATCCGTACGCAATGGAAGACGATGTTGACGATGCAGATGAGGTCGACAGCCTGAAAAAGAAAAAGCACAAGCACAAGCACAAGCATAAGAAATGTGACAAGGACAAAGACAATGAATGCGACCCGTACATGATGGAGGAAGAGGACGATCTCGACAACACTGATGAGGTCGATAGCCAGAAGAAGAAAAAGCATAAGCACAAGCATAAGCATAAGAAGTGCGATAAGGACAAGGACAACGAATGCGACTCGTATGCAATGGATGGTGATGATGATCTCGACAACACTGATGAGGTTGATAACCAGAAGAAGAAAAAGCATAAGCACAAGCATAAGCATAAGAAGTGCGATAAGGACAAGGACAACGAGTGTGACCCGTATGCAATGGATGGCGATGATGTTGACAATGCAGACGAGGTCGACAGCCAGAAAAAGAAAAAGCACAAACACAAACACAAGCATAAGAACAAGGACAAGAAATGCGATGACCACAAAAAATGCCCGGACACCGAGTACGATGGTTACGAAAGGAGGTTACTACACGAAGGCGACGAGGCCGAGAACGGCGACCAGGAGAGCGGCGAAGAACAGGAGGTCATCGATGGGCCTAAAGATGACCAACTTCCTGACAATGATCCTGCTAATGAAGACGGTCAACCTGACGATCATAAAGAACATCTAGACGATAACGATGAGGACAATAGCCTTGAAGATGAGCCTGAGCACGATCACGGTGAGGATAACGATTCTGAAAGTGAGGAGCACGAACGCGAAGGCCATAGGGAAGGTCAGGATGAGCATGATCAGGACAAGAATGAGGGTGATGAACATGCGGAACATGATGAGCGAGAGTCTGAGGATGGCGAGGAAGAAAGCGATGAAAATAATTGATGAATTTCTCCTCGAATCGTCCGTGGATCGGATGAACCCTACTATGCTGAGGCGCCGTGCACGGAATTGACACCAATATTCTACGGGGATTCTCGTTACAGTGGCCCTCTCGAAACCATTCATTGTTTGATTCTAAGTCTGCTCCTTGAATATTGATAGAAAACTAAAAATCTTACCAGTCCTAACTTTGACTCTTTGATATTCCTGAAGCCAAAAATCTGTGATATCATACGATAGTAGTACCGCTGTGACGTCCCGGCAGTACGGTAATAGTGATTTCTGGGTGTTACTCGGCGTTGCTTGAGAGTTGAAAATTGACTGAATCTTGGTATTTGTTGTCTACACGAGTGCTTTGTATATATATTGACCATGCCCCGTACGTACTCCGTACATCTGACATACATGGAAGCCAACAGAGATGACATGCATACATATAATACAGGCTAAAACCTAGACGGTAAAACAAGCCCAAAGGAAGCAGGTCGGCGCCAATGAATCGGCATTAAGTCTAAGGGGCTAGCTGGCTAGAATAGCTGCCTTTTCTAGGTCTATGAGTCTATGACTAGGCGTCATATCCATCACATCACGGCATCATCTCTTCATAACACTTATAGCATTCTATTGCTACAAAGGGGCCGAAGGTTATTTTCGAATAACCTTCAGCAATGGCGCGATTCTCGCTTTGCGACTTAGTCCGACGCGGTAGGAGAACTGTTTGTTTACTGTTATCGGACTATGTTTGTCTGGGCCTTTTTCTGCTGATTTCTTCGGCGTGAAAGACGGTTGTGGTTCGTTTGGTTGTGCGCTTTCGTTTTCTTTTCCAGCGTTTGAGACTAGTTCGAGGGCGGGTAGGGGGAGTTGACCTGCTTCGTTTTCGTGAGTCACATCCTGGGCTTCGACGTCGATCGGTTTGTCCATTGTGTCTGATGCGATCGATTGAGCTCGTTCAAGGGTGGTGTCGTTGAGAGTAGCTGAGTGGAATGCTAGACCATCGATAGGCACTTCGATTCTATCCTGATTACCATGGTTAATGGGCGGTATTTCAACTGCAACAGTTTCCGATTTTTTCTTTGGTTTTCGGCCACGTTTTTTCGGCGCCGTGGCATTCTGATTGATATCAATATCAGGGCGCTGTATGGAAACGGTTGGAGTTTCTATAACAGTCCCCGCTTTTTGGATAGTTTGTTCGGCTGTAGCTTTGCTTCCGTTGCGCAAGTCCTCATTGGACGGATTGATACATTTTTCGTTTTCTAGCGGACGAACAACAGGTCTCTCATCCACCCAGATGACATCGTCTTCTACATCCGGATCCAACACCTTTTGCACAATGACTGATGTAGTTTTCCCTCTCTTCAATTTTTTTTTTCCAGCTGGCTTGCGTCCCTTAGCTGAAGTCTCCGGAACCACACGCTTATCGGCTGGCTGTACTTCAGACTGAATCGCTGGAGTGGTGATGCTTTCTATCCTTGCTGGCTTCATATAGTCGACTTCTGGATCGTGAGTCTCTTCTTGTCTCATATTATTCCAAGGTCCCCCCTTTGACTCTATGTTTGCATTGAGCTGAAACTGTGGGGGGATTTGCGGGGAATCACCCCGAAGGTATTCTGTCGTATTATGGTGAATATCGACGCCAGCAAGCTCCTCCTTCTTAGCCCTTGACCTAGATGGCCTTGGCCTATACATTTCCATTGGCGTACCTCCAAAGTCATCAGAGAGCGGGTCATCTTGGTCAGTATTTGAATTATCCTTGGATTGAATCTGCGTCCTTCTATCTTGTAAATGGTATTTATTCACAGTGACCTGAACGGAGACGGGTAGTGCGAGTTCGTCTACGCTATTGGCGGATGATGCTGGGGCCAGAGCATCATAGCTTGTCCAAGTTGTCCTTGCGCGTGCAAATGTCGTCGATGACATTGGCTCGGTGTCGTGGGGGGAGTCAGTGGGTATAAGCATCGGTTTTTGGCGACTCGAGGTATTTTGGAACGACTTCTCAAAGGCGCGATGAGGTTTCATTGGAATATCTGCCTCGTTTTGAGACACCACCTCAAAAAGTGGTTCTGAAGGCTCAATTATGGTGGCATCTGGCAAAATTGTATTATTGTGGGTTGGTGCATGAGCCTGGCTATCTGCTTCAGGTAGCTGGTTCCCAAATCCCACTGCAGGAGTTGTGTGGTGGCAATGGGCGATATCCGCAAAAGCTGCCGTTTTCCTGCGTTTGACTCTATTCATATTAGAGTCGCTTGCATCATGTACCTCTTCTGATATCCCGATGGTTTTGCTTCTTTTCAATTGTATCTTGGGCGACGTCTGATCAACCATATTAATCAAGTCAGGGCCAGAGACTCCTGTTCCTTCGTGCACAGCCGAAAGATTGGTTTTAATATCTATACGTATTGAAGAAAGATCAATCAGGGAGGATGATCTGAGTAAATTGAAAGTACGTTCATACCATTAGCTTGGTCACCACCCAGCTCGGGAATGTTCTGATGATGTAAAGATACATCGCAAGCCACTATATAGTCAGGCTCTGGATTTGAACTATGTTGGACATCATTAATCGCACCCGCCGGGTCAACACGGTCTGAAGCGGGGCCGTCATCATCCTCTTTCGCATCTGACGCGTCTGCATTTTGCGACAATTCTTGCAGTGTAGCGCCTCGAGTCGCGATATCACCAAGCTCATCTTCAGACTCATCTGAGTCTTGGATGACTCGGTGCGCGGTCATTATTGCGACTGTGGTTGCCCTACATCGGTCGGATGTAGGACTTGAGGTTCAATTGTTTGGGGTTATTAATAGACGGCCATCAGAGAGAGACGCTTCAAACTAGCCTAATATGGATTAGCGTCGAGCTCCTGGCGCCAAACCACCAATCAACAAATCTTGGCAGCTGGTCAGCATGTATACGGACCGCTTTTTTAGATCAGAAAATGTTGAACATAATAATTCACGTCGAGATGCACTGCTGCCTGACCGATGGCTATCGGGATCTCTTCATACATTTGGACATGGGCTAATCGTTATTTTTAACCCAGCCGAGGGTAGCGATAATTTTACAACTTCCTTCATTATTTCTACACCGCCATGATAAATGCCAAACCCGATAAATACTCCGTAGGGTTGGTGGCTCTCTTCATAAATGAGTGTTAGAGCTGTTTATTTGCATAGTTAGTCATATATTTAGCCCTTTATTAAGGAAAAAGCACACCAAAATGGAGTACACCTTCCCTTGAGTCATGAAATAAACGCCAGGGTATCCAGAGATAAGGAAAAGATAATGCCATTCCACAAGCGTTGTGATTAGAAAAAGAGAGCGCATTTTCTTATTCGAGATTCCCAGGCTTCATTACTCCTCTCCCAAAAAACTCACTGATAAGCCCAAATCGGTCCCCGCTCCGCTGTAGTTCTGCTTGGAAAAGCTCGTGTTGATCCGCTGCCTTGACCTGGCGTTCTCGAATAGCTCTAATCGTTGCATTCTGCGGTCCACAAAGCGGGCACTCTAAATCCGCGTCGACGGTGTTCAGACAGCGTTGATGAAATGAGTGTTTACAGAGAAAATGTACGGTTGGAAGGTCCAAGTTGCCGCCGCAGGAGGAGCAGCGACGGGCTTGAAAGACGGTGGGCTTGGCACCTAGTTCGGAGATTTCCTGGCGTTTGGCCTCCGTTTCGGTGGTGTAACTGGCGATGAGGCGGCGGTTCTAAAGCCAACGTTAGATTTAGGTCCAATACTTGTGATGACGGCAAGGCCTCTCTTGGGTTAGGGGAGACCAACGTTTGAGATTTCCTTCCTATCCCGTTCTATGTTGTCGCTGAGATACTTCTTAATCATGCCCATCGTGACCACTGCACTGTTGCTAAGGGTCTGAATAACCTGGAGCGGCGACATTAATCCATCTCGGTCAATCCGTTTCAAAACAGTGTTCAGCTCGTCCCCAGCTTCTTCTAAGGTTTTAGGGCTTGATGCGAAATACGCAAGTGCGTCTATATATAGTTGAGGCTCCTCAGGTCCATATTTCCTCAGTGCCTTGATTACACCGGGAGTATCCTTAGCTGAGATGTATGACCGCAATATATCTGATCGCAAAGCTTGTTGTTCTCGAACAAGGGTTGTCCCTTCTTGAAATCCGGACAGGTCCGACAGCAAAAGAACATTCGAAGTAGAAACAGGAATCTATACAACAGGTCAGCGATTGGCGGGCTTCCTTTCGAAAATGCATGTATTTCTTGCGTTCACTCACATCCTTTCCTTTAATTAGCTGTTTGGCTTTCGATTCCCACTCTTGCTTCTCAGAAGGATCTTTCTTGCGGCTTGCGGTGTCCAGATACATTTCAAATAATGTGGTATATAGGTCAGTCCTGTCATCCTCCTTTAATTCAGGTTTTTCGATCAAGGCCTCTAGGAAAATTATAAACTCCTGTGGGTGATCAACAAACGAAGAGAAGGCTGTTCTCGGCTTTGGGATGTCATATACAAGCGGCTCTTCTACCTCGTTTGCGACTTGCGGCTCACTAATCGAAGACTTTGCATTTCCAGATCTGGATGCGTTAAGATACGGCAAAGGTATAAGTGAAGCTAGGTTCTGAAGACCCCCTGAAGTCTGAGACCTTTCATCCTTAATTACTTCTGCCTCTTTCTTTCTCCTAGGTTGATACTTCCCCATATAATAGTCGATGAAGATTTTCGTAGTCGGTTGCGGGCAATGTTCGAGCAAAACTCGCGCATATTTCATGAGGTTGGGATAAGCCTATCTGCTATTTAGTAGACTTTTTAGAGAAAAAATGAACCATAGCGACAACACGTACCAGGCTAGGTTCAAGACTCCAAATAAACTGTAACGCTTCAGAGTAGTTTTTCGAGTCTTCGATCAGAATGTCAACAACCATATCATTCTCTCCGTGTTTCGTCGCTAGATAGGTCGCTTGCTCGAAATAGCCGCCCTGTCTGCACATCGCAATGGCCGTGTCCAAATCGAATTTTAATTCACCAGGAGCCCTTATGAACGAATCGAGTTTAGTGGTGTCTTTTAATTTCGCGTAGCAATTCAAAAGAAGAGTAGTATGATCTGCCGTGGCCGTTTCATGGTCATGGAGCTCTTCGAGGTATTCGATAAGGTTATGGATACGTTGCGTGTCAAGGAACTGTGACGCAATTTAGACCACTAGAAACCACAATACTCAGGCGCATGTATAACTACCTTGCGGATGACTTGGGATGGCTCTGTATTATCTATCGCACGGAGATATTGCTGCATCGCGGTATCATAGTCGCCTTTCTGATACAAATAATCACCATATTTGCGGAAAATGATATTCTGTTGTAACGTATCGACGCCAGCCTTTTGGGCCAGGTTGATCGCCAAAATATAGAGATTCCTTTGGTATAGAATTTCCAGTTTTTGTTGTAGGGTTTTCTCACGATATCGATACACCTGGTTAAATGTCAGATAGGTAGTATGATAGGTGCATTTACCATACCTTGCCGTCCACAGTAACAAGAAACAAATTTCCCCATTCCTGGAATATATTCTTGACCTTGGAGGATATCGATTCAGAATGGGCGACAAATTTCAGGTCCGGTTCAAGGAGCGTAAAAGTTGATGTATTGAATAGCTCATCCACCTGACTACCCCCGAATTTTCGTAGAGCATCCGATTTGGCTAGCGGCACGCGCGGCGGGCAAACCAAAGCAACATAGTCCTTGAAGATGTCAATTGACGTTTTCGGACTATCGAATGCAAAGCTCGGGCCACGACCATTTGTCCGGTAGGTGTATATGGCATCTTCCCTCCCAACCAGAATGTCACCCGTATCCCTATCAAAGGACATACATCCCACACCGCATCCAAGGTCTTCCAACGTTCGAGCAGGTTGGCCGTCGCCTTTCCCACTAATTATTAACGCCAGTATCCGCCCAGTAGTAGCGATAAATAGCGTTGTCGTAGCTCCCCGCTTCGCCTCCAACCCAGTTATTGGCTCCTCTGATTCAAAGACCGTTCGCTGTTCCGCACCTCGGTCGTGAATCAAATCTCCGCGTAAAAGGGTCACAGAGCCATTCGCAAACCCTACAGCAACCTGCCATAAATCGTCCAACACGACAAACGCCGAAACAGGAAATTGCCTCTTCTTATTATGCACCGACTTGGTTGAACAACATCGTGGATCGCCGGTCTTCTTGTCCGCTTCGTTTAAAGCCCATACTTTTAGAACGGGATCGTTCGATAAATCCTCACTGAGTGTTACTAGATATGAGGTTGAGGCGATTTGTTTCATGTGCGTGATTGAACCCGTATCGTAAGCCTTGAAGGAACGGATGACCTTGAAGGTCTGCGAGAGAATATGGATGAACCCATCTGTAGTACCGAGGAAGAGGTTATCGGATCCTGTGCATACGCAGCTAACATCAGCCTATTAAGAGTTAATGTTTGATGATGTTGTTGGCTAGGATAGGTAAACGGCACTTACTGTGAAGATAGATGGCCCCTCCGGGATATGAACCTCAGAAACTTCAAAGAAATTGAATGCTTTCCACTATTTCAATTAGAGTAGTTTGGAGACGGATTGCAGAGATCTCGCGTACCGAAGTCAATGCCATATCCTCAACAGGCACACTAGGTGGAAGGAGTTGGCGACATTGATCTGGTCACGGAACCATGACATCGAACTGCCCTTGAGTGATGCCGCCATGTGCTAGTTAGCTAGGTAACTAGCTAATCTATTTTCGGCCTAGCCCCAAGACTCGTTCACATGATCACTGCCAAGGATTGTTTTCTCCTTTTTGACCCCTATTTTGTTGAATGTTCAGGGGATTTTGCAACTTTTTTATTATCTCCATGTGTATGAAAAATTCAGTTTCTATCCTTTGCATTGACTGCTCATGAATGAAGAGTCAATTCAAGTCCAAGTAAGCGTTTTGAACCAGTATTCAAAATCCTGGTCTACTCAGCAAATATGTATGCATACAAAATAACCTCTCCGTACAGTTGTGGTGTTGCTCTCGGGCGCCTCCCCAATCACATCTTAAAACACTCGAGCTCTCTCGCTTTCCTCAGCTTAACAAAAACCGTCACACGACCACTTCCTAACTTCTTTCAAGGATTTCGCGCCGAATTTGCACGTAAAATAGAGCGAGCCGGCTGTCCTATCGAAGTTGCACCGGATCTATCTGTTTTAAAACTTATATCTGCATGGAGCTCCCAACTTTGGAGAAAGCTACCTGCATCTGCTATCGCCTGGTCGAGATCAAAGTTGTCAAACCCGGCAATGAAACCTTGGCCATCCTGCTGCCGTGTCTCGTTCGTCGAGGCCGTTAGGGTAAATGGGAGGGCGGTCCCCGTGGACTCAACGGAGAAGTTTTCACCAAGAGCAACAGGTAGAGTAGTTGTAGGCCCTTCATTCGAGCGAGCGGATGTAGGCCGAGTGGCTTCTGGTTCTTGAGGGCTTGCGGAACACCTACGCTGCTCACATTCCACCAATTCATGCTGTTTATGGGCACGGGCTTCTCCGTCGTTTGACCTGTCGCCGAATTGAACTTTTTTCTCGGTGCTGAATTTATACGGAGAAATACCGTTGATCATAGCCTGGGTGCTGGTTTGTCCCTGGCATGTTGGGGGATCACCACTGGAGCTATTTTGCGGTTGAGGCGTGCTGAAGGATTGAAAAGGCTTGATTTGGTCAGGCATGACCTTCCTGGTCAGATCCTTGGGCGATTTCGCCGATAAATCTTGACCTTTATCGCCCTCCAACGTGTTCGGGCTTGTAAGGTCATCTTGGAGCGACTTTTGCGCGATTGCAACTGCCGCCTGGGTTGACCACTGATTAAGACTGTCTTTAGATGGACTAACTATCATTCCGTTAGTAGCCAGGTATTCGGTCGAGTAAAGAGAAATTAATTGATTTTGAAAAGTTGGCTGGTCGGGTACTATCTGCGCAGATGGCAGGTTGGCTATTGTCGTAGTTGAGCCCTGATCTTGAGCCTCATGCGACTCAGGCATCAGAGGATCCATAGTCGTGTTCAGCTGCAGTTGTGGGCTGGGTTTCTTTAGCCCTGTCTTTTGCTCGGTCGGCTTCTGGTGTAGGCGGGTACCAGATTCTAACTTTGTGACTTTGCTTACGATCTTTTTTTGTTTAGCACCGCGAGGTGCGCCTGTGACTCGGTGGTATTGAAACGAGTCAGATATTGCAGCATCACGAGAATGTATGTCCCTTGGATCCACTATCTGATCGGCAGTAGGTGCGGTATCAGTGTTAGTCTTGGGATTATCATTTATATTGGAAAGCTTGGGTTTGTGGGGCATTGGTTTTGTCGCGGGAGGGGAGGTCCGTGGCTGGGATTCAACATTGACAGAGGCAGCTGGTTTCGATTGCTGTTTGGGCCTCGGCACAGGCTTAGCTGTCTCAGAAACCATAGAGGCCTTTGGCTTCCGTGTAGGAGAATGATTGATTGGAGTGAACCCGGACACATGGGCGTGAGCGGATCCGAGAACGGAAGGACCAAATTCCCTGCTGGAGAGTCTAGCGGTGGTCTGGGCTGGTTTAGAGGGAAGAGAGGTGATTTTCAGTGACCGGGCAGTAGGCGTCGGGCTGGGCGAGCGCGGTCGATTCATAGCGCGGTAGTCGAGTGTCTTTTGATCCCTCTTCAGCCATTCAGTGTCGATTGTATGAGACGGCCGGGATTGATGCCGGTCTCCCGATGAGCGTGTGCTTGCCAGCCCAGGTTTAGGCGCAGCAGGTGAGCCGGACGTGCGCCCAGCACCGTTCGTGTGATGTTCGGACCCCTGGTAGCCCGCATCTATGCCACTAAGCCTCTGTGGCTGCTGTGAGTTCCACGCTTTGCCGCCGGAATCTGGGGAGACAAGAAGCGACCGTTCGTCGGCCCGTGAAGCAGGGGTGGCGGCAGCGCCGTGGGTTTGGGATGCTTCTGAGCATGGCTGAGTATGTTTGTCCTTCGTAGCCAGTGGCCGCCGACTCTTTTTCCATGGGTTTACCCAACCCTCCTCGAAAGGCCCTTGGAGCGTGGCACTGAAGATAAAGAGCGGCTTTCCCTCTAAGTAGTCTCGACCTAAGCGCTCAATTCTCCTTCGTTTAGCAACACGAGAAGCGTCATCCGTCTCGCTTTCGAAATCCGATGGCCAGAATATAGTGTCCGAGGGGGACGGGGAGAGCGGCTGCAAGGAGAGCGGGGAGGTTGGGCGCGACGGAGACATTTAGGCTGAGGGTTGGGGGTTCTGTTGGCTGCGAGAACGCCGCGATCAAGCAGCATGTGCAACCACAGTTCGTCCAAGACGAGCATGTAGCAGCAGAAAATATGAAGATTCGCGATGGATGTATCACCCGGTGGTTATGTTGGTTGGCGAGCTGCTGGCAAGGCACGCACAAGTCGAAGCGCTGGGCCAGATCGAAGCGCGAAGTCACGGGGGCCCGTGTTCCACTTTACGCGTGACGGTTGCCGGGTAAACCACCGCCCGCCTTGATCGCAGCTCCTGGCGCAGCGATTTCGGCCAGCATCAGATCTCAACTTGACGACAGGCGTTCAGGCTCTCTGGCGCGATGTCTTTTGTCACACTCTCCATACTCCGAAGAGCCTGGGCGTTTGATGAGTAGACACGCTTCCCGGACCCAGTACGGAGTACACTTCAAAGCAACAGGAAATTAGGGCAGAAGGACAAGCTTTCGGCTTCAGGCTTCCGTTTGATGTCTCGCCTCGTTGGCGCTGCCATCGCCGTCGATCAACTTGTTGGATTATTCATCAACAAGTTCACAACGAGAAGCGGGCTCACGTGACGGGGCTGATAAGGCTGGCGGAACATCAATGATCCGCGCTTACTGATTCGGGAACTTTGTTATGATGAAACCGCCCAGGTGAACCTCAAGCGCCGTGGAAGCTCGTCCCAAACAGCTTTTGTTATTCTTAGCCGTGCGCCCTTGGTGATTGCTGGCATTTGGTCTTGACTATTTATCTAAAATCCCGCTAGTTATCACTATCAACGTGGCACAGTCCCTTGTTTGTTTTGATGGGTGCTACTGCACTGCGCCAGTAAATTAAACCCCATCTCAAGCCGTACGACGGCTGCGCCCACTTGCATCGCGCCCAATTCCAGGCGGCCATGGCAACTCAAGAACCATGGCTTGAAGGCCTCACGGACGACTGGATAGCTAATTCCCGTCTCTCTACTTTTTCTCATGCTCTCAGCGCCTCTCCCAGACTGCCGAAACGGCCCAAGTCCTCCATCAACACTACCTCGCAACACCCTCCCGCTGAGCCAAAACCTAGTCGATTGAATAACAAGCGCTCCCAGTCTCCTGCGTCGCAAGCGCCGTCATATCTGAAGACCCCCACGTCACCCTTCTCGTCCCCGGCTTCGCAATGTACCAAATCTACCAGAAACCGTTCCTCCTCGCGCGCGTCATTGTCGCAAGTGTCGAAGCGAGCGTCAAACACACCGATGGAGAGCACCTCTACAATGAACATTAGGCTAGACAAATCAAACCAACATGGAAATACGCCGGAATGGAAACGGAGGCTCCTGCGAGGGGATGCACCCTCGAGCGAGAGTGTTGACTTGTTTGGACCGATTGGATTGCAGAAGCTGTTTACGCCACCTTCTGGCTCACACCCGGCGGCACAAATAGAGCAGCATGCACGAAATTCATTGTCGCTCAGGTCTCGGCTATCTGGAAATTCCCAGAGATACAAGGTCGGAACACTGTCAACAGATGGTGGCTCACAAAAGTTGAAACTACTAAGATCCTGGGACAAAGAAAACATCAACCTCACCTTGATGGAGCAAATGTCTGAGGTTTCGCCTGCAGATCTTAGTCGACTACTGCGCGAAAGCCAGATTAGCATCGATGACATGGACATGGGATGGCTAAAGCAGGATTTCTCTCGTCTGACTCTTAGTTCTGCGGGAAACTCACTCGATGGCCCCAGGGACCGATCGGCTAGTGGTATCGAAGAAACCAGGAACGAAGCGATCAGTCCAATACCACTACCTACACCCGTCGCATTCAAAGACGGTCATTCTCTCTATTTTCGCAGGCCAGCCTCAAGCGCGAGTGATAGCCTCTGTGAACCGCACGCAGACCAAATTGGAGAATACCCAGACGTGGACGATTCCATTGAAATTACTAGCCACTCTTTACCCGAAGGGCTGTCTATGGGCACACACGAATTTGCCTCCGCAGCTGGATTTGCAAACGTGCGGCGAGGAGGCTATCAAGAGGATAATACTAGCCGTAACCGATGGCTGAACCCGTCACTAACCCCGTCTCAACTCCCTTCTTCGGCTGGTGCTCGCCGTATTCGAAATCACTCGCCCAACGGAGGCCGACAGGAGAGCTGTCAACTAGCGCCCCGTAGAGCTGCTCCTCCTTTTACGCCCAAAAAGCAGATCTCCCCCCAATATGAAAACAGTCAGCCCAGCGACATGAAATCGTCAGGCAGCCCTCTGAAATTGTTTGGGAACCACGATACCTTCACAAACAATAAACTCCTTCGGCGGATGAGCCAATTTGAAGAAACATTTGAAGCCACGCTTGAGGAAGGTCCATCCTGTGCACTAGAGTCAGCAGAAATCAGTGAAGACGATACGAACTTTGAAAACGAGCAATTCAGGGAAAGCCAACTTGATATTTCCCACTGTCATTCCGTACAGTCACAACATGGGAGTCACCTCACTCGGAATGAAGAAGCAGCTTTTCGCTCGTCAAAGCACGCCGACAAGAGGGTCCTAAACAGTCCAACGAAAGACTCAGCGCCCAAGAGAAGGCGGACTTTGGTGGCTGCAACGCAACCCAGTAAAGCATGGCATGAACCCATAATTGAGTCAGCGGAATTTAGCTCAGTCTTGGTTAGCCCGCAGCAGCCAGACGAATCGTTCAGGGCCACCAGGCCACGAAACGAAGTTCAGCCGGAGCGATCTAGCAATTCAGTTTTGTCACAGCAACGAAGCATAAACGTCAAATCCTCGCTGCATCCATCTCCGTCAAAACTAGCGGCGGACCGCAGTCATGAGCCCTATCCTAAAATCATAAAACATGTCCCTGCTACTAATGCAGCCAGGAGGGGGTCGATCACCACTCAGGACTTCCTTGATGAAGCCACGAAAATAATGAACCACATACGGACCCGTGGAGGGCCAAAGAACGGATTACCTGGCCTGGAAGAATATGTGGCGAAAACTGAAGAAAGTCCAGGGGATGCATTTAGTGAAGCGTCCACCCAGGAACAGCTCTCAAGACCGCCGAGCCGTGAAGTCGGTGATTTACCAGCGCAGAGAAACCCGAACGAGCCAGATCCGCGAATTATCAGCCATTTGAAACGGTTTGAAGATAGTGACGAATTAGATGTTTTCATGGGGGCTTCAGTCATGTCCCTCCGGCTTAAATCCCGGCAACGAGGGCCCAAGCCGCTTGGGCCCCATGCCGAAACAGCAATAGAGAGCAGCCCAGCAAATGTTCGAATACATGAAGGGGTTCATAGTTTTCACCCAGAGCAACGAGGCACTGGACAGGAATCGACTTTCTCCTCATATGACTTGGGTATATCGAAAGAGGAACTGAGAACTGCAACATCAACTGAGAGTATCCCCACGGGTTCTACGGGCAGCGCAAGAGCAAAGGGAATAATCTCTTCACGCATGATTTCCCATTTGATCCCTGAGCGAGTTGGGGCGATGACATACGATCGTGCCCATCACATGTGGGTCAAAGGTCGCCCAAACCATGATCAGAATTTGGCGTCTCTTCTTAGCGAAGACGATCCCTTCCGTGATATACCAGATCTCAGCGTTGACGAGCTACGGGAATTGATCGCAATACGCAATGCGCCACGCTGCCAGGGGAAAGCAGAGGGCCTAGAACTTGGTAACAAATCGGTTTCCGCCACGGATCAGGGACAGCCGAAGCAGTCTCCAAGTGACGGTAATTCACGACCGCAAACACGAGATAACGCCTCGGGCATTCCATTGGACACCAGCAGCGTGCAGTCCAAATCCACGCAGTTCACCTCTAGTGAACCACAGCCAGATACACGAGCGACATCATGGGCCACTACTGATTTGACAAGCCAATCCGCCCTTCTAGCAACGCAGTTAAAATCTGATATCTCACAGCATACGCGAGAGGCAGAGCATGAATCTCGGCTTCACGATGGCTATCCATCGCCGATCCCCTCGCCGATCAACGGCGATAGGAAACAGGCAAGATCCGTTACAATAACACTACCGTCCCCTTTGGCTTCTCCCATTGACCATGAAAATGAAAACAAGCTAGGCGGCAAGCATCAGACCAAGGACTTGGCGGAATCTTCCCCGAATTACCTGCAGCCCCGCTCCTCTGAATCTATTGAAAGTATTAAACGTCGAAGGGCTGCTCTGGGGTTGAATCTAGTACAAGATTCGTTGCCGGCTGGGCTTCGAACTGGAAGGTCGGTATCTCGCATCGACGAATGTGATGAAAATATCTTTAATGAACTTAGCGGGTTGGGCCAGGAACTCTCTGTTCTCCCAGCTGGAGATGAATTATCTCTACTGGCCCCGCAGGATTCGCCCCTTGATACGAGTTACAGTTTTCATCTCAGCCCTTTGGCGGATTTTACTGTTAACCAGATTGACGAGTCGATGAGACTAGAGCTTAGCTATGTTGCAGAACGAACCTATTCAAAATCTCTTCGACAAGTCCATGGTACGTTTGCCTTGGCTGCTGAAGAGCTCGTCAGGCATATTACGGACGTGGAACCTTATGAGGCCTACTGGCAGTATTTAAGACGATTAACTCTTCGGGACAAGAGGTTGATCACACTCCTGCAACTCAATAAATATTGCTCTCGACTTCAAGAGCTTGATGCATCAAAGAACCGTATCGGCCAACTTGGTGGTGCTCCCACAAGTCTGCGCAGTTTAAATATCTCGCACAACTGCTTATCGAATTTGACAGCTTGGGGCCATTTAGCTAACCTCCAGTATCTCGACGTGTCAAATAACGAACTTGAGAATCTGGACTCGCTGTCTGGGTTGGTTCATCTGAGAAGTCTGAAAGTCAATAATAACAAGCTCAGCTGTATCAACGGCATCTTCAACCTAGACGGGCTCTTGACCTTCAAAGCGAGGAACAATCGTCTAGCTTCCATTGACTTTAGACGTGCTGAACTGTAAGTAATGCTGTCCAGCTTCTTACTACACTCCTAATGAATCATCTCTAGGTTCCGTCTGGCCAATTTGGACTTGAGCGGCAATAAGATTACCAATGTGGAAGGTATCGATTCGCTTACTGCTTTGGAGGCGCTGGATCTTCGATATAATGAGCTCAAAACCTTTACCGCCTTGGAGAGATTGCAACACTTGCAATCGCTTAAACTTTCGCACAATCACCTTCAGAGCCTCGACGTCTCGATCTCTCCGGCCTTGCGTCTACTTTACGTCGACTGCAACCATCTAAGCACGATCGTTGGGCTTGAGGCATGTCAGTGTCTGGATACGTTGTCGATGCGCGAACAGAACTCTTCCTCTGAAGACTACGGAGATCGTCTCTATCCGCCTATGGTTGATCTCGACTTATCCATCAACGCTTCACTTCGCAAGGTTTTCTTGTCGTGCAACAGTCTCTCCCCCGATTTGCTTGCTCCGCCTTGCACTGTCCCAACCCTTCAACTACTCGACCTTGCGTCGTGCGGGCTAGAAAGTCTTCCACAGACATTTGGAAAGACGTTCCCAAACCTAAACTCTTTGAACCTTAATTTCAACGCCCTTTCAGATGTTGGATCGCTCGATGGGATCTTCAGACTCTCCCGTTTGTTCCTAGTCGGGAACCGCATCTCTCGGCTCCGTCGACTATGTCAGGTCCTAAGAGATGTCGGTGGCAAGAAAGGGAGCATTGCCAGGGTTGACCTGAGAGGAAACCCATTAACTCTTGGATTTTATCCGTCTCCCATATGTGGGAATGGGAGATTGGTGCGAGGGGCGAATGACATATATCACCATGAACGAAAAGCGCATCAACTCGTCAAGAGCAGGAATACTGAACATGGCGAAGATGATGATAATGCTCTCGCTCCTCTCGGCGGCTGTGCCGATATCGCCCGCGCAGAAGTCGGGGAGCACGTATCGCTGGTTCGACCTGAAGCTGAAGACGTGGAGATCGAGATCGATGACCCGTACACGGTCCCGCTGGCGAATTCCGCCGCAGACGAAAGGTATCTAGTGCACTTGAATGAAGAGACGAGACTGCGAAGGCGAGTTGTGGAGTTGATGATCCATGCTGCTACTTCGAGTCGGTTGAAGGTGTTGGACGGCCTGGATTTGAGTCATGATGGCAGTGAGTTTGTGAGTTTGAAAAAGGATTGGGTTTGGAGAAGGCTTGTGGAGTTGGGGGGTTTGAAAAAGCGGATGTGAGGGTTGGTTTGTTCTTGATCTGCGAGGTCGAAAGATGTCTTGACTGCGGATTGCCTTTTTTTTCAAAAAATTTATTAATCGTGTGTGTATGACTGGCCTGATGCTTTCGGTATATGTCGATGTTTCGCCGGCAGGGAGCTTTGGAGGCGTTCTTTTCCATTTTAAGTGGCGTTGTCTTTGGCATTGTTATCTACTCGGCTCTGGCTTGATGTTTGACTGCGTCTCTTACTTTATCATTACTGCATGGCTTCAAATGACTATATGGAAAACTTGTTCTGGATGGACTCAATTCTCAAGGCTTATATTTGAATTGATTCATCAGTGACGACGCTCTACCTAACAACTTTGATTGCATCTCTGTCCCATTTCATTGCCAAGGTTTAGATATAACCTATTCCCTGTAAGAAGATTATCTGCAAGCCTGTTTAATGGTAGGATGATTATTAGTAGGGTTGCTCACCAACATTCTCAAGGACGCTCAAGTGAGTTCGCCCCTACCCGCCTTGTCGCCGTATTTGCCCAAGGCGGCTCATCTTCGTACAGCCGCGACGAGCTGGAGCTAAGGCGAAATAAACCCGGACGGATTGCAGGTAATCTGCTGACGCAGCGGGTGGAATGGCAACCATGTGCCATGACATATCCTGTGTCCGCTGTTCACGGACCAGGTCAACTCGGGAGGCTTCTGAAGGAAGCCTTGCCTGGTGGTCTTGTGTCCACCAGTTCCAGACCGGCCTAGAGATCGCTGTGAGCATGGCGTGAAGAGTAAGGGAAGGAAGGAGGATTTACCCAGCGATCAGGCGATATGTGGCCAGGCATGGATTGACCAGGCAAAACAATGCCCGCCTGAGCCCTCTTGCGAGGGACTTGCCGATGTGACGGCTGTTCCTCCGGTGGGAGCGCCGTGGGCTGCGAGGAGCAGGGCCAGGTCTGCTTGGAGAGGTTTCCATTTTTTTGGTGAGAGACCGGCTGGAAAAGTAGGAGAGGAGAAAAGGAAGCGTGATTTGAGGGAGCAAAGATTCCCAGAGTCGAGGACAGGTTTATATACGTTTGAGATGGGATGATGTTGCCATCATCTTGCAGTCAGGTTGCTCTCAGAGCATGGCGTTTGATATCCAACCCATGGAAGCACAGATGCTGACCATGGCTACAAGAGAGAGAATTAAGGAGAGCTTCAGGCAGCGAAGCACACGATCCCAAGAAAGAATCCAAAGTCCTGAGGGCCGTTGCGAGGCAGCAGCCGCCGCCAGAGTCCGCATCACGGCAACCGACACCGAGCATCCTTGGTTTGAAGCAGCAGCAACGGAAGAGTCACGATATCCCAGCGTCACCGTCGCCAGGCAGATGCATCTCCCCAGCACCGCACCGCCCGTCAAGCAGCATCTTCTCTTTGACCAAAAGGTTTTCTTGTTGTCTTTGCACGTCACTGCGGGGCAAATTAGTTTGTTCGCCAGGGATTGACTGCCGCAACTATAAATTGGCTCAACAATCCCGCCGTCAAACGATTTTCTCCCTCTTTTTCGCTTCCCACGGAATCACCAAAGTTGCTCCCAAATTCTGCTTTCCAGCCTCCCAACGTCCTCCAAACAGTCGTATCGACTCTCGCTCTGGTAGGATACACACGCACTCACACACCTCGATGCTCCGGAGCCGCGCGGGATGGTCGATGATTTCTCGACTGCTGTCATTCGCCATGGATTCAACAAACGGTCAAGGTATTGTAGTATGAACCAGGTCACTGCACACGCATGACAGGTGTTCGGCTCTGTGAACGTCTCCGATACTGCCTCGATTGTACCCCTGTATCTGTGAGGATGCTTGTGGGTGCTTGAGGCGGCTATCGAGGCTGGATCAGAGCCGTTCTGAGATTATACTGTCTGAACTTGATCTAGACAATTCTAGCGAAAGGACATGCGCGGCTTGGACCCCCCTTTCCCGTCGTTGTTTTCGTTTCTGTGGACTTCGTCGCAGCGTCTCCTGCGCTGATGGGATCCATGGATACGTTTTGTCTGGTGCTGACTGAATCTAGTCTGTATATCGGCCTGGCCTGTAGCCTCTGATCGTAAACATGTCTACGGATAAGATCACTTTCCTGACCAACTGGTAGGTCATGACGGAGACTACGATCGCTTTTTTCCCTTTGGCTTTTTTTCGTTACAACCGGCTCTTCTTATATGATCTGGTAATGACTTTCTTATGCAAGGCACGCTACGCCGTACCACGCTCCGCTTTACCTTGCGCAGGCCAGAGGATACTTCCAGGAAGAGGGAATTAAAGTAGCCATCCTGGAGCCTAATGACCCTTCTGATGTCACCGAAATCATTGGCAGCGGAAAGGTCGACTTGGGCTTCAAAGCCATGATCCACACACTGGCTGTGCGTACAGGGCATCCCAAAATGGTGCATGGGCAAGGTTAATTCTTTTACAGGCCAAAGCTCGAGACTTCCCGGTTCTGTCTATTGGTTCGCTGCTCGATGAGCCGTTTACCGGAGTTGTTTATCTCAAGGACAGCGGCATCACGACTGATTTCCGCTCCCTGAAGGGAAAACGCATCGGATATGTTGGAGAGTTCGGCAAGGTTGGCCTCGCCACCGTTATCATTCTCGGCTATCGTGCTAATAATAGACTACAGATTCAAATTGATGAGTTGACCAAGTACTACGGCATGTCCGCCACGGACTATACCGCGGTTCGTTGCGGCATGAACGTCACCAAGGCCATCATCAACGGCACTATCGATGCCGGTATCGGCCTCGAGAACGTGCAAATGGTCGAACTTGAGGAGTGGCTTGCATCTCAGGGCCGTCCGCGCGACGATGTCCAGATGCTTCGCATTGACGAACTTGCTGAGCTGGGCTGCTGTTGCTTCTGTTCGATTCTCTACATCGGCAATGAGCAGTTCATTTCGCAGAACCCGGACAAAGTGCGAAAATTCATGAAGGCTGTTAAACGCGCGACAGACTATGTCCTGGCCGACCCAAGTGCCGCTTACGAGGAGTACATCGACATGAAACCCATCATGGCCACGCCCGTGAACCGCAAGATCTTTGAACGTTCCTATGCCTATTTCAGCAAGGACCTGAAGAATGTCGCTCGTGATTGGCAAAAGGTTACCAAGTACGGGAAGAGATTGGGGGTCCTGGACGAGGCTTTCGTGCCAAATTACACGAACGACTTCTTGACTTGGACCCTGGATGAGGAGTCCGCTGATCCTCTGGGTGACCAGAAGAAGATGTGCGTGCTCCAGAGGGAGGTTGCCCGCGATGGTGGGTTTAGACGATTGGAAGTTTCTTCCACCGCTTGATGAGAACGGTATCTATACCAGGACTTTACTCTCCTTAATTCCCAGTCCAGTTGTGCTTGGTTGAAAACCAACGCACTGCCTACATATTAGAATGAAGAGGATCAATTTGACTCATACAATTTTTTTTTCTTTTTTTTTGTTGCATAGCCATTCTCTACAAATGGAGCCTGCCCAATACGTATGTAATGGGCCTGGGGTGCTCCATCAGTAGGCAAATTAACATACACGAAAGATAAAAAGGTGTCCACATGAAAACCGCATGCAAATGAACGAAACCCCGGAAAAAATGCGAACTTGAAACCCAGTAAAGTAAAAATCAATTCAGGGGAGTAGTACGGCTGGGATAGAAAGGAGGAAACGGAACGGACAAGTAGAATCAGGTAGACAACTCCTACAAGCGGGTCAATAGACCGCAGGCCACCCTGGAAGACGAAGAGAAAAAAAAAAAGGAAGAAGGGTAGAGACAAACTCCGTAGGCTAAACCTCGAATTAAAACGAAACCGAACAAGTCCCATAGGGTTAGAATAGAAACGGTGTGGTATTAAAAAAAAGGGTTATTTGAAAGAATCCGGTTCTCAAGGAATAAGGGGTCGGCAGAAGGGTATCTGCTGGCAACAATCGAAAGCTGCAATATCTCCTCTCACTGCTTTGTTCCTGACCGTAAAAAAAAGGGAGAAAGGAAAAGAAATCGGACAAATCCTCTAAAAGCCCGTGCTTTATGAAATTTTTGATCCCTTTTAGACCGTGAATGCCAACTCCATTCCATTTTTTTGGGGGGTTTGAACACAGATTCCGAGCGCCAGGAGCAAACACTGGTAATAATATTAAAAAGTAGAGAAAGAAAACACGCGGCAGCAGCGAAGAGCCAAGATGCAATGATCTTTCTCACAGTCTCAAGTCCATCGGGTTGTACATTATCGACAGCACAACGGACATTTCAGACTTAGGCTACACGCTTACTTCGCCGGGATCGCTGTCAATGACTCCATCTTCCCAATAGCCATTGGCAGCTCCCTGACGGCCTGCAGTTCGTGGTCCAAGAGCCATTGCTTCACCTTCACCTCGCTCCACGTAATCCTCACGGTTGATTTCTTTTAATATTCTCTGAAAATACATCCGGAGAGTACGGAGCCCACGTAGATATCCGCGATCCACATCGTCCGGATGGTGCGGTGGGCATGGAGTATCTGCTGGAATACCATCTTCTCCTGTTACGCAGTTTGCAAAATCAACGATTTTTAATCGGAGCCCTGAGTGATCATCGCACTCCTCGAAGGTAGCTTTGCCTTTTTCACCGTTTCGTTGTGGAACATTAATTTTTATCTTAGGAGGATCGCCCGGAGACGGCACCTTCTCTCCATCATAAAGAATAAGCAAACTGCTTGCATAAAATCGGTATCCAGGAAGCCCACGGATCATGTTTTCGAGTCGAGATAGCTGGTTTAAAATAACTGGAATCTTTTTCATCACACTGCTGTAGCTGACACCGTCGTACAAGAACCGGGTCAATGCGTCCTGGAACTCCCGTCCTGCTTTGAGGTCACGACCGAAATATTTATCCTCGAACAAGTATTCCTGTTTCTTAACATTCCATACTTGCATTCCGCAAAGGCGTACTCCGAGTTGCGCTGATGTGGTCGTCTGGCACTTACGTCTTTGGGATTTTCTCTTCTTTTCATCTGCTTCAATTCCGTACTGACGGGTGCCCATTTTTAAATCGAGAACGCAAGGCTTATTCATACCGGCAGTGAGATCTTCCAGAAGCAAGAAGAACTGAACGCGTTCGTCTCGTGTTGTTTGCGCCTCCTTCGGGTTGACGGGCAAACGAATCGGTTCACCGGAGTTTGTTCCAAGAGTAACAGGCATAGTCACCTCATTATCACCGTTTGTGGACCCATGGTTGTTTTCGCGTTTGGAAGCGCCGTTTTGATTTAGATGTAAGGCTGCAACGTTGGAAGAGAGTTTGGGCGTCTCATCAGATTCCATATTAAAGATTTCGTCTTCCCTGTCTCCCCCGTAACCGTCATCCTCGAAGTAGAGAAGATCTCCAGGCTGATTGGTACTCATACTTCGTTGTCGCTCAAGGCCACTCCCAGAATGTCGACGGCGTCGTTGAAGGGTATCGCGCGGTAGGCTTGGCGGACGTGAACTCTCAGACCTGGTTAGCTCTAGAAGATGGCCGTTCGCTCCAACAACGGTGGATGCAGAGGATGATAGACTGGGCTTTTCACTTGATGGACGCGATAATGATGAATCTGGGAGAGATTCGCCGCGATCTCCTCGAGAATCTGAATGTTTCTTAGACGAACCGTCTATTGTATGAAGGTCTTTGGGATGGGTTGCCCGTGATCGAAGTTTTGGTAAGGGCGCTTTGGTGTGTCGACGGTGCCGATGGATAACAGGCGGAGCAAAAACTTCTCGCAATACTTGCTCCTGTAATTTAGTATTGACAGTAGTCGCACCCCAGCTTATTGCCTTGCTAGAAGGGCAAGGGATGCTCGCTTCAATCGGCTCAGATGACCTAACTTGGTGCAACACCCGGCCATTGGTAGGAGAATGAGGGGTCATGAACAGGTCCATTGGGATGATATGGCGGTTATTTTCGAGGATCACTTTGGGGATAACGCCAGTAACTTGTTGTTGACTGAAGATTCTTGGTTGGTCGCCGAGGGACTTTGAGCTTGTGTGTTTGCCGTGATCCCTCTTGTCATGCTCTTGAGCAGTAGGAGGAGTGGACTTTTCTGGCATCTTTCCAACACCATTCCCCGCAAGCTCCTCAACTGTCTGCTTACGCTTGGGCCCTTTGGAAAACGTAACGTTTAACACCCCGATATACCTATAGGTAGGTTAGTATTCGCAACCAAACACACGCGACGTTGCCGGTGGCAATAATAAATTTAGATCAAAGCTATGCAAATCAGAAACAAAAACAATGAAGGAATGTATACGAACTTCGCGAGGAACATCAGCATCTCCGGATGGCGTCGTTCGATTCGTTCATAAAATTGATTCTCACGGTTGTTAAGCTGTTTACACACTGCTCGTCGCGAGAACCGGAACACTGTGGTATGTCCGCCAACTTGATGCCGATACGGTTTGAGTTCAACAGCACCGAGAGGAGCCGGCGCAGGTCGTGTATGCTGGGAGCGTTTACGAAGGTGAGTTGAAAGCCCCTTGGTTCCCAAAGTTGTTGGAGTTGTCGCCGCTTCATCTGACGATTCGTCCTCCTTACTTGATAGCGCGCTATCATCGGCAGAAATAGGCTCAAATTCTGAAGCAGACTCGGTTTCTAGTTCCGAAATAGAAGCTAGCGAACGGTCGTCGTCGCTAATAGCAGTCTCTGGTGGCTGTCGCAACTCTCCATGGAGAATACTGTTGTCATCCTTTGATAACAACGAGATGTCGACGTGATTGGAAGGCTTGGCCCCAGATGGTTCTTGGCGTATAGTAGCCCTACCACTGACAACAGTTTGCTCAGTCTGCAAGGCGTCTCCGGATTCATTTTCCAAGGGGGAGGATTCATCGAGAGGTCTCTGATGGGGAAAGTATAGCGCAGAGGATATGCGTTCCGTTTCTTCATCTTCGTCTTCGTAGCCATCGGACGTGTCCGGTGTGCGATTTTGCTCTTCTTCTGGCTCCGGATGGTCCACGGTCCCGTCTACTCCAAACTGAATCCCAATTTGTCGACTGTGCGAGGAGGATGGGACACTGCAGGACAAAGATTCAAATAGCGCGGACTTGGGTGGCAGAATCGGGCAAGTTTGGCTTTCCTTCAATTCCTCAGGGGGAACGACTTGAAGATCGGTACGAACACGTACAAGTGGAGGTGCCATACACTCTTGGGTAGAAGAGTCACTCACAGCTTTTGTGGGAATATGATCCTTGCGGTGAGCTCTTGCTCGCGGGACCTCCGGCTGAGATCGGAAAGAATTGAACTGCGGTCGACGTTCAGGGCTCGAGGGTCTAGTGACGGATGTATCCCCTAGGGTAAAGGGCGGAACGCGGAATTCAATAGGTGGAGTCGATTTGGTGGGTGAACGATCCGATTCATTCCTAGGTCGTCGGTCCTGGCGATCAGCAGGCTTATCTTCCCGTTTCTTCCGCTCGGGGGCGGTTGTGTTTTCTTTGAACAGGCCTAAATAGTGGCTCGATTTCCGACTTCGAACATTTGAGGTAGGCTCGGCATTGGTTAGGTTGGCCTCGATGGACTTTTCGACGCGAGAAGATCCGGTTTTGCTTGAGCTCCGGTCTGGACGGTGGCCTGGCAGAGAATCGTGGGCCGAACGACCGAAATCATGCAACGACTTGCGCACAGAAGCTGAGTTGCCACCGTCGTAGGCGAACAAGCCTTCTGAAATGAGCATCGTACTGCCACCAGCCTCGTTTCGGCGATCGGCAAGTTGTGAGGAGGAGGATTCTGCGAAGGAGACGCGGGAGCCACGAGAAAGAGGAGTAGGAGCAGGAGGAGTAGGCGGATGAGGGCTGCGGTACTGGGTTATCGGACGAGCCGAAGAGCAACTGGAGATATCTCGACCGTTTGCGGTGGAAACGTCCTTCCTCGCGGGATTGAGTGACGCGGAGAGAGTGCTGACATTCTGCCGGATTGGGAAGCTTTTCACCTTTCTAGGCGGGCATGGTCTCTCTTCCTCGGGAAGCTGATGTCGGAGAGCAGACGGACGACGAGGATCGCTCTTTCCGTCGGCCACAACGTCAACGCCGTGCGCTGGGGAGATCACATCGCTGTCCGAGGGCAGATAGTGCGTGGCGAAGATGCTGTCTCTCTCGGACAATTGGGGGCTCTGGGCGCGGTAGGAGGACGCGGAGGTGCGGACCTGTTCTACAGGAGTTGTAGCAGCACGATGTTTCACGGCAACAGAAGAAGAAACGGAAGCCCGGGAAGGTTTTATTGTCGGGGAGCGGGGAGGAGAGGGAGGCTTAGGGGATGGGAGCGAGGAGCCCGTGGGGCCGGGAGCGTGCGAGGCAGCCTGGTCGCCCTGATTGGATTGATTGCGCGCACTCGAATCATCGTGGGCAGACGGCGCAGGTGTCACCAGAGCTCCAGGAGAGGAATTAGCATGGGCGGAAGGGAAGCTGGACATGGGGAGGACATTGGTCAAGCCCGATGAAACAGCGCAATACGGCTAGTGTCTGGGATTGGGAAGAGAGCAGCAGGTGGCCAAAACGGGCACGGTGCAGCACGGAGCGGGCGGAAGAGAAATTGGGAAACGAAGAAATGAGAGAGTGAGAAGGGAGATCGTGGGCTTGTGATGGAACAGTTGAACGGGCAAGATGATAGTTTGATTTGTGACGCCGACTAATCGACCCGATGATGAATGGATGTGGCTAGTGCGCGAGAGTTCATTAGTCAGTTCACTGACCTGAGCGTACTCTGTACTGGCCCTGTAACTAATTAACTAATTCACGGCTTCACTGCTGTTGCAATCCACAGCCAGGAGCCGGTGCGAGACTGGGGCGAGGAGATCAGACGAGAGAGAAGGGGCGGTGATGGAGTATGGGAGCAATGTTCCCCAAAGGTCTATCCCCAATTCCAGCACAACCCCAAAGAAAAGCGCTGAAATGCCGTGACCAGCCTTGGTAACTAACGAATAACTCACTAATCCAGTTAACTCAGCCACAGGGCTGGATGACTGGCGCACAGGGGACCTTCAGGATGCCGTTCCAAGGAAGGGAGCAACCTTGAATGCCCGCCGGCCCCTCCAGTCACTGTTATATATTGGAATAAGGCCCGGGCTGGTGGAGGAGAAGACGGACTCGTCCAGCCATTACTGCCATGGGTTCGTCATGATCAGTGCACACACACCCGCACGCAGTCACGTTGCCGGCTCACCGGATTTTACAGGCTGAGAAGGATCGCTGTGGAAGAGTTTGTCCATGCACCAGGTGCTCTTCACCCTGCTCAGTTGCTGCATGGAGCAAACAGGGGCGCAAGGATCAGCATTCGGCACTGGCATGACGCTCAATTTATCTCTCACGGAAATTCCCAGCTGATCCAATGACGGCCCTTGACGGGCAAACGGTCGATTTCGGATCTCCTGCGATGCGATATCCTCCCCTGAGGTTTCAGCCCAATGCACATGGCATTCGCTGCGTCCACGGCCAGCACTCGATCCAAGAAGGGAGAGGAGGCATCCCAAACAAAGCACGCCGAGGATCCAAGCTGCACTGTCTTTGAGTCGCTCTGTTTGACCGGTCAAACTTACAGCCTCGTTCCTTGCCCATCATCTGGAGTCCTGCTTCCGAAGAATTGAATCTACCAATCATCCAAGAACGTGTCTGTTTGTGTGGCCACATCTCCCCCTGGCAGCTGCTGTGCTAATTTCACTTCCACTCTTGAGTTCACTCAACCAACTTCCAACGACACACCGATCTTGGCTGGACGATTATTTAGCAATTCCCCTTCCCACAATTCATAGTGGGATCGTTGCCTGTCCTCCGTACCGGACCTTTTATTCTGCCGGGGGATTGCTGCGCCACCCGACGATGCTGTTGCCCGGCTTCATGCTTGCATATTTTCTCGATGCTCCCGTACAAACGATATGAGCCGCGAACGCGAACCTGCTGTGAATCGTATCGCAAGAGAGGGCATACTCAGCGTGGGCAATATGGTGGACCATAATTTGCAGACCGCCAGGTCAACCCTGGGCTTCTTTGCAGCCAGCTGTCTTGGAGCATTCAATTTCCAGCCAGAGCATTGCCCACATGCTTCTCAGTGGCCACGTTTGTCGAGCATGATGTCTAACGACTAAGGCATTCGCGTCATCGAGGTACGGGATGGACCCCGATCGAAGAATGTTTTTGTCTGACGCCTGAGCGTCGCAGCATCGTCCTTCCTGATTCTAAGAGAATATCGCATCCCATCCTGTTCTCGAAGAGCAACTTCTATCAAGGCCATCCGGTTAGCTTGTGGGCCCAATGAGTACTCTTTAAAATAACCCGTGGACACGTTAGCCATATTTCTGGGGAAGTCAAGTTCGGCCCTCCCAGCCTGTTATTTGGACCACTTCGTTGCGAGCGAAAAATGCTCGTTACAAGTTCCATAACACATATCATTCAATGTGATATTGACCCATTCAGGAAATGGAGTGGCGATCTACGCTCGCACATGCGACCGGTAGCGCTTGCGGGCGACATTGATACGATTTCATTTGTATTCGCATTCTCTGCCCATTTTATCCCTTTACTCTCTTTCAGGTTACGGTCGAGCAGGGTGTTGATAGACACCCGATGAACCAAGGCACGTGATTTACCGTCATCGTTCCCAGCTAAACTAATTTACAAGTTTCGCCTTGAGCTCAGCGAGATCGCAGTCTTCAAACGGCTTTCCTTCTGGCGGCTCCTGCAACCATTTACGGCCCTCCATGCCGTCTGTAATGCCAGGGATAGCATTTTCAATCCAGATGTGCCTTTGTGTCTTGCAGATTTCCATACCCAACCCACCACTCCGTTCATGCCAGACTCCCCATTCTGTTTCCTTGCGCCCGCCTTTTCTTCCACACAGGACTTCCTCGTCCAAGGAGCCCAGATATATCTCCGTCTCATGTGCTCGGTTGGTATTCACGTACGCAACCGAGCTACCACAGTTGGAACAAAACATTCTGTGGCCGGTGGGATTCTCCGGTGTCTGGAAAGCCTTATACGTCTGCTGAGAAGATAGTGGTGGTTGAATATTTGCAGTAGGAACGCTAAGGAGCTGGGGCACCAAGCCTCCGGTGAATTTGCGGCACCGTGTGCACTGACAGGTTGCATTCTGGTCACGATTAATGAGATGTGCTGCTTGAGCCAAGAGGGAACCAGAAGAATCGCACCTTGGTTGCTGGCCAGTCCATATCCGGAGTGAAACTGATTGTGTATCTTATGCCTCCGCATAAGCATCCCCCTGCAATCGATGACGGGCGAGGTGAGTTGGCCATGTTGCTGTTCAGTCACAACTACGCTTGCATTGGAGTAGTTGGCCTAACCATGTTGCATGGGCGAGGGACGCATAAATATTCGTCTTCTGAAGAGAGTAGATGGAAATACGAGATTTTAAACTGATGCTGACAAACACAATACTACTTCTTGTCCTGCCGAAGCTCGTCACAGGGCGTCTCTCACACTTTCGTCAAATCAGACCTTGTCTTGCGATCAATAATATCTTAAACTAGGCATTATCCTTGCGGCATGGATTATCTGAACATAGCTTCATTGGAGTGCTCATGGGGCTGCAAACTCACAATGAGCTAACCCCATTATCATTGCCCGTTCCCCGCATTTCATGTGCCATTGAAGTCAAGCCCGTGAGAGGGAGCTTCTATGGTAGTATCTTGCTTGACTGCCATCCATTTGCAATCAAGTCTATTTAGAGAGTATAGATAGACTATATTTGGCCCCTTCAATGAATACAGAGTATTGAAATCCTTCCGCCCTACTGTGTCGATGGAGCAATCATCACTATCCAGACGTTAACTCCACACTTTCACTCTCCCCGTAAAAGCGGTGGCCGGGGCTTGGCAGGGGCACGTGAGAGTCTGACGATGACCTCACCTCCCGAAAGCCGTTGTATCAAACCAACAACCAGAGGCAGTCAGACTGTCTCTGATGGCATAAAAAACTACTGAATGCTATCTCCGTTTGACAGAAAATCTATTGGATTGATATGGAGTTTTAATTGTTTTCGTCGCGAGCGGGAACTAACCCAGCAATCTACAGAGTAATTATCTCGCCATCACCTGCTCCACATGCATTGATATAGCAGGCAATAAAGCTCAATACAACTGCCAAGTTCGTGCTTTTCGAAAATACGCCGGCGAACGGATTACGAGGGTATACGGCGTCTCCCCGAAATCGGAACCGTCTGCAGCGTAAACACAGACAATGAGCAACACGAAACGGAAAAGTCGTCGCAACGGTGGCACCAACATCGACAAGCGCGACTTTGATGCTAACCGCTCTTTACTCGGTCGTGTCGCCCACAGTGAGGATATCGAATATGATAGGCGTACTGGCGTGCCAGGTCGCAGTTCAACCGACTCAGATGGCTTGCTGTCTGACGTGGTGAGCGAGATTGTGGATAGGGACCGCGAGATGCTGAAGAGGGAGATGGTGAGAGTAGGGAGTTTTATCTGGGGAGTCTTAACTGCGTATGTGAACTTGGCATGCAATTTACCGTGCTTGGTACTTGCGATATGTTCTTGAATGGCTAACGTGGCCGACACACAGCTCTTGTGCAGGAAGCATCACTGGGTTCTCCATCTACGGCCCTCTCCTTCTTTCTCGTCTCCACTACTCGCAATTCCGCGTTAACACCGTGGCCGTGGCTGCAGAAATGACCATGTATCTCCCAGTACCTCTCTTCGGCTACCTCTGCGATAGATACTCCCCTGGCCCGGTTGCATTGCTATCGGCTTTCCTTTTTGGCCCCGGGTATTTGCTAGCTGCCTTGACGTTCAGATCTGGCCCACCACCAGACGCAGGGGGGTCAGGGTGGCCGTACTGGGTGATGATTCTTGCATTCCTTGGTGTCGGTGCAGGCACGGCATCCATGTACTTGGCAGCTGTGAGTACATGTGCGAAGAATTTTGCCCAAAGTAAGCATAAGGGACTCATGCTGGCGATGCCAATTGCGGCATTTGGCCTGAGCGGAATGTGGCAAAGCCAGGTTGGAAGGCATCTCCTCTGTGAATGGGGCCCAAACGGCGAAAAGGGAGATGTGGATGTGTTCAAGTACTTCTTGTTCTTAGCGATTCTGTTATTTAGCGTTGGACTTGTTGGGTCATTTGCCCTACGCCTCGTGGATGAGGAGAAGTTGATCGATGAAGCCGTGGAAGAACTCGAGAGAAGCGGATACCTCGATGAAAGTTCCTTTTTCCGTCCGAGAGAAGAGGTCAACGCTGAATATGGAACGTTCGGGGCGGAAAATAATGGAACAGTCGGCATCGACGATGGCGATGGTGACTCGGTTACGTCTTCGCAGGAAGAGAAGCAGAAAAAAACATGGTTACTCAACCAGGAAACGAAACTATTCCTGCGGGATCGAACAATGTGGTGGCTTGCGGCAGGCTTTTTTCTAGCGTCCGGTCCTGGAGAAGCATATATCAACAACGTACGTACGCCTCTGACCGTCAATAAGTTTTAAACTGCTAACTTGTGTCTTCGATAGGTCGGAACAGTCATCCACACTCTAACGCCCTCGTCCTATCCTCCCAACTTGCCTCCCCCAGCTGGCCACCCATCGCTTCACGTTACTATCATCGCTCTTACCTCCACTGCTGCCCGCCTTTTAACCGGCTCGTTATCTGATGCGTTTGCCCCAACCTCACGGACACGATATCAGTCGCAAGAAGAATATAGCCCGGTTAGGTCTAAACGCCGCCTCACTCTATCCCGTCTTGCCTTTCTTATCCCTTCCGCTCTCCTACTCTCTCTTGGCTACCTCTACCTATCCACTCCATTTCCCCTCCAACATCCATCCTCCTTCGTCACCACTACAACCCTAGTTGGGTTTGGTTACGGCGCGATTTTCTCTCTTGTCCCGATTATCATATCCGTTGTATGGGGCGTCGAGAATTTCGGCACAAACTGGGGAATCGTGGCAATGGTTCCAGCTCTAGGGGCCACGCTGTGGGGCATGGTGTATTCTGCGGGCTACGAGGCTGCGATCGAGCTTAGTAAGAAAGGCCAGTGCCACGGGTGGAATTGTTATGGATATTGGGCAATGGGGTGTACATGCAGTGCCTGGTTAGCTCTGATCTTCTGGGCAATCGCATGGAGAGGGTGGAAGAAGCGAGGTGTGGCCGTGTGAACTGTCTCGATATCTTCTGATCTCACATCTTGGGAGTTTTGGATATTCGTCTTGTCCGAGGAACTGGCTAAATCATATAGAGTTGGGTGATACCGGTAGATTGATAGACTATTTTTGGAAATTATTAACCAGCCACCTTGTTCCCACGGCCCACGGGCCACCTGCAAGGACTTCTACATATGACTACATTCCCAGTGCCCTTGTGCATGAGGCTAAAGGTTTGTTGCAGGCGTTGCTATGGCACTATCCCCAAAGCAGATAAATGGAAACACGACCACGTGACTGTCAAACGCGACCTCCTCAAACTCAGGGACAACGCTTCTTTCACTTTCAAACCTTTGGACGGGTTTGTTTGGAGGACCTTTTTTGGAAGAGACTGACGAATACTTGGGACCGGTCTTTTTGGTGGACTGAAGGATTGGATATAGCTCTACAACCTGCAATGGCCGAAGTTATCAGCCTCCTTTCGTCGCCAGAAACCTGCCGACCGCATAGATCGAGGAAATCGTCTACTAGCAAACATGGCCTAGTGAGACTTAGCAACGACCTCCTTTCCGACATTTTGGATGACTCGTTGTTAGAGCTTGAAGAGATTGCACAGCCGCCAAAACGACGGAAATTGGATACTGCATTGGATATACCCTCTTCCCAGAACCGCTTAGCCACCCATACCGTTCTATCTTCGTTCATTTCTAATGACAGCTTTGAAAGAAGTGGAAGCTATGAAATTAGGAAAAGCACATTGCAGCGTTTTGAGTCGTGGAATGACGAAATATCGGACCCTGTGCTCTCCTCGCCACGTCGCATCAATACTTCTTATCATGAAATCTCTAAGAGGTCTACAAATGTGATAAAGATAGATGATAGCTTTGATGACATAGTGGAGGATGACTTGCTGGGGGATCCGTTCCAGTTTTCGCCGCCGCCCGCGTCTCAGTCGGCTTTCTCAGATCGTACCTCCGGTCTTCTAGCGAAACTCCGAGATCAACCAGCACGGGGGTCGAAGAAAGGCCGAAAGGTGAGATAGAGCGCGTCTTTGCACTCTTTCAACAAGCTGATATTTGTTATACAAAGGCTACAGCTAGCGTACAATCGTCTGACGAGGACATTCCTCTCCCTAGACCGAATCGAACGAAACCAAAACGCGCTACCCAAAAAACTGATTCCGACAAGGCTTCCAGCGCCCTTGAGAAAGAGGCGGCGAAGCTACGGCGCCAAAAAGAAAAAGAGGAAGAAAAAGAACGTAAACGCAAATTAAAAGAGGAGAAAGAGAAAGCTAAAAAGCTTGCATCTGATATCGCACAGGCAAACAAACTAAAAATCAATAAGAAAGAGAGCACCCCAGAAATGTTGATTGACCTGTCGTCGACCTTCCAGGGTTCTAGTATAGGAACCCAAGTGAATGAGTATATGCGCCATCTTGAAGTTCAAACGAACTTCATTGCAACGGAGATTCCGAATATAGTATCCTGGCGGCGCAAAGTTACGGCCATTTACAATGATGAAGCAGGGCATTGGGAACCGTGCCCGTTACGCATCGAAAAGGAAGGACATGTTTTATGTTTTTTAACAGCACAGAATTTCGTGGATCTTGTAGCATCCTCGGGTGCCAGCCAGACCGTTGAGTCGCATTTTCAAAATGTTATCAGACACTATCCGGGATGCAAAATAATCTATCTCATTGAAGGCCTCTTCGCATACATGCGCAAAAATCAAAATATTCGAAACAGAGCGTATCAAGCCGCTGTTTTACGACAAATCGGTGATTCCCACGACGCCACAACAGAGCAGCGTTCATCAAGCAGGAGGTCGGCAAAAACCCCAGCGCCATCTGCTATCGATGATGATCGTGTTGAAGATGCGCTACTTCAGCTACAAATACAACATCACTGCTTGATATATCAGACGGCCACGGCGGCGGAAACCGCTGAATGGATCAAGAACTTTACGGAGCACATCTCCACTATCCCTTACCGGCGCGAACGAATCAGCATGCAAAACGCCGCGTTTTGTATGGATACCGGGCAGGTGAAAACTGGCACTGACGCTGACGATACTTATATTAAAATGCTGGAGGAGATCCAACGTATAACGGCGCCTATCGCGTACGGGGTTGCGATGAAATACAGCAACGTCAGAGAATTAGTGAATGGCATGAAAGCGCATGGACCATTAAGTCTACAAGATGTAAAGGTAATAATCACATACCCCATGCCGACCTGGCGCGATTGCAGGATTCATGATTTGGTTTTATGTTGCTAATAAGCGTTTCAATCGCAGAAATGTGCCAATAAGTCTGGTGCTTTGACGGAAGCTCGAATCGGCCCTGCAGTTAGTAAGCGATTGCATAAGATTTTTACGAGCGTGGATCCCTGTTCAGCCGATATCTGATCAACATTACCAAGTATTGTCCAGTATGTACTTTTAGGTGCCGGATGGAACTGAACTCAGGCGTTCTTGCAGGGGGGCGGCGGTTTGGCTGTCTCATTTGTCGTGTATCAGCATGTGGAATAAATGAGTTTACCTAGAGTATCTCCTCTACCTAGATTTCAGTTTAGGTTTACCGGTTTCGATTCTTCCTACTGCGCCCGCGATGGCGCCCTTTGCTTGGGCGAGATAGATTGTTATCAAATCGAAAGATTCGAAACCAGTTGGACCGCCCTTGCTAATATAAGAAAAGTTCACCTGGTTGATTTCAAATGACCTTGTCCTGTAACTTCGCAGCTGGATAAAAGGGAGTGAAACAAAAAAATAAACAATGAAGGTCTCGCTGGGATTCGAACCCAGGCAACCGGAATATTCGATGTATCAAAATCCGGTGTCATAACCCCTAGACCACGAAACCATTGGCTGCTTCACTCGACCCCATTTGATTTATCACAGGAAAGCCCGTGCCCTAGCTCCCCTCAGTGCTTCCAATAGGTTATCACGAAAACAACCCATACTTGTCGCCCATAAAGTATTCTGTAAGGGAAAAGGGAGCGAAGCCAGCGATACAGGATACTAAATAAAGAAATGCGGACAGTGATCGCCTTAGTTACAAGTTTCCTGAGCCAACCAATCCAACTGACTAGCTAACCTTCGAAGGGCATCAAGCACCCGGGCGCTAACGCCTTGAGAAATACAAACTGGTTCATTGGTCTGTGAAGCATGTGGAGGAGAAATCGGAATCCAAAAATATCACCGGAGCGTTTCACTATATTCCGTCATCTGACAGTGATTGAAACAGAAAAGGCAGCAGGCGGCTAGCCGTGAGCCTGATGCTCGACTTATAAATACCCCGCACCTCGTCGTCGTGTTTGCTGAAGTCTTTCAACATTCCTACACATACCAAAACCCGCTCTGCTACCAAGTCCCTGCTACAAGAACCACTTTTACAGTATCTGCTTTCAAGACAACTCCTTCAGCCATGGCTCAAACCACTCAGTCCAACGTCGATCAAGCACACACCAGCTGCCCTGCCTGCGGTGCCGGCATTCCAGGCAATACCAAGACCTGCGGCTCCTGTGGAAAGGTAGTCATTTACTCCATTTAGCATGTCTCTGGCTTGGATTTGATGGCTAACCATATCCACAGACATGTCCCAACTAGCTGCCCCTCAGCGTCCGTTCCGGATCCGTTCGATCGTCGAGCTACCCGGCAAAGAGCATTCACCCGGCGCAAAGTGTTTTGGAGTTTCGGCTTACTTGTTCTTCTACAATGAGGAATTGAACAGGGTATCAAATCCGATGGCATGATGTGTTGGGTGGGACAATGAACTTTCGAACCATGCTGGAGAGCACCTGTATAAGCTGTTTTAAAAGTTACCCCTGAAGCAGCCGCCTTTTCTAGATCGAATGCAATGTTAACGATGCTTGGAAGACTTGTGTAACATGAATCCTGTGTTCCATACCCGCCTTTTGACTTGGCTCAAGTGGCCTTCAATTATTTACATGTTGTAGCAAGCAAAAGCGTGCTTTGGTTTTGCTAACCGCCCGGCAAGGGGTTTAAGGGGTTGTAGAGTAACTTGTAGAGGCAGAGAACCTAGCCTCTTCCGTACGGAGTAGTTACTTGAGTTGCAATAACTCGTAGGACCAATCGGCTTAACTAAGTAGTTAACTCTGTACATAAAGGCCCATTGGTTTATTATCAACACCCATCACCAAGCGCAGGAGTTCGCAAAGATACTCCCCATCCTTCAAAGCCCCCAAATGTTTTCTAACGGGATATTGAATATAGTCAAGGAGAGCTTATTTCGAATAAAGTCTTGCTCACCGTTGTTGAAGCTCCTTGGGTCTACCGTTTTACTCCCTTCTCTAGGACGCTCGGGCTCACCTCGAAAGACTGCTGAAGAGCCAGATTTCTACAAGACGGGAGGATTCCATCGTGTTCTCCTTGGTGACACTTTTAGTTCTGGGAGATATACCATCGTGAGAAAACTAGGCTACGGGCAATATTCCACTGTCTGGCTGGCGCGAGACTCAGAGTAAGCGCTGTTTCCACTCTTTTGCTGTAACTACCGAGCTTACAAAGGATCTTGAAGAGCGCAGAAGTATGTGGCTCTTAAAATCCTAAGGGCGGATTGCTATGGTGGCGCCCATGACATTTTTGAGCGGGAAATTCTGGCGAAAATCTCAGACTTCTCAGCCTCGAGCAATCATGAAGGCTGCCATCACGTCTCACCGCTCCTGGGCCATTTCAAGCACAAAGGGCCCAATGGCGAACATGTGTGCTTCGTTTTCGATGTTCTCGGCCATCATCTGGGGTTTCAAACCGTGCAGTACGAAGATGGAAGAATACCCGTCAGGACTATGAAAATAATTGCGCGGCAGCTGTTACTTGGACTGGACTTTCTCCATAGAGAGTGCAATGTTATTCACACTGGTATGACAGCAAAGGTGGTCAATCCATTGCCAGATTGCTGACCACCCTCCAGACCTAAAACCAACAAACATTCTTTTGGAGCTCGAGCATTCCCAGGACGCTATCTCCCGGTATTTGGCGGCGGTTCCTCCGCGAACAAGTCATCAGGATGGGTTTGCAGTGCCACTTCGAGAAGTTATCAAGACCCCTTTGGTTTCCGAAATGAAGCAGCCTCGCATCAGAATTGTCGACTTCGGCGTAGGTATGTTGATAAACGGATCCCTCAGCGCACTAGATGATTTACTTTGGTTTTAGCATCGTGGAGGGATAACCGACTCTCGAATCTAAATCAATCGCCGGCTCTGCGGGCACCAGAAGTTACAATTGGTGCACGGTGGGATACTCCAGTTGACATATGGAGTCTCGGATGCCTTGTGGGTTACCCTGTCTAATCATTTGACCTTATATTGGCGCATCTGTCTTACTGCGTATAGATTGTAGAGTTCGTTCAAGGAATAGTTCTCTTTTCCGGCATAGCATCAGAAAAAGGGTCTTGGACAGCCGACGATGACCGTTTAGCAAAGATGATTGAAATTCTCGGCCCCTTTCCTCCAGAATTCCTCAAAACGGGAAACCGTACTGCCTCCTTTTTTGATGAGAAAGGTAAAACGTGTTTAGAGAAAATAAGACAATCCAAATTAATACCGATCCTAACACGGTGGATGGATTTTAGGGAATCTCCTCAGACTTCCAGATTTGCGTCCTACCACATTGGAACGGTTGATTAATGGAACTTCAAAGCCATTTATAAAGCCACAGGACATGACTGATGCGGACATTCCTATTTTCATTGACTTCCTTCGTGGGATGCTTGCAATTGACCCCAAACGTCGGAAATCTGCTGCCGCGTTATTACAGCATGAATGGCTAAGACCTTGACGGCATAATCGGTATGTGGATGTTAATTCGTTTTGCTTTAGTTACTACTGTCTCTTCTAGCCCCCTGATTTATTTCATGCTAGATCGCGGACACAATTGCCAGTTACAAAGTTTGGGATGAGTTTGTACTGACATGGATTGAATAGCCATGGTAAGAGATCAAATATACAGTGCTATTGGCAGAAAGTCAACAGTTCTGGTTGCCCCAATGTGACCTGGAAAAGTTTCACACTGTCCTATAAGGATGAACACAAGGCAGGGCCAGAACAAGGCAATTTAAGCCAAGGCTTGAACACAGTCGATACCAGAAGAGCAACAGAAAGAGTGCGTTCTCGAATAACACTCTTACTCTCAGAGAAAATGGCGACAGAAGACGCAAATTCTCCACCTTTAAGGGACAGTCAGGAAATATGCAGTTCATATAAGCTCCGTTGCCACTTCTATCCGCGTCAAATCGTCGAGAAATTTCCATTTCCTTCTGGGACTGGGAACCCTATACACTCAAAGAGTATTTAAGATACATGACAAGAATCTATGAAATTATGTGAATAAAAGTGTGTAGAATATTTAAAAAAAAGACGTAAAGTTACACAATATCGCTAATCATAGTACCTCCCGTTATCCTTCCAAATGCCTTGACTGAACCATCAACACCGGCGCTTGTGCCTTTTTGCGACAAAATTCCGTAAACTCCGTTAAATAATCTAATCTCACGTTGTGACAATTGGCCAAATGTAGCGAAAATAGCTCCTCTCGGTAAAACCGCTGTCCGTGGTTATGTCTATGGTCGTATCTTATATCGTCGGTTTCAGATATGTGGTGCATGTCTCGAAGGTGCTGTTTGCGTGCGTCCCAGTCCGGCGGAGATTCGTGGAACACTTCCCCGCAGCATAGGCAGTAGTCGTATTTGTATATTGTCTTTGTGTTGATGGAGGTCTGGTCAGCTTGGAGATCGGGGTGTTCATCAAGATTGAGGGAAGCCAAGTCTGATGCATCTGCGGTGACTGTTTCCGTGTCGAAGAAGACGGCAGGGTTGGTGGCATGCTCAGGGCCAGGGCAGATCCAGCTTTCGGGTGTGTTGTGCCAGAGATTTGCGTGCTGCATGGACGATTGGACATCAGGGAAGTGCTTCTTGCAAGTGTTGCATTCACGGTCGGATGGGCAGTTGCTGGCCCTATGGATGGTAGGTTAGCTGCGAGATAATCACGAAATTAGACGAAATCTATTACGTACCGATAAACATCGTCTTGGAAGCCAGGTTGCTGCAGGGAATGTAGCGGCGAGAAGTCCCAGGGGGGGAAACCTTCAACAGGCGTGAGAGTGAACTTCGAAAATGGATATGGGGATGCGAGGGGGTTCCAGGAGAGCATCGTGATTCCTTGCTCAAAGTGTTCAGCGAGATGTTCCTGACGCTCCGTCCAAGTTCGCAAAATGAGTTCGCAGAATCCACAGTTCCAAAACCAGCTACTTCTTTTCTCTAGCCAGTTCCAAGACTCAGCTTTCTTCGGTTCTTCTTCGGTTTGAGGATTGTCGGTATATAGGTGGTATCCGAAACTAAGACATTCGTTCGCTGCCTCTTCTACTTTATCGGTAGAGATCGGGTGTTCGTTATCAGTGTGTATCGAAAGGACGTCAGACATGGAAAACATCACTTCTCCATCCGTGTCCTCGACATTGCCTGCAGCGTCTTCCCGCGGATACAAATTCCCATAAGGCCTCATGTGAAATGCAGCCTCGTGGAATGTCCATTCTCCGTTGTTTTCCCACTGCATCAAGCAAAAGGTGCATTGAAACGGTCGAGGTTCACCCATGGGCATCTGAATATCCACATCCAAAATGGGGAGATCTTTTGAACAGCTTGAGAGTGGGGTTCCTGGACAGCGCGCCGAAGTTCCCACTCTATTATTGGAGTTGAGCTCTGTCAAAAAATCCGAGTAGTTGGACACGGGAGATTTCTGAGGGCGCGAGAATATAGACTTTGGCGATACGGTTCGAATCGAGTGGTGAGAGCTCTTCGCCTTTTTGGGCGGATACATGTCTCGGGTGGACATATGCTTCAGATAGCCCTTTGCCTTCCTAGACCAAGAGCTAGCAATGGAAGCGGTGATGCTTCGTTTGGAGTGAGACATATAACTTTGCGGCTTTGAGCTCGCGTTATCTTGATTCACGGGCTTCCAGAATTTTAACCTCGAAATAAAGCGACGGCCGACGGAACGTGACCGAGGGAGAGGCAGCTCTACTTGAAATCGCGGTATGTCCGACGACTGAACACCCCTTGTTGTATCTTGCCAGTAATGCACATCTTGCTGGTAGCGTGGTCTCTTAACACGGTTGGTAGAAGCCGTTCCAGGACGCACGTATCGGTTGGTGCAGTATGCCTCCCCGTCTTGGAGGCAGTCCGAATATCTATCAAATATGTTAGTTCAAATATACCATTGTGATGAGTGATTTGGCTAACTTTGCGCTTCCACCGTCGTAAAAGGGTAGCCTGATGGCGGAATTGCTGAGCTGATTAGTCTCGCGTTGTATGGACTGGGTGTCAAAGCTCGATTCGGGAACAGGGAATCTAGGCATGGGGGTATACTAAAGGCATGGTTAGTACTAGCTCTAGAATAACGGGAGACAGCGACATACGACACTAGAGCTGTCTCGACGATGGCCTTTCGACAAGTCCATGGATTGGTTTTCCTTTTCCGCCGAATAACAAGTAGCAGGAAGAGTCAGGAGTTCATGGTCACTCTGAGGCTCTGCCGCAACGGTGTGTTCCTGTGTCAAGGAATATTAGCCCTGTGCAACAAAGGGACAAAGAGCATCGACCCAGACTTACATCTTGGTGCTTGTTCTGCGTAGATTCTGGTTTCTCGGTATCGATTTTGAAAATGGCGATATGACACGACCCGTCTCCTCCTCCACCAAGACGGCCGGTATCCGGCTTCCCAATATCAAACCCGCCGGAAGACCAAATATACGAAAATTCTCGTATAGAAGAATCGACTTCTTCGGTGTTCAACACTGTGTAGAGCACTGTGTTTTGCGGCTCAGAGGAGGGCATTTGAGCTGAACAAGAGGCCTCTTCCCCATCACCAAACCGTTCAACGGATTCTTTGGTGTCCATGGCGTATAAAATCCGGGCACTGCCAGCGAGGGGTCCTCGCAGCAATCGTCAGGAGGTGCTATTCATGCAGAGTAAAAGGCTATAACAAGTTTGTAGATAGCATGGACTAGAGAGTTAGTAGAGAAGCCTGGTTGCAAAAAATTCAAAGTAATATAGAAGACAATTGTATAGATGAGCCTTGTCCAACTCCATGGCCGAGAGTGTTAGTTATGCGATCCCTCATTTTCACAAGGTGTCTCGCCCTGTTCCAAACCGCCTGGAGCGGGTGCTCTGGCAACGACAAGCGGCCACACTCCCGCGAACCAAGTGGTCATGGTGCACTGAATCAATCCACAAGAAAGAGGTCAGGCACGGCCGATGTTGCTGTCTTCGGGCTATCAAGTGTGTTGTCACAACAGCAGCCAAGTGAGAGCAGACGTCAGGCTGGAAAAGGTGAGGCAATCCCGGTTTGCTCGCCATGTGTCCGGGCGCTATTGGCATGGCAGACATTCAGGCCGCGAACGACCACATCATTTGCAGTCAGGCCGGTTGCAACGGGCCAATTAGTAACCGTTGGATGGATGGCAGGCAATCTAGTGGCTTCCCACCATCCAACAAGATACGGCCGACTCGTGGACGAAGAAGCCTTCACCTGCTGGGGCATCAAGGCATCCAATCGCCAGGTGAACCGGTCAGCGGGTGTGCCAGCGGATCACCCGAAAGCCATCACCATTCTCGCATGATAGAGATGGCCCTTGATCGGAAAAATCAGCTATGGCCCTAAAAGCCGTCAGTCTCATCGGCCCGAGAGATCACTGCGATCAAGCCGCTTCATCAGCTTGTTTCTTCAACTCAGATCCTTCCGCCTTGTATTATCGTTTGAGCAGTCTCCGTCGAGATTCTAGGGCGTTGCGGACTTGAACCCCGCCGTTTGATACAATTTCTACGGGTAAGAGATGCAGTTATTGATATGTAGACGAGCGCCAGCACGCGTTGACGGCGATCATTATCGGACAAATTACGGCTCGTACGCTCACTTATTCGCCTATTCATGACGAGGATCTCTACTCGCCATGTGAGGTGAACTAAAGCGTCACTTTGCACATATCGTTAACTATGCAAGCATTCGTGCCAAGTTGAGGAATTATAACTGTAGTGACTCGTGTTTTACCAGTGAAGCCATGTGCAATCGCAGATGCTGGCCGACCACCTCATACTGGAGAATCCTCATGCACCTTACTGACTTGTAAATATTTTGAAGTTGACCTGTCCAGGAGGGTAGCGGGGGATTTGACGAGAGAAAGACTTTGCCATTATTAGAACCCACCGGCTGCCCGAATAGCTTGTTACGGACGAAATCGCGGATTGTCAGCAAGTGCTTCCGCGCGAATCGAAACGGTTATTCCAGTCACATTTGTCAAAATGCTCACGAACCTTCTCTGCGGGGCACCAGAGCTCCAGTACGCTGGATGGCTACCTGATACATTGCAGCGAACGACATTAGGGTTCACCATATATCTAGAACCATCCCAACGGCTCGAGAGTGGAACCTCGAGTCGACTGGATTCATTGCTCTCGAGACTGGGCCAAAACCAAGTCAGCCCAAATCCTCGACTTCTCTTCAGCTAAACGTCCCTTCCATGCCACCTTTAGCCTTGTTTCTGCGGAAAAATATGGTTATCAATCGTTCTGATCACTCCGTGAGGGAGGTGGCACGGTTCGACATGCAGCAGGCCCGTTGAATTATTCCATTCTTGTCAAAACGTGGGAATCGAGGGACTAATGGCGCTCAGTTGAATCCGTCGGAAATTGGGAGAGTACCCATGGGTCCCCACATCACTTGGGCCGGAATTTCAAACCAGCCCCGACGAGCATGGATACAAGCAATCCTGTGACAGCAAGCCAAATGATAATCTGCTGAGCTCTTATGAACGTGGGCCTCAATGACCCAACCATTTCGTCAATCACCTCCTCCAAGCTGTCCCCCATCGCGTTGAGAGAGAAATACTGTTCTACCCGCTCCCGGCCGAGTTTGCCCATACTTTCAAGTTGGGTAGCGTCCATATCTGACAAGACCTGTGCAATCACGCCCGTCCACTCCGCAACAGAGTCCGCATCCCTTAACCATCCAGTTTTTCCATTAACAATCGTTTCTAGTGGGCCACCTGTGTTTACAGCAAGGACCGGAAGGCCGGCGTGCATAGCTTCGACCGGGACGATGCCGAAATGTTCATGTGACGGGGTGTAAAGCAACAGTGTCGACGAGGAAAGGAGGGTTTGCTTGAACGCTGTTGGAACCGAGAGAAGGAAAAGAACATCCACGGATTCCGGTATTGAAAGTGCCGATATGACCGTTTTCGACGTAGCTGTTTGAAGGCCGAGATTCGTGGCTAGAGAATCGAGTTCTTTGTGGTATTGGACGTTTTCTTGCACGCGATTGTCATATCCACCTAAAACAAAGATTAATTGGCATTTCTCCGAGAAGTAGATGGAGAGGAGAGGCGTTTACCCGCAATCACCAGCCGAGTCCCCTTTCTTTGCTGCGGCTTTAGGCCATGATATGCTCGAATAGCCAGCCCAATATTCTTCTTCCTTTCAAAACGATTGATGCTCAGTAAAATTTTCATTCCTCCCCACAATGATCCATCTCCCCGAGATATCTGCCCATCGCTCTGAAGTGCTTTGCTAGAGGTGTCGACGCAAGGATACAGCACCCTGATGCCGCCGAGACTGTTCCCAAAGACCTCTTTGACAACTTCACACGTAAACCTTGAATTTGCTACCACTTTATCCGCAGCGCTCATTGCCCAGCCCTCGAACCAATCGAATGGGCGCCGATAGAGACCCTTCGCCAATTGAACAAGAAGATGGCCTTCATCCCGCCTCGCAAGCAATTGATCCGGAAAATGACAGTAAAACAAGATCCGTTCTCGTCCTTTCCGCCTCCAGCCGCGTAGTATCTGGGTTCCGAAAAGTCTCAACACAGGAACACAAGCGGGAACCTGGTCAACGATAAAGACATCATCTTCCGCATCTTCTTCTTCTTCCTTGTCCAACCGAATCGTGGCCTTTCTCCTCTCCCAAACCAGCCCCGTCACCAGATGCAACTGCCTCAACACCGCCATAAGCACGTGAAGTCTCCCACCAACATGCGCCGGGAACAAGGTGTTTCCTCGAACCCTGACGTTCAGCGTCCCATCTCGAGCTTCCTCGAAGCAATGGCTCGGGTCCCGGTGCGAAGTGTAGATGGTGACGCGGTGGCCGCGGGACTGAAGGGCCAGGGCTGCATCGAGGATCAACCGTTCGGCACCTCCAATGCCAAGGTCCGGATGGATGAATATGATATTTTTCCTGCGAGGACGGGAGTTGGGCACAGGGTGGGATGGCATCGTCCCCTGCGTCCTGGTGAAACAAAGTCGGATGAATAAAATAAGTTGATCACAATGCTACTCAGTAGTTAGAGAAGTGAGTTGTTCCTCGCGCCTAATTTTGACGATGCCCAATGAGAGAGCTTGATTGCAGATGGGCCTGGTCGGTTCTTCGGGACAGCCGCGCGTTTGTCAATATCAAAGCTGTATGACACCAGAGCAGTCTTCAATAAGATGCCACTATGATGAGTTCTAGCACATCGCACAATCATTTACTAAGATTTGGTTGCCTTCTTTAAAAACACTTCTGACAGCATGAATCTACAGCTCTGCACCTTTTCAGGTGCTGCTACCTGCCATCACCTTTAAGATTACCGCTGACCCATAGCATTGCTTCAACAATATGGTCGCAGCAGCCTTCTAGGCAGAATAAGAAACAAGATGTGAAGAGTAATGGTAAAGAGCTATTTGCTTTACCAAGCTCGGCGCCAACTTTAGAGTTGGAGAATCCAGTGCATAGGTCCCTACGCCTCCAAGGTTCGAGCACTCAGTGTTGTAACCCGCTTCCGAACTTCTGCGACTCTAGTAACGTGCTTCGTAAAGTATGGCTCATCGGTAAGAACTGTCCCTACGTGATTTCGACGTTAGGAGTGACTCATCAAGGGAGAAACTGCTATAAAAGCTTCCCCTCACCCCAGGGTTTCTGCTTCCCTTTCTTCATTGATCATCAACCCACCGTCCCCCACCCATCACTCCTCTCGCGCCCTTAACTACTTATCTTTTTCACACAACATTGTCGTCTCATATTGAAAATGGCTCACAAGAGACCTAGAATCCTGTCGGCCTTTTTGAGCCACCTCCCTGATGAGGACCGGGTGAAGCTCCAGCAAGAGCAGCCCCTCCCCACCAACCACAATCCTCAACTCTCTCTTGAGGAATTTATGGAAAAAAACATACAGGATCTCGGTTCGAGATTGAACTATGTCAAGGAGTACTGGAAAGCACTCCAAGCGTCATGCCGCCAATCCTTGATTATCAAGGACAAAAAGGTCGAAGAAGAGTTGCGGGAGCTCGAGGACATACGGCTTGAACTCGAGATTGAGACGTACACTGTGAAACGGCAGAAACGTCTGATTCTTGATGATATGAAAGACGGATATCCGTCGACGTGGAAAATCGAGGACGCATACATCGCAGCGATCAGAACCAAGACCATGGCTGCAACAATCAATAAGCGACGATTCCGGCAAACCGAGTTCAAAAAGGTTGTAGCTGATTACCTTCAGGCACAACGTCAGACAGAAGGGCTAAAATATATGTGGTGTCACATTCTCGGCGATTGGCTGGAGGCCAGGCTCGTCAAAACAGCACATATCGTTCCAAAGTCCCTGGATCCCGATGCAATCGGTTACGTTTTCGGAGCCTTCAGTATGACCTTGGACGACGAACGGAATGGTACGTGCTTGTAATAAGTTTGTTGTGATGAATTTGAATGTTGCTAACGGGCTTATAGGCATAACCCTCCACCACTCCATAGAGGAGGCGTTCGATCGAGGCACAATCGTGATCGTGCCTGTCGCGGAAGGGCAAATCAAGAGGTGGAAATGTGTTCTTATGGACCAGACGAAGCAAAAACTCATGGTTATGCCTGGAGTCAAGTGGCAGGTAGGTCCCAGGCAGGGGTTATTTTCGTCTTTATATCCACTTTTGTACCAACCTTAGAGTCACTTGGGAATGTCTTGCTGCAGTAATAGAGGCTCTTTGCAAGACACCTTACTAACTCTAGAATAGGATCTCGACGGCAAAGAACTACAATTTCAAACAGAGGGTGCACGCCCAGCAACGAGGTATCTTTATTTTAGATATGTTGTCACTTGTTTGCGCCGTATTGGACTGGGACAGAAGGATCAGTTGCCGGACGGGGCTATATGGGCTACCCCAGGGTCCTATCTTCGCGAGTCAATGCTCCTGCTGCTAGGGAAACACATCGGTGACATTTATCTCCCTGAGGTATTTTATAAGGAGACCACATTCAAAGAGTGTGACACTCGGCCGATGCTTCCCGACGATGATGAAGATGCCATAGCAATGGGACTCCGGTGCCAAATGGTTCTCGAGCAGAAAGAGAGGGAACAGAATGAAGACTCTGATTCTGACAACTCGGAGGCCTAATGGCTGAGGGTACGGAGTACACCTGGTTCGCCTTGACTGGATTCATCACTGAACATCGATAATTAGTTTACTGTCATAAATATTAATGAACTTGGGATTGTAACGGATACAACACATGTTATTAGACAATGGATTCAAACCAATTCAACCGCCGTAGAATCCTCCCTCTTCTGGAGCTGAAATCAGCTCTCGGTCGCCCATTGCAAGTTTCCTTACTATCGTTCCACCAAAATGACCATCAGACAAGACACCATAACGAACCTGCCTGTCGCCCACCTCTTTCATCAACGTATTGACAGTTGAGTTTGAGTCGGAACTGACCACGGTAGGAGCATTAAATGCCTTTGCAACCTCAATCGGCGACAGGGTCACATCGCGTCCCAATTTCCAGAACCCAGAGAAAATCAGAGCCACGCATATGGCTGAGAGAATAGTAAAGACTAGAGCCACGGCAAGAAATTTGTAGTTTGATCGATAGAGGGGAACCATTTGCTCCTGAGTTACGGAGAAGTTTTGCAGGTCTGAGGCATTGGACACGTTGGCAGCTCGCAGAGCTGCATTGAAAGCGATGTCTCGCGCTGTGGCCAGCATGTCTTCCGTGGGATCAGACCAAGAAAAGTTGCAGTTAAAATCAAGCGGGAAGAAAGTCTTTATGGAATATTGGTATGACGCTCGCCCCTTTGCTGCGAGAAAATAACCTACTGCTCCGCTAAAGCTGACAGTCGCTAATGAATCAAACATGGAAGAGAGAATGAGCCCCATGCCTCCATGAGTAGTTCCAGTGCCCGAAGTTTCCCCACCGGATGTGAATGCAAGGTTGTACTGTATCAGGCGATCATCCTTGTACGTGTAATCCGGATCGAGTGTGATGGAGTTGTTCAAAATGAGAACATGCTGCTCCAACAACGCTGGCTGGAGAGAGCACTTTTGCCATTTCAATTCAGTGGTGCAGCCGACGTCACGCTTGACAAGTGCAGAGTACAGAAGACGTTCTGCATATCGCCGTTCGGAGTCTTCGCCCCCTAAATTCTGTCGGTCGAAAGTGAAATTGGTCCCAAAGGCCTCGTGAGGCCTGGTAACTGTGGAAATATTGTTGCTGCCGGGAGTCATGTTCAGGATCGGGAAAGACTGGGCGCAAGCAATCTTGTAGCCAGCCGCCAGCATCTTTCCCTTGCAGCGGCCAGAGCATCCGCTGCGCGAGACGTTGAATAGGCGCTGCTGGAGATAATCATTGACAACAGCACTAAAGTTTGATGTGAGAAATGCGGTATTGTGTGATCTGCCGGCAATAGTTCCTGTGTACCCAAGGGGCAGTTCTCGAGCTACGGGAACCCTTATAAAGGCCGACCGGCTGCTTTGCTCAACAGAAACAGTGGATGCACGTTGCAGGAACGGACCGTTTATGGGCGCCAGGGCAACACTAATACCTGCCAACGCGACGAGATTGAACGCCTTGCCTGACAAAACTGCATCTTTCAGGCTTGTTCCAAACGACCATGTATTATGCAAATCTCTGACGGTTGTCTTTGACCCCAGCGCTTTCACCCAGAACGCGATTTCCGTGCCGCGAGCAAGGGCGAAAGAAAGAAGAACATTGGCGACAGCTGACGCGACAGCGAGATACACAGCGGGCGAGACGGGCCACTGGGAGACTTCTTGTCCGTCGGAAACAACCAACACTCCGATCATGACCGCCGCTGCGCAAAGCGCAATAATAAGTGCAGCGTATCCCGTCCATGGAAATCTCCGCCAGATTCCTGTCCGCCATGGTGACGATGGAGCTAGAGGGTCGTACTGAGGAGGAAAAGCGTCGTCCGCTGGTCGTTCCTGAGTATGGACGGTGTCTCGAGCATCCGGTTCATTGTAGTGGCTAGGAACCGGTTTCCGGGATACTCCCTCCATTATAGGCGTGTGACTCGATAATGATGAGAAAAAGTTCGCGCAGCTACTCCGTAGCACACCCAGGGAGGGCGACTTGATATTCTGCAGGAGGCTCTGCTTGAGCCTCGTCCCTTTGGAATCATCACATGATGCACTTGTTGTCAGTGGCGCAATTTGTTGATATCAGTGCGGCTCGATTTAGCGAGGGACGGGGATTCTGCTGTTTGAGGGCTAGTCCAGACGCCCGATTGTTCGTGGAGGAATCATATTGGCATTCACCAATAATGACGAGGAGAGAGCGAGGTGCGTCTCACCATTGCGCCAAGCGGCTGGCTTTGGGCAGGTTATATTTGTTTGCTTTTTTGTTATAAGATAAAATCACTGCCTCAGCCTTGTGGAATCTTGACCGCCACATCAGCAATTGGGCTTGAAAGCACATCGCGGATATGGTCTCAGTGTCACGATCATATGCATTGTGTGGACCATATATGGAGGAACTTCTGCGGCTGGAGGAACATGAAGCATTCCTGAGCATTCCACAGTGTGATAATGTCCCTTGTAGGAGCAGACAGTTTGTGACTAACCTCCCTTTGCGCAACTCGTTAGTTAACGAAGGTGAACCGGAACCGAATGCAGGGCGGAAGATTGAAACGCCGAAGCTCTAGTCGGTACCGACTTCATATAAGAGACCTAATGGCGTCAAGTAAGGATATAGTTATGGACTCGCAGGGATGGAAAAACACCTTCGATCAAACAGAATATCATGACATGAGTCGGAACTAGCGAACTATTTAACTATTAACTAGCTGCTGCTCTTGAAGCTCCCGTCTCTTTATTCCCACAACATGGGTGACTATGCTGACTTTCCTGACCCCGACACCAACGAGTATGACGACCTTGACGAATACACCGAGGGCTTGGAGAAGTATAATCCGGTTGTTACTCGAAACCTATTCTATCCCATTTGTCTTGGAGAAGTCCTGAATCAGCGATACTGCTTGGAGCATAAACTTGGCCATGGTGGATTTTCCAGTGTCTGGATAGCCCTTGATATCCAAAACGGGACCAATGTTGCTCTCAAAATTCTTGCTGAAGGACTTGGGGGGAATGAGTACCATATGCAGGAGGAAATCTTCAAGACTGTCAGAGATACATCTCATCTTACAACTTATATAGATACCTTTGTTCTTCCTGGCCATCAAAACAACCATCGAGTTCTTGTTTATCCTTTACGCGGCCCAGGGCTTTCCATCTTTACTGTGAGAAAAAAATCAATGGCCACTCGCATGTCCCGCCGCAAGACAACTATTGCAAACTTTGGAGAGCCTGCATAGCAGTGGAATTGTACACCGAGGTATGGGGCGTGTTACTTGCAGTTACAATGCAGGGACATACTAACACATCTTATAGATCTTAACCCAGGGAATTGCATATGGGGTATAGCTTCTTTGGACCATCTGGACAGAGATGGCAAGTACATTTACTGTGGATTTACTCCTTTCTACGACATCCATAGCAGACCTTGGGTCCATTGCCAATAGAACTCAAAAGGCCAGTTTTGCTGGCCTGAGGCAGAGCGGGATGAGTAGTACACTGGAGCTCCCAGCCCCGAATTCGAGCTTAGACCTATAATTGCACGATTTTCGCCCGATGCTAACCCACAAGAGCTTAATCACGTACTCTCGACCATGCGCAAATGCTTCAACTATGTTCCCGAGAAGCGTCCAACCGCAACAGAATTCCTCAACGACCCCTCCTTTCGAGCGATTATGGATATACATACACTGCCGTTAACTGTTGACTTATTGAGCCATGGACCTGACGCTGCGGGTTGATTCTAGCCATGTATGTTGAACGCAAGAAATTGAGATACAACCAAAGCCAAAAGCGAAATCAGCCAATTTGTTAGTGCTAGACAACCATTTGAGAGTGGGAAATTGTACTGGGCTCAGCCATGGGGATTTTTCTCGAAATGTGATGTAACTATTGAAAACGTGCACGTGGAGTTACTGGGGGTGCTTCCTGGTGCGTTCAGGGGCTATAGCCACTATATTGTCCGTACAACGACTCGAAAACATGTAGCTACATGAGCCACGGAGGGCAAACGCACGATATAAGCAAAATAGTTCGGGGGAACCGGACTCAACTCAGATTGTTCAAGACTTTGAGCTGCTACAACAGGGCGTAGTAGAAGCTCGAAGGAAGAGCGTCAAATTCAGGGAGACGAAATGGTAATTTGGAACTTGCAGAGGTAAAAAGCCAAAATAAATACATGTAAAAATCCCCCTTTCGTTAAGATTTACCATTAAGTGGAATTACATTGTGAGACACTGGCTGTCGAATTCAGATGGTATCTTCGTAGCGTGACCAAAATCAAAGAAAAATAAACGGAAGGGGGGTATGAATGAAAACCATAGATCAAAAAGATCTGCCGTAAATGGCATGATCGGAGCATGAAATAAAAAAACAAGATATCCGGGACTCAAACAGAAACACCAAATAAAATCACAAGCATGTATGAGCATCCGGTGTATAGAACGGGGTTCATAAATGACATCACAAGAAGAGAAAAGAGGCGAAGGGTTGAGCATGTGCATTGGGAATTTGGGGGAGGGTATTATTGAACAGGAGATAAGATCAGCAGAAGTGACAGGCATGATGAAACAGCTCGATATTGCGAGTGATCCGGTGGGACACCGATTGCACAAAGAACCGATAAAAATGATCGGTGCCTTGTTCCTTAGAAGCAGTTCAATGTGCTCTTTTTCTTTTTCTTGCTGATAGCATTCATCTTCTCTTCCAAGTGTGCGCGAGCCGCTTCCGCCTCGCGTCGGGCATTTCGCTCTTCCTCCACAGCTTGCAACGAAAGCCTAGCAGAATTGCGCTCGGACCGCAGAGTGTTCAACTCCTCCTCCAGTTGCCAGGCTTTCTTTTTCCAACCTTCCATGTCTGTCTTGACCTTATTGCTTTGCGCTTCAAGGTCGCCGAGAGCCTCTTCCAATGTTGCGGTCAGCTGTTTCTCAGCGTGCAGATGTTTTTCGATTGTGCGAATTCGAGCTTCTTGATCCTCGACAAGTTGAGCATTGACCAGTTCTTTGCTCGTATGTCTCGAGCTTGGTGGGGAGATGCTGCCAGTGTTGGCAGCAGCAGCAATATTTGGAAGTGGCGGAAGGGGGATCGCAGGAGGTGGCGAAGGTAGAGATGCTGCGGAAGCACTCTTTCTGAGGTTTGATGACATGGAACTGGTACGATCAACGTTGTGGCCCTCAGGAGTGCCGATGCGAGGGTGCGTCTGTATGGTACGAACGTTAGCAATGCCATTGAGTCAGCGAAAGGGAACGTTTTGACATACTTCTAGTTGTTCAATGCGTGAGCGGTAAGATTCCACTTCTTTTTCATACAGTGATACTTTTGCATTTGCTTCCTCCAATGCTTGATTGCGTTCAGCCTGAATAACTGACAAGCGGTTATGGTGTTGATCAAAAGTATTCGTTATCTGCTCTTCAAGCTCCTCTACGAGCCGCAAACTTTTATCCTTTTCAACGGTGAGTTCAGTAATGAGAGCCTCCTTCTTTTTGATAAGCTCATCCTTCGAAGTCAATGAATCCTCGTGGGTAGCAACTAGATGAGCAAGCTCATTGACTTTCACTTCCTGCTTCTCCGTCTTTTCATTGAGAGAAGAAACCTGCTTCTCAAGGATGGAATGACTGTTTTGTTTTTCATCAAGTTGGCGGAGGAGTTCCTCGTTGGCCTCAATAAGTTCCGAGTATTTATCGGCAAAATGTTGTTTCTGTGACAGGATGTCTTGCAACTGGTTGTGAAGGGAATCGGTTGTCACGGGAGCGTTTAGAACAGAGCTGATAGTGTTTATTAGTTGAGTCAGTTCGTCTTTGGAGGCCGTAATCTCAGATTGCAAGTCATCGAGAGCGAGTTGATGTTTGGCATCATCCTCCGCAATACGGGCCTTGTACTCTGCTTCTGCCGCTGCTTTCACCCGGGATTCTAACTCTTTCAACTCCTCTGAATGCGAGGACTGGAGAGACTCCAAGTTCGTTTTTTGAATCTCGGCCATTGCTTTGTGGTTGTCAATTTCTTGAGACAGCTCGACAATGCGAGATTGGTAGGAGGTGAGCTCTTTATCAGACACCTCTTTCGCGGCGAAGTGATTGGCAAGTTCCATTTTGCTATCAGCATGTGCTTTCTCAAGTTCGGAAATTGTTAGCATATTTGCAGTGATAGCCGCTTTTTGCTCCTCTATATCTTTTTGGAGGTTATTGACAAGCTCTTCATGTTTGGCCCGCTCGTCCCGCAGGCTTGTAGCCGCATCTGCTATTTGCTGAGCCGTGGTTCCGTCCGCCTCCCTTTGTTCAGTTCGCAGGGACTCGACACTGGCAAGCGCAGCCTCGAGCTCGGCAAGTGTTGACTGGAGTTGTTTCTCCGAAGCGACGAGAGAATCGGCGGCTACTTGATGTTTATCTTGCCATTGTGATCGCTCAACAGAAGCCTTTTGGAGGTCTTCGAGGGTAGATTGCAGTTTCTCCTCAGCAGACTGAAGTTCGCGGATAGCAGACTGGTGTCTCCCCTGCCATTCGGTGTTTTCCTCCTCAAGGTGAACGATTCTTTGCTTTTGATTCTGAATCTCTGCCTCTTTATCCTCGAGAGCGATCCGGTGACTAGCCAGCATTTCGTTGAGATTTTGCATTTCAACAGCAAGCTCTCGTTCCCGAGCTTCGTGAGCCGCTTGTAGCTCGTCGATCTGAGCCTCGCAATGTACTATTTGATCCCGCATTTGCGAAACAACAGAAGAATCAATTGGTGACTGGCCTTGCAAACTGGAGCGTTCTCTGGTTAATCCGGATATGATCGTTGCTTTCGTTTCCATCTCTCTCTTGACATTTTTGTTTTCAGCCTCCAGTGCCTGGATCCTTTCCATTCGGGAATGGAGTTCGTGCATTGCCGTATTAAGGTTCAGTTCGAAATTCTGCATTGTATCTGGTCGACTTTCAAATTCCTCTGTGGCAATGTTACGCAGAGCAGCAAAAGATCTATGGGCACGGTCCGGGTTGATAAGGTTTTGGCTGGTCATCCGGCGTATCACTTGAGATTTTGGGGTCGTCGGAGTGGTTGGGGATGCCATCTTTGATCTCTGGATCTCCAATTTGAGTTGATCGACGATGCCAAGCGTCTCTTCGTGTTCAGCTTGGAGCTCGGCGTACTTTTGGGTTACCATTCCCATGCCCTCTTGGTGCTCAATTAGAAGCTTTCTCATCCTTTCGAGTTCACGAGAGTCGGCTTCATCTTTCTCCGAAGCATCTTGTTGGTGGGACTCCGGCCTCTGAGTTGCGGGGGTGTCCGGCTCGCCATGTGAAGTAGACGACTGCCCTTCCAAGGACAGCTCCGAAGAGAGAGATTGCGAGGATGAATGTTGTTTTCCATTTGGCGGTTGGCGAGCTCCGACGTCCTCTAAAAAAGAAACTGGATGTGTACCATGGGCTGGGGACAGGATATTGGACTTCTGTGGATGTCGCGCTTCGTCGACTGCATCTTGCAGTTCAGCAAGGGTGCGTAATGCTTCGTCATATTTCGCATTGAGGAGATCATAATCGTTTACTGTGCTCTCGTGCTGAATACGGAGTTCAAATAACTCCTGGGTAACACTTTCAAGTTTATCAGCAACGAAACGGGATTGCGCAGGGCTTTGTGGGCCGTAGCGGTCGTCAGTCGCCAGCACATTAACAACTTGCGGGGCGGAAGCTTTTTCGAGGGTTTCCAGTCCGGAATCATCATTAGGCGCATCGATATGTGGTATGGCTTGTTCGGGAACCGGGGATTGCTCTACAAGGTCATCGTCTGATTCGGGGATGGCAGTTTCTACAGCCTCCGTGAGGACATCGAGAGAGTGATTTCTAGCCCGCGAACTCTTCCGTTTTGAAACTGAAGATGGCTGACGATTGATGGTATTTTCCTTCTCGGTTTTGGTGCCATTTTGCTGGATGTGATCTAGCTCGTATAGGAGCGTATCCAGTTTTCCAAGGCTACGCTGGCGATCGATAACGTGTTCCAGCCTCTCCATTTCACGTTGCATTAGCTCCATATCCTGGTCGGCCTCGGCGAGCCTCTCCTCCAAAGTCGAGATATAGTCCTCGCAACTGGACTCGTTTTCACGAGCGCGAGCAATCTCTTTGCGCAATTCAGCAATAAGAGATGCGTTCTTTTCTTCACCCGTGGCATGGCCGTCAAGTTTAGATTCAAGGTCGTGAAGGTAGTTTTCGGTGTTTGCCTCTCTGTCCATCATCTTTTGGATACGTGCCTGGAGCTGAGCATTAACCGTTTCCACGTAGGCACATTTCGTCTCCCGCTCAAGCAAGGTACTCTCGGTATTTGATAACGATGAACGAGTATTTGATAAGGAGGACTCCAGACTTTGTATGGTCTTTTCATACTCTAGGACAACCTGTTCAACGGACTCAGCAAAGGAGTGCGACCGCTTAAGTCTTTCCATAGCACTGCCGCTGATTATATTCTGCAAGTCGTCCTCATCGCCGTTGAAATCTGACGCTTTTGTGAGTTCTGAAATAAGCTTGGCATGGCGCTGGCTCAAGGCGGTATAACTCTCTTGAGTATCGAGCAAATGATTTTGTAATTCTATTTCACGTTCGGTTTGACGCTCTGATCTGTCCTGAAGTAGGCCGTTCCGTCTCTCACTGCCCTCGGAGTTACGAATTTGTTGACGCAGAAAAGCGACTTCCGCCTTCAGTCTTTCGATGACGGCTTGTTTATCACGTTCATCCGCGACTTGTTGAATCCTTGGTTTGCTTTGGATCGCTCTGGCTCTCTGCGCATACTGAATGGTGTTCAATGTCTCGCTGAGATGAAACTCCGCAGGAGTTACACAGGCAATCATGTAGGTAATCGCATTACCTCCCAATGAATCTTGAAGAAGACGCGTGAGTTTCGAGTCACGATAAGAAACGTGGGCGCCAGCCTGGCGAGACGATAACTGCGAGATAACTTTGCCCAAACTTGCCAAACCGCCGTTGATTGATATGCCCTCCTTTGCTCGTTCGCCTGATGCGCCGGTGTTCTTCAGGCGTTCGCTGCCGGCCAAATCCACAAAATGAAGCTTACTGTCGACAGTTACAAAAGAAGTTTCGCCGCCAGATAACGCTTCAATAGGAACAGAGAACCGCTTTTCGCGTGCGGACATAGTTGAGGTTAAATCCTTTCGCTGGACGAGGTTCAAGCTGAAAACGGCGTGGGAACGAGAGGATTTGGCGTTGACCGCGGTCGAATCAGTTTGTCGAATTGCGGAACCAAAATTAAGGGCGCCAAGAAGGTCTTCAAAGGAGTTGATATTTACTTGGTTTAACCCAGTAAGAAGGATACGCCCCTTAGTATCTTCTCGAATTGTAACCGTACTTCTCTCCCCGAGCGGAGTAGATTCCGGAACCAAAAGGTCTCTAAGTTGCTCGTTATAGATCTAACATGCAACGTTAGTCCCCTAGACTTTGCGATCATGGCGGTGCGATGGCAAACCTCAACATAAGTGGCTTTCAATTGCCAATTTTTATCCAAGTTGGCCTTTCCAAAACTCGGTATGGACGAAGTCATGGAGTACCTCGCAGGTGTCCGCAAACCTGTAGAACCTGTCCGGGAATGGCTGGCGTTACTTTCCGTCAACTTCTCGAAAAGTATCTGAGCCGCGCGGGGAACAATCCCTAATAGATCCCGAGTAAGTTAAGCCAAGTTGACCGGGTCATGCTAATGCGGGATGACACTCACCCATCGCATGAGGGTCATTTTGTTCCGATGGACCGCTAGTGCCCATAGTATAGGATTTTCCAGCGCCAGACTGTCCATATGCCAGTATCGAAACATTGTAGCCTTGTATAAAAGAGTTGACACTGTCTTGAAGGTATTGCCAAATGCCTTCTTGGTCCACAGTTTCGTTAAATACTCTATCAAACACAAAAAGCTTGCGGCCTTGGGGGGCGTCAACGGCTAAACTCGTGTCGGATGTGACATGGACCGTTGACCGTTGGAAGCGCGGGGGAATTAATTCATAGCCAGGGTCTGTTGGTTTCAGAGGGGGCCGCACTCGTACAGCTGCAAGCAAGAAACATGGTAAGTGAACACAGTTCGCGACGGGGAAACGGGCCCAAATCGAAGACGATATTAGCGAGCCAGGCCATTTACATACCGACTTTTACGGCAGTTTTTCCATCCTCATCCGATGCCCGGCTTCCTCCTTGTTTACTCCCAACACTCAGTCGGCTGTGGCTTCGGGGGGGTCTTATCATAGCGCTCATCGGGCGTTGGAGGCCGCTGCGAGTGGGAGACCCGGGAGGAGAATTTGTCATGGCAATTCGGTATCGACTTGATCCAATTCCACCAGGCGGTTCAGCTGCCCCCAAGAGACGACGGTAGTGAGAGTCTATTTAGGGTCATTCGACGGATGATTGTCAAAGCACCGAAAACATCAAAGCCATCAAGTCATAAGAGTGAAACAAAACCCAACGTGATCTGGAAACTAATAAATTATCAATCGAAGACAGCACCCCTTTGCAGTACGGCTGAAGGGTAGTTACTTGGGAGGAGACAGCTGTCCGTTCTCGGATTGGGCCAAAACAAGCCGCAAAGGAGCCAGCAAAAGAAATGCGCTGCAACGAACACACACAGCGTACCCACCAGGTAAGAGAGATTGTCTCCTCAGCACCCCAGGGATGAGCTGAAGTCACTTGTCGGATTTCAGAGAGGAGAGGGAATGGGAGGGAGTTGAATGAGAAGTGCTTCAAGGGGTGGAAAATGTGGTTGGCAGGGATGGGTGGATACGTCAAAGCAAAGAAGCGAGGGATTTGGCTTAGCGCAGTCAATGTCGTCTCCTTTTGCTAGCGGAGTTACAAGCTTGGCCGCAAAAGTAACACCACTCCGTCGGTCTGACATTGATTACCCAGAGACGATCGCAGTCGGCCGCGCAGTGCAGAGTATCAGCTCTCTGCTTGCTCCGCCATGTGGTGTTGGGCGTGAAGTCGCCTTTTTTTGTTTGTGAAACAACTGGCTGTGATTCCCAAGCTCAGTCTAGAACTCACTAGTTCCCCCGCAACGGACAAACGCTTTTCTAGTATTTCCTGGTCGTTGATGAAATCGATTCCTTGCATACAATGCACATTTTTGGCTTCTGAGCCTTGTCTCCATTTTCATATCAGACAGACTATTATCACGGCCTTGATTTGAGTTTGACCATCTGGGTTCCTCCAGACAAGTCCCAGGAACCTGTCATGGCACCGCCCATGGTTCGCACAGACTGCTCTTCCACGGTTTGGAGACAGTCGCAATCAACCTCCTTACAGGGCAAGCGGTCTCGCATGGCATGGCATGGATGACTAGCTGAGCTGGGATCTCTGCACATCGCGCCTGAATGCAGGAACGAACATGAGTTATAGGGTCCATGGCGAGTTAGTTGAGAAGCAGTGACGTCGGATTTCAACCTGGTACGTTGAAGTAGATGGCATTTCTCTAATGTAGGATACGGAGCGCTCCTCGTCTACACCGTCTTGATGCTCACTCCGATACAGCGATCACCTCAACTAACCGTCTGGGCTTCACCACTCTGCTTGAGCTCTAACAGCTTCCATCATTCCACGATCTTGATACCACCAGCAGACGGATCTCGATCCACCCCACGACCCAAAATAGCTTTTTGCTTCAAGGAAATGCGTCATCATAGATTTAAGCTTACTTCCTTGCGATGAGCACCGATATCAGCTCACATATCGACAAGCACGATGAAATGAACTCGTTTCAGAATGGCCGCGAAAGAGCGCCACGTTGTTATCCCAAAGGTTCAGACACGACATTCAGTGGGCTTTTAAAAACGAATCTCATACGTACATACAGGGGATCACAGCTCTTCGTTGAGGTTGTGAGCAGTTGATATCCAGAGATCTCGAGGTTGGATGAATAGTTTTGTCGCGTATCAGTAAGCCTCTTACAACAATACCGTAACTATACATTACAGCCCAGCCACAGCAGATGCTCTCCACAGTTCGCAGCCACGGTTGATTATCCAATGGGACTTTTGCATTGTGTCCTTCGCCCCTGTTCCTGAAAATAAAATTCGGGACCTTCTCAAAGACCATATTACGAAATTACAATGTATCAGTATTGCCTAGTATAATACCGAGCCCTCTTGTCCCACTCTCCATTATTGCGCCTTAACCCACCTCCCGTCCAATTCCTCCACCATCTCCATACAACAAACAACGACTTCCCTCAAACGGAAAATCTTCAATGTTTTAGCGACCCTCCGCATCAATATCGAGATCGTCCGTTAGCTTCGGCGTCCAGACGTTAGAAAAGAAAAAGGAAGAACCTGAAACCAAAGCTTGATCCATCCCTGTCGATCATGTTGTGAGAGCCGACGCCTGACTGGCTAAGGGGAGGCATGGCATCCTGCCGTCCGTTGAAAGATGGTGGAGTTACGGAGAACTTTCCTTCGTGTGGAAGGAGGGAAAAAAGGCAAGCAAGTTTTCGCGGCAACGCGGAAGGTTTGGTTCACGTCTTCCGCATCGTAAAATCCCGTCCTTGCAGTGAGAAGCTCGCTCTCTCCAACCGAAATTCCTTTATAAATATGCAGCACGGGCTTCGAAGATTCTAAGCGGTTCCTTTCCGTGACTCGGAGCTATGACCGGTGATCAGGCTGCAGAATGCACGGGAAGAGTGGAAATGGCTTCTCAGTTCGGCGTATCATACTCAGGATTGACCCAGGACGGGAGAGGTGACATGGCTCGCAAGCGAGCGCCGTACTTGTGGAGGGCCGCGAATACAGGAACCACAGCACCGGCAACCATGATTCCTTGAGCAGCGAATGTCCACGTCCATCCAGAGGCCTTGATCCATGGAGAAATGAAGAACTAGAGCAAGACAATTAGTTTTTTCCTTTTACCCAGATGATGCGTGCGGAAAAGGGAGGCTCAAACGAACTGGACTCAGAAAGATGCCAATATTCAACATCACCGCAAAGAATGTGAGGACACTTATGGATTGCATTGGATATGCATCAATAGAGTAACTAAAAACCGCTGTCATCGAGAGTTGGCATCCTCCGCCCACTGCAACATTCACTCCGTCAGTCATTTCCAAAAAATGCTGGAAGATGCTTACAGAGACCTTACAGAGGAACAATGCCACCTGCCCCACGATCCAATGCGATTTCCTCCCGATACTCATACCCCAAAGCGCTAGACCGGCTACCGAAGGGGATGAGGTCGATTAGCACCGCTAGTCAATGTCTTCATTAGGTTTCGGAAGGAAAAGCTCACCACCTGTTGCAAGAAGAGCGGGATACATAATCCAGATCCTCGATTCCGGGACTCGAATATGATTGTTCCTCTTGGCTAACACCGTTACTATCCAATCACTCAGACGCCCTGAACAGAGGATTTCAGATGCCACGGTTCCCACCAGCAGTCCCAAATAAAGCAAGGCCTGCGTGGCCGCTGATTCGTCACCATATGCAAGAGGGAAACAAGTGAGGACGGCGATCTCCCAAGAATATACCAACGTGGAAACTACCACACAAGCGATGACCACGACATATAACCTGAACGTGAGGAAAAATCGGAGCATGGTGTCCCACACCTTGGGGTGCTCTAGGCCCGGAACTGGCCTGAAGTTTAGAAATGGGAGATCTTTGGTCCTTTTTAGGGTGACTTCGTCGATGGTTATTGCGTATGGCGCGGCTTTCTCCTGATCAATTGCCGCTGTTTCACCGATTTTCGGCATCCTGCAGAGCATGAAGTTCCGTGGATATAACGTCTCTGGCATAAAGAACAACTGAAGAAGCAGCAAGACTGCGAATAGTATTGCTGATACCCAGCTGTCCCAGTTCACCCCAAGAGAGTCCACGAGAAGACCTCCGGCTTCCCAGCTTGTTAGCCCCATTTCTTCCAGTTTCAACACAATAATTCACCTACTCATCGGTGCGAGGACAAAGCCAACATTTGCCCCCATCATCCAGCACCCAAGCTTATGTCCCCGTTCATAGTCGAAAAATATATCTCCCACTAGTCACATCTTATAAACTTTCTTGATATATAAATGGGAAGGCTCATGAACTCACCTGCGCCCATTCCAACAGTCATGGCCGGACTTGCCCCATACCCCTGGAAGAACCGTGATATCAGATACCCCGGAAATGTGGCGGATGTGGCAACACCGATTGTGGCCACTAGAGCTATTGCTGTGCTGATAACCTGAACTATTCTTCTGCCGTAAATGTCGGCTAAGGAAGTCAGGGTAATAGGCCCTACTATCCAGCCCAAAGCACCGAGACTTAAACCTTTATTGACCTCGTCGAAGCTCAGATTAAAAGCTTCTTGGACGTACTGGAATGCGGGAATGGATACGGATGTGGCGTACGTAAGGAGGAAATAGCTTTGCAGCTCTGTCAGTCACAGACGGTCATTTTGCCCACATCCTTCCTGGAATTCGTGCAGTGCAGTGCGTTGTGCTAGGAGGCCATAAAAGGCGCCATACTTGAACATAACGATACCCAAGATTGTATTCTTCTCCCACTTCTTCCAGTTGAGCGGGTCCAAGGGGTCCACGGTCGGCTGGGGAAGGACCTTGATTCCATTTCTGGTGCACTCCCCTGTTAAAACCACCGAGGCTGAGGAACGCTCTGGAGATTCTCCAGGATGTTTCGGCTGCTCCTCCGAGCTCGTTTCGTCCTTGATCTCTATTCGATCCCTAATGCTTTCCCCTCCAAGACTAAGGCGTGGCAGGTCCCAACCGAAAAGCCCGGCATGTGCCATATTGCTAGTATATTTTGCGTGACGAGAAGAGAAATCAAGTGCACCCCCAGCCACGGAGATATATGGCCCTTATTTACTCTCTCCAAGACCCGGGCCCGGTAAGCTCCTTGCCCGGAGAAAGTTCTTGCCTTGGATATCCATGTTGATGTTGTACGTCCTACGTGCTTTGTGCCAGGTGAGAAGCCTAAAAGCGCGGCAATAAACACAGGCGGATGTTTGTGTGCCATGTATAATAGACATCTTATATTCTGATGCATTTTCCGAATCAGCATAGCCCTCCAAATGTGGTGTGGAGGGTGGTCGACACCCACCGTATATCCGGCCAGGTTGACAATGTTGTGGTCGTCCCCATCATTTGAGGCCTGTCAAAACCGGCCAGATGGTAGATTCACAGCTTAAAGGGTTTTCCGGGGCATCCGAAAGAAACGAAAAGGTTTTCATCGTGGATGCAGGCCCGGTAAATATCTCTGGGGTCAGGCCTTCTGCGGGTATATTTTGCCTGCTGTGAAACTCTTTGCTCTTGGGTTCAAACGATGCTGCGTATGCTCTTAAAGGGCCCCCGACCCCGGCCAGTCACGTTGTACTGAACGTTTGCTTTTTTCACGTTTAATTCGTGTTTCACTATGCGGTAGGCCCCGGGCGAGCTTATTTGATCGGCTGGCATTCTCAACGCCAATGGAATATTAGAGAAATGTGATGTGCATTGATGGTATGTCCAATATGTACAGAGAAAATGCTGTGATCTGCTTAGGCGATTCTCAGCGCAGCTATGCTTCACTGATTCTATTTCAACTAAGGAATTCGGTGGCCCGCGTTTGTTAGAACGGCCCATAGAATATTTATTTGCCGCTACCATTGTAGCCCAACCTGTTCGGACTTCCCCGTCCATCTGCAATCGTCCCAGTTGACGCCAATTGAAGGAGCATCCTTCTTGCAGCAGCTGGATTGGGGAGATTATGAATGCTCTGTAGATATCCAACAAGGCCAGCAATGTGTGGAGTGGCCATGGAAGTTCCTGACATGTTTGCAGTGCCGGTGCGAGTGTTGCGAGCTGTGGAGAGGACACCTTCACCGATGGCAAAGATATCGACAGTGGAACCGTAGTTTGAGAACCTCGAGCGTGTATCGGTGTTTCGACGACTATTAATGGATCCTACGCAAATGGCTTCCGGGGCGTTCCCGGGACTATTTCTGCTAGCGTCTCGCTGCAGGAATTGTTAGTATGTGATTTGCAAAAATGCGCGAGATAGTTAACTAATTCAGAGGCCCTTACCCCGTCATTGCCGGCAGCGGCGACAACCACAACTCCAGCATCAACCGCGGCTTTCACAGCCTCGTTCATTGGGCCGTAAGTAGCACCGCCTGAAAGGTTAGTATTGCAAAATGAAACGGCTTGCGCGGAGTTCCTCACTAATGCTAATGCTGACAGATGATCTTGCAAGTCTGCCTTCACCAGTAATGTTCTTCACAGACCAATCGAGGCCGCTAATAAGTAAACTCCAAGCGCCCTAGCCCATCAATTAGCATCATATAACATGACTGCCCGGATACCTCCATACCGATGCCCTATTGAAGACTTTGACATCGACCACGGTAGCTTTCTTTGCAACTCCGTAGGTCTTGGAGACGGCAATACCTGCGCAATGGGTTCCGTGGCCAGTGGAATCATCGAAAGCAGAATCTGGGTGAAGATTCACTCCGGGGATGGCGCGACCCTCGAAATCATTGTGGGCTTTGTTGATACCGGTATCCATGACATAGACAAAGGATCCTTCTCCTGCCTTATCATCATACCAATAACCGTCTGTGATTGGGAGGCTGCGATGTGAAATGCGCTTCATCCCAAATGGAGCATCGGTTTGTTCTACCAGGCCCGCAACATAGACAATCCTGTCTGGCTCGACGGATTTGACCTGATAACCAATAACCAAGTTAGCCTTCCCGTGGCATGCGTGCTGGAAGAAAAAAGGGCAACTAACGTTTGGATGGGACTTGATTTCTTTGATAGTCTCCCGGTCGAATGACCCAGAGTAGGCATTGAAAGTGTTTATGTTGTACATGCCTTCAACACCAGGCGCTTCGGCAGTTGTAAACCCAGCGGCAAGATTTCGCCGTTGAACAGAGGAAACCCATGCGGTATGGGCGTGCATTTCAGCATCGGTGGTGCCCTCCTTGAAGGTGACAACATATTTATCTGGGATTATTGCGTTTTCATTGGGGCGGTAAGTTGGGAAGGCGGAAAGGAAGGGAAGAATGGTGCCCACAAGGACAGACGTGCTCTGAAGGAAACGCATGATGGCGGCTGGCTGCTCAATCTCGCTCGAGCTTGAAATCAGAACAAGAAGAGATACATGGAGATATATACCCTTTTCCTGCGGGTTACCTCCGATGCATCAGACGAATAAGAACCTAAAGGCCCATGTTGAGCAACGCCTGTCAGATACGGCAAGGCGCGGGGTGGTTGAAGAGATTGATGAATTTCTTCATTAATCTGGGTCCCTTTGCTTCAATCGAGTCTTGTTTAGACACAAGGGGTGCAGGGCACCGAGTGTTCCTGGGGTAAATGAGACGCGGCCAGGGCTAACCATGTTATCATGGCCTAATTAAACGAGTCCTTGTGACCAGAGTACACAAGGGATTGTTCAGAGGGTGCATGCGTTTGCCAACCCCGCAAAGACATCATTCAGATCTCCAGTTTGCAAGGTTAACCTCGGCGGAAAGGGCGATCAGGAAGCTGATGTGAAGCGACCGGAAAACTCATGTCACCACATAGGGTTTTTGCACGCAGCGAGATTACACATGCCTTCTTCTCATCGGAAGCGCAGTCCGATAATAAACGAGCGAGCAAGCCATGAGAAACGGCCCGAGAAGCAGGTTGCAGCAGTCTGAAGGAGCCGAGCATGTCATCAGTCGGTCCGAACCGATCGAGAGAGAAGGCGGCACCGGAGGTTGCCGGCAATGCCCACTAGCGTTGCAATCCCAAGAGGGTCTCCATTTATTCAGCATTCTTGTTCGAAGGAGAATAGAAAGAGTTTCCATGGCTACTCGTGTCGTTCCGGAGGAGGTGAGTTGGGATGAAGTGATAACTAGTTGTCTGTTCCATCCTTGCACACCCTGTTTTCCGAGCTTAATATCGAGTGCCATATTATTTTACGGACAGGGGTCTTCGTCGGCTAGGATTGAACGAGAAATGTTGGCCCTGACCAAAGTGGCCACTCACAGAACGACAATCCTTTTATCTCGGATTTGACGCGTCTTCGAGAAAATCTTCCGCGCTCAGACCAATTGACGATCAGAGAGGTCGACGAGGGAGGCCCCTTGAGTATCAGCTTCAAAAAGACGCGGATCACCTTGCTACTGAAATAACACTCATGGCCTGACTGTTGCGACTTCTGGAATGCGCTGTGCCTGAAAACCTCCCAAGTGTTTAGTTCATGCAAAAAGAAACAGAGGGCGGGTTCTCTGCGCAATCAGGGATATATTGGTAGTAATAAGGACCTTGTGAAGGAACGGGACGATTTTCCAACCTCGGAGTGATAATTGCTTCCGATAAACGCTCGGTATCCCGTTAAGCGACGTTCCTTGGAGCGTTGGGGCTGAATTTCACTATTACTCGAGGGTGGTGGTTTAATATAATATGCACGCTTCCAATGGCCACCTTTATTCGCATCCATCTACTCCGTGACTCCATTGAAGAAGCTTGTCCAAGGGATGGACGGAGAACAGAGGAGGAGATGAATCGCACAGGTGTAATCTCCAGAAAGAGATGGAGCAATACTACGTAATCGTAGTATCAGTAGCACGGCTCACGGCAACGGGATCACTTTTATTAATGGAGTCGGTGCATAGGATTCCGCCCTGCTGGCTGCGCGGTGGGAGCTGGCCACTTCGTCCAGAACATGCGTGGAATAATGAGAAGAGGTACTCTGAAGGTTGGACTTAAGCTTCGGGTTTCAGGGGTGCAACGTTTTCCTCGGGCAACGCCAGTCCATGTTCCGTATCCCCGCCGGAACTGGCCTCGAGATCTGGGGTCAAGGGCCTTGCAAGGAGATTGTCAGCCAGGGGCATAACTAGCTGATACTCTGGAGTGCTGATAAGGAAAAAGTCTGTACCACACGACAGGCAAATGTGAGCTCAGATGCTACATAAGTTTCCTGGAACGTATCAGAGATGATCAAAGATCAGCGAGGATGTGTCACAGGACAGATGAAATGGAAAGTCAGATTCTCGCCTCATGTCGGCTCTAAAGTTCGTCAAGGTTGCTTTGGGAAGAGTGTGGAGGTTTCAGAGATGGAGAAACACACTAACAAGATGGCTATCTTGAAGTTTTGGAAACAATCTCCTAGACCGCCAAGGATGGAAACAAATTGCAACATTTGAGGAAATGAGTGTCGGATGCTGGAGGTGGTCAGGCTGTTCAGCACACTGTCTGGCATAGCAACCGGTCATTTCCAGAATCGATATAGTTGTTTGGACTGTGATCAGATTCTTACCGTAGGAATCAGTGCCTTTTTTCTGACTCAAGGCTTGGGATATCCGGATGGAAGAATAGGTACATCAGCACATTTTACCCAGTAAAGCACCGGCCGTACGGAGTCGTTTCCACTAACTAGCCCTAAAATTCTCCTGCTATGAAGAGTTCAGAGACGCGACTGATAAGCAGTTCTATCCAAGATAGGCGGGACATCTCTACCAACTCTGATGATCAAGACTGCTGAACTGGTGAAAGAGGTGAAGATGGGGCCCTAGTGATGAATTGAACATGCTGAACAGACAGAGGACTCGCCATTCTCGCAGTTTGCCATCTGGTTCTTCCATTCGGCTGGGATGCCAACACACGATGCCTATGTGCTCTATGAATTTGTGAACTCGGGTTAATATACATATTGTCCAGCATTGACCTATGCCTTGAAGACAGACCAATGCAAACTGACCCCAAAGTCTTCTATCTCAATGCATTATGAGCTGGCAAGCCTCAAAATGTCATTCTCCGGCTCCTATCTGATCATGAAAGTTTCTCAGCATCAGCTCATCATTGGCAGTCAAGGTAACTAGGGAAAAGCCACATGGCGTATTATCTGGAGAGTATGGAGTTGTTGGAAACAACATATAAACTAACCTAGATCCGAAGATGAATCCTCGTCTGATTCAGTCATTCGTGGCTGTGGTCATATGTGCAGCCTTTGCAAGGTTGAGGAGAGCGGTAATATCAGAACACTAGAATACCCTAAACCGGCCTGTGATGTGATGTTTTGCAATTAATTACGGTATTCAAAATTACCATCGCCATGGCCAAACAACAGCATCGACACCGCAAAGAGCCAAAGGTTCACATTGCCGACGCTGACATCTACACGCCCCGGCGGCTAACAGTTGCTGGATATCAGAGAACCCGATCGATAGCTTCTCCTCGATGGCTGGCCCTCATCCCCGCAGCGATTCGCCTTCCGGCCAGTCAGTTGCCAGCCATTATGACGATGACGGTTCTGTGCTGGGAACAGGATTAACGGTAACAAAGCTGGTTAATTGAACAGTTCGCACATGGATACTAATTCGCCCGAGTTAGAGCCGTCATCTCGAAGCATTTGGTCGCAAGGTCACCACGACCGCGAGCCACCTCATGGCCCCAAAAACCGATCCCACTTTTACAACGCACTACCAAAATGCAATGAGTGATATCCAACGAGAACTGCGCCGACCCACAGTCCAAAGAAAAGTATTCTCCTTTACGCAGACCAGTCCGACTGACCTCGTGCGGTCGAAGCTTTCGACATCCGAAATCCAGTACCGTGCGCTCTCCGCCCTCCCTGATGAACTACTTGCGAATATTCCCGCCGACACCAGTACATATTCCCTGTTCCAAGGTTTTCAAGCCTCGATACCGGATGACAATGAGCACCGGAAATCGCATAGAAGACGGCGGTCCCATGGTCAGAAAACGTTAGAAGGCTCCGGGAAAAGCGCTCGTCCGTTACCTCAGACCGTTGGGACGCTGAAACGCGAGAGAGACACGCTGAACCGTCGACTGGAAATGATGGGAATACGGAAAAACATGTGCAGTACAGAAATCCATGAGATAGATAACAAAGTTGCCAATTTGAATCACATGCGAAAAATTGTGTTAGACCGCTTGGCTGGACTGGAAATGGATGAGGCAGAATTGGAGCATGAATGTACGATTGGCCTGCCTGTGAATCTGATTTGGGACTAACTCGCAATTAGTGGTTCAATTGGAAAATAAGCTTGAAGATATGGAAGAAGGCGTGGGTGAATCTGCTGCAGGAGCTTCGACACCGAAAACATTCGATGCGGAAACGACCCCAGTGGATCCTGAAAACCAAGCGATGGACGCATCATTCATGTCTGAATCAATATACGAAAAACTTCCCTCACCGAAAACATGGCGGCATAAAGCAACTAGTTGAGTGACCCGTTGATTCTCTTCAGACTTTAATGAGTGCTAATCTTTTGGGGGTAAAATTAGGAAAACGGTCAATGCCCATTTTGCACGAACATTTTGAGCCAGGTTCTATGATTCGAGAAATACAGGCGCACAACGATATGATCACCGCAGTTGATTTTGACGTTCCATTTGGCACCATGGTTAGCTCGGCTTTGGATGATACTGTGAGAGTTTGGGATTTAAACCTCGGGCGTTGTATGGGATTCCTGGAAGGACATCATGCCTCCGTAAGGTGCTTACAGGTTGAGGATAACATTGTTGCTACTGGCTCTATGGACGCATCGATTCGACTGTGGGACTTGAGCCGCGCCAGCTATGCTCCTAGGGATAATAGAATAAATAAAGCCGAAGACGAAGATGACGACGATGCGCTAGGTTTCGAGGACCCGTCAGCCGAACCGCCACCACCACCACCTTCCAGCATGGAGGATTGCCCATTATTTTCTCTTGAAGCACATGTTGATGAGGTGACCGCTTTGCATTTCCGGGGCGACACCTTGATATCTGGCTCCGCCGATAAAACGCTACGACAGTGGGATTTGGTAAAGGGAAGGTGTGTACAAACGCTGGACGTCTTATGGGCGGCCGCACAAGCGTCGTCCACCATGGGTGGTGGGGAGTCGCAGTGGCGACCCACCGGCCGCCTTCCAGACGCATCGGCCGACTTCGTCGGCGCACTACAATGCTTCGATGCTGCATTGGCGTGCGGCACTGCGGACGGGTTGATTAGATTGTGGGATTTACGCAGCGGCCAGGTTCACCGTAGTCTTGTTGGACACACAGGGCCAATCACATGCCTACAATTCGACGATGTCCATCTTATCACTGGTAGTTTGGATCGGAGTATCCGGGTATGTTACGTCGTCCCCCGCTCGTGAATTTGCAAGTGATTAATTTGTTTGGTAGATTTGGGATCTCCGCACGGGATCCATCTACGATGCATATGCATACGACCATCCCGTCACAAGTATGATGTTTGACTCCCGGCGAATAGTGGCTGCTGCAGGAGAGGACGTTGTCAAAGTGTACGACAAGGCTGACGGGCGTCACTGGGACTGCGGCGCGGGGACTACTGCAGAGGAAGAAGGGACAACGCCTGCAATCGTTGAACGTGTACGCCTTAAGGACGGATATCTGACTGAAGGACGCAAAGATGGCACCATTGGCATCTGGACATGTTGAAGCACAACCGGAATGTGTCCAGCTGGGCTTATAAAAGCGAATGTACATCACTGTATGATATGTATGCATGGGAGTTATGAACATTTATAGCCGGTAGACGGTATTCCGTAGTATTCAGAATGAGCAGCATGATATATATGAGGATTAGTCATCCAAAATAACAAAGCGCTTTATCCCTTTTTCCGATTCCGATGGCGCTATGCCCGATGTGCACTAGCGCGACGCTCAACCTTACTTTGACCTCAACGCCAAACAAAAAGCGACGACGCGCTTGATTGTCTGCGACTGGGGACGGGGGGTTCTATGGACGAACGACAAACAAAAGGGAGAAGCGCTTTGAAGACCGCGCAAGGCAACTCACAGCTCTTTGTCATTATGTATGCAGGCTTATTGTATTTAACTCGCTGCAAAAGGCCTGCTCTGTCCACTGCATCCCTGTGATGCCGGCCCTCATTTCTTCGCGTCGTCTCCTTTGGGCCTCTGATTCGGTGTTTGGAAGATTATCAGCGACTCGTTCGCATTTTCTGCTGGAAGAATACAAAAATTTATCGTTCCAAGCACTAGACAGGCGCGTTCTTTGTAATTGATACCCTTAAAAACGTTGCTTCTGGTCGACTGTGTGGTTGTCCCGCCGCTGCTGTTGTATCGCCGGGGGGACTGAGCATATATACCGAGGGGGCAGATTTTTAGTGCGGAATACATGCTTATTTGGCTCAACGAAGGAGCGTGCTGCTGTTGAATCTATTTCAACGCTGCGGTAAAAATTCGTGTGAGGAGGGAACCGAGAGATATCGTTTCGATACTGCACAGGGTTTCAACGAACACAACATACCCTGGTTTACCAACCGTGATCTCCTCTTCGCCGCTGGCTTCTGTGCTATCCCAACACTTATTCTGTGGGCTACGCGGTTGTAGTAAGGGAGGCGGGGTTGGTCGCTGGCGGGAAAATAGGAGAGGCTTCCTTTGTCTCTCTCGGAACTTCCCATCTTTCTGACCCTGGCAGGACAGCGGATGTTGCCGCGCACTACTCTATAAGTTTCTGTTTTGAATCAGGTGAGTTTTGTTTACGCTCGCTTAGCATGCTCTCCCTTCCAACCGCACTATAAAATCTCTTTTCGACTTTCTCTTCCTCCCTCTCCCTCTCTTTCTTCTTCACTGCACATCTGAAGAACCCTTTCCCACCAGTTTTACCACTTTTCGACAAACCTTTCTTTCAAAGATCAATCTCGACCAGCTCTTTTCTTACGCAATCAAGCGTTTGTTTAGGTCAAGGTTGGTTTAACTAGATCTATCTCCTATTCTCTCAGGGAATTGTCTTTGTTTGTTTTCAAGGCTACAGGCTGTTGACAAACCAAACCAACTCCTGTCTCCTTTACCTAGCCTCGTCTACTATTGCCTGGCAGACGAACGCATAATATCCTCCAATCTTTCCTGTTTTTCTCCAAAGTAATTCACCTTACTCTTTGAGACTAATCGAGCGCTGACCTAATTCACCACAGCTTTTACCGCCCGCCCTCGTCTCTTCTGATTCGTGTTTCTACTAATATCGGACTGCGAACTCCCGTTGACCCCCCCGAGATCTTCATTGTGCGATCCGATAGAGGTTTTGTTGAAGATAAACCCTCACAGTCCGCGAGACCTTAGTCCAATATTCTTAAGCCATAGTATCCACTATCATATCAACGCTTGGCTTTCATTTGATCTTAAGTATCACCCGGAACAGCAAGTTGCGAATTTGGCACTGGATTCGCATCGTCTGGTGTTTACTGTTGGCCTTACCTGAGTCATTTCGAACGAAAGTGCTATCCTAGCGGTACCGGGGAAACCTCATTCTCCTAATCTAATTTGGACGTATCTTGCGGGTATGGGCGTTCCTATCTTTAATTCTAAATTGCTTGCTAATGTCTTTTAGGTTTTCATTTTACGCCTGTCTTGATTTTAAATTCTCTGAAAAAATGGTTGAAACTCGTCGAGGACGCAGTGGGCGATCAGTCTCCCAGGAGCCATCGGGACAAAATCAATACACCAGACAAGGCACAGCTCCACTTGGAAGCCAGAATGACGCTACTGCAATCCCAGCCTCTTCCTTTGACAACCCTTCGTTGCCAGCTATTCAGACACAGCAGTCATTCGCATATGGTGCTACCGGAAGTCCTGCGTTTCCCAGACAGTTGCGAGCTAGCCCACCTATGGCAGCTCAATTTGGCGCTAAAATCGAACGGCCGTCTTTAAACACCGAAGCCAATGACTTTGAGCGCATTCAAGAACAAGCTCGTGCGAATCCGGGAACTGGGAGAGCGACCCGACTTAGAACAAACCGCCAATCTGCCTCTCCTACTCGCCGAACGCCTGGCCGACGTACACGCACTCGCGAGCCCACTCCTGACGACCAACTTCTCGGATCTCTTCGAGAAGCGTCCGAGGAAGCAGAGGGAAGCAAAGAGGTTGTTCTACCAAGCATAGAAGATTCCAGTGTAAGCTGGAATACTGAGCGCCATGTCATTGCCGATCCGAGACACGGCAGTGTCGCCAATTCTGCCGACAATGCTTCTGGAGCCGGGTCTTTCCAAGTCCAACCGCAATGGAGGCAAGTGCATCCAATGGCTGGTCCTCCGCTTCGGCCATCTGCTCGTTCTCAACCTGCAGCCAACTTCCAGGTTCCTCAAGAAGCGCGAGTTGGACCGTCTGTTGTGGCTTCCTCTCAGTCGGCCCCTCAACTGGGTGCTATTCCGGTCCTTGCACCATCCCAAGGTGAGGATTACGGTGATGCCACCCCCATTTCCAAGAAGGCGCCTTCTTCAGCATTCCATTCTGCGCCTCCAACAAATCGAAGTCAGCAAGGCGTTCGTTTTGCGCTGATGACTGTCTTTTTTATGTTGTTCGCTTTCGGAGGAATGCTCATCAAGGTCGAGGACGTTAGAGGCGTCCTTCCTAAGGACATTGGAAAGGGGCTGAATCTGCCACCATCGTTCTGTGGTGGGCAACCGGCGACAAGTCAATACGCCGACGCATTGAACAAGCTCTCTACTGGAGTGGACCAGCGACTCGCGGATATGGCGCGAGACGTGGCTGCTCTTAAAGATGAGTGGAATAAGCGGTTGCCACACCTTAGACAGGCGATATGGCCTGAGAGGGAAGACCCATTGTTGCCGCGAAGGATCAACTGGTTTTCAACAGGTATGGGGGCTTTTGTGGACCCATATCTCACCACCAAATTTCGCCCTGGACTTCTCAAAGGCGGTACCGAGCGTGCAGTCGGCGTCAAACGGACAAATCCTCCCGCTGCTGCGCTCACCCGTTGGGATGAACATGGAGATTGTTGGTGTGTGAACGACCACACCAGTGAAATTCAACTCGCCGTGCTCTTAGGCCGACCTCTGGTTCCCGAAGAGGTGGTCATTGAGCACATTCACAAAGAGGCAACTTTGGATCCCGAATCGGCTCCTCGGGAGATGGAACTGTGGGTCGAATATTCATCCCGGTCAGCGTCTGCGGCACCGTCTACCGTTCCTCCTGGTGCCAGAGCGACTGTCGCTCCAGGAAGTTCAGAGTGGTTGACACAGCGGCCAGAATTGTTGGAGTCCTCGGCAGAGGCACGTGAGGCTTATTCTGGCCCGCTTTCCCCATCGCAGCGGGAAGATATCATCTCCACTCTCCGTATGGCTTACCCGGACGAGCCGGAAACGGCGTATTCGCAAGACACGAAGCTTGGCTCAACATACTATCGCGTTGGTAAATTCCAATACGATATCAATGGCAAACATAACATCCAAAGGTTCTTATTGGATGCAGTCATTGACCTGCCAAACATTCGCACGAAGAAAGCCGTTCTCCGGGTTAAGTCAAACTGGGGTTCCGTGAACACATGCATCTATCGGGCGAGGTTACATGGCCATATGTAAACTTGGCCCGGTTAATGCTTGGGTTCGGTCAACAATTGGAGAATGGGCGACAAGATTGAAGAGTCCCGGTAGTCAAGTAACCTTCATGACTTTATCTCGCCCATATCGACGCTGCAATCGTTCCTTTACCGATCTTCCTGACAATTATTTCTCCCCCAGGCGGCGTTTTGCTGAGAGGTTTTAACACAGACCTCATTAAGCTTCCCCGGCCCTACTGTCCCCGAAGTATGGACTTTTCCAGCTTTGAAGTGGATAGTTGATGGTCGTTGCGGAGGTTTGATGTTTCTCTGTTGAAGCGATTTCCAGCATTGCGGTTTATTGGGACTAGTCGCGGGATTTCGGCCAAACCACTCCCTCCTTGTGTCGCTATTCGTCGTTTCGCTGCGGAATAGAATCTAACCCACCCATGTTACCGCTGTAACAGATGCCGTCGAATGAATGATGGCCATTGAAGACGAGACGCGTCTTAATCCGTCGAGACGACCTTGACGATCTGAAAAATTCAAGAAAATTGCTTTTTACGAAGTTGTGGAATGGTGTTTGGTAGGATTTGTGTTTCTTTTCAATGGGTTATGCAACAATACCTGGAGGAGTCTGGATTTGCCGGTGTTTTATGATTGCATTTGGGTAGACTGTGTCTGGGAAATATGTATCTTTGACAAGGCGTTACGTTTACCGTTTGCTTGAAATCTTTACTGTTCGTTTGATGCTGCTGCATACGGAATACATTTTTGCAAATCCTGCTTGGAACGTATCACTCTCTGGTTGAAATCAGAATCTTCTCGAGTTGATGAATGAAACTGTTGGAGTAACTCCCCATACAAAGTGGATGGTTTCTGGATATTGTAGGTTACCCTCGTTCAGATCGGGCGTCACGCTCGAGAAACTGGTTGAAATCGCCATCCACCGGCCCAATCACTCTGTCAAGCAACCCCGAGTGTCACCATCGCATTGAGGTTAAGACCATCTGTGCGAGAAAGCCTGACTTGATTGGAGTGAGGCCACCAGCTCGCCCGGGGTGAAGCAAAGTTCCCCTTGACCAGCGGGAATATTCCAGCTTTATTAAGCTAACTAACTTATTCGTTGACCGGCTAGTGAGGCGGCTCCCCCATGTTCCCGCAAGCTTTAACTAACTTAACTTCTCTGTAGTTAGTTATCCTTACACTCAGCTGCTATCCCTGCTTGCTAAACACATGCGTGGAGGAGCTCAGGCTGTGACTATTAAACAGTTGACCGAACCGCAGTTATTCTATCGGGCAACGACTGAGACACAATGGATGCTGCTATCGACCTTTCGGATGCCTCAAAGGCACTAGATCTCGACAACATTCGTTTTCAATTGATGTGAGTAGCTTTACTTTCCCCGAGACGGCTTCGAAGCGTCAACGCCGGAGCCGCGACACCCTTGCGCATATCACCGCAAGAGGAAAGGGACTGAATAATTTGAAACCTCCTAGCCGCTTGGAAGACACCATAACCTTCCACCTTATCGAGCGTGTCCAATTTCCCCTCAACAAGCGCATCTACATCCCCGGTGGGGTAAAAATCCCCGGCAGTGAGCTCAGCCTTATGGAATGGATGCTCTGTGAAACCGAACGTATTCAGTCTCGCGTCCGTCGCTACCAATCACCCGACGAATACCCGTTTTTCCCGAGTGTGCTCGAGGAACCGATCCTCCAGCCCCTCGAGTATCCGCACATCCTGCATGACAATGACGTGAATATCAATGATATGATAAAGTCGAGATATATCAATGAGATTATGCCCAACGCCTGTAGGAAATTTGGCGGAAGGGAGGATCGAGGAGAAACTCAAGAGAATTACGGTTCGGCAGCGACGTGCGATGTTAGCTGTTTACAGGCGCTCTCGAGACGAATTCACTTTGGAAAATTCGTCGCAGAGTCAAAGTTCCGGAAGGAGACTGAGAAGTTTGTCAAGCTGATCAAAGCCGCTGATAGGCAGGGGATTGAGGATGCGATCACAAATGTTCAAGTGGAAAAGAAAGTGCTGGAAAGGTTGCGGTTGAAGGCCACCACCTACGGAAGAGACCCAGCGAATCCTGATGAGAACAGTTCAAAGATCGATGTCGAAGCGGTGGTGTCCATGTACCAGGTGAGTTTTGTTGCCTGCGGATGTTGAATGACGGCTTACGCAGCAATCGCAGAACGCTGTCATCCCCATGACAAAGATTGTGGAGGTCGAATACTTGATGCAACGCCTTCGGGGGACAGAGTGGGAGAAACAATGATAGTATTGGATCTAAGACTACTTTCGGGACGCAAAATATCCATAGACCTAGATACCTCAAATTTATGATTCACGAGGAAGAACTGACGTATTCTTTGATGCCATTGACCGCCGCTTCGAACTTTGCAGCTTCTATTAAAATCATAGAGCCATGGGGGCGGATTCCTAGCTCCTGGAATGCACGTTTTGAATCCGAGTGTCCCTCGGCGTGCTGATGTGTATATGGATACGTGCTGTGACACAGCGAATGTTTTTGAAGAATCTCGTCTTCCGGGTGGAAGTAGAAAAGCTCCGGCTTGCCACTGCCTCCTTTTTTCTTCTTCTTCTGGGGTCTATCCTCTTCCAGGTCCAATTTAGACTGGACCTCTTCGTACGTTTTTGATATTATGAGGTAATGCGTGAATTGGTAGGGTTCCTTTTCTTCCAATGCCCATTGAATTTCTTCAAGGAGCATAGTGTACATAGGAGGAATGACTTCGGGCGGGATATTTATTAGCCGCTCGGTGAGGATAAGGCCGATTTGCGGGACGGAAGGTTGAGACATGAGGTCGTTGAGTGGGGAGAGCTCTGGGCAGGCCTTGCTTTTGATGTATGTTATTAAGGACTGTATGACAGGCAGGTCCTATCATGCCGGAACGAATTAGCCGCACAATGTTGTCGATTCCCAATTACAGCGCTCACCTTGTGTTGATGTAAATTCAAAACAGTAAGAAATGCATATGGATCCGTTTCATTGCCATCTACTTTCACCGTAGACCCCAGCAGCGGTTGCGATAGTATAAGATCCGTGAGAGCGGATAGATCAAAGAGTTGTGCATCTGTATCGAACAACTGGCGGAGCAGCACTTTGAGGCCGTGGAAATCGACGGCAGGTTGGGGGTCAAACCATTCGAAATCTACATTAACCACTTCCATCTCCTATGAATATGTCAATATTCAGCAAAGAAGATAACAAAAGCAACAGGCGGGGGAGCTTTTGAACCGACCTCGTCGCTGCTCTCGTCGCCCACGCGGCCGTCATTGCCCATCTCAACATCGCCATCTTTCAATTGCTTTCGCTTCCCCATGCTGGCAATGATAAACTGTGGAATATCTTTGATCGAAGAAGCGGACCGGCTGTTTCTGCGTCTTTTTGCGAGAATCGAGAGAAAATTGATATCAGATAAGCAATGACGCTAGGCCACAATTGGCATGGCCGCGATCCAGTGGAGTTTGCCTTGTTTGCATCTCTGGACCTTGACCCAGCCGCACTTCATCTAGCCAATATCAAACAGCAAGATGGACGCTGTTCAACCATGCCTGAGAATGGGGCCATCGTTACAAGTATCAGTTCTAGCTCTAGCTCAATGCTTGCAATCCATCGTGCTGCCCAACAGTCAGCTCCCCAGGATATCATCCAACCACAACGCTGCCAGCCAAACTCAATGAGCCATCATGATATCATCTCCGGAGCGACCCAAGGGTCCATTGATCTTCTTGCTCTGCCTTGGAATCGAGTGGCCATGGCCATGCTCTATTCACGTTTGCAGCTTTGACGTCGATTTAAAACCTAATTGCGACTCGACGTTTAAAAGCTAGTCGACCTCGCAAGCTCCAGCTAGCCATATCCCACTCAAAAAGACAATTGAAATCCTTGTGCAAAGAACGTCACTACGAGTTCTTTTTGTATCATTCACTCAGCCCAACATGAGCGGAAGAAAATCCCATGTCGGCAATCCCTCGCTCTACGAGGACGGCGACCAGCGGAATTATTCCCAGGCGGAGATTGAAGCCGCTCGGAGGAACAGGGAGCATCCACCGGCTTCCAGTGGAAGAGGAAGTGCTCATAGCAAAGAGCAGCAGGCTAGAAGAGGGAGCAAATCACCTACTGATGAAGAGTTAGCCAAGAAAGACCCATTGGCACCGGTGAGCGGCAAATTCTCAATACTGAACCCTTAAAGTTCAATCGCTCCCATGTTGGAAGTGACTTTTTTGGATGAATTGCAATGAGTATTGACCATATGGGTCAGGCGACCTTCCACGGAAACAAACCATCTCGAGGGGCACAGGTTGATGCTGAACTCAAAAGGGACGATGAAGAAAGGCTTCGAGAAAAAGGGCTAAAATGATTAAATTGTGGGGTGAATTTGGAGCTATTATCATGCGGCATAATTACTGTGAATCGCCCAAGATTCGTTCTGAAAGGAATAAGTACCTACACGATATCCGGTGTCGATTTTTTGAACACGAAGCTATATGTATTGAATAGGGAGAGAGTCTTAGCTACATACAAGAACAATTCTTCTGGAAGGCTGTACAGGGATAACATGACAAAGTAAAATTCATTAAGTTGTCCAGACAAAACACGAAGAAAAGAGAGCATATATCAAATGATGCAAAACATATATGAACACATAAATATCAAGCTCTCAATGAGAGTAATTACGGGAATTTTCCCTTCCTTTCTTTTTCTTTTTTGTTACTTTTTTCCCCTTCCCCCTCTTTGATTTTTCAAGATGGTCGAGTATTTCGCTTGACTATTCTCCTTGCCATCCCCATTGCTTTAAGCCATGATTTTTTCTCTGATTTTGGAACTGGGGTCGTCGGAGTGGGAGGAGTCGACGTATCTTCATCTATCAGTGATGCCATAGATTCACTCATTTTGCTTTGTTCCACCTTCGAAGCGCACATCGCAGCCATCTGGCCCAACATTGTGGGATGGTCGATCAAGTCCTCGATTCTCACCTTGAATCCTTCTTGTTCCAGGAGCCAGGATACCTGAGCTAGACCCATAATATCCCCGTTGAGATCAAAAAAGGAGGATTCAAGGTTGAGCCCGTTTGTGTTGTCATCTCCGAGCACTTGCCGCCAGCTGCGGCTAAGGACATCGGATAGAACGAGGAGGTCGGCTCTGTTCAATCCTTGCAGTTGCGAAGAGACAAAATAATTGTCGTTGGGTCTACTTGTTTCCTCGATGATTTGTGGTGCTAGTTTGGTGAGCTCAGCGGGTGACATAAGCGAAGAGTTGGGATCCGCGGTGAAACTTGAGGCAACGTTGCAAAGCATGTTAAGCACCTTCTGTGCAAAGATGGGAGTGATATCGCTGTTCTGAGAGAAGGAGAGGGTGAGCTCGCATTGATCGGAACCTTTAGGAGTGGATATAACCGAGAAATCGGCAAAGTCTTCGTCAGCGCCGACGCCCCCAATTTTATATGTGTTGCCTCCCAAATCCATTTCATTACCGTAGCTGACATTCTGGTGTTGGACAACTGTAGTATAGTTGGTCCAGTCTGGCCATTCCGTACAATGCCTCGTGATCTCCCGGAACCCTAGTGCCTCATAAGGCATATTGGAGACCTGCTGGTCTTGCACAAGTCGAAGCAAATCGAGGGCAGTCCACCCTTCGCAAAATTGCACTCGGACGGGGACGATATTCAAACATGGACCAACTGTACTTTCAACCCCTGGAATTGTGGCGTTCCTGCCGCTAATTGTGTGACCAAAAACGACATCGGAGCGGCCTGATAGCTGAGCAAGTACCAAAGCCCAGGCAGACTTAACGACAGTCGCAGTGGTAATACTGCCATGAGCGATTGAAGGCAGGAGAATAATCTGCTTCAGCTGGGTGGTTGACCCAGCTGATCTTCGGTAATTGGGTCCGTGTCTCCGTATAATGTCCGTCATGCGAGAGCCTTTGAGGAGCGTTCTCCAATGTTGATAATGGTCCGAGGTAATGGTGCTTGCTGTCGTGCGGACGTAGTTGGTGAAAGATGACATGGGAGGTAAAGGCTCATCGTGGTATGCTGATTGAAGGGCCATTAAGATCTTCGGCAGACATACACCGTCGTACTGAGCATGGGAAAAGCGCAAAATAAGCCGGTGATAGTCAGTGTCCTTCTGTTTCACTACGGTGAAACTAAAGAAAGGTTCACCAAGTCGTGGGCCTTGATCTCGATCGCGCTGCTGTAACATGGCAGTGAATTCATCCATGTTGGACTCGGTTTCGTAAACGAAGAAATCTGGCCGCATTTTGCGAAGGACAACTTGCAAAAAGCGGTCTCCGTGAGGGAGGAATACGGTACGAAGGACGTCAACCGCGTGAACAAGTCGGAAGACGCTCAACTTCAGTTGTTTCAAGTCTAAGGGGCCATTTCCATCAAGGAAGAAATAATTTAACATCCACCTAGACTCTAGCAATGAGCCTGTGATTGCGAGCCCTTGGAAATCCGTCACCGGTAGCACGTCAGCGATACCTCCTTTGAAAACACCGACCTTGGGGCAGATATTGCTTTGAAGGAATGCGTCAACGTTAGTAGCTTTGACAAGGGAAAACCGTTGGTATAATTCACTCTTCGCTGCAGATCGCAAAACCGGCACCGCCCTGCGATATTGAGTTAGGTCTCCTCCATCCACATTAGCATCGTCGCGTCCATCTTCGTATGCAGTCATAAGACTTGCAACCCGAATCATAGCGACCATGTCCTCAAAGACAGGGTTGCGGAAAACATCAGCGACAGTCAGTGCGAGACCTTCCTCACGAGCCGCCCCAACAAGTTTCATGGCTGTAAGACTGTCACCGCCGAGCTCAAAAAAGCTGTCTTCTGGAGTAATTCCATCCTCATCCATTTCGAGCATTGAGCTCCACAACGCAAGCAGTTTCTTTTCAATAACGGCGGAGCGGCCTCTTCGGCGAATTTGTGCCGCCATAGAATGGGAATCTGGATCGCCTTTTGGATTGTAGTCCAGTGCTTCGTAAGAATTAGTCGAAGCAGATGGTAGTTCTAATCTCTGCTTTCGGTACGGTGAGAAAGTGTCATGGCTTTTGGTGAGAGCGGACTCTGTAAACGCTTGGTTTTTCTCGAGAACCTCGGAAATCTTCCGATTCATTAAGTCAGACATATCAAAGCCGGCATTACTTTGCAAGGTGCCGCTTTGTAACATTTCTTGGATGACCTCACGAACACAGGAGTCAACGGCCTTTCGTAAATCGGGCGAACTCCCAACCATACTCTGCTGATAAAAGGATTCGGTGTCTTGCTCCACAAACAGGTCTGGTTTTCGGAGGGGATTTAATGGCTCATTTTGCTCCCTGGATACCGAAGTTGCCTTAACAGATTCATTTCTGATGGCGTTCGACTCAAGGACTATTAATGGGTTATAATCTGCAACATGCTGTCCAGGTTGATTAAGGAAACTGGTCAACACATGAGCCATTGTGTTGCCTAGTTTCTCGACTTCATAACCTGATATAACATCGCTCCAATATCTTAGTATTACTGCTTCGTCGTGCTTGGCGGTCTCAATATTAACAGTAACAGCATACTATAGAAACATATCAGCAAACGGAGCGAAAACAGGAGCTTTTCATACTTGCTTACCTCGCTGGGATCATGGGCAGAGAGCGTCTCGAAGGTCAAATTCTCTTCTACGGCATCCTTGGATTGGCTATGATTTTGAATTGATAAAGCAGTGTTGTAGAGTGCCTTTCTTGCCAATCCGAGTTCGTGTTGTACCTGTGCGAGGGAACACCGTTGGTGAGGGAGGCTGTCAAGGTAGTCATCCTGAACCTTGCGAAGAACATCGTGGATGGATGAAGACGGAGAGAATCGCACCCGGCAGCAGAGCATATTGATAAACGCTCCAACGGTTTCCTGAATCCCATCAACAGGCGCATCCCTGCCGGCAGAAAGGTATCCAAAGCAGACATCATCCGACTCGGTGTACGTTCTTAAAACGAAAGCCCAAGCAGTATGCATAACATTGGCTAGGGTCACGTTAGTCTTTTCGCATAACTCATGCAATTCCGGGAACCGATCGAATTTGACCTCGAAAACAGATAGTTGTCGTTTAGTTTTCATTTCACTGTTAAGCTTGGGTAAGTGGCACGGTTCAATCCCTCTCAGATAGTTTTTCCAAAATTGAATTTCTGCATCAGGGGATTTGTCCCTGATGAACCGGATGTAGTCGCTGTATAGGGGTCCAGTTCCATTTGACAGCCGATCTTCATACGCGGCAGCCAAATCGCGCATCATAACACCCACTGATCCTCCATCAATAACTGCGTGGTTGATTTCAACCTTAACAAGTACTCTTCCACTAGTTGTAGTGCAGATAGTGACCTGATGTGGTAGTTTGGGGAGTTTCTTGAAATTGGTATCTTTTAACTTGATGCTGTTGAGCTTGGCGATGGCATCTGAATCATGGCAATTGACAAACAAAACGCCACTGTCAACCTTCTTCACGACTAGCTGATCGAAAGTACCGCCCTTGTACAGGCTATCGACGAAGACCGTTCTCAATGCGGCATGGCGTTGTACGACTTGCTGCCATGCGTTCGCAAGTTTCTCAACGTCCACTTGCTTTTCAGACTGCTTGAGTGTAGCCTCAAATATACAGTTGAACAAATAGGCATCGGTGTCCCTGAGCTGGCTAAGTAAGATCCCCTCTTGCATGGGTGAACATGGATAGATGTCTTCCACTTGGCCACAATGAGTCACGCCAGCCTTGGGGTAAGTGACTTTAACAAGCTTTTTCAGTCCTTCATAAGAGATGGGAAGCAAAGGGTAATCGCTCAAGGTCGGCTCTGGCGAGCTTCGAACAAGGCGCAAAACCACCTCCTTCAAGACTCTTTGACATTCGACGATCCAGCGATTGATATCTTGCGTACGGCGCATCCCTCGATCGAACATGAAGGAGAACTGGATTTTGTCCTCTTGAACAATAGCAGATATCTCAAACAACGCGAGTCTCTTTGTATCCGGCCCGACGTCACTTGTGGCTAACATGTCCTTTTCATTTGATACGAAATCGGTTTGCTGAAGTAGCGAATCATCACGTTCAAGCTGCTGCATTCGCCCTAGATAATTGAACAAAACCTCCATTGTTGTGTCTGCGCTGGCCATGGTTTTGGACGAAAGAAGATTTTGTGCAAAATACGACCGACCGTTATCAGGAATGTTGCGCCTAGTGTCCTTTATTCTTCGTAGAGTGTCAAAGATATCACCCTTTCCATAAACAGCTGCACCTAGTTAGCATGAAACTATATGCAAAATGCCAAGTTCTACTTACTGGAGTCGACATCCACCTGTATCGGGCAGATCGCGGTGAACCAACCCACAGTCCGAGAAATATCCAAGGAGTCTTCCCATGGTTCACGTCCGTGTCCTTCATTAAAGATTGGAGGACATCCTCTGTCAGTGAACACTTGACCAAAGGAGTAGGCAAGAACAGCAAGGAAAAGGTCGATAGGCTCAGTCTGGAATATCTTATGACAATCGACGAGCGCTTTGCTGGTTATTTCCTCGTCGACCTGGAAAGTATGATACTCTGCATTCTTGTAAGTGGGCCTTTTTCCTTCCATTCCCCAGTAACTAAGGTCTGAAGGTTTCACGTCGAATGGAAGAAGTTTTGTTAGCTTATTCTTTTCGCAATTCTCAGCCTGCATAGAGCACCATCTTTGGAAAGAGAGAGGCTTCTCCCCCGACAACGAACCCTTCTCAAGGTGCTCTTGGAGGTCTTGGAGAATGATTCTCCATGAGACCATATCAACGCAGAGGTGATGCGCGGCAAGGAACAACATCTGCCCGTCATTCTGAACATTGAATATGTCTGCTGCAAAGATTGGACCTTTTTCGATGTCTAGACATGTTTGGGATTCGCCGATAAGGCGGGGAATTTGATGCATTCCAATCAGATCGTGCACGCGATAGCGGTATGATGCGCCAATATCCTAGGCTAATCAGAAAATTGCAGGAACGATAAAGCGTCAAAGATGCTTACATTAGTTATCCTTTGCTGCCAGAGGCCAGAGGCATTCTGACTGAAGCGAGCTCGTAACATTGAATGCTGTTTAACGATGGCCTCAATTGCTTGCCTTACGTTCGCCGCGTCCACTGGTTTCGTAATTCGCAGCGAAAAGCTTTGATTAAAGCGCTCGCTGCCCCCGTGGAGACTAGATGATTCAAAGTACAAACGTTGAATCGGTGAAGGGAAAACGGCTGGTCAATTATTTCCTCTTTCTCCTGTGCAACCACAGTAGAGCCGGCGCGTTGCGAAAGGTGGATAATTGATTTGCAACGGAGGACATCATGTAATGAAAAATGGATTCCTTCCTGTCTACACCGAGACATGACGCTCATCGCGGTGATGCTATCTCCTCCTATATTGTAGCACAGTTAGCAGAGTATCAAAAGGCTAGTACCCGTATTGCTCACCTAGGCTCATAAAAGATTGGTTTAACTTCACTTTGTTTAAGGGAACATTGAGCACCGTCGACCAAATTTTTTGCAGAAGTTTGGCAACACCACTTGCCTCCTCGGCGTCCTTGTTCTCATCATCTATGCCCATAATTTGCTCGTACGTGTTTTCATCAATATTATCAACCCAAGTCATAGCCGTTTTTCTGTCAAGTTTGCCTGATGCTAGCAGGGGAATACCTCGCACGACTACCCAAATTTGTGGGATCATGAAAGGGGGTAACTGATCTGACAGGCTATCTCGAATGTAGTTCAATTGGATGCGAACTTTGTTAGAATATTTGGTTTTTGTGGCAAGCTCCAGATCGCGGTTTGAGATGCTGGGGGCTTCGGAAGAAAGGTCGTTGAGAGAAACTATGCCCACGAGACGCTTTTTGCAAGGGCCATACTTGGGCATGAGAACAAGGGCGTGTCTAATTCGAGGGTCGGTATCTAGCCTATGTTCGATTTCTCCAAGCTCCATCCGCTGGCCATGAAGTTTAACTTGATTGTCTTTGCGGCCAATAAATTCGAGGGACCCGTCAGGGTTGTATCGAACCAGGTCGCCAGTTTTGTAGAGACGCCGAATTGCGGATATGGTGTTGTACCGAGCTCCCCAAGCTGGGTCATTAACAAACGCTTCAGCGGTTTTCTCAGGATTATTGAGGTATCCCCGCGCTAAGGTCGGCCCCTCAAGTGCTAGTTCACCCGCAGCTCCCAAAGGAGCAAGTTTGTCTTGATTCGTAGGGTTTAGAACCCAAACAGCCGTAGCCGGAATACCGACGCCAATAGAAGCAGGATTCTTTTCGAATGACACTTTTGAGTTAATTGTTGCAACGACCGAGGATTCGGAAGGGCCATATGCGTTCACCAATTTCACTTTGTCTGACCACTTAGAGATGACTTCGGGAGATAGTGCTTCTCCACCGCAGACTAACACCTCCAAACATGGAACCGTAGTAGGGTCGACAATATTAGCAACAGATGGCGTAAGCAAGGTCCAAGTAACATTCATTCTTCGGATAGCCCCAGCGATATCCTTAAGCCTCTCTTCTTCGGAGGGGACACAGACACAGCCGCCTAGCGTGAGCGTTGTCAAGATTTCCATGACCGCTGCATCGAATGAAAGGGAGGCGAACTGAAGAACGCGCGAACGGGAATGCATTAATGCTGCTGGACCAAACGCTGCAGAGCTACTGCTATAGGCCTTGTGTTCGATCACAACTCCTTTGGCTCGTCCAGTGCTTCCAGAGGTGAAAATAATATATAAGCGATATTCTCTGGGCTCGCTCGGCCAAGGAACTGGCTGGAGTCGCAGCGCGGAAGGTTAGTAATAAATGCCTTGTCAATAGGCACAACATGTCTCGCAAACTCAAAGAAGCGCTCCTCATATTGGGGAGAGCAGAGAACTATCTTGGCATCAGTCTCCTGTAGAATTTCTCCATGTCGCGAAGTTGGGTGTGATGGATCTAATGGAACAAACGCCCCACCAGCCATAAGCACTCCCATAATAGCCACAACTGTCCAAGCAGATTTGTCGAGGCATATCGGAACTAGGGTTTCTGGCCCAACGCCGATGTTGATCAGATACAGGGCAAGCTGTGAAGCATGGGTTTGAAGGCCACGGTAGGTGAGCTCCAAATTGGGATCGCAAACTGCAGCAGCATCTGGTTGGGAATTAGCTTTTTTGATAAACACATCATGGATGCATTCGTTAACCAAAATGGGTTGCCGACGGTTCCACCAAGCGATTGTTTCCTTATCTGATGGGCTGACAACTTCAATATCATTAATTTTAATGTTTGTGCCCTTCAATGTTTCGACAATCTGCTGCATGACTGAACCAAACTGATCCAGAACCCGCTGCACTTGCCAGCTATTAATGACGTTTTCTTTGTGGTACACCGTAGTGTTCACATAGTTGTCTCCAATGGTGCATTCGAGTACAAGAGGGTATGTGAAGAAGTTCTGAACATCGTCTGTTTCCTGGAAATGCCAGAGGGATTCATGAGCGTCCTCATGAGAAGTTTGCACAACCAACAGATTCTGGAAGTCACACCCTGCTGCGGTATCGCCATCGAGTCTTTTGATGCGCTGTAAGCCGACATGTTGATGCGGCACCACTTCCGCACTAGCCTGTTGCACCTTTTGCAAGTAGCTGGCGAGTGTACCCTTTCGATCGATTTGGATTCTCGTCGGCACGGTGGTGAGCGTTGGACCAACGACATCGGCGATACCTGGAACATTGATATTCCGCCCCGTCAAAGTTTCCCCAAAACAGACATCATCCACGCCGGTGTGATCGCTGATAACCAACGCCCAAGCCGCTCTGACAATACTTGGAATTGTCACATCACCGGGTCGTTGGGTGGGAATTTCTGTGCGGCTAGAAATAGTTCTTGTTGCGGAGTATTGCTCGGTGAGTGAACGAGGAACTTGAGGGAAGCTAACAGAAGAAATTCCAGCGAGATTTGATCTCCAAAACTCATCGGAAGCAACAAGATCTGCGTTTGTCAAGTATTGGATGAATCGTGCGTATGATGTTTGTAGTGGAGGAGAGGTTTTCTCGAAGTATGCATTTTCCACCCTTTTCAACATCACCGGGAAACTCCATCCATCATAAAGGGCGTGGCTGATGGATAAAACAAAGTAGTGGGAGCCGGAGCTTTTGTCGTCGATAAGCACAAAGTCCGCCAATCGTCCGCCATTATACGATGGAAGTTGAGCAACCTTTTCGCCAACGGCCTTTAGACTAGAAACAGTGGTCCAGTCTATCGTCTCCTCCTTAAGGACGACCTGGAGGAAGTTTGATGATGCTGTGTGAACGATGCGTGTCCGTAGCATATCCAGCTCGTTTACAACAGTTTGCCAGGCAGCTTTGAACTTGTGTATATCAACCGTGGCGCTCAGTCGGAACACGTTTTGCGCGACATAGGCACCAGGTTGCTTGATAGCGAGAGTAATAAATCCTTCTTGAAGCGAGCTTGCAGGATAAATATCATGGATTTCGCTCTCGGGCACACAGCAAAGCTCAGATACCTCCTTTTTAACCTGTGGAATGGATTCAGATAACAGGCAAAAAGGTTTCAGTTCGGCTTCGGCGTCCGCTTTCAGGGCTCCACATGTACGAGCCATATCTGTCAAGATTGGATATTTGAAAATGTTGCCAAACGTGAGTGAAATACCCTGCGCGCGTGCTGCTCCTGCAAGTTGCATGGCGGCTAGAGAGTCCCCACCAAGCCTGAAAAAGCTATCCCCAGTGGACACGGACCCCGATGGGAGAGCAAGAGCTTTCTCCCACATCTTCTGGAGCTTTCTTTCCATCCCCGATGTTGCAGCAGGTTTATTCATTGCCCCACTCAACCTAAATAGCCGAATGGTCTCCTTAGACAGATCCTGGACCATGTTTCGGAGGCGAGCGCGATCGAGCTTGCCGGATGAAGTCCAGGGAAGTTTGGACACCGGAATAAAAAGATGTGGGATCATGTATGTGGGGACGGCCGTTCCCAAACCTGTTTCTAGGGACCGTGCCACAGCCCTTATAGTATCATCCATTGGAACAAGTAACTCATCACTTTTCACACCATCAGTTTTGACCAAGGTGTGTTGGTGAGAGCCGGAACCAGAAGTGGTGAAAAACACCGCAAGAGTCTTTTTTGCTCGGTCAGAGGGAACGACCAAATCTACAGCAACTTGTGTTTGTTCCGGAAGATTGGCTTTGCAATGATACTCAATTTCGCCAAGTTCAATTCGTTGCCCGTTGAGTTTGATCTGAGTGTCCTTTCGGGAAATGTAATTGATAGTACCATCAGGGTTATATCGGACAAGGTCACCAGTGCGATACATCCGACTTTGGCGAGTGAACAAACCACGGAAACGGGGTTCAGCAGTAAAGTCAGGCCTGTCAATAAACACCTCAGCAGTCTTCTGTGGATTGTTAAGGTATCCTCGAGCAACTGTGCGACCTTCAACGACGAGTTCTCCTACAGCGCCCACCGGAACTAGGCGATTGTAATTGCTAGGGTCAACAATCCAGCCTCTGCATCCAACCGCGTTTCCTATACTCGATCGGTTTTCGTCTCGAGTAATTCCGTCGGCGTCGACCTTGAGGCTTGCGCAGGCAACGACAGAATTCTCAGTCGGACCATAGGCGTTGATGATTGCTGGGCCTCCCTTCCATTCTTCCATGATCTTTTCTGACATAGCTTCACCGCCAACGGCAATCACTTTCATGGTCGGAATCCGTTCTGGTTTCATTGTGCTTAGGACGGACGGAGTTAGGCAGGTCCAGCTGGCCCGTAACTTCGTTATGGCTCTGGGGAGGTCGTTCATTCGTTCTTCGTCGCTAGGCACGCAGATGCAACCGCCCATTATGAGACCTGTCAGGATTTCCATAATGGAAGCGTCAAATGTATAGGAAGCAAACTGTAAAACTCTAGACGAGCCATTCATCAATAAGGCCTCGCCGTGAGCTAAAGCGCTCGTGCAAATCGCGCCATGTTCAATAACGGTTCCCTTTGGACGACCAGTGGTCCCGGAAGTAAAAATGATATAAGCTGGGTTAGACGGTTGAGGAGCTGTGGCAGGAGGTGTTTGGGAGCGAGGGAGTTTACGAATAGATTTAGGGTCAAGAACAAATGTTGTTTTTGCAACCCTGGATGCTTTTTCGTGATATTTCGGAGAGCAAACGACAAAGTCAGCACCGACATCATTGATAAGCATGCGCAGTCTGCTTTCTGGGTGGGCCGGATCAACATGGACGAACGCGCCTCCAGCTTTAAGTACCGCTATTTGGGCAACTATCGTCCATGCGGATTTCTCGAAACAGAGTGGCACATAAACCTCAGGCCCGACTCCGAAACCGGTGAGGTGAGCCGCCAATCGAGATGAGATTGAATCTAGCTCAGCGTATGTGAAGCTTGCATCCCAGCCTTCGACCGCCATGGTCATCCTAGGCCGAAGCAGGGCTTGCTGTTCAATAAGTTCATGGACACACTTGTTAACGGCTTTTGGAAGTTGACTATTCCAGGAACGGATTTGTTTGCAACTGTGTTCACCCAAGAGGTCAATATCGCCTATCAGTTTGTCGCCTCCGTTTTCGGCAATCAGTTCTCTCAGCAGATGCTCAAAGGTATTGGCAATATTCACCACATGCTGGTCGGAAACTGTGTCAGACCAATAGCCAAATCCAATTACCAGGGAGGAATCGATAAGACTGATATTGATTGAAAGGTTGAATTCGTTGGGATCAGTGGAATTAAGATGTTCAAATGAGATCATTGGACCATCAGAGTCCGTGTTGGAACCTTTCTGGAAGGTGAAAACGGTGTTGAATAAGGAAGCGTCGGATAGGCCAAGTTCATGCTGTACTTCTGTAAGGGAGCAGGTCTGGTAATCCATGCTGCGGATGAAATCTGACTGGAGCTGTTGCAAAGCATCGCCTACTAATGTGCCGCTCGAGAGCGTGAGACGACAAACCATCATATTAATAAACGCACCGACGGCTTCTTGGATCCCGTTTACTGGAACATTTCTCCCAGAAGAAACAACTCCAAAACAAACTTCGTCCGTGCCAATATAGGCCCGGAGAACCAATGCCCAAACAAGTTGAAGCAAGTTTGCAGGTGTCAGCCCTTGCGTTCTGCAGAATTTCTGCAGTTCGGCACCATGGCTGATGGTGAAAACATATTCACCAGGCTGTCTCTTGGCTGAGCGTGAAACATTAGCGAGCGAGGGTAGAAGGCATGGTTCAATCCCAGAAAGATAGTCCTTCCAATATTGTATGCCTTTTTCCCTCGGCGTCTCTTGCAGGTATTGAATAAAGTCGCTGTAGAGCGGTCCGGGTTCAAGGCTTGATGCCGTTTCATAAGCCTTTGTAAGGTCTTCGAGAAGGAGGCCCATGGACGTGCCATCTGAAATCGCGTGACTAATTTCGATCTTGCAAAACAGGCGGCCGTCAAACGTTTCGCAAATCACGAATCTATGAGGCGTCCTCTGCTCGCTGCATTCCAGAGGTTCGATTTTGGCAAACGCCTGTTCTGCGGTCTGCGCTTTGAGGAATATCGTTCTCCCCTGAACCTTCCTTAAAACAATTTGGTCCATGAGATTTTGGCTACTAGTGCTAGGTATGAATATCGTTCTGAGAGAGGAGTGTCGAGCAACAACCGACTGCCATGCTGCCTCCAAACGGCGAGCATCGACTCGGTGGCTTCGTTGGTTGGATTTGACCTCGAATGCAAAATGGAACGCATATTTCTGTGGGTCCTTCTGTTGGCTCATCAAGATGCCCTGCTGCATAGGGGATAGTGGGTATGCATCCTCCACCGCATCAATTGACGGTACAGCAAACTCTGAAAGCTGCTCCTCTAGCTTGGTTTGGGCACCATATACCAATGGAAGCAGAGGGAAACCTTTGAGAGACGGACCTATGGTCTCCCGCCTAGTAAATCTCGCTGCATCGTTAAGGAGGGAGCTACAAGCCGAAGCCCAATTCAAAATACCGTTTCTCCGCTTCATGCGTTTATTGAAACCAAAGGTTACCTTCAGTGTTCCCTCTGTGATGACTGCGGAAATTTCAATCAAGGAGAGACGAGGCACTTCTGCTCCGATGTCAGAAAGGGTGTTGATGGATTGGCCTCCAGCGCCATCAACGGGCTGAAGAATCGCGTCATTGTGTTCATCTTGTTTCATTTGACCAAGGTAATTGAAGCATATTTCCATTGGCCAGTGCTTGTCGAAACGTTGTTTTCCATCGTCTGTTAGGAACCGATACGCGAAATAGGATCGACCTTTCCCGGAGGTGCGGCATCGCGAATCCCTTACCCAGCGAATGGTATCTAAAATAGCATGGGCACCCTCAACGCTTGCATCGGCCGGTAGGCAAATCGGACTCAGTGTTGTGAACCATCCTACAGTAGAAGAGAGATCAAGGTCCATACTCCAGGGTTCTCGTCCATGCCCTTCATTGTAGACTGCTGGAGGCATACTCCTGTCTGGAAATTCTTTGCAAAATGAAAGGAGTAGGGATGCGAGTATAACATCGACAGCCTCGGCCCCAAAACTGTCGCTGCATGCTGCCAGAAGTTTGGTGGTAACATGGGCAGCTAGTTCAATTTCCTCTGTCAAAACATCACCGTACAGGTTGGGTAGGTTTGACATTCCCCAGTAATCAAAGTCAGCAGTTGGCACGTCGAGGGCTGGAAGAACGGTTTCAACAAGTTCCTCCTGGGCCTTTTTCGATTGCAGTTCGCACCAGTTCTGAAATGAAAGCGAACTATGAGGTTTAAGTTGAGAGCCGGATAGAGCATCCTCCAAATCTTGGAGAATGATACTCCAAGACACAACGTCAATGATTAGATGATGAATAGCCAAGGAAATCTGGACTGTTTGGCTAGGGAGATAGAACATGTCGACGGCAAAAAGAGGACCTTTCTCAATGTTGAGGGACTTTTGGCTGATTTCAATCAGCGACTCCAGGTGATGCTGCTGAGCACTTTTGTGGATACGAAAATGGTACGATTTCGAAATCTCACCGCTGATACGTTGACGCCAGATACCATTTTGGTCCTTTTGGAACCGCGCCCGGAGCATTGGATGAATTGTTACCAAGTCATCAAGGGCGCGAGTGATCTTGTCAGATTTCACTGGTGATGTAAAACGCAGTAGGACGCTCTGATTGAACTGTCCCCGAGCTTCGCCGATATAGTCAAAATATAGTTGCTGAATAGGTGATAAATCAAAAGGCTTTCCTTCTTCAAGTTTGCGCGGTTCTTCTGTTTCGAATTTAGTTCTGACATTTGTGCCGCTGGAAATCTTGACCATGCGTGAAAGTTCAGTGATTGATCTGGCCTGCATGATATCCTGGACTGTAACTCCAAGGCCTTGTGAACGGCACCTTGCCATCACTTGCATGGCCGATATGCTATCACCTCCCTGAAAGTGTGTTAGCAACCGAGCAGTAGGGGAAAATGATGTGTGGACGCGTACCAAATGCAAAAATGACGCCTCGGGCTCAACCTCCTCAAGGGGCAGTTTTAGAACGTGGCTCCAGACCCTTCGCAGCTCCTGGACGATGTCTGCCGTTGGGACGGCATTAGTAGTCGGAGTTTTGGCGACTTCCACAGCTTTCTCAAATTTTTTAATCTGCTTAGTGAGCCTGACCCGAGTTGCTAACTCAGCAATTGATTTGGTTTGCATGATGTCCTGCACCGTCACTCCTAGACCATAAGTTCGGCATCTTGCCCATGAGTTGCATAGCGGAAATACTATCGCCTCCCCTAGTGATAGGATTAGTTGACTAATATGTAATGTTCTTGACTGGATTAACTTACCAAGTGCAAAAACGAGGAGCTTTCGAGCTCAACCTCTTCGAAAGGCACCTTAAGCACATGACTGCAAATCCTTCGGAGCTCTTCGGCAATCTCGATTTGAGGCGGTACTCCAATTTCTTTCGCCTCTACTGCTTTCGAGGCTTGATGAACACTATCTTGCTGTTCTTCTAATTGTTCAATGAATCTTATTATTTGCCGGCGATCCAATTTCCCGGACGGCAGAATGGGTACCGTTTTGAAAGAAAGCCACCTTGTCGGGACCATGTATGGCGGAAGGCGCTGGCGTAGCCGTTCTCGAATAGCGGTTACAGTAGAACTCGCATTTTTGGAGGTTATCAAATCGAGTTTGTTGGACGAATCTCCTTTCGCAATGCCTTTCGGGAAGATGGCAGCTGCCAGCTTCTTAGCATGGAGACCACTTGTTGGCACAGTCACGAGACAATTTAAAACGGCCTCATCCGCTCGGAGGTAGTGTTCAACTTCTTCAACTTCAAGTCTCTGCCCTCGCACTTTTGTTTGAGTGTCCTTCCGGCCGATGTATATGATATCCATCGACCCATCGCCATTGTACCTCACAAGATCGCCGGTCTTGTACATTCTCCTGTCCCCTGGGCTTATGCTCTGTGCCCAGCGAGGGTTTCGGATAAATGCGGCCTCTGTCTTTTCGGGATTCTTGAAGTAGCCTCGGGCAACCGTAGGACCTTCCACAAGCAGCTCACCCACCGCTCCAACCGGAACGAGCCTGTCATGGTTCCGTGCATCTACAATCCAGCACCGATCAAGGCGTTGTCCAATGTTCACGGGGCTAGTTTCCACGGTTATCTTGTTATTAACCGTCGCAAGTACGGATACCTCCGTCGGCCCATAGCCATTTATCAGTTCAACTTTATCAGCCCAGGTGGTGACGTGAGAATGGGATAGAGCTTCACCGACGAGCGACACCGTCTTAAGATTTGGAACCTCTTCTGGGGTCAAAAGGTGGATGAACGAGGGAGTAAACTCGGCCCAGTCGATATTCATTTTGTTGATAAACTCCTGAATCTCATTCAACCGAACAAACTCATCTGGCATGCAAACACACGCACCTAGAATAAGAGACGAAAACGTTTCAAGTAAACTAGGGTCAAAGGTAAAGGACGCGAACTGAAGTACGCGACGTCTAGCTCGAATGAACATCACAGGGCCATGTGCCATGGCGCTGGAAGAGAAATTACGATGTTCAACTATTCGGTTCGTCAGCTTTCATCAAAGAAATTATGTAAGATCGAGAAACTTACTCAAAATTCCTTTCGGTTTTCCTGTTGTGCCAGAAGTAAACATCACGTATGCTGGGTTAGTTGACGGCACTGGAGGAAGGCGTTGCTTTGGCGGCGGTAAAGCCTTGACAAACTCCATATCCACAACCAAAACCTGGGGTGAGATAGATTGACAAAGAGACTCGTGTTTTGAGGAGCACAATACAAGGAATGCGCTAAGGTCGGCTGAAATTTCTTGAAGCCGAGATATGGGATGGGTTGGGTCCAGGGGGGCAAATGCGCCGCCGGCTTTCATGACAGCCAGCATCGAAATTACTATGAAAGCTGACTTTTCAAAGCAAAGAGGAACAAAAGTCTCGGGGTCCGCGCCGACTCCCAAGGTGATTAAGTGGTGGGCAAGATTAGTCGAGAGATCATCCAGCTGCTTGAAGGTGAAAGAACCGTCCCAAGCATCTAGAGCCATAGCATTAGGATCTTTTTGGACCTGGTCAAATATCATATCGTGGATACAACGATCATAAAGGGTCGCTCCACTAGAGTTCAACTCTCTAAGAAGTTCAAGGTCCCGGGAGTGCATAAGGTCCATATCACCAACTTTGACTTGTGAATGCTCGCTTGAAGCTAATCGCCCAAGAATGGTTTCTAAATGGCTCAAAACTTGTTCCACTTGCCATGACGGGATAATCTCTGGATCGTAATGCGTATCGATGCGGGCCTCTGACTTACTTATTGTGCAAGACAGATTCAGCGGGTAGGAGAAGAAATTGCTCCCACCCATTCCGGAACCGACCATGTCCCAGAAACCATCTGCGGATTCATCTGCATCCTGGGTAATAGTGAGCAGATTTTGAAATTCACAGGCCACAGCCGCGTCGGATCCCAGCCGTTTAATATTTTGCAGCCCACAAAATTGATAGGGCATAGCCTGCACAAATTGATTTTGGACATCTTTCAAATATTCGGCCACGGTGAGCTCACGGTTTATGCGAATTCTTGACGGTATAGAAGTGAAGGTTGGGCCAATCATGTCTTCAATCCCTGGAACAGGAGCATCTCGTCCTGTGAGCATCTCCCCGAAAATAACATCATCAGAATAAGAGTAGAGCGATACAACCAACGCCCACGCGGCGCGAATTATGGAAGCCACCGTGATTTCCCTATCTAAGAGTGGTGGAATCGGAATAAGTCGTGCAATCTTTTCGCTTGTATTGACTTGGTACTGGGGCCTTGGAAGTCGCGGCCAGGGTGCAGATGTTGGGTCATCTAGTCGGGCCCTCCAAAAGTCATCGGATACCTTTGTGTCAATCGAATTCAAATATTCAATAAATTTGGCAAATGGTGCTTCGACTGCCGTTGCGGATAGATTGGGATTGCCATAACAGGCGGCGACTCGGTCAAGCAGCGTCGGGATACTCCATCCGTCGTATAAAGCATGATGAACTATCCAGACGAACTGCGGTGATTTCGATCCCTCGCCCACGATGATATACCGCGAAAGCGCCCCTCCATCATGTATAGGCAAGTGACGGTCCTCATTTTGAATCTCGTGGATCGTTTTAACGGATTTCCAATCTGCCGGCTCATTGACAACGACTTGAAGAAAGCCTAACTCTTCGGTAAAAACGATGCGGGTGCGTAGGACAGCATCAACGTCGGCAATGGCCTGCCATGCTTTCCGGAATTTATTGATATCAATGTCGGATGCCAAACGGAACACATTTTGAGCAACGTAAGCCCCCGGCTGCTTGCTAGATAGGGCAATCAAGCCGCCTTGGATAGATGTGCAAGGATAGATATCTTGCACAGACTTGCTTTCAACTCCGCAGATACTAGCAACCTCATCGATGAGTGGGACAATGGAGACATCTTTCGGAAGTAGGGCGAATGGTTTTATTGGTTCGCGTTCAGCGGCAGATTGTGGTTCCGAGTTAGCAGCTGGATGAATAGAGCTTTCACAATCGGCAGCCATATCTGACAATTTTGGTTTTTGGAAGATAGCCGCCACAGAAAGCACAAGGCCCTTTGAACGAGCAGCGCTAACAAGCTTCATAGCACCAATGGAATCTCCACCATGGCGGAAGAAGCTGTCATCCGCTCCAATCGCCTCCGCCGGTTTGGATAGAATTGAAGCCCAAAGATCTTGCAGCAGCTTTTCTGTTTGAGTTGCAGGCTCTCTACCACCGCCCATCCCCCCAAGCCTATAAGTAGATGCCTGTTCATCCGACATGGAGAGGGCCAAGTGGGATAAGGCTCGTCGGTCAAGTTTACCTGAAGCAGTGAGCGGCATCTTGGTCACCGGAATGTAGGCACTGGGGACCATATATGTAGGAATTGCCGCAGATAATGCGGATTCAAGGGCTCGTACAATTGACCTGATAGATTCAGTCATAGGAAGAAGAAGGTCATCCGAGTCGGTTGTCGTTGTGGTACTGCTTGTTGACATGCACATGAAGACCGCAAGAGCTTTAATCCCGCCGGAAGTTATCAGGTGGACGGCTGATTGAGTAGAGTCTGGCAAGTTTGTTTTGACATGGTGTTCTATTTCACCAAGCTCAATACGTTGCCCATTTAGCTTCACTTGGGTATCTTTCCTTCCGAGATAAACGATTGATCCGTCGCTGTCGTATCGAACCAAGTCACCCGTTTTGTACATTCTCCTCGTCGACTCCGCACGTCGATTGGGGTCCTTCGCAACCCAAGATGGATTTTCAATAAAAGACTTCGCAGTCTTTTCGGGGTCGTTAAGGTAACCGCGAGACACGATTGGCCCTTCAACAAGCAGTTCACCAACAGCACCTATAGGAACCAGTTTGTTATGGTCCACCGGATCAACTATCCATGAAACACTTCCCGTACTTTTTCCAATGTTAGAAACATCTCCTGACGTCGCAGAGTGAGGGTTATGAGTGCAGTTAATTGAACATTCGGATGGTCCGTATTGGTTATGGATTGGAATTGAACGCCATATATCTTTCACTGCCTTCGTCATGGCTTCACCACCGATTCCAATTTCTTTTATTGACGGAACATCGGCAGGTTGAAGAAATGAAGCCACAGTCGGGGTGAGATCCATAAAAGTTGCATTGAGTTTGTTAATTGCGCCTGCAAGATTGTTGAACCGATCTTCTTCTGAAGGAACACAGACACAACCGCCACGCATAAGGGTTGTAAACATTTCCTCAAGACTGTTGTCAAAAGTGTAGGCAGCGAATTGTAGGACCCGAGTATCTGGTCCAAAGCCCAGAGCAGAACCATGCGCTTCGGCACTCGATACAATTGAACGATGTTCCAAAACAACCCCTTTTGGTTTCCCCGTGCTGCCTGATGTGAAAATGATAAAACAAGGATCGGTCGGTTCTGCAGCTGTGCCGTAAAATTCGTCATACTCTGCAATTTGATCCACCAGATCAGCGTTGACCGCAACGACGTATGAAACCATATCTTCAAACATCGCAGCCCTTTGGGGTGATGCCACTACCATCTGTGCGTCGCAATCCATGACCTTATACTCGAGGGCGTTCTTGGGATGCGTCGCATCTAGAGGCACACACGCACCACCTGCCTTCAACACACCCAGCATAGAAATGACGGTCCACGCAGATTTGTCAAAGCAAATAGGGACAAAAGATCCTGGAACAACGCCCAAGGCTGCAAAATAATTGGCTAGTAGCGTCGAAATCTCATCAAGTTCACGGTAAGTGAATTCGCCATCCCAGGCGCAGATAGCAGGAGCTTCTGGACGAGCTTTCGCCTGCTTACCCACAACCTCGTGTATACATTCGTTAATGCACTGTGGTATCTTGCTGTTCCAAGACCAGATCATTTCGTAATTCTTCGCGCTGACATTATCCAATTCCCCGATGAGTTGTTGGGCGTTGTAGGTAATATTTTCCAGCGACCGAATGAAGTTGTTGGCGATATTTTTTGCTTGTTGGTCGGAAACTGAATCAGTCCAGTAATCCAAGTCGATGGCAACCTGGACATCCGATACTTCGATGTTCAAAGAGACCGGATATTCGGTCGGATCATGTATGGGGCAATGTTCACTGAATTCAATCTCTTGCCGTTTTGCATTTTTCCTTGGTGGAAGACGGCGATAAGAGACACAAGTGTTGAAAAGAGCAACGTCAGAGAGTTTCAAAGAATGTTGAACCTCAGCAAGCGACGTGTGCTTATGCGGTATACTATCCATGTAGTCCTTTTGGACGTCATCTAGAAGTTTGTTAAGAGTGACATTGACAGGCATGTTCACTCGGCATGCTAGCATGTTGATAAAGGGCCCAACGGCGTTATCGATTCCAGGAATCGGCGCATCACGTCCGGAGGACAAGTATCCAAAACATGCTTCTTCAGAGCCAATGTACGATCGCAAAGTTAGCGCCCATGCAGTATTGATAGCATTAGAAAGCGTAAGTCCGTTTGAATCGCAAAAGCTCTGAAGGTCACTTAAGTGCTTATACTCAAGCCTCAAAGTCCGGAGTATCTTCTCAGCGGTCATACCATCGTTCAGCACAGGGAAATGACATGGCTCCACGCCTTTCAAGTAAGAACTCCAGAAAGAAATCCCTGCTGCAATCGGCTGCGTCTGGAGATAGCCTATAAAGGCACTGTAAGGTGTTGCAGGCTCAGTTGCGAGTTTCCCAGCATATGCCAATTCGAGGTCACGGAAGATGATCGAGATTGACATGCCGTCCATGATAGCATGGCTAAGTTCAATTCGACAGAAGACTTTTCCATTTGATGTTTGGCAAACTGTGAATCGGTGAGGTGGTTTGCTGACTTTATAATCAAATGACTCTTGTTTCTGCAAAGTATGAAGCACGTCGTTCTCGCTCTTACACTGTAGTCGGATCAGCTCAGCGCTAACTGATTTGAGGACCACTTGATTATAAAGCCCGTCGGAAGTTAACCCTTCTATAAACACTGTGCGGAGAGCCGGATGGTGTGCTACCACCTTTAACCAAGCCGATGCGAGCCGATCAGCGTCCACTCTGTCACGGTCTTGTGGTTTCACTTCAAAGGTTCCATGAACTGAGTAAAATGCCCCGTCTTTTGTTTTGCTAAGAAGCAACCCTTGTTGCATTGGCGAGCACGGACAGACATCCTCGACTTGATCAAAACTGGATATGCCGATTTGGGGTAATTTCTCCGTGATCATGGAGTCGAGATTATCGTATGTTAATGGCAACAGCGGGAAATCGCTCAATGTGATTTTAGGGGCCATTGCAACAAATTGCTCGGCAATAAGCTGTAAATTACGTTGACACTGAGAAACCCATTGCCGGATAGCAGATTGGTGCCTCATATGTCGGTTGAATGTGAAAGCAAATCGCAGCTTTCCACAAGCGATGACGGCGGAAATTTCGAAGAGACCGAACCGGGGTGTGGTCTTGTCATAGTCGGCTGACCCTCCAGCCTCTCTAGCCTCACCGGCCATCTCATCGACAGGTTGAAGAAGGGCATCCTTCCGCTCCAATTGCTGGTACTGCCCTAAATAATTGAATGACACCTCCATTGGAGCATGATGGCGGAACTTGTCTTTGCCGCCTTCAGTATGGAATCGACTCGCGAAATACGGCCGGCCATTACCAGGTACACGGCGACGTATATCTTTGACACGCATTACGGTATCCACGATATTATCTGAGGCTAAAGTAGGAACAAAGACGGGGTACACGGTTGTAAACCAGCCGACGGTACGGGAGATATCAATCGAGTCGTCCCAAGGCTCACGTCCATGACCCTCGTTGTAGATGGCAGGCACAACACGATCATGAAACGTGTCAGCGAATGAATGAATGAGCGCAGCAAGGAGGATATCCAAAGATTCAGTGCGCAGGACGTCGTGGCAGTCCGTAAGAAGCGTTGAGGTAGTCGGAGCGTCGATCTCAAATCCCTCACAAGCAGAATCACCGTAAGTGTTCAATCGAGGGTCAATATTCCAGTACGCAAAGTTGCCGCTGGGAATATCTTCAGTCGATATGACCTTCGACAAATCGAGATCCTGACAATGATCTATTTGCAATTTGCTCCATGTTTGAAACGGAATGGATTTCGAAGCCAAGGAAGGGCTTTGGGGGTCCAAAAGAAGCTCCTCCAAGTCTTCCAGAATCACTCGCCAAGAAACCAAGTCAATGACCAAATGATGGCCAATCACCGACAGGAGTTGCTCTTTCCCATCGATATCAAAAAGGTCCGCAGTGAACAGAGGCCCATTCTCAGCGTTTATTGAACGCTGGCTGTCACCAACCATTGACTCTGCTTGATCCCTTGATCGACACTGGTGAATACGAAGTTGATAGGAGGAGGCTACGTCGCAAGTAATGCGCTGTTTCCAATTTCCATCCGCGGTTTGGCTGAATCGGGCACGCAACATTGAATGACGATCAACGATGGCGTGAACTGCCTGACGAAGGGTCTCTTCCGTTGTCGGTTTGGCAAGCCTCAAGAAGAAGCTCTGGTTAAAATGCCCCTGGTCCTCCCGGCGGACTTGAAAATGATATTGTTGGATGGGAGTTAGATCAAATAGCTGTTCGACCTCTTCCTGATAGTCAACTGTCTGGATGTTGGTTCTTGCAAGGACGGCAAGGTCACGAATTGACTTGCTCCTTAGAACCTCCTGGACGGTGAATCCAAGACCGGCCTTTTTGCATTGGCCCATGCATGTCATTGCTGTAATCGAATCTCCACCTAAGCTGAGGAAGCTCTGGCTTAAACCTACTCGGTTGATAGGGAGATTGAGAACACGGCTCCATACCATTCTCAGCTTGCCTTCCACCTCATTGGCGGGTTCTTCAGAGTCATCGCCAGCATTTTCAGCGGGCGCGACCTGGAGATAGAACTCGTCATCAATTTCATCAACCCATTTGGATACCGCCTTACGATCCAATTTCCGTGACGACAACATGGGGAGCATTTCAACACAAAGCCAAATGCTAGGAACCATGTATGAAGGTAAGTTTGCGGTTAGACGTTGCCGTATTGCTTCGACTGGGGTGTGTCTGACGTCTCTCGCCACTAGTCCAAGTAGTTTCGGGTCTGATGGGACTTTGGAAACTAAATGATCTGCAAGGGTAAATATGGACACAATGTGGCCCTTGCAGCGACCGTTTTTGGGAAACAAAACGAGACCATGGTTGACGTTTGGATCAGCAGCGACATGATGCTCGATTTCGCCAAGTTCGATACGTTGGCCGTGGAATTTTATTTGGGTGTCTTTTCTTCCCACATAGTCGAAGGAACCTTCAGGGGAATTATAGCGAACAAGGTCGCCAGTTTTGTAGAATCGTCTACATTCCCCGTTGTTTTGTTTGGCCCAGATGGGTCGGTTGATGAACGCGTCGCTGGTCTTTTCAGGGTTTGCGAGATATTCCCTTGCAAGACTAGGCCCTTCTAGAAGCAATTCGCCCGTGCAACCGGGCGGCAAGAGCTGGTGATGATCGTCAGGGTTCACGACCCAGCAATGCAAACCGGTTGGAAAGCCGATATCTTTCGGATCGGTTGCAGCCGTCACGTGTGAATTTGTGACTGCTGATACCGAGGATTCGGTTGGGCCGTAGCCATTGATCAGGGTGATCTGCGACCAGATATCGACATGTGATTGCGACATGGCCTCTCCCGCTAAAACAAGGACCTTTAAACCGGGAACTTGCGCTGGCTCGACAAAATTTACAAAAGATGGAGTCAGAACTGCAAGATTCACTTGCATCTCATTTATCGCGCCAACAATGTCGTTCATTCGCGCCTCCTCGCTCGGTATACACACTGTCCCACCGACCAGCAGCGGAGTGACCATCTCCACAAGACTAGCATCGAAGGTATGCGCAGCGAACTGAAGCGAGCGAGACTCTTCGCTAATGGAAAGTGCGGGGGCGTGGGCTTTCGCTCCAGAAACATAAGCCGCATGTTCGACCACGGTGCCCTAAACTCAATGTTAGTTCTGTGGTCGAAACTCGCCCAAAGGGTTATTAGAAGATACCTTTGGTTCCCCAGTCGAGCCTGAGGTGAAAATCAGGTAGGCCGCATTACCAGGCCTACATCGCGGCACATAATTGTCCTGTGTTGGCAGAGACGCGAGATTATCGATCAGCTCTTGATCGACAGAGATTATCTTCTCGGTCGTCTCTAACAGGCGGCCGGCATGATGTGTGGAACTCAAAAGAATTTTTGCTTCAAGTTTGTGAATTAGCGATTGGAGGCGTGGAATTGGGTGCGCAGGATCGAGCGGGACGAAGGCGCCACCAGCCTTCAATATCGCGAAAGTTGCAACAGCGTACCATTTCTGCGCCTGTTAGGTCTTTGGAGAATTGAGAACCTAGTGATCTACGAAAACTCACCGATTTATCGAAGCAGCATGGAACGCGAACCTCCGGCCCGACACCCATCTCAACCAAATGGTTGGCCAATCGCGATGTCACTCGATCGAATTCGGCATAAGTAAAACTGCCGTCCCAGGCACAAATAGCTTCTGAGTCCGCTCGGCGAACCGCTTGCGCTTGGAAAACTTCGTGGATGCACTTTTCCACCTTCTCCAGTGGTTTATTATTCCACTTTAAGATCCTTTTCATATGCCGATCAGTGAACCAGTCGATATTTTCGATTCGAACCTGAGGAGAACAAAACATGATGTTGAGGACCCTATCGAACGTGCTCGCAACATCTAGGGCTTGGTCCATGGTCATGTCGGAACTCCACCATTCCATGAACATGCTAATCGTGCCGTTTAATTGCTTGGCGAGAATGCGGATCCGGCACTGCAATGGTTAGATTTGAGCGTCTTAGCCAGGCGTTTGGCAGTAAACTTACTTCTTCTGGGAGAATCGCATTGAATGGCCGTGAGTTAACCGATGCATCGCTCGAAGCTCCTACGTTAGACGTCCGAAACACCAACATCGTATTGAAGGGCTGGTGCTCAGAAGATCTCGCAAATGGCGCATGACCATGATATGGGAGGCATTGGGAGTACTCACCTTGGGCGAGCTCAATCAGCTCGCCTAGAGTTGCGTCGCCGTTTAGCTGCAACCGCGCGATTGGCACACCAAAGAGCCCTTTTGTCGCGTTGACCTCACTGTGTATTGCTCCAGAACCAATCTCCTGGTATCCAAAGCAGACGTCCTCCGAGTCAGTATAACACCGGAGTACCAGTGCCCATACAGCACGCAAAACGGTGGGCAGTGCGGCACCCCCAGAGACGGCAAGGTCCTGAAGCTTCTGCGACTCCCTTAAATTCATCCTAACTGTCATGGGACGCTTGGTGCGTTGATGGGATTTCGCGCCGAGTCGAGGGAATTGACACGGAGTCAATCCGGCCAGATGGTTTTGCCAATGCTTCGCCGCATTGTGAGCTAAACCCGCATTCGTCGCCATCTTTTCAAGTTCTTCGAGGTATATTCGTCGATTATCTCAAATCTTCATCTCAGTAAGGACCCAGCACAGCTCCGATTAATACTCACATTAAGTTGTTACACGGTGGTTAGATAATTTGGTTAGATATTAGTATCGGCGTGAAAGGCTATATCAGCGCCTAAGGAAAGTCAAGCTGTCTGGAAGCTTCAAACGAGAGAGGTAGCCGAGGAGAAAACGAATCGACTATGGGACGGCCAACGGATCTAATGTTCAGATGAGGTTATCCTTCCAGATTTTTGTGTTCGGGCCAAACCGATATGCCGAATGCCGGAAAAGATATCTCGAGTCTTGTCTACAGCGATGCTGGCGGGTGTCGCGCTCTTTCTCAAAGACTATGTCTTGCGACGCGGACGTCTGGTATGACGATCGTTTATATCGGAAGTACCGAGAGCTTCTCAGTCCGAAAATAGCCCTGGAAGAATTTGCCGGTGATCGAGAACGGCGGTGATCTGGCCACGGTCCTCCCGATGGTGGTGCGCAAGGCTGGCTGGTAAGTATAAAGAGATGGTGGCGGGCAAGATGGAGCAGATGACAATGGCACTCGAACACAATGAGCCGAGCAAGCGAACCGTAGGATCAGGGGAAGAATAACGGCAGAAAATGAACTTCCTAGGATATTCGATTCCCGCCAGGGAATTCCAAATGTCCGCTGAAATCTTCCATGCATCTCATGGTCCCTTGTCCCAAGTCTGGGAAATCCTGGATTGTGGCTAAAGTTCACGCACGCAGCAGGGATGACGGCGAAGGATGGAAACAGACTCGTATCGATACAACCCCTTCCAGGTCCTCCATGCCTCACTCCAGTGGCCATGGAAGAGGACCTGTCTGGACAGTATTCTATTCCGGGATTGATCTGCACCCGACAGAGCGCACTCGTCCTCCACATTTCTTTTTCCGAATCCGCTGTTCGGCGTCCCTCTTCGCCGGGCCTCCTCCCCAGGGCTCCAGGTCAGCGAAGCTGCTGAATGGTGGGCCTTTTTGAGTGAGGACATCGAGTGTTCAAGGCCAGCAAACGATGGGCCTTCCTAGTGCTTCCTTGATTTTCCAGTCTTTGCGCTGGTGCAGATTGCAATCGTTTGGCGTGAGCGGTTGACGAGCCAGGAGGTTGAGTGGAAGGTGGCTTCCATAACCGGAGCTAGGGGCTTGGCAGGTCCCATGCGGAGCGAGCTGGCCCGTGCGTCGCCACAAATGTTGTCACGGTATTTTACCGCCATGCCCAAAGGGGCAAGGCTGTCATCTTGCAAACGAATGCAGCCTAGCGCCCCCAAACGAAGATCCGCAAGGTGCAGAATTTAGCTATCCGCACGCTAAATCCTAAATAATTGCTGCAGGCGCTCGCCACGCTAGCACTCGCCAAAGCCCTGGAGTTTGGAGACTTGCGTGGTATTTCAGCCAGCGATCCCTCGTTCCTCGACGACATGAGACTCCAAATATAGCCTGGTGGGACCATATCGCTTCCAGAATCCAGAGAACCAGATTAGAATTCATGAACCGCTGGGGATGCTGACACTTCTACAGAGGGACAACTATTGAGGAGGGCTGAGAGCAGTGGCTCCTTCGTACTCTGAACAGAGTATTCTGTACTTTGATCTCTTTTCTCCTAGCCCGGGCAGCCGCTTGAGCTGACTTGGAAAACTCATTAGCTCCATCACGTGTGTCCAAGCTTCAGCCCATCAGCTTCAGACAACGCACTCGTCAACTTGCTGATGTGTGACCCGAAAAAAATATCGGCTTTGGGCTTTGCATCAATTGACGCTGACAGCTTCATGACAGGCTCCCTGGGGGATTTCTTCTTCCGGGTCCAGCCAATAATCTGGGTCCCCATGCAATGCCCTGTTGAAGAATAAAGCTGTTCAAGAACACAGCGGCATGACCGTAAGAAAAAAGGGCAAAAAAAAAAGCAATGCGAATAACCGACTGTCAATCCCTTCCTTGGTCTGGTTCGTTCAACACGAGCTGCTTTCAAAGCTTTCTCGTTTCGACCTTGCCGGAAGAGAATTACCAGTTCTCTGACGGGGTATGTCCCGATTAAGCGTGACGAGCAGAAAAAGTCAGCCCAGTTACTATCTCAAGAACCTCGCGGAGATTTTCACGCCACCATCCAACTCAAGACTCAAACATCGGGGGCGAGATCACATTTTCAGCAAGCTTTTTTTCTCTTCGCTTTGCTGCTGGTGACTTACTCCATTCCTGAATTCTAATTCCGGGAGCACGCGCAAATGTTGACGTTCATTGGATTGGTGATCATTTCCAGATCGCGTCAAAGCAAAATCGTGGACGCCATGTTCAAGGCTTGAAGCAAGAGCGCCACGACGGTAAAGAGAAAAGCCCGATGTTGTCAGTGGCGGTCATCGGTCGATATCAGAAAAAGCAATTCCGTCCAAGGCTCCACTGATTGCTGGCCAAGTTGATAATCACTAACTTGATACGGGAGGTGTCTCTCCTGAGTTTATTCTCTACCAGTCGTTTTCTTCCGAACTGCAGCTTTTGTTGACGCGCCTTTTGCTTTTGTTGTGGAAAGATGAAGTGTGAATCAACGCAGAATGAAGATTCATGAGTTGCCTGGCGAAGGGGCCTGGTGAGACCCCACCAGTGGCAGGTATTCTCGCCTTGTGTCTCGATGAATTGATTCCAGGACATCCGGTTAACCTCTTTAGACGTTTCACAGGCGATATTCAAATTTCATTACGTGCAGAGAATAACCTCCGATGCTTGACAAATTTCAGAGAATTATATCACCGGAGCAGTACGAGCGAACCAGAATTCGATAAAGATTCATTAGTGAGTTTGCCTGCTCCAAGCTGCGAAAAGTGTTGGTCAACTCACTCGTATGTTCTGTCGGCAGAGTAACATCGAGAGTGCAAGCAGGGAATAATAGCGAGAATTGTCACCATTGTATACGACCTGGCCTGGCGTCTAAAGGACGGTGGAAATCCCGCGATGCAATGTAGGAGGTGCGGCAACTATCAAGTCGCGAACTAACTAGTTAACCAAGCACCGATGTGAATCAGGAGTAGGAGTGATCGCATCATCGATCAAGGAACGGGGCCCGTATTCAGTGTGAGGGGCGGGGCCAAGAGGTTCCAGGTCCAAGTCCTGTTTTTGCGATGAGGAAATCAGAGTAATGAATACGGAGACGATGATTAATCGAGACTGCCGGCAGCGAAGAGAGAAGCGCGACCGGCATCCTGACTACGGGAAATAGCACCGAAACATCAGAGCAAGCGAGGGCACGACTCCGCACGGGTTTCATTTTCATTTCTCTTTGCGGCAAGGCGTCTTGTACTGGTCTTGTCACACCGCAGTCTCGTACCAGCGTCACGTGGTGGCGCTATTGCTGCTTCGGGCTAGCGTGCATGGACCAAAGAGGCTTCAGCACCGCAGATCCTCGACCGGGGTTTCCAACAACCACAAAGCTTGGCCTCAACAACACATCTTCGTCTTGCGGAATTAGGCGAGAAGATCATCTTCTCTTCCATCCCAAACGGCTCAGCCTTTCTGCACCACACGGCTTCGTCGTGGTGGCTAAACTGATTCAGCCCGTCGTTTGCGCTGGGGAGCTTTGAAATCGTCGCCTAGCGCGCAGGCCGTACCCAACCTTGCTGCCATCTCTGTCACCCCCGGCAGGTTGCCCACAATGTCTGACTTGAGCCACACCTACGGAGCGTGTGAGCTGAACGGGATATCGCCAGCGTCCGGATGCTCCCTTGCTTCCAGGGCAGATACGCGTATTGTACGGTTCCATTGGCTCGGTGTGGGCGAAGTCCCGAAACAGTCGCATACGACGAGCTTGATCCCAGTACCCTCATACTTCTATTTTAATAACTAGGATCAAGATGTTCCGTATTACCGCTTGTTTCTTCCTGCTTCCCTGTCTTGCCTAACCAGGGACCTGACCTGTGGACCCTTACCTGCAGGCCCAGAATCTTCGTTCGGAATTAGGCTGCTTTCCAGTTCATTTGTTTTCCTTTGCTTTTGATTCTTAGCAGGGGAACGGCCACCCACGGATCAGATGGAGAACAAACAGCCTTGATGATCTACCTCTGCCATGACCCTCGTGGGTTGATGATGACATGTTTTAATCATAGGGGGGGGGGGGCGCGCAGACATTCAAACTTATTTGTCTTCACTTTCTCGCACTGAGTGAGAACTGTCTTCTTGCTCTCCCGCCCTCTGTCTGCACCCTTTCAAGTCTGCTGTCTCGCCCTTCACTGTAACTGAGGACGGGACGACATGGCTTCCCATAACTTATCATCGTGTGTGCAAATCGACGATACCTTCGGGCCGTATGCGTTACACTGTCGGGGCGGCTTCGACTTTACGCTCCTGTTCGAGGAGACCTTTCTCACTATTGTGCCTCTCGGGTTGCTGCTGCTCATCGCGCCGTTCCGTATCTTCTACCTATTGAAAAAGCGGAAGAAAGTCAATGATGGCCCATTAGTACATTTGAAGCTTGTAGGTTTATTATAGCGACCATCGATGCGCTTGGTAGTAAAGTAGCATGGGCTAACGTGTGTCCGGTCCGACAGACCACGCTCTCCGCGTTCGCAGTCCTGCACTTGATTCTTCTAGTGCTTTGGGTCCGACCGTCCGTTGACAGAACTCGAACTTCACTCGCTACCAGTGTGATAACGCTCACAGGCGCACTCGGCTTCTGTCTCTTGTCATATTTTGAGCATCTCCGCTGCGTTCAACCATCCTTTCTGCTCAATGTCTATTTCCTTTTCACAATTCCCTTTGATGCGGCCCGGTGTAGGACGCTATGGCTACGACGGGAGAACGACTTTGGCTATCTGATCGCTCTTGCGTTCACTGTGACTGTGGCTCTCAAAGCCGTGATCTTGCTTTTAGAGGGAGCATCAAAGCGTGGCATTCTGAAAACTGAGTACCAATCCTACCCCCCGGAGGCGACGAGTGGAATTATCAACCGGTCCCTCTTTTGGTGGATTAACCCATTGCTCTGGTTTGGATACTCCAATTTTCTTTCAATTGAGGACCTTTATAACCTTGATAAGCACCTTCTTTCGGAGCGGGTGCATCAGCGGATGGAGATAGCATGGAACAAAGGTATCACCCCCGAGTTTTGTGATAAATATGCTTCTGCTAACCTCACATTTTATCTTAGTTACGAAAAAGGGCCCTCACTCATTGCTGCTTGTCACGATGAAGGTCTTGAAATGGCCATTGCTGTCGATTATAATTCCACGTCTTTGTCTTATCGGATTCATGTTTGGGCAACCATTCCTGATCAACAGAGCAATCAAATTTGCTACATACCCACCGATAGATGGGGCAGCTTCTGGGGAAAACGCTGATAGCGTTGGATACGGTTTAATCGCAGCTTATATCCTTGTTTATGTCGGCATAGCAGTAGGTTTTTACCGTCCTATGCATTTGTTTAGCTCTGAGCGTCCATCCGTTCTAACCGAATGCGCAATCCAGGTATCGATGGGACAATATCAACACTTAACCTATCGGGCAATTACAATGGCCCGAGGTGGCCTCATTGGAATGCTGTATAGGAAAGCAACCGATCTAAGCATAAAAGACGTCGATCCGGCCGCGTCCATGACACTGATGAGCGCCGATATCGAGCGGATCGTTCATGGTTGGCAAACCATGCATGAAATTTGGTCCAATGCCGCCGAGGTTGGCATTGCGATTTTCCTCCTTTACAACCAGCTTGGAATTGCTTGTGTGGTACCAATTGTGGTATCAGTTGTGTCCCTTTTCTTGTCAATCATCGCGATGAACTTTGTGATGGCTCACCAGGCCCTGTGGCTTGAAGCAATTGAAAGGCGTATTTCGGCCACCACCACCATGCTTAATTCCATGAAGGGCGTCAAAATGTGTGGTCTCAAACAGACACTACTCACAAATCTACATAATTTGCGAATTGAGGAATTGACGATCTCCAAAAAATTCAGAAAGCTACTAATTTGGAACATGGGTTTTGGTGAGCCAAAATCCCTATTGTTACGCCTGCTGCGCTTTGTTTATGCTGACAAATGGCTTAGCATACATATCCCAGGTTTTCAGCCCTATTCTCACATTTATGGTCTTTGCTATCTTGGCAAAACGCGATGGGAATAACTCAATCCTCGACTTCGCAAGGGTCTTTACATCCCTGGCGCTTTTCGCGCTTTTGTCCGAGCCCTTACAGTCTCTGATCATGGCATTGGCGACGTTCCTTGGCTCGGTAGGTTGCTTCGCTCGAATCCAGGAGTTCCTGGATAAACCCACCCGTGTCGACCCCAGGCATAAGCCAATGGACATATCGGATGACGTCACGAACAGCTCACAGAGCCTCCTAGCAACGGCGAGGAACAGCATCACAACAGAAAAGACTAGGGTATCAAGCGCCCCAAGTATCTTGGATACTTCCAAATTGACCTTTCCGTTCAAGGATGTGCCTCAGCCGCTCTCCGGGCGGGAAGTGGTTTCTATTCAAGACGGATCTTTTGGCTGGGATCCCGAAAAAGAGCCGCTTCTTAAGGAAATAAGCTTGTCGATCCCCCGAGAGAAACTCACAATGATAGTTGGCCCTGTGGGGTGCGGAAAATCCACTCTTCTCAAGGCTATTCTCGGTGAAGTACCATGCATGGGCGGACGCGTCGATGTGTCCACTTTAAACATGGCTTACTGTGACCAGACCCCATGGCATATGAATGAATCTATCCGAGACAGTATCACTGCCGTATCGGGTTTTGACGAGCAATGGTATACTACCGTCCTACGCGCATGCTCTTTAGAGGAAGATCTTCGACAACTTCCTAGAGGCGATCGGACGATCGTTGGAAGCAAGGGAATCGCGCTCAGTGGGGGCCAGAGTCAACGTATTGTAAGTATCTTTGCCTTCATTCTCCATCTGCATGTCTCTGATGATCGTCCAACAGTCACTTGCCCGAGCCGTGTATGCACAGAAGGAGGTTGTCATCCTGGACGATGTCCTCAGTGGCCTTGACGCCTCAACCGAAAATCACATCTTCCATAATCTTCTAGGGCGAAATGGGTTGTTGAGAAGACTCCACTCAACCGTCATCCTCGTCTCCTCATCCCGTGAGTTTCCTGTTTGCTCAGCAGGGGAATTTGTCTAACTGTAGCGCAGCTAAGCGACTCCCTTATTGCGACCACATCATTGCCCTTGACGCTGGGGGTAAGATTTGCGAGCAAAGCGATTTCGAGACCTTGAACTCCGCTGCAGGCTATGTTTCCAGTTTCACACTCCCTCCTCCGGACTGGACATACAAGCCAGATCCCAATACGGATCATAATCTTTCGCTTCTTGCCCAAGAGGAGCCCGAAGGCCTTCGAACGAATGAGGCCTTAGAGGCCGAAGCCAGCAGGAGAACAGGAGATGTGAAAATCTATCTCTACTATATCGGCTCCGTTGGCTGGTTTGCTGCCGCCATCTTCGTTATTTTCGTCTGCGGTTTTGTTTTCTGTATTGCATTTCCATGTCAGTGGTTTCCTCTTTCCACCAAAATACTTCTGAACCTATGTTAACATGACATCTAAATAGCGATCTGGCTTAAAATGTGGGCGGAAGCAAATCTCGCAAGGCCGTACGAACGATTAGGCTACTACCTGGGTATCTACGTTATGCTCGGCTTCGTGGCGATCTTCTGCCTCATGGCTAGCTGTTGGTGAGTTTAGCTAACCTCTGTTTAAACAGCGTATATACTGACTGATAAAAGGCAAATGATTATCACTATGGTGCCGAAATCCGGTGAAGCCTTCCACTTGACGCTACTGAAGACAGTTCTAAGGTAAGCCAGCTTTGCGTTGCTGGTATCTCATCACTCACATTTGATTGCAGTGCTCCGATGTCGTTTTTCTCAACAACCGATATGGGTGTTACAATCAACCGCTTCAGTCAGGATTTGCAGCTCATTGACATGGAACTGCCTGTTTCTGCGCTCAATACGTTTGCAAGTATGGTCCCTCTTTCGGTACCTTTCTAAGCCTAGGATTAACATACTGCGTTCCTCTAGCTTTCATTCTCTGTATCGCTCAGATGATCTTAATCGGTGTATCCTCCATCTACGCTGCTATTTGTTTCCCAATTGTTCTTGGAGCTCTCTACTTTGTCCAAAAGTACTATCTTCGAACATCTCGACAACTTCGTTTCATGGATTTGGAAGCCAAAGCCCCTTTATACTCCCAATTCTCCGAATGTCTGACTGGCCTGACAACAATTCGAGCCTTTGGATGGCAAAGATCCCTGGAAGAGAAAAACCGCTTACTCCTTGATCGGTCTCAAAAGCCGTTCTACCTTCTTTTCTCAGTTCAGCGCTGGTTAACCCTCGTGCTGGATTTGATCGTGGCCGCCATCGCTACTATCTTGATTGTTCTTGTCGTTCAACTCCGGGGCACCATTGGTGGCGGCTATGCTGGTGTCGCATTAGTGAACGTTGTCCAGTTCAGCCAAAGTATCAAGCTATTGATTACCTTCTGGACAACCCTGGAAACCCACATCGGTGCAATCGCCCGTATCAAGGTGTTTAATGAAACGATGGTCCCTGAAGACAAGGATTCTGAGAACAACACACCCCCAACCAATTGGCCGGGAGAGGGCGGTATCGAATTTAAGGATGTTTCTGCTGAGTACAGGTATGTTCCTCTCCGACTGTAATAAAAAATGCGTTGGATTGACAGGTTATAGACCAGGCGAGCCGGTCCTCAAGGGCGTATCCCTGAAAATAAACCCAGGAGAGAAGATTGGTGTTTGTGGTCGAACTGGGAGGTATGGGATTAATTAATTGCAGCTTTGAGCCAGGATGACAATGCTGACTCATTCTGAAACTAGTGGCAAAAGCTCAATGGTTCTGAGCATCTTTAGGATGATCGAGCTGAGCGGGGGTTCTATCACAGTTGACGGTGTTGACCTCAGTACGATACCTAGGCAAGAAATCCGATCGAGAATCACCGGCGTCGCACAAGACGCTTTTATTCTCAAAGGGTCGTTACGTCTCAATACGGACCCAACTGGCTTCCTCGCTGATGGCGCCATTATAAACGCATTGAAGAGCGTGCACCTTTGGTCCGCCGTTGACGAGAACGGTGGTCTTGACGCCGATATTGACGACCTCCATTTGTCACATGGTCAAAAGCAATTGCTCTGTCTCGCGCGGGCGATGCTACGGCCAAGCTCCATATTGATTCTTGATGAAGCAACTAGCAAGTATGTTCTATTGATCAATGGTACCTAGCTACCCGTCCGAGAAGCTAATATACTTCGTTTTATCCAGTGTCGATAGCAAGACCGATGAAATCATGCAACGCGTCATCCGTGAGAAGCTTTCTCAACACACCATTATCGCCGTCGCGCACAAACTTGATACCATTCTTGATTTCGACAAGGTGGCGTTGCTTGAGGGTGGTGTGCTCAAGGAGTACGATGACCCATATACCCTCCTCTCGAGCGATTCAGAGTTCAGCAAACTGTATGCCAGCACGATGTCGGAGCAGCCGGATGAGGTGGGCATCATGGCGGATGACATTACCATATCATCAAGAGCACCAGTCTCACGATAAAAGCACATATTACCAACACTATCCTTAATCTTAATACCGGCGCTTATTGGCGTCCTTGGTTTTGGGGTCTGGGAGGGGAATGCCGGACTTATTGGCGTGGTGTTGTATATTGGTCCATGAGTACATAGATAGAATTGCTTTTATACATTGTTATTCTTTTCACCTGCATCCGTCTATGCACAATTAATTCATGGCTCAACCATGCATGTTTGAGCTTAAACCTTGGCATCTGATGGATTGTTTTGAAAAAGTTTTAGGGACACAAGAAATAGACTTGTTAAATCATAATGATCCGAGTTGGTAATTTCACTGTACATGCCTACTAGGGTGATTTCAACCTCGAGTACGAAAGACTCGGGCATTTTCCCTTGGAAAATGCCTTTTGGTTAATAGGATTTTTAACATCCTCATCTTTCCACTCCTTGGAAGAGGAGTGCATAGAACAACCAAACTCCCCGCAATCTCCGAAGCACAAAAGGTGCCATGAACAAAGCATCCCCGCTAACGAGGGAGCGGGTCTTCATCCATCTCTTCGGAACTTTCCCATGATTTTCCAATCTGCCGAGGGTGGTCTCGGATGGTTCTCATATTTGATACCATCTGCGAAAAATGACAGGGGACAACCCGGATTGCTAATATACTTCCGGAGGTTGGGTGGGCGAACTGCAAAAAGAAAAAAAAGAAAAGGCGTCCTTGGCCCGTTGTTGGATTTTTTAATCATCAATGATAATAATGGCTTGCCGGTTGGTCAGCAAGCTGGCAAGACGACCCTAAACCGGATCTTTGGGAACTGGAAACCAGGGCTTTTTCGGAGTCCAAGCGGCCGAAGGAAATATTACTGAACTCATTGTGGGATGATGATAACGACTGACTTTTCCTCACGCGCCTGAACGAATCATTGAATGCGCGGTATATGTATACCTCGCGCCATGGCTTCGGGTTCACGGTATGTAGTGGGTTGGCAAGCTTCCAGCGCCTGATGTCCGCTCTATTCCTTGTGGAACCGTCATTATCAAAATGATGCTTGTTCCTCCCTGAATAATGAAAAGCCATTCGGAGCAGAGGCAAGAATCGCGCCCACTACTAGGGGAGACCTCCCAGTTTCGCTACAGAACGATGAAAAAAAAATTGCACAATGCAGATTTCGCGTCAGTTCATGGTGGGCAGGGCCAGCTCTCTCGATGCAGTGGTTGAAATGTTGCATTTCCCCGGGTGGCGGCACTGTCGATGCCTTCCCTCTTATTCGTGCATGCATCTCATCTCAGCACCCCTGCAGCCAGCAACCGAATCCCGAGAGGGCTGCGTGGGACCACCAGCGAGGGATCAGCCGGGCAATACTTGGCGTGTTATACCCCATTCAGAGAACATTCCAGGTGTCTTCCATGTTCAGGGTAGCATCAAGGCCATGTTGATCTGAAAGCCGGGGGGTGGGATCGGGCGAATCACTGGCGCATGCTCTTTCGAATGCTGCGTGAAAGCAGCGACTCGACTCTATCCGCGGGCCCGTGGATTGTGATTAGAAATACAGACGAAATGTCCCGGGCCGCGATGTGGCTGTTGAGACGTGAAGTTGCAAACAAAGAGAATCAGCCAACTTCAGACGAAAAAACACGGGGCTGCTCGCCAAGAAACAGGGGGTCATCGTGGCCGGACTTGGCGTAGATCCAGCCAATCAGCTTTGGGATATTCCTGGGGAAACGCATTCAATCTTAATTATCAGCCAATTGGAATTTAGAAGCCCCAAATCAATGAGCCATTCAGCCAATCATAAAACGTAGTTATTAGCGCGCGCCCCTTCGTTTAATTAGTCTTTCTAGAATCCTTGGCGCAATGGAAGGGCGGGACCACGCTACATTGTCAACGCTAATGTTATATAAGCAAATATTGCGGTCCTCTTATAGTCGGTCACTAGCCTTCCTCATCGCTTCATTGGTCGTCTGGCGCCAAATCCAGCTGCCCTAGCTTTGGGGCCGCTGACGGCTGAGATCGCGCCGAGCAGTGATCGCCTTTGCGGTGCTGCGAGGCCGCCGCCCATCCGTTTTTCAGGGCGCGGCACCAGAGGTCCTTCGAACGGGCGCTGAGATTGCCTCTGGCTTCCCTGAGATCCCGCTAGGGTTGCCTCTGAATCCAGCTCCATGCGACTTTACCCGGCTGCTTCGGCCTCGCCAGCTGAGTCCGAAATCGCCCATGCTAGATGACAGCGTTTTGCTTTGAAGAGAATGATTCAAAGGGCTTCGCTCCTCAACAAGGCTGTGGAGCGCAGAAACTGACAGGCGGCGGGCGTGAGCAAATAAATTGGTGGTAAGTTGTAACCGAGTTAGTGGCGCCCTTTAGACTCCTTTGGCTGTTGTTCTCGTGGAGTCTGAACCTGAGACTTTGCAGATCGGCCACTAAACGAAATCGCAACGACATCTCTTCCTCATCTCAATCTAGCCCATTTCTTTTTCTTCTAATGAAGACCTGCTTCCTGCAAGCCTGCGATCTCGGCCGAATTCCCGCACTCGCATTTTCCTGAATAGTTATTTGAGAGTCCCCTCCCGTTATGGCGGAGACAATGGCATTTCGTCGACCAAGAACTCGCTGAATACGACCACGAAACCCATCCTCGACCGATCGCTCCACCTTCCGAACGTGCAGGGAATCATCCTCCTTATTTCGACGTCATATATCAGAATCAGTTTGTCCAGTGTCGTGAATGTCTCCTCGCCATGTCTGCACAGGGACCAACTGCCGCCGCCGCCGTCCCTCTGCCCCAGAGAAACCGGAAGTCAGCCAAGCAAGTCGATGGCTCGTCGCCGGCACCCCGCAAACGGCGAAGACGAGCGGTAGGGAGCGGCGCTGCGGAGGATTGTTTTACGTGCGCCAGCCGTCAGGTCAGCTGTGATCGGAGGAGACCATATTGTACCCAGTGCTTGGATTTGGGGGGGCGGTGCTCCGGCTACAAGACGACGTTGACATGGGGTGTTGGTGTCGCCAGTCGCGGGAAACTTCGAGGATTGTCGTTACCTATCTCCGGTTCTCAGAACGTCGCCGCGCCTGTCTCGCAGACCACGACGAGAAAATCTATACCGAGGAGTGTGTCGCAAGCGAAAGCACAGCCAGCCGGGTTGACACCGACTCAAACACAGTCCGTGAGATCGCAACAATCGTCCGCTCCATCGGCCCATTCGAGTCCGTACTCAACCTCCGCTAGCTGGGCATCGACAGTGGCCAGCATACACGTCCCACCAGCAGCTCATCACCAAGCCTCGGCACAGGCACCCCCCATTATCCCTTCCTTTCCACAGGCTTCATACGCCCATTCGAGTAGTCCTACCGAAGACATATCTGGTCAATCTATATACACCGGTCTCGATCCAGTGAATACACCCGTCGAACCCACTTCTTTCAGCTCATTCCATCCAACATTATGGCGAACTTCACCGGCCCTGCAGCAATTTGCCAAACCTCCAAGCCCTGCTTATTCTGAGCAATCTATCTACTTCCAAGGAAATGGGCCAGGGAATTGCCTCACGAATAGCTATACTGCGCAAGACGAAAATGAGATCTGCCAGACCTCCCAGGTTCCACCCACAGCTTGCACGACGGTTTCAAGTCAGCAACAATTCGCGCCACATACTATTTACCAACCTTTCTCGAACCAAGTCATCGGTAAAACGCCTCGCATGCGGTATCTGATCGGTTATTACTTGGAAGTGCTTGCGCCGGTAATCGTGGCATTCGATACCCCAACCAGTCCATTCCGGCTATATATGATGGAGCTAGCCAAAACTAGTGAGACTTTACAACATGCAATTGCTACCTTGTCGCTCAGCAATCTAAGGCAACGGAGGAAGAATTGGGGACCATCCACCGGCAAAACCTTGCCTTCCCGTCGGTCGTGCCAGGCACTTAGTCGCCTCACAGATAGCTCCATGTCGGAGGATTTTGGGCTCCTGAACCCCGACGAGCAATATAGAGAGGAACTACTTCACAAAGCTATTGTAATCGAGTCGGTGAACTCGCAGTTAGCGGACCCAATAGCCAGGCGCTCTGATGCATTGTTGGCAACATTGTTGGTGCTCAGCATATTCCATATGTGTGACACTGGAATGGCATCCTTTAAGACTCAGTTTGCCGGCGTGAAGAAGCTTTTCTCTCTTCGGAAAAATACCAAAAGCTTCAGTACAGACGTATCAAAGTGGTTCATGCGGATGTTCATCTGGTTCGATACCATGACCGCCGCCGTCAATGATCGGGATAGCCAATTGGGTAGTGAATTGTTGGACTTTGCAGCGCAAACCGGTGACGAATGGGCGCTGGAAAACTTAGCTGGATGTGACTCAAGGATATTTAGACTGGTTGCTCAACTAAGTCGGCTAAACCAACTGAGCCAGATGAAACATGTCGAACCGAACGACTTTATGGAAAAAGCGGTGCCCTCAGCTACACCTCCTCCGGGCATACTCCATTATCCCGGGTACTCGGCTCCCATTTATCCCCATGGAACTTTCATATCGTTTCCTGGGGACATGCCGTTCAATCCGTATCAGAACGCAGACCCGCGTGCTCTCTTCTGGCAAGAATGGTACTCAATGCGCCAAAAGCTGGAATCATGGCGTCTCGGTTTGCCCGAATCTGCATCACCGGATACCCCCAGTCCAATAACCCCTACGCATACGCCTACTTCCGTCCAATGCTCTTCGCCCGCTGAATTTCTACCCTCTACATCCTCACCAGCATCGTCCCTCGCGCATGTCCCGCCCGCTAACCTCCCCGATGTGTCAAACATTTCAGAATCCTTCCGGTATGCTGGCCTCTTGTACCTTGAACGACTCGCTAATCCGGATATTCCTTCTTCCCACCCTCGAATTCAGAATTTAGTCTACGGCGCTTTACATTTTATCACCGCTGTTCGCTCAGACGTCTTTCTCCTCTGGCCTCTTTTCATCACTGGCGCCGAATGCGTTCTCGAATCAGACAGGCAGATCATCCGTGACAGATGCTGCGACATACAAAAGGACTCGGGTTTCGTCAACAATTTATCTTGCTTGCAGTTACTTGAGAAGATTTGGGCAAGTGAATCTAGTCAAGGCGCAACAGCGCTTTCAGCGCACACTACCACCGCTTCGAAAGGCGAATATATCGGGAACCCGGTAGGTGAGATGGGACAGTTGGCCACGGCTCGCCCGCTGCTTGGCGGGGAGGGCTTCAAATGGAAACGGATCGTTGATCAGGAAAAGATGAAAGACGAGTATATTGTTGTCTGATTGAATGTTGATCTGTTTGGATATACCCAATCTTTATTTTACCTATCTTGTTGATAGTTCCTCCCTTGTTCCCAATACCTTTTAATGGATTTTGTAGTGTGAATCTAGCTTGATATTTGTTTTGAATTTTTTTGCAAATAACTCACATTTTCTGCCAGAGTCAGAGAAGTTGAAGCAATGAAGAGAGAGAAAGAGAGGGACAAGCTTTTATATTTAAGATTAGTTTACTTAACCAGATATCAGCTTCTACAATCTAAGTTAGCTGATTTCCTTGCCTCAGTACCTCAAACTGTCCACTGGATTCGGGCTCATTATTCTGCCCAGGCTCACCTAACTAGTTAGATGAGTCTGCCATAAACTTAATGCCTATTAATGGAGCATTTGCCCTTTATCTGTGGATAATCTAAGGAAATTGTGCAGCTTTGGTTCCTAGGAAGCTTACATGCTTACAGACTCATCTTTAGGACCCTACATGCTTATTGAACTGCTTCCTAGACCTCTAGGCTCCGGGGGCCCTACCCTCTCCCCCCTATCCCCCCCAAGAACACCCCAGCCAGAACAGGAATCTTAGGCTTCAAAAAACATGCTCTGCAGATGAACTGCGTTTCAACCTCTAAAGGGGTTAACATAAAGGCCCAATGGGGCCTCGTGCAACATGAAAATTGGAGGCGCGTCTGACCTAGCTGAGAGCTGGTTTCCATCTCTTATAGAAATCAGTGACAATCCTCTAACCGGACCCCGATTAATTGAGCCTGACTCAGACAAACCAAAAAGCCCACTCAAAAGAACTCCTCGCGATCTTGGAATGGCCAACCCCGTCTGATATTTTCCAACTCGTCTTCGCTCCCATCTTTAGAGAATTCTGCAATCAATGATTGGTTCCTTTTGACCGCGGCATCATACGCTTCGGCTCGAACCAAGCTCATCGCGCCATTGTTGGACGAGCGCGTTCAAGTTACACCACATAGGTTCGTCATCGTTTTGTTTTTGAATCTCTTGCTCTGAAAATTCAATGGGACATTTTTGGGTATTTTCCCTTCCAGGAAGACAATCCCAAGACTCAAAGGTACGAATTAGGGCACCTCGTAATGTCATGAGATTCCCTCCCCATTGGCGACCAGCAAATTCCACAAGATATTGGCGTAGCGAAAACAGAGGATCTTGCAAAGCCGCTAGATGTGGTTTGTTAAGCCCTCCATTGAAAACCCGATAAAGATAGAACAGGGTTTGACGTCGCACGAGCTCCTTGATTTGAGCTTTTGTCTCGGTATCCATATTATCATAACCCTCTGGGTACTTTGGGGCTTCCAAACCCTGAGGAGGCTCTGGGTCGGGATTTTCAAAAAGCCTCGGGTATCCAGCTGCAAGAGCTAACGGCTTTATGACAGTGTGTTGCCAATCAATGATGCATTTAACTTTATGAGTATCCGGGCAAATAAAAACGTTACCCGGTGTTAGATCTGTGCATGAATCAGCTAAATCGCTAGAAAGTGAAAATAAAATCCAAAACGTACCAGGATGGCGTAGTACTGGCCTGTTGAGAGGATTAGAGGGATCTTTTGGAAGAAGGCAGGGTGCGATTGCAAGATACTTTTGAAGAAGTTCCAGGTAATCTTGATGGGAGTTTACCCCGGGAAAAACAGTGTTATGTGGAAAGTCACATTCAAGGGGTTTCCCGAATTGTTCAATCCATTTAACTTCTTTCGTGGCAACCGCAGAAAGGTACTGCGTTGGATTCTCCCCTATTATAAGATTAACCAATTTAGCATTGCTAAAAAAGATCGATCTAGCATACACGGTCCACGGTCCAGAGCAAGGTTACTACGCTGCCCGTACCAAAACATATAATCGCAGATGGGGCCGATGCAGTAGATGTTGGAATCTCCGCCCTCGTCTGTAGAACCAGGCATATATAGTTCTCTGCGTAGCTGTACAGGCAAGTCGCCTTTAAAATATAGGCTGCCAGTGGCCCCGAACGGCAGGGCAAAGAGCCTTTTTTCAATATCGACAATGCCAGTCACAAGCGCATGCTTTTGGTGTTTGGTAGTGTTGAACCACTGAGTGTCAGCACCAACTCCGGAAGCATGCTCCATTATTATATATTCAACACCAACAGGGTTATTTGTCGTCGACGACCAGCCATAAACCTCAGGAACCGATATGCCTTTTGAACGAAGAAATGTCAGAGTTGCGACCTCGCTGGCAGTTGCATATCGCTTAGGCACCGCTATCCAGAAAGGGATTTTTATAATCGCGCGGAAGCCATCTTCCATAGTCGCTAGCAAAATGCGATTGAAGCCTCCTTCGTTTAGTTTGACAAGCTCCTTGATTCTGCCATGCGGCACATGCTTCTCGACGGTGTCCCTGAGCGCACGAATATTGAATTTGACATGCCGTTCACGAAGTCGAGCTTGTTCGTTATATAAAAATCGGCCAGAAGTATATTTGAAAAATGGGCTATCTATTGGCGAACTTAGTGAGGCTCCTGAGCACAACTAGTTTCCAAAACAGCAGATACTGACCATCCGACAAGCAGCGCTGAGCAGAGACAAAGGTTCTTCGACTGGATGATTTTAGACAGCGTCGAGGAATCGAGAGCAGATTTGGACCGACAGAGAGAGAGAACATGGGTGCCAGGTAACTTTGCATAATGACCACTAATGAATGAGAATGACCCCGATGCAAGAAGCAAGCCGTCGATTTTGAGTTGGCGGCAAGATTTAAGCTTGTCCAGCTGGTGGGGTCTCCCGCACTTTTATCCAATGGAAACTATCGCTTCAACGATAAGGTTCGTTAGCTTGCTCGTGCGCCTTTCCTCCTACATCAGAGGAATGCTTAGAAACAGAACTTCATTGTCATGGAATTAAATATTGCCAGCCACTAAAAGGAACTGCGACCTTGAAATTGGGATTTCTCGTGGTAAAAGCACACAAAGAACTTCGCTGCGTACTCAGTATTGAATTTGAATGCATATATATTACCCCTTGAACAAGTCCCAGGGGAAAGCAAAAACCAGTCTGTACCTTCAATTCTAACCAGAAATTATCCAACACAGATACAACAAGAAGCCTAATACCAAGGCGTTTTAATGTGATCCGCCCACCCCAAGAAAGAAAGCCTCTAGGTTTGAATAGAATTGCTCTCCTCAGGTCAAAATCCGTTTCCCATCCATGAGCTGCTTGATTTCCTTCTCCAACTGGGCACGTCGGCGTTTCAACCCGGCATCCTCCCCTGCAATTTCCTCTAGTTGTTCGGGGGTCATACTGGCCACAAACGCAGGAGAGAAAATACTGAGTGGCGTGTTAGGGCCTGTGATCAAGAGGAAATCTGCCACTTGCATGCGTACGCAGTCCACGAATCGTTTTCGTGCAACCGTGTAATATGATCTTAAAATGTCGTGAATCTCCACCGCTCCATGATCGGCGTTACTGGGTGGGTAGTTATGAATGATGCCTTCCCAAGGTACCACCTTTTCGAATCCGGTGTTGGGGATCGCTTTCTTAACCAGTTGGGTGCGAAGCCGCTCTTGACGACTATCCAAACCAATCAGCCACGTCGCATGTCAGGTTTTACTCGGAGACCAATGCTCACATACCATTTTCCCAATATGTCATTGAAATAGTGATTATGCGTGGCTGGATTGCTTTCCAGTTCGACCTGAAGTAAAAATTCAGTCTGAGAGATAGCGGCTGCGTATTTATTTCTTAGCTGATCTATAAGCATAGACTCGAGGCCGGCGCGGGTGCGCTCGTCCGGCGTAATTTCGTTCAATACCTGGATGATTAGCGAGTGGACAAGGACAACCATATCGCTGATAACCTAGAGCCAAACCATAATTCCGGTTGCGTTAGCCTAGGCAGAGACACATTCTGGTACAGGAGGTCAACCACATCTGGATGATCCTTCTCAGTCCTCACGTCAAAAGCCGTGCGAAGTAAGGGTTTTAGCTTTTCGGGGTCGGCCGCATCACCATCCCTCTCTTCTGGTGCGGGAGGTGCGGGCACTTCAGCTTGGTTTCCAGAATGGAAATGAAAAACATGCCTTTCCGTAGCCATCAGGTTAGCGACTTTATCAGCACGACCAATGGCCGCGGTTGCAAGTCGAAGACTCGGGATCTTATCAAAAATGTCGCTATAGCTGTATTCGGAACGTATGGCTAGCGTGACATTGCGCTGAAACTCAAGAGCAAGCTTTGTCATAAACTGACTCTGTTCCGCGAATGATTGGCGTTTGGCGCCCAATTTCTCAACGCTTTTGCTGGCGGCCTTCAGCTTTCGATTGATTTCCAATTTGACCTTTGATTGTTAGCGTTCCGAGGTTTGAGAGCAAAACTTGCTTCAATAATCAACTCCTACCTTTGGAAACTCGCGACGTATGTGATCCGCCATAATCTCCTGCAAACGCGTGCGCAGGGAGTGAACCCCTGCCTTGTCACGGCTTACCCGGTTCCAGGGAGCCTTGCTGGTGAAAAACTCGTTCTCAAGTTCGTGGCGGCTGTGTCTTTGATCTACAAGTTGCGCCTGGCTAGGATTTTTCAGGACATGCCACCCAAATCGTAACTGATGACTCCTTCCGTCGAGTAAATCAATGACGGCTGACTCCGCGCCTTCGTCTACCAAGTCAGGCTTCGTCAATACGCCCAATGTGCGAAGTCCATCTGGATCCACCTCTTCCGCCCATTCCAGTATATCTTGCGTGGCGATGTCGACGTTTGGGGGAATGATGGTTAACATCACCGACCTGGGGTTTTCCATGTATTCACGAACCATGCGATCGACCATAGTTCGATCCGCCTTAGTAGTAACACCGGGAGTTGTCTTTCTGAAGATACCCGGAATATCAGTGACGCTAAAGTGCTCTTGATCCGGGCCAGAGACTTCCAATCGAATGTCCTCTGAAAAAGTGTTCTTAGATTCATGCTCCACACTGCCGATGCCCATGACATTCCTAACCTAGTATCATTAGCATACGAGCTGTCAGAGATTCAAAGTACTCGCCTCTGTCATGATGCTCGCGAATGCAGCCGCATCTAGGGCCTGGAGCTCCGTCCTGGACCACTCCTGCACCCGCTCTCGGTGGCCTTCTGTGGCATCCCTGCCTGGAATGATCGAGGCCGTGACTTTTGTGTCCGGTGATCGGCGGAAAGTGATCTGGGTGGCAAATCGCGTGCAGAGGCCACTATCTCTGGGGAAAGGTAGCTCTGTTAGACCCTCAAGGACGGAGCTCTTGCCGCTAGACTGGTCGCCGACAACAACAAGTTGCGGGAGGTCAATGAGTTCGCCAACGCCACAAGCGAAAAGTTTGTCAATTTTGTCGAGGGACACAGGGTCAACAATTCCAAAGGGAGCGCGGTTTTCCTCTATTCCGCAAGGGTGAGCCTGATTTGTAGCCTACGGCAGGCGGGGATTGAACAACGTCAGTTCCTGCAAGGATTAATGATTGTAAAAACAATTTGCAAAGCTTTGCCTTGACCAGAGATGCTCTTTTGCAATTGCAACGGATATACATGGCAATTTATATCCACTCCCAACGGCATAGAACATTCCACAGCTTACTGTTTTTGAGTATCAGTAGCATCGCCATATCATTATCGGAGCTCATTGAGTGAGTTCTAGTATCAGTGAGGCCTATCATGAGATAATGGAAGCGTTCAAAGAAGGCAACATTATGTGTTTACTGCCGCAACTGTAGTTCTTTCAATGCTGGTGTTCGCTGGATCATTGCTGAGAGAATCCGTGGATGGGGCAGCGCTGGGTGATTAGTCCGGTTTAAGCATTGTCTAGGAGGCATATGCTAAAGGAATATGGAGTATTATTGCAATTGCTCAGCGTCTTTGGAGATGACAAAGGAAAGCATCAGCCCGAAAACCAATGTAGTTATCGGGTTAGACACGAGCCGAGATTTCTCGAATGGTAGAATCGTTTCTATCAAGTTGAGGACGCGAAGGAGCGAACCAGAGAGGAAAAACAATTAATGCAAGTGTTATTGCATCGGAAAGATTACAAGACAGAAATGATAAAAAATAATGGCAGGCAATTCATGTGTAACCCAATACTTTCCGCTGAGATTGAAAACTTGGGGGGCCTGGTCGGATTATCAGCAATTAATGATAACGATTGCCTTGAAAGGAGTATACTTCCGGACAGGGGCAAGGAGGATTGTTTAACTGGGCGGAGTTCTGACCAGCTGGCGAGTTACGTTTTCCCCTGGCGTGCTCTGTGGAACGTGATAGCGGGTTGTGTCGGCTGCTGTCTGCGGCCGCCACTGTGCTTATTGTGCAAGAAGTGCTGAAGTGAAAATCCGTGGAGGGCTGAGGAAGGCTATTGATAACTCGGTACTTTGTTGTGGTGTGGATTATACTCACCCCGAGACGAGGAGCCAGGTCGTGTTCTGGCAGCCTGGTGGTAAGTTACATCGCTTGACTGTCCTCTCACCCGACCAAAATAAAAACCGAACAGCAAGCCTTGTGTCGGGTTACTCGGCAACCTTTTGCGGACAGTTGCACTTTAGAAAACTGCGATGCATTTGTTTACAGTGCGGGACGAAGAGGGATGTTGTCTTCATGCAGTGTCGGAACGCAAAGAACGCGCAATATCCGGATGACAATCAGTTTTCGTTGGAGACAGGGGTGGGGTCCAGCAAGCCAGTTTCTCATAAAAAGAGATTAAAATAGCACGTCAATGCGATCCTTCAGCAGGGCCAATATAATCACGGCCGGCGAGTTTGGCATGATTAATTATGATTGATTGAATGAAACAGGGACCCTTCTCCGTCCGTCATGCACGGGAGTCGCTTGTTTGCGCCAATTGCGCCCGACTGCTGCAGGATCCGTCGTTTGTTTCGCGGGCCGTTTGCAGATTGTGATTCTGATTCTGGACCACTGCATCCACGGCGCGAATTGCTGGGAAGCAGAGCAGAGAAGACTGGAATCTTTGCATTCTGGCTGGGCGCGGCTAACAGGATCCCTGTCCTGGACGGGAATCCCGACGCAGCTTCGCTCACCTGATCGCAGAGGATCCGTTGAGCCATCTCTAGTGTCCGTGGCAGTGTGCTGTGATAGGATCGATGTAGCGACGGCCTGCGGGCGATTCACGTCGGCTGCGTTTTACGTCATTGGGCGTTTGGAGGCCCTTTTTCGATATCAGCGCTTCCACGTTTGGATGATCCTGAATCCAAGGCAGCCGTGGGCAAAGACGTCAGGAATCAGTGGCGACGGCGCTGACTGGGTTGCGTGGCTGGGCCAATCGTCTGGCAGAAGCGCGGATTCAGACTGTGGTTTGGCTTTTGGCACTGCGATGAAATCTCTGCGCTGACCTCAAGGGAGTCGGTTAATTTCACAGGCGGGAAGCGCCCGCAAATGAGAAGTGAAAATTCCTGCATCTCCTTCTCACTGGATCCCGGCGACACAGTCATCGGAGGGCGAGATGGCGCTGCAGCCTAGCGGTCGCGTCTCTTTTTTCCCTTTTCCTTGCAGGGTTTGTTTCAGCTAACTAGCTGCGGCTCAGACTCAGGATGACTTTTTCTTTCCCTTCCCAGCTGAGATTCTTTGTTCGTTTCTGCTGTCCGACCAGCTCGTCCTCCCGTCGTGATATCGAGCGCAATCACCAAATACCGCCCAATACCACAATACACACGACCGCTTCCAGGCCTGGCCGGCCGCCGTCGTACGAGCCTTCGTTTCCTTACCATCGCGGCTCCACCCGGCCCTGCTCGCAGCCAATCACAGGCCGCAGATACCAGGCCTGCCCCGCCGGCCGTGTGGCGCTAGCGGTAACTTCCCTGTAAATTCGACGGCTTGGCGGCGTCGTCTCGCCCCCCTCATCATTACCAATACGGTCGCCAATACGCACGCACCACCGCACACAAACTCCAAGATCTCAATTTTCATCTTCTCGTCTTCTTCTTCTTCTTCTTCTCTTCTTCTCTTCTCCTCCAGACCGTCTGGGTTTTTCAAAGCACTGTGCACACATCTCCACTCGTGAACCAGAACGGCTGTTCCTCTGGATCCCAGCCGTCTCTCCATCCACGGTTCCTTTCCCGAGACTTTATCCTCTTCTTCTCCCGCAATCCAACCCGTTAACCGAGTTTTCTCTCGACGGTTTCGCTCTGTTGGATCGATTCCCCGTTTTCGAGCCAGCCCATCCATCGAACTCCCTTCTCAGTCTGTTAGGGAATTCTCTGATCCAAAAGCTCAAATGCACGGCGGGCAAGATCACTCCTATCGCTTCCTCTTGCCTCCAATAGATACCTCACCCCGGTGACGGACCGTCTAAACTACCCTCTCCCCTTTTTTGCTGCTGGTTCTGTTTTCTTTGCAAGGTGATATCCTGTACAATATACTGTGCTTTTCTGTTTCGTTGGCTCTCTGTCTTTTCTCCGCTCTGGGGCTGGGGTTTTCGTCTTGACTTTGCTCATTCTGCTTCCCGCCGCCGACAACGGAGTTTGCTGGGTTTCCTGTTTCTTGAATTCAGCGTTCAGAGCTTTTTTATACCCTCCATGCCCGACCTTCGATAATGTATCATCACTACTCCAGTCCACCGCCCGGGTGGTCTGCCGCCTACGACTACATGCACTCTCCCTCTGCCGCGCACTACAACTACTACAACACCCAGTACTCGTCCCCGCACGCCTCGCCCCGCTCCGCCAAACGGCACGCCTATCGAGCCAGCTATTCAGGCACAAAAGATGGCCCTCAGTTCTACACGACGTCGAGTGGTCAATATCCGTGGCAGGGATACTATGACGGCGTGCCGGAATACGTCTCGACCCCTCGCAAGCCCGAGCATGTAAGTGGTGATTTTGGTGGTGAACCTCGATCCAAGCCCCATGGCTGGCAACGGGCCCGTCGCCCGTCTATGCCAAGCAAACATCACTACAGTCACTTCTTCCCTTCCCGATCACGCAAACAGCCAGACTTCTTTGACGACCTTCGGTCTGATTCCGACTCTGATGTATCTCTCCACTCTCCCGTTGGCGGGGGTGGTCCTTTTTATCAGCCCAGGTCGTCGCGCCATGACGGCCTGCGTCGCCCTGAACATGAATCTCGTCGCAGGCAGCCCACTAACACTTATTTTGATTATGATCAGGCTCCCACCTCTCTGTATGACGAGGCAGACTCTCCCAAACGCTCCCGTGCCCGCCGCGCCTCCACTTCGACGCGCACACCGCAGAAGCCACCGAAGCCCGCCGCCAACATCAAGACGCCGCCAAAAGCTACCGAAGAAGACGCCGTTCGCGCCGGCGTGCCTGCTGGGTTTTCGATAAAAAACTGGGATCCCACAGAGGCCCCCATTCTTCTTCTGGGAAGCGTCTTTGATGCAAACTCGCTGGGAAAATGGATCTACGATTGGACTGTTTTCCATTACGGTGCAACGGCTCCCATGTCGGACGTGGCCGGCGATCTGTGGTTGCTGCTCATCAAACTGGCGGGCAAGGTCAAGAGAGCGGACGAGTGCGCCTCGACTATTCGCTGCAGAGAAACAAGGGAGATGGTTGAAGATTTTTTGGAGAGCGGGGAACGGCTGTGGGCTCGCTTCAAGAAGCTGCTCAAGGCATGCGAGTATTTCATGTGGAAAGCCGCGAAGCGAGAAAGCGGCCGAAACACTGTTACCATGGGTCGAAATGCGGGATGCGAATTCGTTGACTCGATTTTTGGCCGTGATCGGGAGTTGGAGAATACGGAGAAGTTGATGAACAGTATCCGCCTATGGAATATGCGGTTCGATGCGAACTGCGAGGAGATCCTGCGGCATCCCGAAGAAGCGTGAATCCGCGCATCGCTATTTTTAAAATTCGAAATAGATGGGGTTAATACTTGGATTTTATTTTTGGTTCAACCCCGCCCCTGGCGACCGCTTTGTTCGGTCAACGGGACCGGAATTCTTGACACCGAATCTGCATCGTGGGCCCGTTAATTTCCTTCGAACCCACCACGTCTTGAGGCCCGTTTTTGACTTCGTTGCAATATTTTTATAAACTCTTCGCCCTCACAGGCAAACAACCCTTGACCTTACTCCCCGCTATATTTCCCGATATATCCGTCCAGCTCTTTGTTGCGGGCTCGTCTCTTTATTCCAACGCCATGTTTCCTTGCTTCGGCGTCTGGGCATGCATTTGGGGGGATCTTTCCTTTCGCATTGAATCGTACCCAGCTCGAAATTAGTGTCCAACTGCTCATTTCTCGGCGCGATGCATTCGTCTTTTTCTGTCTCTCGCGTGGGAATTTATTGCTATACCCCAGAAGCGGTCTCTCGTCACTATTGTTTAATCAGCCTTGCTCCGTGCCTTTCGTTTGTCTTTCCTTTCTGCCTTTTAATGATACCACTCTGTTTTGCGTGTGCCTTTCATTCCTGTCCGTTGAACTAAATGTTCCAATTCTTTTAATCGAGTCTTTTTACTTTCATGTCGCTCCCTATCTACCTATTCCTATCTATAGTTTTGTATATACGTGTATCCCACGTGCAATACAATTTAAAATCTATTCAGCTCCGCACCCATATTGTAGACTTGGTCACCCCGATGCACATTCAAAATCCATTCCACCCGCAATTGATGAATCAGATTTAGTCCAATTCGCCAAGCCAGCTGTTTCCAGACCCCCGTCGTCCATAGGCGGGCCAAGCACCCGTGGACCAGCGGGATTGACTGCGGGAGCCAAACCGACGGAGCGGCATCGCGGATCTGCGTCAAATTGCATGGCTAAGGCAAGCCGCCCGCACCGAGAGGCGGTCATTTAAGAGTCTAAAACCGAAGTTCTAGATCCCGTTTCCTCGAACCCTTTTCTTTCTTTTCTTTTTCTTCTTTTCTTTTTCTTCTTTTCTTTTAGCCTTCCAGGTCATCTTCCCGCGTCGCTGGCATTGGGCGGAACTTGGAAGATGCACGGCGCTTCGAGGGATAATCATGATGACGATGATATTTTCCTCCACATATTAGCTTTGGATCTGATGCGTTGGCTAGTTTGGCCTGCTTGGTCATATTGACTTTACCTTGCGACTCACCGCCTGTTCTGGGAGGCGTGTTGGGAGCAGAGGCTTTTTTTCTTGAGACTGGATGAAGTTAGGCATGGATGCATGGCGTGGTCTGACAGTTGATGCCCAAGGTGTTGCTTTGGGGGGGAGATCCGATTCTCGGAGACATGGAGGCTCGCCAGAAGATTGAGGGTCGGAGTGCGTGGTGTTATGGATTGTTCTCATGGGGGTTTCGTAAAAGTATATACCATTAATAGCACTATCTCTATATTCTCGTATCGGTACTCATGTACACTTCATGGTTCAGGGTGGGATCGGTGGAATGGATATCTCCTCCCTGGCCAGCTGATGCTGCGCAAATTCACCGGTCGGCCCTTGCATCGAAGCCAGCGAGCGGCGCATCTTGCGCTTGTTCAAACCTCTCATACTCCGGCAGTCTATTGGCTCAAGCTGGCGACAGTAGTCCCAGCGGCGCCTTCTCCTTTCCCTTCCAAAGCAACCAACTATTCGCTATCACAAACTTGCTCCCGGTCGCAATCCACATCGCCGCCTCAATGCCCCCCGTCGCACGAGACAGCCATCCGCCCACAATCGCACCGGCAATCACTCCAATCACAGCGTTGAAGCGTCGATTACGCTTGACGTTCTGGGACAGGGGTAAGAGCAGCCCCGGGTCAGAGGCAAGATCGTAGTATAAGCTGGTCAGGACGGTGGTGGGGATCTCGCTAAACCCCAGGAGTCGACTGGCTGCCATCTGGCCCGAGGATTGGAACGCAACGAGCGCGATGGGGATGACGTCCAGATACATCGCCGTGTCCGGTCTCGGGTCGCTCGCGAGGACGATGCCAGTGCCGCCGCCGCCGCCGTCGCCGGGTGCAGAAGTGGTCTTGCCGGAGATCACGCCGGTCTGGAGCAGGCAGGCGGCGATGAGGAGGAGGAGGCCCTGGACGGTGAAGGTGCTGAAGAGGGTGCGCCGCTTCTGCGGGTTGAGCCAGCGGGTCATGGAGAAGACGCAGCTGCCGATGACGAAGGAGCAGATAGAGACCAGGGACTTGAGCCATTTGGAGGTCTGGCGGAGAGCGTAGTCTGAAGCGCCGAGGCCGAGGAAGACAGTGTTGCCTTGATGTTGTTAGCTATCTGGTTCTCATATGAATGTTTCCATGCCTCGTACCTGTCTGCATGCTCACAAAGCAGCCCCACGCTCTGAACACGGAGCTGTCGCACAGGCCGGAGAGGAAGTAGCAGAAGAGAAACACGATGTCGGCATGCTTCAGGTCAATTTCACCGTCTAATCGCTGTGACAGCCAGCTCTGCTTAGGAGCGCTGCTGCTCGTTATCTCCTCGCGGGTTGCTGAGCTGTGACTCCGGCCGTTGACGGTGGGCTCCCGCAGTGCTTCGGGAAGCTGGCGAGGGTCATCCTCGTTCTGCATTCGGGACTGGAGGGAAGAAATAGGCGCTGTCATTGCTTGAATATCTCATGAAACTGAATGACAAGTTCTGTTGCAGGGAGTCAGACCTTGTTCAACTCGCTATCGAGGGTCTGGCAAGAAACCCGACTTTCGATTAACCAGCAATATAGATGCCTATATACGCCAGAACGCCGGACGGAAGACCGTATTTGAATGTCGAATTTTCAATTGATCTTCTCTGTCCTCCAGCAGACGCGTTCTTTTTTCTGTCTCGTTGAAGAGTTTGAGAGAAAAAAAGCAAAGGTGACTACAGAGTTTGATCTCCTTTTGCCGAAATTCAATCGCAAACTCGCCCACAAACCACAGATTTGCACGGTTTGGAATCAAACACATCTTCATCCGCTCGACTTGACAGGAAATACTCCATACGATGGATGCAATCGAGGGTTAGACCAAACCGAGCTGTTGGTCGCACGACTTTGCAGCTAAGCCTCGAGACGACCATCCCCAACCAGACTAACAATGATGGCTAGGCCTACTGGATTTGGATTTAACTGCGATTAGGACGTGATATATCTTCTTTATACTTGAAAACGATGCTGCGCGATGAGTTGAGCCTGAAGCTCTCGTCTTAACTCTACGCCTATTTACACTATGCCCTGCTGCCGGAGCTCGTCTATCTCTTTCCCAGCTATCCCCAGCTCTGCGAAAACTTCGTCCGTGTGCTGTCCAAGAAGTGGTGGATTGATCCTCACCGACGGCTTCGATTCACTAAACTTCACCGGGAAACCTGCCATGCGGGTTTAGCTACCTTTCAACACACTGGGGTGAACATAAACGTACCGGTGACCTTGAACTGCCCGTCCGCTGCGGAATCCATCTGCAGCGTATTGACCATTTGCCTTGCTTGTGCCTGGGCATGGCCGAACGCTCTCTCGATCGTGTTGATTGGGCCATACGGCATCCCGCTGTTTTCAAAAACCCTCAACCATTCATCTGTGTTTTTGGCTCGAAAGAGCTCATGTAATATCTGATTCAGCTCTGCTCGGTTCTCAACTCGAGCATCATTCGTACGGAACCGGGCATCTTCCGCGAGATCGGGCCGGCCGAGACGCTCGGCCAATATGGCAAACTGTCTATTGTTCGTGGCTCCCATGACGAGGTACGAGTCTTTCGATGGGAAGGCTTCATATGGAACAATGCTGGGATGGGCAGTGCCCCATCTCTTCGCCTCGCGGCCCATGTTTAGCCAGATTGAAGCCACATTGATCATCAGTGCTAGCTGCGTTTCAAAAAGGGAGCCATCGATCTTCTGGCCTTTCCCAGTCTTATTTCGCGCATGTAGTGCGGATACGATGGCGCCGTGCATGAAGAGGCCGGTGCAGATATCTGTGAGTCCGACTCCGGGCTTTGTGGGTGGTCCGTTGGCCTCTCCCGTTACGTGGAGCAGGCCTCCTTCGGCTGCTGCAATGATGTCGTATCCAGCACGTTTGGAATATGGCCCTGAAGCTCCATAGCCTATGACAATTAACCTTTCTCCAAGTTCTATTGTGAGTCACTCTGCTTACCTGAAATGCTAGCATGGATAATGGCTGGATTCAGCTTTGAGAGAGTGCCATACCCGATACCCAGCTGATCCATCTTCCCCCGGTACAAAATTGTCGACACTAAAGTACCCAGCGTCAGAGCGTCCGTTGCCTCTATATCACTAGCCGGATAGCGTCACCACCTACACTACGTCGACCTTTTTCACAAGTTCCAGCAAGATCTCTTTTCCCTTCTGGCTCTTTAGATCGAGAGTTATAGCACGTTTGTTCCGATTGACGCAGGCGAAGTAACATGAAATCCCCTCCTCTTTCCACTTTTCGCTTTCGCCATGTATTCGCCAATATCTCGTCTCATCCTTACTTGCCCCAAGCATCGTTAGCACTATATGCCGCTCCTTGGGGATAACAGGATACGAACTCCTTTCCCTGGCTGCTCAACCTTTATCACGTCCGCTCCGTAATCGGCTAGAATCTGTGTGCAAAACGGGCCCTGCACATATCAATTGACGTAAAGTCAGCCATGGTTCAGGATGCCTGTTTTGTATTTCCCTTGGATAGCTGTTTCCATACTGCCAACACCCTTGTGAGATCTAGTATCTTGTAGCCATCCAGTGCGCCGGGATTCTCGGGCGCCTGTGCATTGCTGCAGGGACTGGGAGACGTCGAAAAGGGAGCTGAAGAGCAGGAGAATATACGCGGCCTGCAGTAACGGGAAGATATGGGAAACAATTGCCCAGCACAGGCCTTTGAGGCTACAGACTTGAGGCGAGGATGGGGTCTCATGTTTACCACCTTTTCTCGCGGTATGGAACAAGGCAGGGAATGTCTTTTCTGTCAATAACCACCATCAACGAGACGCAGCCTGCCGCCCTCTCCCTCACCACGCCGTCCTGTCGCTTCTCTCGCGTTGGAATTCAACGAAAATCAGCAAATAGCTCGGCATTCGGCAATTTCCCCGGGTTTCGAACGGCCTCCCAACAGCCAATCACATCGCTCAAACCAGCGGATAATGTGGGGCAGCTCGGCTTTCGGCCTTCCGAACCCGAACAGCGAAGTCGCAGCAACGAGAACAAGTCAAGAAGATGATGGACGACGGGCTCAGGCCGATTGAGAGATGTCTCTGGCGGGAAGAGGGGCCAGCAATGGTAATATCAACGTGATGGTGCTATCTTTTCCATTCGCCAGCGCGATTTTCTAACTCATACTCACCTGCTGCTTTGGATCTTTCGAAAAGAAGGTCCTTGCTTTAGCTTAACCACCTGAATTCTAGCAACCCCTATACCTGAGGCCGGCCGATAGCCTCTATTTATGGCGCACATTCGACAAATTGGAGATCAATTGGTCGGTATATCCGCGAGGAGGTGTTTTGGCCCCCTTCGCAGCTAACATCTACGGCATACTAGATCTCAGGGGTTCTGCGTCAAACGCTCCGTCATCGATACTCCAGCCACTTGCTCCCGCACACCCGCGTTTCCGTGCGCTGCTCGCAAAGACTTGCTCGTAGAGCCCTCACTACAAAAGCGACCGAATACCTCCCTTCCTCTAATCCCGACTGGACAGAATCTCAGATTACCGTACGCGAATCAATCGCTAGAATTTGCTCCGATTTTCCCGACGAGTACTGGTTGAAGTCAGACCAATCCAAAGCCTACCCAACCGATTTTCAACAGGCACTGGCCAAAGATGGTTGGCTCGGTATCTGCCTGCCTACTGAGTATGGTGGGGCAGCACTAGGGATTTCGGAAGCTGCTGTGATGATGCAGACGGTCTCGGAATCGGGAGCTGGCATGAGCGGCGCGAGTTCAGTGCATATGAATATTTTTGGCTTAGAGCCGGTCGTAAAATTTGGCAGTGAAGAGCAGAAGAAGAGGTTTCTACCCCCGCTGATAGAGGGGAAGGAAAGGGCGTGCTTTGGAGTCACTGAGCCGAATAGCGGACTAGATACGCTGAAGCTGAAATCCATGGCCACCAGAGCCGGAGACCACTATATCTTGAAAGGTTCAAAGGTCTGGATCTCCACCGCGCAGAATGCGGAGAAGATTCTTATTCTTGTGAGAACGACGCCGGTGGATAAGGTCAGCAAGCCGTCGCATGGCCTGTCGCTGTTTTACACGGACTTGGATAGATCGCAGGTAGAAGTCACGGAAATTCCAAAGATGGGACGTGCAGCCGTGGACACTAATACCTTGTTCTTTGAGGATTGGCGTGTTCCTGCAGAGGATTTACTTGGTGAAGAGGGCAATGGCTTCAAAATGATCATGCATGGCATGAACGCCGAGCGCATTCTGATCGCTGCAGAGGCGCTTGGTCTCGGATTTGCGGCACTCCGGCGGGCGGCGATATATGCAAATGAAAGACAGGTGTTTGGCCGGCCCATTGGGCAAAATCAGGGCATCCAACACCCCCTGGCCGATTCTTGGATGCAGCTCGAGGCTGCAAGGTTGATGGTCTATCAGGCTGCGAGGCTGTATGATGCTGGCCATTCCACAGGTGAATATGCCAATGCCGCGAAATATCTGGCTGCAGAAGCGGCGTTCAGAGCATGTGAGCGGGCGGTTATGTCTCATGGCGGGATGGGCTATGCCAAAGAATACCATGTCGAGAGGTATCTCAGGGAGTCCTTCATCCCGCGCATTGCGCCTGTTAGCCGGGAGATGATCCGGAACTACATCGGAGAAAGGGTCCTAGGCTTGCCGAAATCATATTGAAGTGTTTTCACTCCCGCTATCTCTGAGTGTAACCTGTTTCGATTTCCGCTACATTCAAGACCTCCAGGAAGCCACAGTATCATTGGAAAGCGGGCATGCATGGAAGGTTGTGGAATTGAACAAAGAATGTAATTCTTACTTAGATAACTACTCAGCTGCAGGAGATAAACCTTTTTGACTTCCCTTGTCGTTCACGGAAGAATTGGCGATGTGGCCCTTGAATACTCGGCTTCTCTTAACCACTTTTCCCGTTTCTTATGGCATATGCCAACGGGCACCTGGCAAGTCAAAGCTCTCTAGCCCCTTATTTAGTCAGAAAATGTTTACAATCTCATATTACTCAATTTGACACTTTGGCGTTGAAGGGGTTTCGTACGTGTGACAATATAATTTCGTTCGCTGCATCGCCCAGACACCCAACTTCAACTTGTACGCTGCGAATGTCGTGCTGAAAACATCCGGTGGAGCACCAGCTAGCCGCACAGATGACTCCTTCAAGACATCGGGCCATGTGGCCAGCCTACGCCCGTGGGTTCATTGTTTTGACGTGCGACTTGCGCACATTATCGCTTTGCGAAAGACATGGGAAATACCCCGTCTCCGGCATCGAGAAGGCCTTTGCATCTGGGATGCCAGACCCAAGGCGACTTCTTCTGCAGAGGCCGAGGAGATTGAAAAAATAATCTGTGAGTGTGGAACAAGAAGAGGCACAGATGTAACTCTGACGGCTCAGGGAGAATTCATTCTAGCAAAGGCTTCACGGCCATGCGCGAAATGTAAAAGGATATAAATCCCATCTCGCTACCTTTTGATGCCCGGTCTCTCTCTCAAAATACTCCTCTCTCTGAAATCAACGCATCTTGAGATTCTTTGCTTTTGAAGGCCACAGAAGCCAAAACCAGCCCCGAAATCACGATGAAGTTGTCTCTTCTGGTCCTTGCATCTCTCGGCAGCCTCGCCTCTGCGAGTTTCGCCAAAACCTGTGTCGATATCCATTTGTTCCATTGGTATCTCGGGGCACGATGCAGGGTCGGGGGCGAACCTGGCACCCGCCAGACTTCGATAGACTTGAACTACTGCTTCATGAATGACAATGGACGGATCGTGCCTAAGTCAAGGTAGGCACAAGCCCTATCCACCGCAAAAATGCAGACCAGCAGAAAAGACTAAACGGCGTTTAAAGGGGCTTTTTCTGGAACTCGTGCAAAGGTTGTACACTACGGCCGGGAGCCAAGTTGTTATGCAAGTGTCGGCAACGAAATGGCAAGTGGATGTTCAACGAAAATGATCTGAGTAAGTTGAGAATCACGCCATTCTCGTATGCCCGGCCGTTTGTGCCCGTTGGTTAATGGGTTGTATAGCATATATTTCGAATAACTATGGACGTCTCCAATGCGGTGACCAGAGGGGAAAATTCTCACTCGAGGGTTCGGACGACTATGGGACGCTATTGAACAATGGGACCGTGTTGAACAACGGAACAATGGCGAACAACGCTACAAATGTGACATCCGGTCATTAGAAGAGAGGGTTTGAACGGGCATACAGAGAAAAGCATTCTTTCGTTAACCTTACGCTAAACAATACTAGAATGTGCTCTCAAAATTCTGATCCCTAAAAATTCCTTGTATCAAGATGCCCAATTCTAGGGCAGGAGAGTAGATGGTCGTAGAATAGGATCCGGATGCCTAGTGTTAGACTAGATAGCAAGACTTTCAACCTACCACTTTTTCCTGGACTTCAGTTTTCAATATAGGTATTGGGGCCGCACATACATGGATGCAATCTCGGTCAAGACTCAATAGCCGCCCGTTGGTTTCGTTGAGAAGTGGAAATATAGAAACTCGCCATTCGCACAGACAAAAGATACACCCGCCGTTTTAATTCAGTCCGGGATTCTGGTGCGGAAGATAATCCACTGAAAAGTCCCTGGTGCAACAAGTCAGAAATAGATGATGGTTATATAAAGGAGGTGGAAATATCGGGAATTGATTGTTCCCATGTTACGACGGACGTGTTGATTGCGTTCAAACGTGAAAGCCATATTGACTAGCCCGGGGAGGTCAAGGGTGCATTGCTACTATACCATTGAATTGATTCACGGAGAAACTCTTTTCACCAATCTGTCGCCAATATGCGCCAACGACTCCTCAAAGGTGGTGAAGTTATTTGCTCTCCAGTCCGCCCCCTTGGCACCAGGCTTCGCTTCGCTACCATTGAATGCGACATAAAGCACATCGTGAGTTTCATGCCCATTGTCCCCGTTAAGCCCTTCGTTAGGGAAGCAGGCTTTTGCAAGCGACATCGAAGCTTCCCCGGTCAAGATACCACCGTTGGTGTCTCCCCAGACAGCGTAAAACTGATCCCAGAGCAAATTAACAAATGTGTTTCTTTGCTGGAAATGGCAGCACTCACCAGCATATTGTTGCATACGACAGCCACTACGCTCAGTGGCTGGATGCCATATACCTTAGGCTCAAACCACGGCGAGGTACCTTGGTTGCCGAGAACAACATAGCCATGTTTATTGGAATCGAGATCCGAAATCCCATACACCCTTACCTCGTCTTTGAAAGCCGTTTGATCTTGTCCTGATGGATCATTCTTGCAGTCGCCATCGGAGCGGTTAGCACCATCACAGTCCACATCCATATTCGCCAAGGCCATCGTGTTGGAGGGACCAGTGATATAAAGAATCCCTTCAGAGATTAATCGATCACCGCAGTAGACGAAACCAGCTTCAAGGTAGCGGTTAGAGGGTGGTTCGAACTCGATTGGGGGTGTGAACAAGCATACCGTTACCGTGACCATCTTGAAAAGAACCGCTCAGTGGTCGACGACACCTGTTGCTCTGTCACATAATATCGCATCAGCCAAAGCTGACAGTAGTGCCTGTGGCAGGAGAGCCTTACCTTGGCGTAATCGTATAATAGTTTGAGGTTTGAAGGGACCTGACGGCCAGCACCGAGACACACAGCACTCCAAAGCATGCCGACAAGAAGAGCGTGGACGAGCATATCAATATGTGAGCGAGTCACGAATATTGTTGAAGTATAGGTTGATCAAAGCGATAGAGACGGAAATGGCTTCTTGGTGTCAGGGTCATCCGGTGGTGCTAACGGGGCCATAAAAGTGCAAAACAAGCAAGAGCATTCAACGGCATGGTTCTGGCTCGCGATATAAATGGGGATCGAGGCTGTTGCTGAGGAAAAGGAGATTTCCACAGAATACGGTGTCATCGGAGCCCTTCATGTTGCCATTGTTGACAATGGTATACCATCAAATGCAGACCACGCAGCTTGGAATAAAGATATCAATCTATAGTCCATAGCCGGGCCTTTAAGCGAACTGGGAATCTCCCTCATATTCCTGGTTCAAATGATCCTGTGGTATGAGTTGCGGGAAATGCAACGCAGGTTGGGACCGTTAGTTGAGCTTGGCCAAGAAGCTCAAAGATTCCTTGGACATCGAATGAAATTTGATTTATGACTCCATACATGTTATTGGCAGGATATCGCCAGCGCCCTGCGTAAAGAATTTGACTTGGTTGTAGGCGAGTTCCAAAAGTTAGACCAAAACACATTATAGGTACACCAGAGGATCATGAGACTGATCAAGCCGATGTGTTTTCTGCATGGTAGCGTCTTCTGCTCGAAAAAGATTTATCAATTACTAAAACATTAAACGTATACCACATACCTGCGCGACTTGGAATCAATATCATACAGCTAGTATATCACTTTTTCACTTTGAACCGGTATTGATCTCCCCTGTCTAGATACACCACTTTCTCTTTCAGGCCTTCCTGCTCAATAACATGTTGAAACTCCTCAAGGGTGCTGGCAAACACATCATAATCATCATAGTGGATCGGGATCGTGAGATCGGGCTTTATCAGACGCACCAGTTCCAAGCCTTGGTTTGCGTCCATCGTCACCATCACGGTCATGGGGGACAATTTCGGCGATGGGATGGTTGTGCCGCCGAGATGAATGAGCATGAGGTCGATCGTTAACCCCGAGTACAATTCGGCTATTTCCTTGAGTTCTGGCACGAGAAGGGTGTCGCCGGAAATGTAGATCCTATATCTCGGTGTGAAGTCGGAGACTTTAGAGTCGTAGCCAAGCTCCACCATCCAGCCGTTTGTGGGCGGGACCTAAAGTAGTTATGAGCATATTAGTTGAATCCCAGCGCTGGTAAACCAAGACGGCTACTGACCGCTTTCACGATATCATTCAAGGTCTGCAAGGTCTTGGTCGGGACGTGTTTCCCAGGCATCCCGATGACTTTGATTCGCGGTTTCTTCTCGGTATCACTTCTGATCTCAATCGCCATCTCTTCAAATGGATCCAGTGCGAATACATTGTTGAACGATTCATCCGGGCCCTTTGAAGTGAGGCAGGATTTTGCATGGGGGGTCGAAATTATGGGCAAATCTCGCCGGAGAGACGCTTCAACCTTCTGGTCAAAATGGTCCCTTTATGAGCGGCCCCAGAGTGATTAGCCCCAAATCGTCAAAGGATCGAATCGCAGGGGGCTGGGACATACCCGTGATAATGCGACAAAAGCACAACATCAATTCTGGGAAGGTCATGCAAATCCACAGCCGGGTTTGTTCTACGAGTCGCAGACACGCCCGGTCCCAGATGTACATGTTCCCCTGCATGTAAAAAATTGGGCTATGATTCTCTGTCGCTCAGCTTGGGTTGGAAACCCCCTCTGGCTGGATTGCAGTACTGACATCTGTCAAGATTCGAATCCCTTCCCATTCCCTGCAGGGCTCTGTTGGTTACTAAGGATGATTCATTTGTTCACGGAATTGAAGTTGACGCCCACAAGATTGTTGTTGCAGTTCCAACAAAGTAAAGCGAAGCATTCTCCCCCCCTGAGACGGATGGATGGACCTTGACGGCCTGAGCGGGAGGTAGGCTACTGGCAACGCCCCTGGTCGGCGGCAGGTCCCTGGTTGGAGCCTTGGTTTCTTGGGGATCGATGCTCAAAGAATGCATGATGAACAGTGTTCTGGGACTAAGATATTAGTGTACTCGATTAAAGTGTTTATTTGAAGGCGGACATTGTTCATAAATCGCTGAAAACCAGGTCGAGTTGCGGTTTAGAGAAGGATTTTGATGACATCATCGAGAAGGTGACTGAGAGCAGCACTGGAGAATGCCAACAAGCAAAGCGAAACCAAGTCGTTCAAGTCACAAAATCCGACTAGCAAGAGATATGCTAAAGAACGGGCGATTCCAACAATGCATGCTGGTGATATCCGCCGTCGTCAAGCCAGAGAACGCGAAAGTGACGCGACGCGACCCGACACGCGTGATTATCTTATCTTATCAGAACCACTGATGATGTCATTCGAGTAGACGAAGAAGAGCATTTGATACAGAGTACAGAGTAACAGCAAGAGCAGAATATCCATCTACTCCAATTCGACCCGGGCTGGAACTACGGTCACCACTTCTCCACATACGGCCGAAGATCAATCTCCTGTGTAAATGTCGTTCGCGGTTGCGAGTGTAGATACCAATATGTATCGGCAATCTGTCCAAGCGGAGCTGTTAGAGCGCGGCTACAGCTTCACAAGGGGAACATATCTCTCACTCACCGAATTTGGATCTAGCTTTGCATCTGGCGCATCAAAGTGGATCTGTTTCGTCCGCTCGATATCAATGATCCCATCAACGATAACATGGCTGACATGTATTCCCTGCGGACCAAACTCCCTAGCCAGCGACTGGGAAAGTGCACGGAGCGCGAACTTTCCAGTCGTAAAAGGCGCCAGTCGCGCCGAACCCTTCAGGCTTGCAGTTGCGCCTAAAACGGCGTATCAGTCCACCATTTGATTGAGATCGGGAAAAGGATCATACCGGTGAAAATAAGAGTGGGAGGATACTCTAAATTCAAGCCTTTCAAAAGTAAAGGGATAGCTGCTTGCGAAAAATGGAATGCTCCCAGTCTACCCATCAGACGAAAGTCAGTCGGATAGTTAGAGAAACCGTGAACAAATCTCACCCGTTACTCGCAAACCCAGCTTCAAATTCCTGTCCTGAGAGTTCTAGAAATGGCTTCCTCACTAATCCACCGCCGACGTTGTATATCGCAGCCGCCAGCGGAGCACCGGGGAAGGTCTTTGTAATCTCGGTAAAGGCGCCCTTGACGCTCTTTTCGTCTGTTACATCGGTGCTGATTCCAACCGCGTGCCCGCCGCTCGAAGAGATTTCCCGGACGATCGGTTGGTAATTATCCGGATTGCGAGCGAGCAATGCCACGGCATATGATTTTGCAAAACGCCGAGCAATCGAGGCGCCCTGCGAGTCATATCTACCGGTCAGCTAGTTACATAGATGGTGTAGACAAGTTTTTGGAGTGCCTACCGTCCCGGGCCCGACCCCAGCGATGACTGCAACGGCTTTTGCTGCCATGGTCAAGTCTGATGAATCACGAGTTTGCAGGTATCTCAAGTATTGAGATCAGTTGACAGAGAATTGATTGGAGGAGAGTGTTTACAATGGCTGAAGGTGGAAAATGATCGCATTTTATCAGATGGGTAAACGCATTAACGGGATTAACTAGTTATTGCATCATGAAATTGATTAGAAATCAAATGTAGTCGCAGCTAACCATTAGTTAGAAGCGGGAAAAACAAGTCCCGATATTAAGCAATAAGGTGCTGTTTTCCAATATAAATCAAAGGAAAGTTCGGAATGCCTGGAAATTCAGATCTACATAGTGCTGTATTCGCTAACTATCATGCCGAGGACGGTGATAGGACTGCCCCCAATAACTGCGCAACCTTGTATTTCTATATACAAACAGGGTGATGGGGAATATCTATATACACATGATCATCTTGTGCAAAGCTATGCGGCTTTCCCCATTTTGCGCGAATTGATCTTTCTTCTCAGTGCTGGCGCTCCATGAAGATATATCCAGGAGATGCTGTAAACCGCGAGTATATTAAAAACAACATACGACCAGAATATCGCCTGAATCGATCACCATTAGCCTTGAATCTGTAAAGTCACGGACGAGAAGGGCACAACTCACATAATCTCTCCACTTATATCTATAAAACACATGGAAGCTCCTTGCGAATTCATTTCCGTTCGCATAGGGGCACAGTGCACACATTCCACTCCTATCTGTGGTTACATACCCACCTCCCTGTCTCGTAAACGGCCCTGCATACTGCTCACAAGTCATTCCGGGTGGGGCTCGAAACCGTGCAAATTCATTTTCAGCGCATCGAACTGGGACTTTATTCGTGATGACCCCGAGATACCCCTCAAGTAAATAGCGGAAGGGAGTAAGCCAGTACATCCAGGAGCGCCAAAAGTATGGCATATTCTGATACGGAACCACCACCCCACAGAAGGAGACGACAAATGTGAAGAAGGCTGGGACAAGGAGAGATGCGAATAGTTCGTTTGGTGACATCGAAGCTATCATTTGGCCAAACGTGACGTAGAATACTTCGAATACCATAAGCAGCATCCACGTAAATCCAACAGCGAACGAATCTCGAGGAAACCATGTTCCGAAGTACCTTGAATACTTTAGCTTCGTGGCCGATGGGCAGCATCTACAGAAAAAAGAAACAAACTTACCAGCAGCAGAAAAACAAAGTTCCAGCCACGATAGAATATGGTAGCTCCGGCAACAACGTGCTAGTGATCAAAGCAAACCAAGAGTAAATTTTGGACTTTTCTTCTCGTGCTTCGTATAAACTTCGAAAATGGAGGTAGCGGGGTTGAAGCTGTTGAATCAAAGGAGGTGCGATGACCAAGGATAAGAAAACAGAGAAAAGCCTGGATTGCATATCGATGGTGGTATCTCGTATATGCCAAAAGGTAAAAGTGTTGAAAAGACCAGTCCATATGTGTAGCATGAATTTACCCTATGTCCAAATTAGTTTTCCCATTGTAGCGAAGGCGTGATACGAGAGAATTACAATTGTGTAATTAGGAGTGCGCCAGTATGCGATAAACGAACGCTTAGTGGTTGCTATGATCTGTGTACGTTGCGGCATTGCGAATTCTTGTTCTCCAGCTGCGCCAGCATTACTTTCGCCCTGCTTTGGAGAATCGACGATCCGTTTGATCTCATCGGTGACGGCCTGGTGTTCTGGTGAGCTTGCCCAGATGTTTGCCCAATCTGGACCTTCATAGTCTGGATTGCCAGCACCGATAACATCAAGCATATACTGTATTCACTTATTAGCAATCATTGGTTTACGTGATACAAAATATCTTACCTCTGCCGGGTTTGCATCCCGTGGACACGGCCTTGCGCCATTGCCCTCGAAATATTCAATCAATTTTCGGGAATCCGTTCCTAGCTCTCCGTGAAAAACCACTCTACCACCCGCTTGGAGCAATAAGAGATCGTCAAATTCCTCGAACAGAACTGCAGAGGGTTGATGGATAGTACACAGAATAGCCTGCCCCACGTCCGCTAATTTTCTCAGAAAACGGATAATATTGAAAGCAGCGAGCGAATCCAGTCCTGACGTGGGTTCGTCCAAAAACAGAAGCAGATCTGGTTTGCTTGCTAATTCCACAGCGATAGTTACCCTCTTGCGCTGTTCCTGGTTAAGTCCTGCACCTGGATGGCCTATTGTAGCCCCGGCAATGGACTGTAGTTCAAGCAGATCGAGAATGCGTTCACAATAATCGTATTTCTCTTTCAGTGGAACTTCCTTCGGTCGCCGGAGAAGCGCAGAAAACCTGAGGGACTCTCGAACGGTAGTAGTCGGTTCATGGATATCTGCTTGCTCCGCAAAGCCAGTTGCGCGCTGGAAGCTCTTTGGAAGAGGTCTAAATTATGATATTAATAGCTATTGCAGCAAGTATTCCCGTCTATGACTTACTTTCCGTCTATGAGGAAACTTCCAGTAACGACACCAAAATCCACACGCTGCGCCAGGACATTGAGAAGCGTGGTTTTTCTATACTCGAGTAATAATTAACAAAGACAGAAATCAAATCAACCGTCTTCAAGTCAACATACCCTGCACCAGATGCACCCATTAAGGCAGTCAAACGACCCGGTTTGACATATCCTTGGACGTCCTGTAGAAGTTTCTTTTTCGTTCCTTTATGGGGAATTGTGTAGTTGACGTCTTGCCACGTAAACACGGCAGCGTTTTTCGATATGTCTTGAACCTCCTTTTCATCCATAGGCTCGGTTTCGGATCCGTTCGATACCATGCTCTGCTTCCCTTCTTCTTCGTCACGGTTTCGCTTTGTATCCTGCATCTCATGTTTAGCAGAAGGCGGGAGCTGCCCTCGCATAAAAACGGTGACAGCTGCGCCACCGTGGGCTGAACTTCGGGAGCTGGCTTGAAGTTCGGTGCCAAACATAGTCAATGCGATAAAAAGGACAAATAACGAAATAATGATGCCAAAATTTCGCCACAGGTGATCTCTGGTATATCCATAATTAGATAGTATGTAATCGTCCCCATTCACATACGTTTGCCCAGGTTCGCTACCTTGGACGGCGCAACTTTGGAATTGAGGGGATGCGTTTGGGCCTTGGGGAACTAGCGCAGGAGGGACACAATCGATTCGTAGGTTATAAAATTCGTTGGCCATCAAAGATTCGAATGTGTATTGAACGGGATTAATCCATATCAGCCATTTCAACCACGGCCTCATTTTGCCAGGCGGAATCAAGTACCCTAGTCAACATGAGTGAGGAACAAGAAGCGGCATATAACGAACTTACCAGTATAAACAACCAAGGCTTGAATCGCAACACCGGTGATTCTCGTAGCTAAAGACACAATCAGTACTCACTTGGCTAGGGCAGCCACATAGTAGTATACGTACCCGCATCCAGGGATGTGACCAGGGCTCCTATTGCACGAAAAAAAGAGTACATGGTCATAGTAACCAGCCACACAAATAACAGTGCAATAAAAAACTGAGACGCTGTGCGAGCGAGGTTCGCCATGCTATTTCCCAGGTTAGCGTAACCCGGTTTCATGGAAAGGTATAATGAACCTACAAATACACCACAATCAGGAAAATGAAAACTTGAGTGAAGACCTGGGGAACATCGACAACCACTTGCGCTAGGGCATAAGCAGAAGGGCGGTAAAACGAGCTAGCAGGAATCAGCATTAATCGTGCCGAAAGAGGGCATGACTACATACAAGCTTTTATGCTTGATCAAGATTGGCCTGCTTTCGAATGTCGCGGTCAGTTCTGCCATAGCGAGCAGAGCGTTGAACAATATAATGTAAAACATGACTCCTCCACGAGTAAACACCCCTTGACTATTGAGATACGGTCAGCACCGGCCAGATAGTGCAACGACACAATCACGTACCTAGTTTTAGGGAGGTCATAGAACAGGCTGCCAACGATCAAAGCAAGGAAGAGGACGACGCTCCATTTTCCGAAAAGCGATTGCCGATCGCCAATCGTGACCAGGAACTGTCGTTGGCTCAGCGCAAGGACCTGTTGATAATACGGGATCGTAAAATTCTTCTTTGGTGTTTTCTGTCTTAAACTTTCTAGCTCATCTTTATGGGCTTCTATCTCATTTTCGAATTCAGCGATGGATTCTACTGCACCCTTCTGAGCCGCGCTCGCATCGTAGGCTTGTTTGAATTGTTCCGCCGACCGCGGGATGCGGTCTTCCCAGCCTTGCTTGACTCTTCGAGCATGCGGTTCCGTAACAGAAGTCAAAAAGTCCGCAGTGGTCCATCTAGTCGGGCATTCAAACCCAAGGTTCTCGAAATATTCCTTGGCATCGCTCGTTGACCCAAAGTAAGCGCATTTCCCTTCTGTGAGAAGTATGACCCTATCAAAAAGTTTATACAGCGACTCCGAAGCTTGATATATCGCAACTAATGTTGACACATTAGTCATAGTGGTAAGACTCCTAAGGCTCTGGACATACTCCAGAGCCGTACTCGCGTCCAAACCTCGAGTTGAATTATCCCAGCATTGTGTACTGGCTTTTGGTAATAAGAGCCTCCGCTATCGATACACGCTTCTTTTCTCCCCCAGAGACTCCGCGGACTATTGCGTTTCCGACTCTTGTATCTAAACAATGTTCGATCCAAAATAGCTTGGCAACACTCTTGAGGAATGCCTGGCGGTACTGACGGCGGGATTCACCGAGTTTTCGGGATTCCTTTCCAGGTGTACGCGTCTTAATAGCGAAATTAAGTGTTTGTCTGACTGTAAGTGTCGCGTAGTGAAGGTCCTCTTCAGGGTTATACAAGACTATTGACCGAAATTAGTAGCAGTAGTGCCAAGGGTTCCATAGGTCGCAGATACACACCCTCCGATCTATAATTCTTAGCCATTGTTTTGGCGTCAATGCCTCCGTATGTGACTTCGCCTTGAACATCCTCGTACCCAGCCCGTTGATTGCCTAAAACCTTCAAGAATGTCGAGCAACCAGAGCCCGGCTGACCCAGAACAAGAAGCATCTCCCCAGGTTTAACACATCCCTGGTCACAGTATCAGACCCACGTCTGATAAATATACTACAAATTGGGAGACATACCGTAAAATCATCTAGTATCGTCCTCACGGGCTTCTTCTTCCGGATATTCCCTGTAAACAGTTTGTAAAGCAATCTTGGCAACGCAAGCAATACATCCGAATTCGTCGGCTGCAAAGTAGCTCCAATCCCAACTCCTTTCACGGTCAGATTCTTCCACACCAATCCGACGTGTCTGGTTTTCTCCTCCTCCGAGACTTCCTGTCTCGCCCGTCCAAACATAGTGGACAGGATCTGCTGAAGGTTGGTCCATTCTTCACTAGGTGGAGCACCGGTCCCTGCGCTTGATTGTTCAATCACTGCGGAGCGGCTGTGCGATAGGATTTTGTCACTGTCGCCATCTTGCTCCTCTGGCATCTCATATTGTCCATTAGGCGACGAAGTTCCAGATCCGGAACACCATGGGCCCAAGGGCGCGTCTGAATGAGTTGACGGGCCATCTTTGCCTGTTAACGACGAGTAACGGCCAATGCTATTACCATTGTCGGTGCTGTTCGGAGCGACGTGTGTCGTCGATGTTGAGGATCCCCCCAAGCGCGCATTAGTCCCAAACGGGTTAATACCGCGGCTAGTTTGATCGCCGATCTTATCAGATGCCCCGTTCATCGTGCTAACCAAACTAGTTAAGGTAGAGGACGGCAACCGCGCATGATGATGATGAACCCGGAATCTGAAAAGGTCGACGGGGACGATGATGGATAGTTATCCATTGGAATCACCTATGGATCAACTGCCCGCTTCGGAGATACGGACACAGCCAGCGATGGGTTTTCAGAAACGATGGAGACGCCTTGCCAACCCTGACGTGGAAAGCCGGTGGTTTTGACGTCATGGCCAGGGAGATGGGCAGCTTTGGTCCAGAAGGCGTATTCCATCAGGGCAGCACGCTGAAGTCCACGCTTTTAGCTCAAGATTGGCCATATCGGGATTCCAATCTACCGAAAAACCCGCCAGCGTCGGGGTAATCGGTACGTTTAACCTTTCTCCGACCAAGCGACCGGTGAACCGGCGAAGTTCGTTTCTCTTTCCAGACAGACACGGCTCCGGGTCTAAAACGCGTTGCAGGCTGCTTCACGCGTCTTTCTGGTAAAGAGACTGGCCTCTATCGCCGCTCTACCTATCCCCGAAATTCCGTCCCGAGAGTAGATGAATCTAAAATGAAGCCCAATTGAGAGGCGAGTTCGTCATCATATAAAGTAGCGAACAAGCAGATCTATTCCACAAACAGTGTGCCCGAAACTATGTCAAATGAAAATACGTTTTGGAAAGAAAAAGAACGCGCCCTGATACCCAAAATAATATACATGGTAACGGTCATGTGGTGAAGCGAAATCGTGGATTGCGGTCTCCCATTTCCTGGATCTCCTCTTCAGTCATCCCCGCTACCTTGTCATCTTCCTTGCCCTGCTCTCTCAGTGTATTCGCTCTCTTGTACCAATACCACATAAACGCATAGATGCACGCTGAAAACGCCGTCAGGCCAAGTGTCACAGCATGGCCCATCACGAACCTCGGACCAGTATTGTTCGGATACAGGAATGGGGTGACAATCCCAGCAACGTTTCCGAGTGTGAGCTGAAGGCCGCTGGCAAATGCCCGTTTCCCAAAACGTGGCAGGTTGGTTGGTAGCCAGGCCAGGGGAAGTCCGACACAAACGTAAAGGCCCACCGCAACCAAGAAACAGCCAAAATAATGGACACCGGCGCTTGCATCTGCGATCAGAACGCCATATCCGACAATGGCAATGCCACAAAAGATCACTGTAAAAACGCCACGCTTTTGAGTCCTATCACTAAACCAAGCAACCACCAAGTAGGTGATAGCGCCAACAGCATAACAGGGAATAGTCAAGGCTTGGACCTGCGTAGTGGACCATTGGCCGATACCCTTGATGATGGTGGGAAGAAATGTGCTGTACCCGTATAAGACAGCGTCAACGCCAAACTGGCCCAAGCAGAAAAGCAGAACCGTCCAATCTTTGGCGCCTTCTTTCGCATCTTCGATATGGAACTGCTGGGCAGACTCGGTCTGGCCCACCTCTCGACTTCGGCGCGCTCTCATGAGCGCCTTTTCTTCATTGCTGAGGTAATACGCCGTGTCCGGGTCATCAGCAAGCCCAAACCAGGTCACTATACCCAGAAGCACAGATGGCAGCCCTTCTATAATCATAATCCATCTCCAGCCCCTCTGCCCTGCGACTCCATCCATGTGGCCGATGGCGTAGGCGAGAAGCCCGCCGCATGCACCTGCCAGCGCTGCAGCGCTAAACAAGTATCCGACTCGAAGCGCGATTTCTCGTTTTCCATAAAACAGGGTCATATAGGCAACGAGGCCGGGGAATAGACCCGCCTCCACGATCCCTAGAAAAATGCGGCAAATGACGAGACCGGTGAAGTTTTGCGTGATCCCCGTCAAGGTAGCTATGATGCCCCAAACCGTTGTAATGAATGCGATATATCGAGAGGCGGTAAGTTTCCTGATTACAAGATTTGAGGGAACTTCAAGCAACTAGTAGAGAAGTAGAATTAGATCCGTCCTTTCGTCCCAGGAGAAAAAAATAAAAAAGGCAGACCTACACAATACGGCACGAATAGAATAGAAACCGCAATCTGGAATTGATTTCCATGCAGACCCAAGTCCTTCTCCATGCCATATAGCCGCGCATTTCCGATGTTTACTGTTGAACGATTATTGTATTAGATTTGACAGTTTACAGCAAGGTCGGGCATATCCTACCTCGATCGAGGAAGCTGAAGAGGTATAGAACGACTAGAAAGGGCACAATGTGCAGATCGATCTTGCGAATCAAGTTGGCTTCCTTCTGCGGATCGAAACTGACCATTGAACTCTCCGTGGCCAGCCCATCTTGCGATAAGTATCCCTGCTCATTCTTACGTTCGGCATCCGGTTTCATATCCACAGGAAAACTCGTCAGTCCTAAAAGCAGTCGTCGTAGGGAGTTGGTTGCTAATGGTATTCGTCAAATACGGGCAAGATCCAAATTCTCGAGAGAGGTCAAAGCCAAAGCGGCGAGCTGGGTCGATGATGGTCAAGGAGGCAGTCAATCCGGCAACCGATCGTCCTGTCAACCGCCACCAAAGCGTGTGTCGACCACGGAGGACAGCTGTAACAAACAGGGCTGCATGGCCGAATAATTGTCGTTCAAATCCGACTTCGCTGTGCGACAATAATCACGAGTGCTTATAAATGCTGAAAAGTGGGGGTTTGCCAGCGGTGACTCGAAGGTGTTTGCCGCAACGGGGAGCGCGGGAAAAAATTTGATTCTCGGGAGTGACAGGGCGGGAGCGGAGAACCGGGGCGTCTGATTGGATTGGGCGCCAACGCCTCGTCTAGATCTTGAACCTCGGTAGGAGAACAGATTTCTGAAGACGGATAATCCATTCGATGCTTCTGTAGTCTAGACTCTAGAGAGTATCGGTCTACTATCCTTGTTCTCAATCGACAATGTTCATCCCGTCACATGCAGCGTGGGATAAGCAGAGATGAACTGATAAGATAAGATGATAAGCTTAGTCATCTAAATATCTTGGCATGCCAAGTATTATCTCACGTGATCCATTTATATCACCTGACCGCTCGTATTACATAAGGCAGGTTGAAAAACGCCCGCTGGTCTCGAGTTCCTCAAGTCTCCTCGACACTCGCCATCTCGGATCGTGTTGTCTTCAGGATCGGTGCAGGCGATCTCGGGCATAAATCCACAATGGGACACAGAGATTCTTTCAGCTGACCTTTCGAGCCACTGTCCTTCAATTTGGGAAAATGATATTTCAGCCCACCAACTTCCAAGCGAGCTGAACACAGGCACTGTGCTCTGCCCGGGAACTAGTCACGCTGGACCACTGAACTGCTGGCTTTGCACTAAGGATATGCCCTTTCTCGTGCGCTCCATTTCCCAGTTTTGGACTTCGATTTGGGATTTTTCTGTTTATATCACGCTTCATGCCGCATGTTCAGCAACCACTCGGGGTTCTAGACCGTGTCCAAGCCGTTGGCTTGAGCTGATCCTCAATGATCTTCGTGACAGCCCTCGGGTAATGCGGGGAAGTCATGTCACCCCGTGCCCTCTTTGAAGCTTTGACGCTCTATTCCAGAGACCATACGGGATGAAGGGTGAGAAGTCGATCTAGTATCAGGAAATGGGCGATTGGACCCAGTCAACGCGCTGCTGATCTCCCGGATGCGCCTGTGTCGGCGGGATACCGTGTGGTCGAGATTTCGAACACATCTGCTTTGTCCATCGTTCGTATCTTCACTGTTGGAATGATTCTCCCTCTCCTGGAACGGAACGGCAGCCACGTGATTGCTGTTTCTGCCTTGCTGTGAAGCACCCCTATCGAGATTCGTGCTATTGACAGATTTGATCCTTAACGTGCCGCAAGCACTATCGGATAGCCATTGTCGAAATTGGACCCGATCTCGCGGTCATTGATATCCAAATCGCAAAGAATACCACATTTCTTAGGGCCTTTCTGCATCCGAGAAATTCTCTCAGCTCACCCAGAAATGGCCGAGCTAGCCATATGCTTCCCCCCTTTCCTAAATCGCACTTTTCTTTTACCAGCACGTCGGTCGTGTTCCTACCACCCCTCGTTCAAAAACACACTTACCCTCATTCCTACGTACGCACCGATGCCTTAGACCCAGGGTTCCAAGGCGACCAAAAGCATTTGCCCGAATGCAACGCGTATCCATGCTAACATTACTCCTTTCGTTGCGATCAGGTCCCAGATGACTATGCGGTCTGGATTTGAACCGGATATCGGCTATCCGTAACAAAAAGCAACCGATTGTAAAAAATTGAAACTTTTCTAAGGTCATTCGGACGGAAGTAGGGCCTCTAGCTTGACAGAATATTCATTTCCTTTGCCGGAAATCCCTCGTCGCGGGCCCGCGCCTAACTCCAAGCTCATCCTCATGACTCGGTTTTGCTGGGAATTGGGAAGCCTCCGTTCAAGATTGCGCGTCAATGTCGTAAAGGGGCGGCGTCACAAGGTCAACTTGATGAAAAAAGTCGGCCCAGAAACGCGAGTCTACCTGCTGTCTATTTCTCGTCAGGGCCTGCGGAACAAGTATTAAAGGTGCCGACCTTCCTACAGTCACTCGCAATCCTTCACACGAACACCCGAGGCCTGGACTTCGAAAACTGCAAACTTGTTTCGTTTAAATCGTCCCTTGAATATTGCTTCAACCATCCACCATGAAGACCGCGTCTTTCTATCTCCTGGCCTACATTTACCTTTTCTCATTGAACCCGATCGCCGCAGCTCCATCGCCAGAAGAGCAACAGTACATTGATTTTTGCGCGGAAAGGTTTGGTCCTGATACCGCCATCCAGCCTGCCGAAGGAGGTGGCTTTCAGTGTGTCATGTGTGCCGGTTCTGCGTGTACGTCTCCAGGCAAATTTCCCATAGCTCACTATATTGAGACCATATTCATCATATTGCAGACCAGGACCCGGTGACCGGCGATCGCAAATGTTGTAACGTCCTGAATGAGAGTTTCAGCGTCGACAAAGTTGTCCAAACGCGAGGAGGCTGCTGCAAGGCTCCTTTGGTCTTTTCCTATGATCCGGCGGCCAAGGCTGGAAAGTGCTGTAACCCTGGCCATAAGTTTATGGCCGGGGCCTGCACTCCTCACGAGCCTTCCCGACCAAAATGTACTCAATGTTCCAAGAACTACGCTTGCGCTCACGATGGCCACCTTGGCCTTCGGTACGGACATTGTTACACCATGACTGATATCAATGGATTGCACCTGAACCGTAAAGTCGATGGAACCTACCAGTCTGGCGGAGACATCGATAATCTTATTTTCAGGGTATCTTACTCCGCCCTAATTGGACCTCGGAGCGCTTCGTAACTGATGGTTGACAGGTCTGCAAAAGCACCACCGACTGCGATGCTAACTTTGGCAGGTATGTTCCCGAGGACGGCACTTGGGCCCTTCAAGATCAGCTTGGCCGCCGTGAAGATACAGGGCCTGGCTGGTTCGGCAATTACACCCCTCACATGGGCATTGCACCCTTCAAGGAAACTGCCAGGGCAGCCATATTCAAGGGGGAGGGATTCTGCATGTATGGAGAGTGTGCAGTCTGCCTACGCCTAGGGAATCCCGACCAAGGACTCTCTGCCCCGTGCCCATTGTATCCCAATTCCGAAAAGGCGCACATTGGCGCGGCAAGAAACCCAACGAATTGCAAAGCATACCGGTTCCAGGAGATTAAGTGTATCAAAGGTGTTCCAGCGAGACCGAGCTAGTTATCGGGCTAGGATGAGTTGCTAGGGATTGGCGCGGGGATAGGATGAGGGAATGGGCGTATCTGCAACAAGCGGAGAGAGGAAGTGAAAGGGAGAGACGAGTCAGTGAGCCCAAATGCCAGCCAGTCATTTCCGCAGAGCCAAAGCAGTGTTGCACGTTATCTTTCACTCTTTCAACTTGGCTAGTCAACCTAGTCAGCCACAATATGATATTCTACTTGATTTAAATTCTTCCAGACAAAGCCACTCATCGCCAGTGGTTGACAGGCAGGAGATCGATTAAGTAACCGCCAGTTAACTAGTAACTCCACCACATCATGAAATTACGTTGTTCCTAACCAGACTGCAGTCCTTGAAGCCATCCAAATCTATACCTCCTTGTTTGTCTAATATACTCCCCTGCAGTTCGGCCTGCCTCCTCGCACCATGGAGTCCTTTGAGGGCCTTATCGACTATTCCTCACTGGTGCCCTTAACTGCGGGTGAACGCTCTCGCGCCCAAGAGGCACTGAATGAAATTATTGATCATGTTGCCAGTTATGGTGGCATCAAGTGCGGATATAGTCACCATTTACTTGTCCTTCATTCTTACAACAACTCGCAGTCTGAGCCATCCAAAGATACCTTCCTGCGCACTTTTTTCAATATCATGGGGCGAGATATCAGCAGCAATGAAGATATCAATGTGGATGATGACCAGATCCTTTCAAAATTCATTCACTTTGCCGACATGCTCCTTGAGCAGTTCTTTGTCCCAAGTATGAGCTGTACCACCCTCAGGGCCTCAAATCCCCATCATTTTCAACTCACTCAATTCTTTACAGTGAAAGCAAGTGGGAGGATTCTAACCCCCCAACCCTCACCTGCACAGCTTTCTGCAATCCAAAGCATACAGTCACCACATGAAATCATGGACACCTCGGAGCGAATATCACATCTTCGGGCTCTTTGTCTTGTCCGTGATCAGCATCGTTGTGTAATCTCGCGAGCCTTTGACTCTCAAGAGGCGCTGACACGAATGAAACACCACGGTTTGGATGCTCAGGATGATGAGGGGAGAAAGTTTGACAACAGTGTTCGATTCAGTTTCTTAGAAGTGGCTCACATAACTAATTCCCCATTCTCTGCTGCAGGGAAACGAAAAGTCCGAGCTGGTAGGTCACCCGACCACAATTAGAAACCATTGCTGAACGACAGACATAGACTGCTGTTAAAAAGGCTACGCTTACGATTCTCAACATGTTTGACCGTGAGGTGGCTCATCTCATCGAGGGCACTCACATTGATAGCCCACGGAATGCAATCAGCCTGGCCCACGATTTTTCACAAGCACTTTGGCGACTTTGAGATATACTTTGAACCCATTGATGGTCAGGAGCATACCTACCATATTAAAGGTTTTCTCCCTCCTATTGTCAGGGCGAGTCTGGGGCTCCCTGTTACCCGCAAGCTCCTTTTCAGTGAAGGCAGGGCGGTACATGCTCCTTTGCCCAAACTACTTGCTCTACACCGGGCCATTGCTCATATCTTTCACCTGTCTGGAGCTGGTGAATATATTGATAAAATACTCGGGGAATTTGAAGAAAGAGGTGTGCAAGAGGACGGGTCCACGGATCTGGGACGCATCGTGAACCTAAGGCTTGGTGGGTGGTTTGATGATGAAGTTCATTGACTACACAGGTAGATGAGATTCAAGGGTATGAGTGGCATGTGCGAATCCGAAAAAGACGCTTGTCTTCCGGCTCAGCGGTCGAAATATGAGGCTAGATAGCTAAATAAAAATACTACAGATAGACTCCGCATTTTCTGAATTCTAGATTCATCCCATGTCCTAACTTTCACGAATCCTTGCTCTGCGGTATGGGACAGTCAAGTAACAGTTTCACGACTCTTGTGTCGACGCCCCACGGCCCTCCGATTAATACTGGCCTTTGGGCGTGGAGCATTTGCTGAGCTCACAATGGCGATCTCCTCCCGGGTTTGGCCGGCTTCGATTCGATTCTCAATTGAAATATATTCTCGTACCGCAGTCAACGCCATTCAAAGCCAAGAAAGAGAGGAAGAGACATTATCAACACCAACAAAAAAAGAAAGATTCCACGAAGCACAATTTCAGCAACCGTACCTCTCCATGATAGCATTAAACGAAGCGTCCTGTAAAAGCTGTGCTGCAGTCAGGCGTTTCGCAGGATCTGCGGAAAAACCTCTCATCAACATTGATATTACATGTTGCCGCTCAACCGAGTCAGCCTCCAGGTCTGACCTGTCGAAAACTCCGTTAAGAACAGCTGGAGCTTCCGATTCCTGGTCTTGATCGTACCAAGAATCAATCCTAGTCTCAGGATTCGGAAAATCATCCTTCCATTGCGCAGGCAGTGGGCCAGAATAACTGACAATGCTGGTTATCACTCCACCTTCCCAGTAAGCATGGAAGGGAACAAAACCAAAATAGAGCTTCATAAAGATGCACATGTAGCTCCACATATCACAAGCAGGAGTTGGGGCTTTGTTGTGAATCCTCTCGGGGGAGCAATAAGCAACAGGCGGGCTGCCTACTGGAGCTTCAGAGCCAATTTGCGTTGCCTGACCGAAGTCGCCAAGATAGAACATTTCTGTCCGTAGCTCTTCAGGAACTGTGAGGGGCACAACTAGCTCTCCTGGTTTCCATAGGTCCGGGATATGAGTTATGGCTTGCTTCAACGGCCGGCCAATTTTCTTGTACTTGTCGCCCCTGCTGAGACGATCAAGAGGCTTTATACCCCACATACAATTCCTGGAGTTCAGATCTAAAGGCTAGGTTAGTATATGTAAAACAGGATTGACTTCTGAACTGTCCAAGCAGCCACGGGGAACACTCACCACGATGCACGATCCCAGCCTTGTGTAGGCTATCCAAGGCCATCAAGAGTTGTCTGGCAGCCGACATGCGAGAGGCCATTGGCTTCCGACTCGCATACAAATCAACGGCCGGGCCTCGCAAGGGAAAGACCAGAACCCGGTGATTGCAGCCATCTCCACAAAGGCAGAAGGTTGCCAGATATGTAACAAGGTGAGAGGTATCTTGAACATTCTGAAGGATTTTCTCCTGCATGAGAAACTCATGCTCGCCGAAATCGCCAGCGCACATTATTTTGAGGGCCACGTCTGTTTTCTTCAGCAGATCGTGCGCCATCCACACCGTGGAAAAGCCGCCATAGCCCAGTTTATGCTCGACGCGATATCTCTGGTTGAGCACTTCGCCAATGCGGATGGGATAGAATACGCGAGAGTTGTTGTTTTTGCGATACCTTTCCCAAGGTTCTGCACGCTCATACACGTCATCTTCTTCATCGGAATTGCCGAAGTAATAACCGTTGTCGTCCGTGTCGTCAGGGGGTTGGGGGACTGTTGCGGTGACTTCGATCGAGGTGGTAGCAGGAGTGGTGCCAGTGGAAGCCATTTTCTGCGTCCTGCGCATACAAATCCAGAGTTGAGCCGCCGTTGTTTTTTTTAGCAGATATAACTAGCGGCACGAAGAAAAGTCACTGAATAGAGCTGTTTGTTGTTGCTTTTTGGCCGGGTTTTGCCTGTGATGCAGCCCTTTTATCTTGGAACAACGTAACCGTGAGCCCTGCAACTCGTTATTAGTTTGTTATCAAGTTATCAGTGACTGGCCACATCACCGCTCGGCTCCCGCACACCAACAACACCGCTGCGCTTCGACGAAAGAAAGCCTTGTCACACCCCAAGCTAAGATGATCAGAGCCTGGCTGCGGTCCATGCGAGGCCAATGCTCTAGACTCCGATATCCCTTTTCGCTCTCCGCCCTCAGTGCGTCTGTCGGCGGCTATTCCGACTCTGCCATTGGTAGCTAGCTAACTCACACCGTGGCGGGGAGATGACCCCCTGCTGCCGTCCCATCTATGATCTTGAGTCACAAACGACACCGCATCTCGCCTGGTGCATGGCGGAACACGCAGCTTCTCGAGGCAACCAGCATTGTCCAATATCGGCTATCTCGATTTGAATTTAAGGAATTGCCTCAGTTTAACGCTAGGCCCGAGTCCAGTGAGGTTAAGGAGCTGTGTGATTTAGAAAAAAAAAAAAGGGGAATCAAAAATGCATCGGCCGGGAATCGAACCCGGGGCCCGTCGATGGCAACGACGGATTTTACCACTAAACCACCAATGCTGTTATGTAAGCTGCATGCCATGCTGTGCTTAGTGTGCAGCCAGCTAGCTACTTACGCAATTGCGATGATCTCATCTGACTCAGCAGCCGCAACCAAGTTGAGCTTCTCTCTCTCTCTCTCTATATCTATGATCTCTCTGTCTATCTCGCCATTCACACACCAACAGCAGCAGCAACGGCACTCCGCACCATGGTCCTCGACTACGACCAGCCGTCCCAGTCGGGCTCCGGATTTGGCGACGACAGCTCCGTCAACAACGACCCCTACTTCGCCCACAACCCCCCCAACGAGCTCCTGAGAAAGTTCCCCACGACTATCACCCTCCCCCCGTTTACCTTTGGCCGACGCCTCCTGCACTGGTCCCAGGCCAACTATGAAAACAAGCTCTCGCTGCTCATCTGCGCCCAGCTGGATGCCGCCTCCGCCATGATGAACCGGCCCGTGACCCAGGAGGAGACAAATGCCATTGTCGACCAGGCTTCTATGCTCTCTGACGTCCCCGAAGCGGCGGGGCTCCTGGGCGGGACACTGGGCGTCTGGCTGGGAGGCAAGCCGGTGAACGTCAACCCAAAGGACGCCGAGGCCATGACCAAGCTATCCCCCGCCGCCAGGCTCCGGGCCTCAAGGACCGCTCACATCGCTTTTGTCCTGCCCATCTGTTTTCTGGCTGGATACTGGATTTCCAGTTCCATTGCTCGAATCAGCGTTGCCCTGGCCACCGCGCGGGATCAGCGCATGGCGCAGTTCCAAAAGGACGTGACCAAGCAGAACCCCGAGGAGGTCCAGCGGCGGTTGAAGCAGGTCCGCGACGAGGCTTACGCTCGGCGCCGCGCTGCAATGTACGGTGACCAACCGCCGCCCCAGCAACAGAGAGGTCCTCCGTCCGGAGACGATGCAAGTCCCACCGGCGGCTATCTCGAGTCCGGCGGTTCCTACGCCCAGTACGGATCGCAGCCCAACGACTCCAAGATCCTCAGCGACGTCTACTCGCAGCCAAACGGAGGTTTCCAGTCGCAATCACCGCCACAGTACCCCCAGCGGCCGCAGCCGCCCAGCGCACTCGAGCCGACCCAGGGTCAAAGCTTCTGGGATGACGACGCCAGCCCTACGAACCCCGACGTCGACATCACTCCCAGAACCGCCACCGGAAGTACATGGGAGCGCATCCGTCAATCAGCCGCCGCCCGAACACCCCCACAACAGCATCAACAACAACAGCAGCAGCAGCAGCAGCCACCGTCCAACCAGGAGTGGCGGTCGTCGGATTACGATGCCGGCAGGGACTCTAGTGACAATTACACGCAGGCCCCCAGGGAGCGGGCCCAGAAGGATTTTGATAACTTGCTCGAAAGGGAAAGGGAGTTTGGATCTGACCGGGATAGAGACGGTGGGAATGCCTGGCAGAGACGGTGGTAGAAGGCTTCTGTTGCATTCCGTCACCTTATCCCCCCCAACTCTCGTCAGTCTATCAACTTGCCATTTCCAATGTACATTATTCTGATCTCTAAACTTTTGAACTCCTATCTGATTCTAAGATTGTTCATGAGCAAATAACTTTACTCCAAATTGGGATCCATTAGATCACGCTCTATTATACTAGGGATCTGAGGGCGTTGCCTCATTAGACATCGCAATCAAAAAGTGAGTGCGAGCGGGTAGATTATCAAAGCTTTCTGAAAGAAAAGGAAAAAAAAAGAAAGGGAAAAAAGGCACCTGTACAGGTGTGCCAGGATGAATTCGCCGTACCTGGGTAAGTCATTAGATTGTGCCAAGTGCAGGGAATACACCGTGGCCGAAAAAACAGCTTCGAAAGGGTATAAAATGGAATTAAAATAAAAAGAAAAAAGAAAATCATAGAAGTAGAGAAATTGTCAGCGCAGCATGGCCATGAGGTCCCAAAAACACAAAAGAAAAAATAAAAAATAAAAAAGCCACCGGGTTCATCTCTGCCGGCCTCGTTTTCATCATTCCATATATCACATTGAGCACCAAGCGACCTCAATTCTTACTCTCTCAATCAAAATTCATTTTTGTTCATCCTATCCAGTCCACCTTCAATAACACTCGCCATCGGCACACTCTCGTACGGCATCGACGCATCCGGATCCCCCGATGGCGGCGTGCGCACGTTGCGTCCCCGACTGGTGCTCCGCATCCGTCCCGTCAAGCTGCGGAACTTGTTGGCAAGATTGTCATTGATGCTGCGTCCACGGCGGTGTGTGTGGGTTTCAGGCATCGGCCCTTGCGCGCTGGCCGACCGGTGTGGCAGCGGTGGCATGAATTCTGGCGACGGGAGAGTGGATTGGGATCGCTGTTCGCTGGTGTTGAGGACAGTTGGTTCACCGATGGCGATGTTGATCGTGCCGACGCCGGAAATCAAGGAGCTGCGCTCTTCAGCGTGCATCAGACCTTCGCTGCTCGTCTCTATGCCGTTGTTGGATGGTGCCGGCGGCGGAGGCGGTGGCGGGGGGTCGGAGAGATGCTGTAGCTCCGGGAGAACTGGCGGGATAGGCGCCTCGCTTGGTTTTCTGCTAGCCTGGCCGGAGACGCTACCGTACTGTGAGCCGTTCAACGTTGCAGCATCATGCGAGGCCTCCTTTCTGTGCATAGAGATCCTCGCGCCTCTGCTACTGGGAAGTCGGGGCCGAAAATGTGGATGTGCAGGGATGCCTTCGGCGGGTTGATCGCCAACGTCCTCTGGAATCGGTGCCGACATTGAGCGCGAGATGCTGAGTGAACGACCATGCTCACCATTACCGATGGGGCTGATGCTATCAAAATTAAGGTCGGGCATCGGAGGGATATCGTTATAGCCAACGCTGTATTTAGGATGCTTCATTGCACGGGGTGTTGCCGGGAGGCCAACAGGAACGGGAGCAGCGCCTCGGCCGGTTGAGGTATCGGAATACGTTGATGTTGCAGGAGATCCTCCCTGCCTGACTCCCGCTCTTTGGCTGAAAGAGCCATTGGTCAACGGAGGGCTACCTCCACTCTGCCTGCGGGATCTCGCAGACACCACGCTGTTAGGCGTCCCCAGTTCACCGGGCAATGGCACGGCGGGTGCTGATGGGCGACGGACCAAAGATAGTCGTCGAGCCTCAAGTTCCGCCGCCGCCTGTTCCTTTCTGATACGTTCCGCCTCCTTCATCTTTTGTGCGTCGTTGGAAGGGCCCGCCCACTCGATGGTTTCGGCAAAGATTGGAGTCCCATCTTCGGTGTGTCCGGGCATATTGAATCTCTGGTTACTGAGCGTGGGCAGAGGGTTTGCCGCCGGTTCTCTCGCCGGTCGACTTCGAGATCTACTTCCAACTCTGCCTCTATCCGGAGACCCTCCGCGACGAGCGCTTTGGTCGCGCTCTGGTTGTCGGCTCGACGCCCTCTCCCGGGATTGAAGCCGCTGTTGCCGGTCCGCAGTGACGAGGCGCAAATGGGCCTCGGCGGTCGAGTCCTTTTCGGATGGCGACATGGGAACTGGCGACGATGGCGACCTTATCCCGAAACTGCCCTCCCGCGGTCGACTTCTACCTTGGGTGGTTCTGGTTTGACTTCGATCGAGAGCGTCTCTTGACTGCTGGCCTCGAGCTCTAGATGACCGCGGCCGAGAATTTTCACTGCGACTGCGGTGCCTCTTGGATTCCTTGGTTTTGGAAGAGGTGCTATTTCCAGTTGATGCGTACAGTGCTAGGTCCTCTGGGGACATCGGCACGGGCGACGAGGGGGACCGCTTCGCCGGTTGGATATATCGCTGTTTACTCCGCCCACGGGATTCTTTGGACTTTTTATGACCTTTATGGCCGTAATCAGCCGCAAGGCCCTGAGTGTGTGAATAGTAGGAAGATGAGTCCAGGGTGTTAATGAAATTGTTGACGTTTCTGGTGCTACTACTTCCTGCGTTCAGAGACTTTGCGCTGTCACTGGTCCATGTGGGACTGGCTCCAGAGACACCGCCCGCGTCCCGTCGCTGTAGAGATGTGAGAGAAGGGAGAGACCCTCCGGAACTGGGCGTAACATCATGGGGTGAATAGGCCGGCGGCCATTTAATGTGTAATCCTTCGGGCTTTCGGTCTCTTGAGCCATTTCGAGTAGATACCGAAAAATCCGCGGATAGATTATCTGGCCTGGAAATCGGTAGCGCAGTGGTACTACCATCCCCGTGTGGAACATTCGAAGCCTGCTCGGATTCCGCAGGTTCGTTCTGGGGTGTGTATCTTGCCGACGTCAAATACACAAGTTGCTCCTGCTGAACAGGCTGATACTGAGTAGTGCCGGCTTTCGTCTCCTCCGTCTCCTTTCCCTTTTCTTTCTCCTTCTCAGAGCCGGAATTGTCAGGAGTAGGCAGGGACTTTGGTATAGCTAGATTTGGCGGGTTGACGTCGGTGGGTGTCTCTCCGATCGATGGAAGACGATGACTATGGCCACCTGGAGTGATTGCCCGCGCGGAAAGAGTCTGTCTCGCAGTTTTTTGTTTATAGGAACTGAAGCCTCCCGGCGACATGACGGAATCTCCCATTGCTGAATCAATAGGTGTGACGCCCGGCATATTGGTCGGGGTGCGATCGGCCGATTGAAGACCCGGGAACTTGAAGGCTGGAGCTTCAGGGCCAAAAGATGTGATCAGTTTCAGTGCCTGGTTTTTGGCGGTGGGACGAGCCGAGCTGGGTGACAGACTGCTGGCCTGTGGAGGCTGCACAATCACCGATGGCGATGAGGCTGCGGACTTGTTGGCGAGCTGATTGGAGAGTATATTCGTCATTTGTACCGATGGAGAAGCCCACGCATCGCTGTTATTGAGATCAGCGCAGGAGAAGCACCGTATGGCGAGGTGCTGCTGGGAGTTTTGGACAACGAATTCACCCCATCTGCGGACAAGGTATGACTGCCTGGACCAATCCATGGGCATCACAAGACAAGTCAAGAGAATCGCCTCCATGTACATATTCCTTGACACGTAAATCTCAATGCCATCGTTGCCGTCCCCCATACCAATCAGCAGGGCAACTGCGGCGTGGATATCTCCTCTTGCCAGCAGTTTCTGGACGAATGCATGCCCCATCGTTTTCGTCTCTGCTTGACCGTTCAACGTGCTCAGAGCAAGCAGCATCCAGCCAGTGTAGCGCGATGTTACAGAGGAAGCCATTCCGAGTAGAACATTCTGATCAATACATCCAAGCCATCGCGCTAGAATCACAGCATGTTCACTCCCTGGGCTGTGGCGCCGTACTAATAGTCTAGTCAGCGTTTGTGACATGCACGGACGGATTACACCACTTACTTTCATCGGTCAACAAGTCTATAATATCACCTTCCCATCCGAATACGACATTTAGCATCTGTTTCCGTAATGCATCCGGGTCAAGATCTGTTTCATTGAGTCGCTGTGGAGGCTTAAAGGGCACGTCATTCAAGCGGCTTCGAGTATATGGAAACAGCTCTACCAGGGGCTCTTCCGACTTGCTAGGGACATACTCATGACGCAGTCGGGAAGCCGTGCGCAGAGATCCGCCAGAGGTCACTGAGGCTGAAGAGCCGTACCTTAGTGAGTACATACTTTCGGCGGTTGACTGCACCGGCGAGCTCGTTGAGAAAGTTGTTCCTGTCCCACTGTAAAGGCTTCTTGAAGGGCGAGAATGATGATGTCGACTGCGGAGCGAGTCTGGACTCTGCAATGAACCACGACCTACACGGGCTGCTTCTGACATTTCAAAACTTGGGACGGGGAATATCGGAGGACTGCCCTGTTTTAATTCTTCAATCGTACGATGTGCCTGGTTTGCGGTGGAGGAGGCTAGAGCCGCTTGAAGGGGCATCGAAGCATTCAAGCCTTCTGCGGGTGTCGATGCCTGAGCTGAGGGTAAATGTTGCACATCGGCAACCATCGTAGGGTTGATAAGCTCGTATTGCTGTACGGTGTGGTTTGGGCCTAGAGTAAACAGTGTCGCTGTCGGGCCATAGTTCGCTATGCCCCTGACGCCCTGCACGGTGGGAATACGCTCGTAAGTGACATGCTTCGTCCTGACATCCCAAGCCCAAGTCTCACTTTATAGTTTTGAGGACACCGTCAGCGCTTAACAGCATAAACGAAAAATAAAGTGGCAAAGACAATCGTTTACCTGTCCGAATATTGAACTATACGTCCATTCTTAGACCAAGCCAGCCACTTTGGGCTCGTAGCAACAGATTCAGATTTCCTCAGAGTTCGTATCACACGGGCTGAATCCTGCGTCGGGTGTTTGGAAACGCTCCAAACGAGCAAATCACCATCGACCGTCAAAGTGGCCAACATGTCCGATTTCTGCTTTGTGGAGGATGCATGCCATGCTAACGAGACGATGGGTGATGGGCCTCTCGAGGTGGTAAGCGTGTGCAAGATGGTGAATGGCTGGAGGGTCGCAATCAATATTGACCCGTTTCGATACCTAGTCCTCATTTTAGCAGATATTCGTAACATATGGAAGAGAAACCCTCGTACCCGATAGCGTGCGAGCGACAGTCAGCCGCGGGGGCGAGTGCGGTGACAGGGTCGAAGATGGTTCTGGCAGATATATGCTCTGAAGTTGAGGGTTCGAAAAGAATGATTGTTCCTTTTTCACCACCTAGAAATGCGAATGTCAGGTTACGAAGGGTAAGTAAATTGAAGCTAGGCCAGATGCCTACCAAGCGCAATATTGCCATTGCGCATCCAAGCAGCAACGCGAAGCATTTCAAAAGAAGCAAATCGGGCAATTTCTTGACCGGTGAAAAGATCCCATATGATTGCGGTTTGGCTGGCATCATAACTCACAACCAACCGACCGGCACCGGTTTCACTGACGTTGTCAACGGCGATGAAAAGGATATTATCGCTGTGGGCTTCGAATTTCCGGTCCAGAGCCAAAGTGTCATGGTGTAGGGACAATATTGTCGAGCCTTGTGCGAAAAGGAACGAGGAGGCGGTGGCGGCACAGGGCTCGAGGTCATTGTTGATATCGAGGGGAGGACTCGGCATCAAGGCGGCGGAGACGGAACGAGAACCGGACGACATGGACCTCCGTCTCTCCAGGTGTCCAGCCGACATTTTGACAGCTTGAGCACTTTTAAAAGGGCGCGAGGTCTACGTCAGGGGGTCAGCTTTCTTGAATCCCGCACCGCACGAACGTCGAGATACAATCGAAGCGGATGTATAGGGAAGATCTACCACCGAGGCAGAGATGGAAAATGGGTAGAATAGCAATCGCAAGAAGAAGTAGAAATAAAATGGAACCAAAATTCTAACCGTCTCAATCCCGCGCAGGAAGCGCTTGGGTTCAAAAGGCCGCAAGACTGTTTGATCGAAGGGGGTCGTCACCGGCCATGCAACAAAATCAGAGGCGAAGAAGGGACAGTATGGTCGGCAGTGAAAATGAGGTCGGCGCTTGAGTGATTTGCCGACTGTTCCCACAGGAGGATTCTGTGGCTATTGGCAAAGGGCGAGTGAGGGAAAAAAGCAATGCCGCAAGATGAGGGGAGGAAGAGTGCAACAAGGCCGATATTGGGAGCTTCAAGCGCTCAGAGGTCTGGTACTCAAGACATGCACCTGTACAACGGAGGACAAGTTTGATTCAAGAGAGAGGATGAGGAGGGATGGGCAGCCAGAAGCCAACTTCGTTCGGATCGAGAGGAGGTCACTCCGGCCAAGAGTGGAAAGGGATCTTGGAGTCCTCCACAACTGCGATTTGCTGCCAGTCTTGAGATCAAATAAAGCGAGGAGAGATCTCGGTGACGAATGGAGGCCGTGGGCGCTCTGGTCGGCAGAAGGGATGCCCAGAAGCAAAATGGTGGCTGGTGTGCAAGGAAGTTGATAGCTTGCAAGCGCCGACAGGGATTGCGCGAGGGGCAAGGCGAGCTCCTCCGGAAAGAAGAGCTATTTTCAGCAGATGAGGTGAATAATGCATGCACGGAGAGATGCACGTTGGGTTGGTTCGAGTGTGAAGGACGCAGGCGTTGCAGACGTCGACCAGAAGAGCCCTCTGTCAGGGTAACTAATTAGTTAGCGGTGAATCTGAGCACGAGGGCATCAAAGCACGCTCGATGGGATTTGCTTTGTTATACGGACGGCGAGCAACATCGAGGCCAATGGGGAGACATGTCGCAGGACTGGAGGCAATGCAACCGGCCGATTGGCGGCAACGGCGAGAGGCACCAGAAGCAGAGAGCATCAGCAGAGGATGGAAGCGAGCACGCCGGTCGCTCTCAGGGCACGATAGTCGGCGTGCTGGACGGCATGGCTGGTGGACATGGGCCGATCCGTCCGCATGAGACGGGGCCGGGTGCCATCTTGGAGCCAGGAAATTGAGATATCCTCCGTATCGCCATCCATCCCCATGCCTCTGTTGACTGAGGATCCCAAGAGGACGTCTGGAGCAGGGCATGACATCGCCCCTTTCGAGCGGCCAGGATGCAGCATTAGCGCAACGCTGCTCAACGGGCTTCTGGGCGCAGATTGGCCCGAGGCGTCAAGGGTTGCTTCTTCACCCTGCAGCCTCGATCACAGCCGGCCGCCAATCAGCACCCGGAAGTGCGTGATCAAATGGGCGCTTGGAGGTGATGGGGAACGGCTCCCTGGCCTGGACGGCCGTTGCGAGGCCACGAGAGGGCGAGAGCCTGAGAAGGTATTTGGCACGGCGCGTACGGGAGCGAGGGAGCACGCTGTCCACTGGCTGTGTTTCGACCGATCACAATCTCGTTTTCTGTCATCCCGGCGATGGCGATGTGATGGCTGGTGAGAGACAAAGAGTGTGTATCTGTATCTTCCCTGTCCAGGCACGGCGTAGTTGCGCATCGCTCCCTGTAGGCAGTGTGAATCCCCTCGATGTGTGCTATTCTTGCTCCATTTCAAGGCTGAGTCGAGAGAGTTGCGGCGTTGAAGTCTGCAGATGCATGATCTCCATCTTCCCGTTCTTCAGATCATGCAGACAATCCCGTCTGACAGCCGAGCAATTAATAGCACAAACAGCCAATGAGTCTGCCTGCTGCCCGTCCATGCAATGCAGTCTGCCGTCTTCGCTTCGACGGTGCAGGCCAGTCCCTGTCCAGTTGGGGCCGCGCCGTCGAGATATTTAGTCGTCCGATCCCTTCGCTCTTCGTGCTCTTGACCTCACAGCCCCGTCTCCCAGGGGCATCCCATTTCTATTCTTTACAATATCTTTTCTCCTGTCATGGGGGCGGTTGGGAAACGCTAGGGCTTCTTCAACAGTGCTCAGTTGGCGCCATCACACTGTCACCCACGATGCAGAAATCGGCGATGAGTGGGCGATTTTCGATACAGACTCTTGGGCTTGGATGTCACTCAATTGATGAAAATAATAATCCCTTTCGTCTGGGCCAGGTTTTGAAAAGCTACAGAGCAGATGATACAAGGACACGACCTGCCGGGAGACAATCGGACTTTGACACTGCTGGGACAGATTACAACATCCAGCATTACTCTTTTCGCCCACGTCTTCCCGCGACCAGAGCTGAGAACCGTGGAGAGAAGCAGCATCGCTATCACTGACACCACGGATGATTTCTCTATGCGCGTCATGGCGAAGGGGACTTCCCAGAGGAACGATTGACATAATTGCATGGGACCTTGGACGATTTTTGCTGACCCTTTTACTTCAAGTCTCTACCCTGGTGGTGATTCCAGGTCTCACGTCTCTTCTCTTCTCGACTGAGCATGATTCTACTGACATCGTCGTCACCAACACACTTCACTTCTTCCTGTCGCACTTCCCTTTCGCCCTGTCATACTCTTCCGGAGGCACCCAGCCTTCAAAGTTTGCTGTACGCAACACGCCATGCCTCCGTTTCCTCCCGGTGAGAAGCAACCTCCTGCATCGACGAGGAAATCGGACACGGCTGGTCCGAGAAAAGCGCCTAGTTCTCGGTCACCTGGATGAGAACCTCTCGAATGGGAATGATACCATCCAGCCACGACCGGCCAACGAGTGAAAACAGCAGTGATATCTGATGATTTGCGTCTTCGCGGTCATGGAGCTCGAAAGAGCAAGGGATCGAATTTTCGAGAGCAAAACTCGTAAAACTTCTTCAGTCGGACTTTTTTGATATTCTACCTTTGCACTTTTTTTCCTATCAAAAGCGTCCGTGAGCTGAGGCATAGCCGCTCCCCATGGGTACGGCCACCCACAGTCAAAAACAGAAGGAAATCGCGTCTGGAGGAAGAAGGGGGGGTGTAGAGCCGTGCCAGTCAATGACCTGGGCAATTTAAGACGAGGCAAACGCATCCACAAAAGTATTGTCAGTGTGAAGGAATGGGTATATGCTTGTCTTTGCAGTTGCGTCTTACTGGGCCTTTGCACTCAGCCATGCAATCCCGCGTGTTGCTACAGCCGCAAAGTAACTTTCAATTGATCAGGTACGTTCACGAGGATGCTGCAGTCCGTACATGGCCCCCGGTCTATGTCTATTGAATCACGGCTACGCTCCCAAAATGGTCTGTCTACGGTTGCCCCCAATCACATTGGAGAGCATACTTCCTCGGCGGAATCTACCAGAATCCTGCTAGGAGAGGCTTCGGAGGCGTCTCCTGGGTAAGCATCCTTGAAATACACGCTTCCATACCCGGCCAGATCCGACTCAGTTGGGTCCCGCGAACTTTTTCCATTATATATCCCACCCAAACTGGGCTCGGTGCAGCGTTCCAGGCATAGACCTCGGGCAGGGGAATATCACGAACGGTTCTGAGCCTAGTTCAGCAAGTGACTTTAGCCCGCGCGAAGCATCTGGTTTGACCACAGCACGGCTTACAAGCTCCGGTGTTGCAGCTTCACTCGCGATCAAGTAGCGAGCCGGTCCGACGATGGGCGTTGGCAGTGTTGTTATCAACTCGCGACCGTCCTGCATTGTCAAGTTAAATGTTTTATTGAAGAAGCCTTCTGCCAGTTTTCAAATACCCGTGCATGTGGATCCAGCAGCATGAGAAGCCACCTGCTGGAGCTCCATGAGGTTGAGAAACCGTTCTTAGCTGCTGCTTTTCATTGTACAGCCATCGGCCAGACTGGTAGCGGAAGAAATAATCGTATTCTGTGATCACAGTAATTAGTTAGCTTGATAGTGGCAGAAGGAAGTTTATTTCTGATGGGGGACTGAGAAAGTTCGCGCGACGAAAGGCCTCGAGGGCGACGGGCGAGACGCGTCAACATCGCGTTGTGGTGGCGAAAAATATATATAGTTAGAGTAGCGGTTATGAGACGAGATGCAACCCGTCAGTCGTTTCCAGGCTCCAGCTCTGTGGTCGGGCTAACACGTAGTTAATCGACTCGGCTGGTGGTGAGAGATGTCGACATCATGAGCATGACTCCATCGCAAGAATCGCGACACGCTGCCACCTCCAAGCCAGCACATCCAGCTCTCCTTGCTCCATTCTCGTCAAAGGGGCCCAACCAGTGATATTTCGCGTGTGAGACTCATCCAATCGAAACCAGAACGCCCAACTTCCCCGGATTGCCAAACCCTCTTTCTCCCCGCACACAGCCCGATCTTCTAGGTAGCTAGCTCGCCCGGCCCAACACGCCATGTGCGGGGAAGGGTGGTGGTCATGCCTGCGCCCGATTCCGGTTTCGATATGCCTCAACCACACTGGCTGGAGCCATGTCATGACCCGGAGAGGGAGAGTCGCTCCCAGGAGCTGGTTACTCTGGCTGGGCGAACTGGAAGGTGAGAGGCTGGCAAGTTGCGCCGACGGGACGGAATGGTTGAGTGTTGTCTTAGACACAAGAGAACGAGCGAGACCTGTGGTGAACCTGCTGCGCGACGCGTTGTGTGATCAGGCCGCAGCGCTGGTAAAGCCAATCAAGCTGCGGGCCGATGGAGTTGGGGCGAGGAGATGAAGCCAATTGGGAGAGTCCAGCACATATTTTTCTTTTGGAATCAAGCGGACTAACTATTTGTCTGCGGTTTCGGAGCCTTGTCCTCCCGTGCTCGGACATGGACTGTGAGTCGTGAACGGGTCTACCCCACGGGGATGAAGAGAGGGCGGGTGGCGATTGGAGATCCAAATCGCTTGCGGTGGTATAAAAGGGGTACATTCTACGGTGGTTATATTACCGACGATAAGCAGATATGGCCACATGCATCAGAGCCACGGCGCGGATCGATACCTGCCGTGATACCATCCAGTTCCGAGTGCACTCAGGGCCAATATATTACGTCAGAGCGAGGTCTGTGGGCAGTAGTCTCTCAGAGATAGAGAATGCGTGCCGATATCAATGACGGTAACAAACGGTGGAAAAGCTGTTTCCTCCGTTGTCGTTCCCTTTGGGGTGACTGTCCCATGCGCGCGCCGCCAAGTATATCGGGCGACTGCTATAACTTACAATTTGGACATGTTCTTGTCAAATGTTGATGCCTGGAGCAGATGAGCGTTCCGTGGAATCTAACTAGCTAGTTTGAGCATCAGATGACAGAAGAATCATCCACGAGGCAGCAATGAATCGCCAATGATGCTCACGGGCTGTGTGGGATGGCGGGAATGACATCAGAGGATGAGGATATAACTAATAGTAATATTCCAGTGACTAAAAACTAGCTAATAGAGTAATAGTAATGCCTCTTGCAGGCGGGTATTGTATGCCAAAATTCCAAACCACCGCGCTATGCTGTAACAATAATCAAGATTAATCAAACCAGAGCAAAGTCCATGCCTCGCCATGCAACGCTGAAATGGCAAAGTAGGATATGCACGAAGACAAGGGGGTATAATGCTGCAGAAGACGTATTTTGTTGCTCACCAAATCCGAAAGAGAAAGAAAAGCAAGGAAGAGAAAGGGAGATTGCAAATCGACCAGCGCGGGTGTAACGGCGGGATGAGAAGGCGGTGAGGGCTGCAAACACGCCAAACACAAATACGAACTCGCGTCACCCCAACACGCTTGCTGACCCTCTTAGAAAATAAAGAATAAAATAAAATAAAAATAAAATCATCGACAGTCATAGAAGTCGAGTGTGTTGAAAGATCCTGTTATCGAGTGCGGCTGATGCAAATAACACGGTTGCACACACACTGTCCACCGAGTCCAGCGGTGAAGCACCGACGATGCAGGGCGCAGCCTCGGCTGATGTGGGAGGCGAGGATCGGAACGGCCTCCGAGCTCCAGTCACCACAAAACATGCCGGCGCTGGATTCCACCCGGATCCTCTTCACGTGGCGCGCGGGCAACTTTTTTTTCTTTCTCGCGTCTCCATCGGGTGGAAGCGGAAGCTGCTTGAGCTTTCACGCTGGGAAAAAAAAAAATTGATAGGGGGTGTGTGTGTGGTTGCCGTAGTAGAATACCGAGGCATCGCGGGTGTGTTGCGACGGGGGAGGGCGTAAATCGTAATAGTCTGACATGGGTTCGCCGCGGTTGGGTTCGTCGCTTCACACGGGCTTGGAGGTTGATGCCTTGGACGAGGATGCCGAGCCGGTGCGGCGCTTCTTGTCCGTGACGACGCGTCGCTTCTTGCGTTTGGCGCCCGCCTGCGCCGCCATCACCTGCTGGGCGGCGCGGAGCGCTTGCTGGGCCCGCGCGTGGGCCTGGACGTGTGCGAAGAAGCCCTGGGCGTCGTCGTCGCGCGCCGCCTGGATCCGGCTGATCTGCTCCTCTGTCGTCAGGTCCGACGCGCTGGAGGGCAGCGAGAGGTCGTCCTCGCTGAGGACCGTGTCGGGCGTCGACGCCACGAACAGGTCCTCGTCGGACAAAAAGGCGCTGGCACTCTCGTCCGAGTCGGAGAAGAGTGACGAGCGGTTGGGCCACGAGGGAAACGCGCACGACGTGTTGCGGCCCGAGGCGATGGAGAAGGAGGTCTTGCTGGGGCTGATGTCCAGCAGCGAGTCGTTGGGAGACGGTGGCGGTGGTGGAGGAGGGAGGGAGGACGGTGAGGGTGACGAGGCAGCACTGCTGAATCCGTAGCGGTACCACATGGTGGAAAGAGCTCTGTGTCTTGTGTGTCGGGAGAGAGAAGAGCGAATCTCAGAGAACCTGGGGGGGGAGGAAACGGGCTGCCTGGGGTAGATTATATAGCAGGCGCCAGAGACGGCCCAAGCGGAGTTTGTCGATAAATATGGTGATTGTTTGGGGGGGTAAGATCCGGAGCAAAGCCTGGATTTGGGGCGAGCAAACAACCCAACAGGAGTAAGATCCGGATAAGTGGCTGCAACGGCGCGGTATGGTCGATGCAGGGGGGAGGATAAAGGAAGTCAGATATAAAAAGCGACGCAGCGGTCGTAGAGTATGTATGTCGGAGAGAGGCACGACAATGAAAAGAAGTAAAAGAGGATGTGTGCGGGAGGGAAAGGGATAAATATAAACCAGATCAATAAAAAAATTTAGTCTGGGGAAATGTCGGGGATGCGACTCATCCAAAGTCGGGGGTGGCACACGAGAAGGAGGATCATGGAACGGTCCGCTGAGCCCGGTCACAAAGAAGAAAAAGGGCCAGACTGGCTAGCGCGTGCACACCGTAATTTGTGACGACCGAGATTCTCGATCTGTGATTTCTCGAAGAGCGAAACAAGGAGCTGCTGCGTGCTCCGATCACCGGTTGGGTTGGCGTTGTTTCGGCTGTTGGACCGGTCGCAGGGATGCTGTCACCCGCTAAGAGATTTCGTTGGCTTTTCGGTTGAGGCGTCTTTTCTTTTTCCTTTTTTTTTTTCGCGCCAGTCACACGTTGGCGGTGCTGGGGCCTGACGAAGAAAAAGAGACCGCTCGCCCTGTGAGGCTATCACGGGGAGCAGCAGGGAGGCTTTGTTGGTCGCAAATCAGAATGCCACGCTTGATGCTGGCACTGTCACTGGACCAAGGGGCTCTCCACTGAATGGAGTTGAGACGGAGAGCAGATAAATTCAAATAGATGAGGGAAGAATCGGTAGCACGGGAATGGACGGATTTGCCCCGTGCGAGAGTGATGGAGTAATCGATGTTTTTCAAAAAGTTCGTTTTCGAATCTCGTGCTTCCGTTCACCGACAGAACAGTCGGAATGGCGACGAGATGGGATGCTGGGCGGTGATTCGATGCTTTGTCTGCACCCAGTCGTTGATGTCAGGACGCCTTAGCGTATCTGATCGGTCTGCTTTGCTTTTTCGGAGGGAGGCCAGGCGGTGGATGTGCGGTCTGGCGGGAGCAGAGTCTGTGGCGTTAAGAGGCACGATGTATAGAGGCACCGTGTCGATCCGTCAGAGGATAAGATAGTAGTCAGAGTCAGATAGTCTGCAGCAGGAGCAGTGTTTGATATCAGTGTGCAGGATGGACGAGTCGAGAGGGGCCCTGGATGCGATGGGTGTGCCCTTTTTTTTTATAATGGGGAGGCCTGCAGGCGAGTTCTGGTCTGGATGCGTTTGTGTTTGTGTTTTCGCGCGTTCCAGTACCTTGGAGGATGCCAAAAGCCAATTCGGCGACGGCGGCTGCTGGTTTACTCTGTGCTGGTTGACAAAAACACGACCGGCGCGCCGGAAGATTCAGGCGAAAAAGATCGAGTTGCCTAGAGCGAGCGTGAGTTTGGCGGTTTGGCGGTTGCTGGTGCCGGCCGGTGCTGAAGTCTGATGGCAGAGCGACTTGGGCCCAGGTAGTTTGACACACGAGCCCGTACCAGAGTGAGTCAACCTCTTGCGATTTGCTCACACCGACACTCTGCACGAATGAGAGCAGAAAGCCGTTGGCGTGTGGGATCGTGTTGGGCTGCGGAGTGGGATGTGTTCTCGACTGCACCCCTGCTGCCCAATCCGAATCGATCGGGCGGCTTTTGATGAAGAAGAAGAAGAGGATGAAGGAAAAAAAGCAACGCCCCGTCACTAGTAACTAGCTAATTAGCCAACTAAGCGACGACTTGCTGTTCCCCTGCGCGCCCGCCGTTTCGAAGCTGCTGGCGGTGATTGGCGATGAAAAAAAGCGGTGACAACGCGCTGTGTGCAATGGATCGAGTCTCGTTGCTGAACAAGACACGCTGGCAGAATAGCAAAGCAGAGACGCGATGGTCGGGACTCGAAACGTGGTTGGGCTGGTGATGTTTCACTGAGGAGTCGTGGGTTCCGATGACGGGATGTGTGACGGATGCAGAGATTATCTGATATTGAGACCGGAACTGACGAGAGAAAACAACAACTCGCTGCTCGCGGGATTCTCGCCCTTTTTATCTTTATTCTCGCGTGCACACTCGTCCTCTTTTCCCCCCCCCCAGGGCTCATCACCCGTCCAGTCCCACCGATCCCTTTAGACTTTTGCGCCTGTTCCCGCTCGCTGGGAAAAAACTCCTCGTCCAGTGTCCACACCCGTTCTCCCCTTTGCGAAACGGCCTTGGGCTCGCCGGCCCCAGCTTCCGCGACAAGGAGAGCTGCTCGCTGCTCCACTCGTAACCTCGGGAATCCGCACGGGCGGGACCGGACGAGCGAGACGGCCTTGACGGTTGGGCGAGTGGAGTCGCAAATATAATAGTGCTCATCTCCCAGCGAGGGCGGTTTTTGGTTGCTTTTTTTCCCCTCTAAAAATAAAGGATGTCTGTGAAGGATGCCGGTTTCACCCTCATACTGTACAGGCAAATAGGATGTGCTTCTGGTGCTGGATGCTCTCTCTGCCTCTCTCGTCAGGTCCCCAAGACACACCTGTGCAGTCTGCCTTGGGAAGAAGATATACAGCACTCAACGGCCCTGGCTTCAGCACGTGTACTCTGTAAACTACGCTGGATCTCATTATTCTCACAGTCGGACTCTGGCCGTCGTCAGCATGATTCCCACCCAACTCTGATCGGCCCGCCCTCCTCATCTCCATCTCCATCTCTCCATCTCATCGTCTCCCGGGCCGTCGTGATCCATCACACTAAACGCCTTAGGAAGGTTCTCAGTGTGTTCGAGAACGTCGGCCCCAAAAAGGGGAAATCACTGTATCAGCAAACAGTCAGCACAACGACTTCATACACTGATCTCTTGCCCTTTCATGTGCATAATGGGAACTCAGCAGTCGTCATCATCTATAGTCGTAGCTCAGAACTGCTCGACGATCCGCAGCACACATCTCACTCGAGCAAACACCATTCCCTCTCAGCATTTTGTATCCACGGAGACGGACTGTTCCGCACTCGTCGCCTTTCCTGCTCAGTCGACTGCTGCCCATATCGAGTAGTTCGGTCTGCCGGTGCTGGATTCTGGGGCCCCCTGTTTTCATTGTTTCCAGATCTGATGCTTGACAAACCTCGATCGAATAGATCACGATCGCGGTCTGAGCTCCAATCCAGCAACCTGGTTCTCAGCAGAGGCGCTGCATCAGGCCCAGAGCCCCTGAACTGACTGCTCCTGGTCGTCGCCTGGCCAGGCTGCAGGATGCCCACCGCGCCTTTCCCCTTCAGGGCTGCCCAGACGTGCCGTCTCAGGGCTGGGGTCCAGGGGTGTGGTTCCCGGGGCGGAAGGGAGAGGGCGGCCTCCCGGAACTCTCTCTGGTGTTCTCAACAGCTTCTCGATTTGGGAAATCGTTGCAGGACTCTCGCTTTGAACGATTCGCTATCGATTCTTGTTGCGCCACCGTCCATCTTTGTCTGGGGTAAATCGAGGCGTGTCTAGCCCTGGGCCTGAACGGTCGCCCGCTAGCTACTTTGAGGAATGAAGAACCGCAGTCTTCAGGGCGATTGATGTCCTTTTAGGAAAATGCTGCCAGGACGCTCGACCTTTTTAGTCCTGGCCACCTCAAACCCAATATGGATATATGTATATGTACGGAGTATGTACATACACATACTCAGGCCTAGCCTTGAGGCAGTCTCACCCCTCAGCTATGCATCGGCTATCAAGCCTCTCTTCTCCAACCCAGTCCCCACTCTCCCTGGTCAAATTGCCACAGGATCGTGAGATGATTCAGGTCACTGTATATTTCCTGGTGTTGGAGACGCACAGCGCTGCCGACGATCGCCTCTGAACGGGAAGTTGATAGGCAAAGTCCAGACCTCGAGCCCGTTGTTTGCAAACATTGCCCAACATGGGGCATCCCGAAACCCCGGACAACTCCCCACTCATCGCCCGCTAGCCACGGTGCTGGAACGCGCCATCGCCGGAAGGGCGTTCCCGTCACTAGTTCCGCGACGCCCCCTTTTCTGGCGAGAGAGGGGTATATTATTATTTTGTGAGTCGACATCCGAGCAAAAGAGGGGTGGTTGATGGATCGATTGTGATGTGTAGACAAACCGCTGTTCTGGAGAAACGGGGTGTGTAAATTTACAGCACAAGCTCAACGGCGATTCGCTGATTTATGGAACCCAGCCAATAAGACCGCAGAAATACGTATTATTACCAGTCAACGGGTGTACTGCTGATACTCCGGGCCAATCACACTGGTCGCACTCTCTCCAGTCGAATGGCCGTCGTTGCGTGAAGCACATGCGCTGGATGAACAGCTGGAGACGGTCAACACGGCAGCAAGAGAGCAGGAAGTTAACGATCCCAACGCGACACCTGCCGCAGAATCCCTTGGTTATCCTCCCTTACCCTGCACCGCACCCAACCCGAGGGATATACGGCCTGAGGAATCAAGAATACGATGTCCCTCAGCCCAGGCAGACAGACAGTGCCCATTCCAGCTCATCCCGCGACCGTTCGGGGAATTATTCCGGCTGCCAGTCTGGGATCGCGATCTTGTTCAATATGCGCTGCTGCGCCTTTTCAACCCATGCCCAACGACATGGAAGACAACCCTGGAGAGTCAAGAAGTCTAGAAATAGCACATACCCCTTGGCCTCAGTGAGCATTCATTTCTGCAGAATGACGGGGAAATTGGCCGACTTTTATTCCGCTCAGAGGGGCTTGTACATCGGCCTCGAGTGTTGCATAGACACCCTTGGATCCAAGCCAAACACATCTCTGTTTTCGCAGCTCATGCCCTGTGCGACACGGAGATGTCAATGACTAGGCGCGAGACGTCGTTTCTGCGATGCAGATTGAAGCGCGAGCCGACCGCCTGTCTCTATGTTGGCCAGTGTGGCCCTTTGGTTTGAACAACACGGACTTTTCGGAACTGTTAACTATGTATAGTTGTCTGAAGGTACGGACGGGCTCAAGCTGGTACACGACATCGACGACTCCAATGTACCGCTCTGACAAACAGACTCTGCACGACTAAAAGTCTCCAGATTTCGTTGCTGCGGCGCCAACCAAAGACCGGCCCCTTCGCGCTTGAGCAATGGCCTTAAGGACGAGTTTGTGTCCTGGCCACCTCCTTTTTCCTTTGTATCTACCGTCTCGGGTCAACCCGTCTTCGTTCCACTGCGTTTGGCTCTCTCTGCAAAACAGACTCGCAGCCCGCGCCACCGCTGGATGGAACGATGCACTTCCCCCTTTGGTGGATGGCGACGGCGCGGATGATTGTTTGTCCAAGCTTTCGTGCTCATACTTGTTTCCCTTCGCGCAGGCCTAGGGCCGAGAAGACTCTTCTGGACGGGTGGCTGCGGGGTGCAAGTGGTTGACTTTACGGAAAAAGAGCGGAAATCTGGGGATGGAAGTCTGCAGGAGGCGGTCGATCTGTTGATCGTGGACTTTTTGACTATAATTATGATACATAACATGATCTCCAGCCATGCCTGTGCAGATGCATGTATTGAAGACTGTGCAGATACTCAGACCGTCAGAAGCCCTTTTTCCTCGCTATTGTGCCTCTTTGAGATGTTGTCTCGCCATGTCGCATGCGCCTTTTCCTTAGTTAGATTGCGATCGAAAGGAAATGTTAGCACGGATCATATAACTACAGTCTGACCCTTTTTTTCAAATAACAAAGATCGCTTCCACTCTGTCGGAGACTCTCTCATTATGCGCACACTCTGGCATCCCTCGCACACTCTTGCTAGATTCGTCCATCGCCACGCTGACACATGATGACAGTATGAATAATCGAGCCTCTGGTGGCTTCTTGTATGCGAGATTTCCCGCTCTGCTGGGTAGGCTTATTACTGATCACCGTGCCCATATCTTGATTTCCTGTTTATAGAGTGATTCCTCACTTTCGACCACGCTGCCGGAGCCCTATGTATGCTCATCTCGCCTCCCTAATATTAATCCGCTGCCTCTTTGTGGTATCTGATCCCTCCCGTCGGATTCCCCGCTAACTTAGCCCTTTGTTCTAGACACGTTTCTTGCCACACGCCTTTTTGGGTCAATTAATTCAACCTTTTGATCAATTTGATATGTTGGAGTTGTCTCCATCCCCTCGGGATCACCCCTTTTTTACTTCTTTCGTTCCAGTGGCTGTCGCCTTTTTTTTTCTTTTCAAATCATGAAGCCCTGGATCCTGCCTGCGCTATATTCCCACGCTGTCGGGTACCTAGACCCAAATAGTAATATACAATAAGATGAACTGGCCCTTTTTGTCATCTTGCCACCTCCGCACGGCCTGGAAGCGGTGTTGACTATTATATGAATACAGCACTTCCACCCAGCCATTTCAGATCTATGATGCTCATCTCAAACCGTCGGGACTTTTAATACTGTTGCTCGCCTCCTTCCACACTGCTGTCTTTTGTGATTCTATTGCCCGTGGCAAAGGAAGGTGGACGCCATCATCTCACCCCCTGCTGGCAAATCTGATCAATCGCCTCATGCAAATGCATCTTCACTTTACATTCACTACAGACCCTTTTGGGTCAATTAATTCACTTTGATCAGTTTGAAACGGAAGCTCGTCCGAAACGCCGATTTGCATTTATTAGAACCTCATGCTACGCTCGCGCTGCAAACTAAACCAGAATTCGACACAGCACAAACAGGTTGCCAACTCCTATCCATCCGACCATTCAAAAAGAACTCTCCATCTGCCTGTATAAAGGGGTGTTTTTAGTAATTATTGCCTGACTACCGGGAACCACAAAAGGCACCTGTGATAGAAAAGCCAAACGCCGAGCATGACCGTGGAACAAAAATTCGAAAGAGCGAAGCATGCGAGAATAATAATACGAGAAAAGAAGAATAGCTCGTTGGCTAAAGACCGAACAGCTTCCTTGTCACCTCGCTGCTTCGGACAAGAAAGCCGTAGGATTCGTATCAAGAGCCGAGTTGTAGATTTGACCAGTCGCTAGCTGAAGAGTAAAAATACAAAACCTGGCCGTGGAAACGCAGCGGCGACAATTAACCGAGCTGATTTACTGTAATGTTTCCGTTAGCCAACAACTCTTCGCAAAGGATAGATACCGACTTACAGAGATTTCATCCATGCCCATATCATCAGTACTGCCGGTAGGCTGCGCGGTACCATTGGTCGGTGCAGCGTTGTTCGTGGTGGTAGACGTCTCAAAGTAATCCACCATCTCAGCATCCAGTTCGGCTACAGTCTTTCGTTTCGGGCGATTCGCATTACGGCCACGTTGAGTGCGCCCGCGCGAATCACGTTTGCCGGATTTCGCGGCCGACACAGGTTTAGGCTGTGATTTCGGGTGACTGCAACAAATTAGACACCGCGGGTCACTAGTCAAGGGTCATTTAAACATACGCGACGCGTTCGCCAAGTGATTTGACAGGAGGTGCTGGAGGAGCCCGCGAAGCGTCTACGACAACTTCAATCTACGAGTAGTGTGAGCTAGTTGTAAATAAATTAAGACAAGGCGCGATTCCGTACTTTGATCGGGCGTTTGTCAATCAGCAAACCGTTCAGCTCCTTGGCAGCTTTTGCCGCAGTATCCGGGCGAGCAAAAGTAATGGCGGCAATCCCACGGCTGGTACCGTTTTGGTTGTAAGTAACCATCACTTTCTTGACTGGTCCGGCGGATTGATGGAAATATTCCTAATTCGAAGTCACATTAGTAAACTGCGTTTCGACTTCTTTTCGATGAGACGCGATCGAGAACAGCAAGAGAATTCAAAAATCGGCCACGAGCAAGAAGGAATCGCGGATCAGCGAGCACAGAGTAAGAACAGCGTTAGTAGCCGGGAACAAGAATGGACCGTCGCACGTGGTCGTTTCCTCCTCGGTTTCAAGCCCCTTTCACTACCATCCCGTGTTCCAGAAAGACTCGGTGGTTTGAACCCAACACTATTTCACCCATCCCCGAAAACCGCCATGAATGGAATCCATTCGGACCATGCCGTTTGTAGTGGAATCACCCAGCCTCCTCAGCAACAGTCGAGCGCGATACACGTCAAGTGGCTCCATCAAAGCCTGACTGCGATGACGCGTGGTGACCCCGTAGGACTTATAGTATCGAGTCGGAATCCACGGTTGTGATATGCATGATTGTACCACCAGTAAGTTTCCCACACTCGATGGTGCTATGCTGTCTTCACTGCTGCGCTCGCTGATTCTGAATACCTCCACAAGCAAAGTAAATATCTTCAAAGCGTAGCGAAGGCCTGTTTTGCTCAACGGCAAAATGGAAAGTAGCCTACACTCCGGCCGTACGGACGTCGCTGCATAAGCAGGGAAACTGAACCGGTCCAGAGATCTGATGACAGCGCTCAACTTCCGACTACTTGCATCAGGCCATTTAACGGGCGAGCAAAAGTAGCGCAAAGGAGCTAGCTATCTTAAGAGTGCGACCGCATGCACATAAAGATAGACACACAGCCTACAGCAACCGAAGGTGCGGTGTATGGAGGCATGCGGTGAAGGAAAGGGACGCTTTCGATCGTAATACCGAGAATATACTGAAAACGGACATCGCGAACGAAACCCAGAGAGCGCCTCTGTTCAACATACCTTGATATTCGCTTCATTGACATCGGAGGGCTATGTGGCGTTAGTCCCGGGCAGTTTGTGATGCGCTTGGAGTATGAACTTACCAAACCGCTCACGATGATTTTGCTCTCGCCTGATCCAGTGGATGGTGCGGTAGGAATGGCCTTGGAGGCGGTTTTGGCTTGTCTGGATGGTTTCTTGACGCCTCCAACAGGAGCAGCGGTGGCCCTGGCTCTTGATGGCCTTGTGTCACGGCGATTCTGGCGACGCGACGCACGGGTAGTATTGATGATCTCGTCAAGAGAGGTGTCAAGTTTTGCAGACATGTTGGCTTGCTAATGGGGTTTTCGGGGGTATTTTCGATGGATATCAAGGTATGAAGGTATGAGCTGATGGTTTGTGGATTCAGGTGCGGATGGCCTGTCGATGTTTGTTGATCACTGACGCGGTCGAGAAACGCAGATGCTGCGAGAGAGGGAAAAGGGAGAGAGAATCCGAGTTAAAAAGTGGCTTTGTCGACTCGAAGTCACGGCGGAGCGGGTCAAAGGCTGTAGCAGTGAATGACGGGCGGCAGTTGATGAAGCTGGCGTGAAGAGAAGGAAGAAGGCGACGTTCGTTCGAGAAGAGGCGCTGAAAGGAAAGCCCTTCACTTCAAACACGCTAGCCCGCTTTGGGCGGCAGCCTCCGGGTCGGTTATGTAATCGGGCTTGGCACGAAGATTCAGTAGAATTGGCATAGATATCTACTCTGGACACGCTATATTGTTTGGATGATAATTGAAAAGCGCCGCTGGTTATCCCTTCTTCCTGTACGGAGTACATAAACCACTAACTACTAGCTATTATGAAATCGACTTAACCTGTCTGGTCAAATGGAAACTAATATAGCAATATCGGTCTTAATGAAGACTTTAACACCGTCAGTCTGAGTACGGCCATTTATCATTCCGGCCGCGGGTGTAGGTAAACTGGGGGCGTATCCTTGATCGTCATATACAAATCTCTTGGACCAAAAGAGAACATCTCAGCAGGATGATAAAAAGAAACCACTGTGGAGGTGCGGCTTTACGTCCAAGTATCAATGGGTAGGGCGGTATGCATTAGACGAACAAACGCACAGCGAAGGGAACTGACTTCGGCGTAAAGCGATAAGTACGACATTTCGGAGCCTGCCGGAATATCGTCAGCTTTTCAAAGCTTCCAAGCGCCCTCTCATCTGTTCCAGGGTGGCTTCTTGATCTTCGAATTCTTCTTCCACCGGTTCTTCCAGTGGCTCTTCGGCTTTGGGACCTTCGACTTTGGCCAATTTTCCTTGCAAGACTTCCTGCAGCACTCTGTCCACTTCCGCATCGGCAGCTTCTTCTTCACCTTCTAGTAGCTGGTCATTGGGAAGGGCGTCGTCTATACTCTCCTCGATGATGCCGGCTTTGACCAGCTCCAAACCTACATGGGTTTAGTTTCACCGCCATGTGCGGATCGGAACATTGCACTCACTGAGCTGCCGCATGGTCTCTGACAGGTGTGGCAACCTAACCAGCATATTAACATCCTTCATAATCCCGGTAGACGTCCTCAGGCTCCCTTCAATTTTCCGCACTGCAAAAGCCTCGTTGACTTGCATCCTCACGCTCTCGAGCTGTGCCTTGCTTGTGGTTAGGCGAGCACTTTGCTTTCGAACCCTAATCAATTCTTTTGCAAATATCCTTGTTTCTTGGGCGGCTTGGGCGGCTTGAGACGGGTTCTTCTGAGCTCTGCGGGAAGCCGCAACGATGAACTGCCTGGTTTTATTATCAAGCGCTTTGAGTTGCGCAATATCACGGTCCAATTTGCGAGCATTACCGCGGATTAGGGCGTTACATTTTCTCATCTGAAATCAAGTACCGGAATAATCAGTGAGCCTACCGATCGGGGGTAACAGAGTCGCTGTAGAAAGGGTGCGTACCTGGGCTGCGGGGTCCGGCTTAAAAAAAACAGCTTTGAGGGACTCCATGATGGCGAGCAGCTCAAGGCTGTAAAGCTAGCCGTTTAAACACCAGACAGCAGTTTCTGACAAGGCCGTGCGTAACTTATTGCGGAGGACAGAGCTTTCGTCAAAGGCGGGAACTTGCGGTCGAGGACGTTTAATGGGCCAAAGATTGTAGAGTTGGCATCCAAGATGAAAGGCGGATCAGAGCAGCAGTATAAACAGCCAACGATGCAGGCCTACAACCATTCAGTCACCTCACAAAGCATTTCTTTTGGCCGAGGAGGTCGAGTTGGAGCGGCATCATCGTCACGGGCTGCGATCCTTGACCCGCTAGTTAGTTATCTTATCAGCACTGGATGAGTCAGCAATGCAAACACGACAAATGCACGTGGTCTGTGCTCTGCCAGCTTCCAGTAGTTTCTAAGCAGTGGCTTCCATCAACGTCAAAAAGAGCTTCACGTCTCTCTCCCTGCGCTTGAGCACAACGGCACACCTTGTTCTTCTTGCATATTCTGGATCTTGACTTTTTATAAACCTGGTTTCAGATCACAGCGACACTACGCACTCAGAACGACATTGCAATGGCGAATACTCAAGTTCCTGAAGGTGAGGGGAAACATTTCCATCGCCCATATGCAGAGCGGGCAACCCCATATCAATGCAACGGAGCTACGCACACTTATCGTAGCTTGCTGTATGCATAATGGGCAGCTCTTCGCATTTCCTTGACTTCCTAGGGCGTTTTTTTGCGCTGCATTGGTCCCGAGTAAGTGCTAACCATTCGCAGTTCTTTGGGCCCAGCGCTCCTCCAGCACTGATGCGGCTAAAAACATCGTCTTTCTCTCCTTTACGGTCCCAGACGTTCCCAAATCTTCAGCCAAGGTTAATCTCACTCCCACGACTGTCTCTTTCACCGGGCATTCTTCGACCAAGAATATAGACTTCAAGGTTGATTTGGAGCTGTATGGTGAGATTGATGTTGAGAACTCAAAAACGCACCATTCGCCCCGCGGAGTCGATATGGTGCTACGCAAGAAAGAGATGAAAGAAGAGTTCTGGCCACGTTTGCTCAAGGAAAGCAAAAAAGTTCACTTCGTAAAGACTGATTTCGACAAGGTATGGGTTTCTCCTGCGTTGATTTGGTGAAGCGTCAAGGCTTTCCGCTAATTCGAATCGATAATATAGTGGGTTGATGAAGATGAGCAAGATGAAGCGCCTGAAGAAGACTTCAGCATGCCCGGTGGCTTTGGTGGTGACGGCGGACTCGGTGGTATTGACTTCTCCAAATTGGGCGGTGGAGATATCTCCGGCTTGGCGGCCGATGCCGCTGGAGATGCGGAGTCGGTATGTGCTCCTTAAAAGAGTATCAGCCTCTGTCAATCCTAACCATTGATTTCCATTAGGAGGATGATGAAATGCCTGAACTGGAAGACGAAAACAAAGACTCTTCCAAACCCAAGATTGAGGAACTCTCATAATCTATCCTCGTTTCTTAGCTGCGTCGTCAATTAACAACTCGTCTACGTGGGTGAATGGATATAAAAGACATGATTCAACGACTGAGGCTTTGTGAATATGACATAGGTTCTCGCATATGGTGTTTATTTGACCCATGGCAGATGGCCCTATTAAAACTTCCGTTTTAGGCCGTACTTCAGAGACATTTCTATACGTCAAGCACCTTTATTATGTCTCTTTGGTTTCTGTGGCAATAGCATGGCGTTCCCATGAAAATATGATGATTAATGTTTGAAATTGCATCGAAGCTTTGCACGCGTAGTATCTGGGACTTCGGCACGGGTTCGAAAGTGATGTCCACTGCTCAAGTTGCACAAGGAAGATGTTGTTTAGGCTTTAAGAAGGCAGTTTATAAATAAGCACGATGAACTGCATCGCATTTGGCAAGGTATATCTCAGGCAAAGTAACGTAACCTGTCGAAATGGAAAGGCAAGAAATCGTTGAGCTCAAGTGGGTGGTATATAAGAAACGAATAACTGGATCATACGGAGGCTCCCGGGCCATAGATATTATCCCACAGATGTTGAACCTGGATCATTCCCGTTGCTGAGCGACTGTCCTCCCGAGAGCTTCGCAAGGCGATCTTGTTCTGACTGATCCCGCAAATTCTCCGTCTCTTTTCGCATAGCTTCCAGATTCCATGAATCCTGTCCCTCATCGTCGCTCTCCTCTTCACTTTCCTCATCTTCTGAATCCTGCCAGTTACCGCTTTCGAACATGGCACGGCCTGTGGCTTCTTTGGCTTTACGCGCCTCTTCTTCTGCAGCTTTCTTGTCCAGTCGCTCTCGCTTCCACTTGGCAAACGATTCCTCGGTGACAGGAGTAAGTGTGCCGGTGAGCTTGTGACGTTCGGATTCGAGGAACTCTTCCAAGGTGAGCGTTTTGAGGGGGGATTTGTCCAAAAGGGCCTTTTCGGCAGCTTTTTGTTCTTTTGTCTTCAATATGAAGCTAGGTTGAAACATGTTAGTTTGTCTCTGGCGTTCTGGTTGTTCATAACGAGACTTACCCTGGTGGAAGACTGTGTTTGTACATGCATTTATCTCCTCCGTTCGGACATGCCCAAAACCAGCCGTATTTCTGATTCTCCACAGCTTCGATAAAGTACTTGCAGACCTTGTCTGTCGTCGTCTTCGGGTTGCCATGTTTGCTCAAAACAACGGTCCGTAACTTTTCTTCGTCCCAGTTGTCCATCGTATCATTCTGCTTTTCGTTTTCGTTATCCCGGGAATCTGAATACAAGTCCTTCTTTTGTGCTTTCCGCTCAACCGCAGGATCGTGACTAAACTTGCATTTTTTCCCTTTTTCACAGGATCCCTTCTTGAAGAACACGCACAAGACAGTCTTTGGGTCGACTCCAAACGGGACCTTTTGAACCTGGACCGGCTTGAAGAGCTCTGCTGCCTCTCGTTTCGCCTGTTCTGCGGCTGCCTTCTCCTTCTCTCGTCTCTCTTTCTCGGCATCTTTTCGCTTTTGATCTGCACTCTTGTTTGAATGGGCTTGTGCCTGGAGCTGTGCTATCTGTCGTTTGGCTGTGCCTCCTTTTTTCTGTCGTTAACAAGAAGGGGTTAGTTTAGCAAATGCTGTTCGTTGTAGGTATAAAGGAAACGGGTGCTCATGCTCTTGTGTCTCCGAATAGTAGCCGCTGCGGAGAAGCCTCCCCGCTGGAGCGGGATGGGTTGACGTCGCCATCGCTTATCCGGTGGCCGCCGTGCGATGCGGAAGAGACTCTGTACTCACATTCTTCATACCAAAAGTCTTGATACCATGGTGTTAGCTATCGCTTCTTATTCGTCGGGCAGATATTTTGACTGAGAGAAAAATCGGCTCACCTTGTCCTCCACTGTAGCCTTCTTCTTCTTCGGCTGCTCAGGTTTCTTTGGCGGCATTTTGGCGATATTTACTTGAAGACGAGATAAAATCTAAGTATAATGCAAGAATCGTGCGATGGTGTTGTCTATTGTATAATCATATGAGAACGGGTGACTTTGGCTGTCAATTGTGGCCTCGACTTCGGTGGGGGAAATCCAAGCTTTGCAGGTGGCGGTAACCTTGGGCCGTGTGCATAGCAGCAAGTCCATGCCAGAGTAGCAGCTGTGAGCTTAGAGCATGTTGATGGGAATCCCCTTCTCAATCGCAATCCACGCCGAAATCGAGAGAATCTCAATTCCCTACCGTGTCATTTGATTTCGTCCAAGTTTACAGGTGAGGAACATCCTACCGCAAAGCTAGGTGTCGTTGCTGTTCATGTTGCTAATTCGCAAGCGCAGTAGACATCCTGCCTTGAGGATACGTTGATAGACGCTCATTTAACCCTCGAATCGATTGCGCTGCTCCTCCATTGTTCAACATGATTACCGACTCTGAGCTCTACAAACTCGCTATCTTCCTAGGATCCTGCGCGATGCTCCTCATTGTCCTCTACCACTTCCTTGAAGTGAATTCGAAGGACAAGGACGATACCGTTGCCGACGGGGGTACTTCATCGTCTGTAAACCCCAAAAACTCGATGCCTACGAACCTATCTTCGACTTTGGCGACTACGGAAAAGCGGTGATGGGGGCTACGGGACCACGACGGAGGGGATACCCAAGGGGCCATGGCAAGCTGTCAATGCAGGAGGACGGGATGCGCACTGGCGGCGGAAATAAAGGTGCTTATTACAATGTTGATCGTGCAGGACACAGGTTTGCATTGCTCGTACAGAGTAGATGGGTATGACCGGAATAACTCGCTCACTTAGCTCCTGAAGGTGAAAATGCTAAATATACACTCCTGGGAATGCCTGCTTGAGAAAAAAGTAGAAGTAAATTCTTAGGCAAACCCCAAGACCACTCGCAAACTGCACAAAACAACTAGAAGACATATGCGACTCTCCAATGACACTGGCGTCCTGAAGTAGGGATATTCAGAGTCATTGGCTGTCTGCAGGGATTATCCTCCGCACATTCTCAAAAGCCACAACAGCTGGCATTCTCTTATCATTAAACAGTGTGCATCCGCCTTTGTTCACTCCTATTCCAACCCTGGCTTGCTTTGTCTCCAAGGCTCTTAGGACCTCCAGCGCTTTGGATCGATCGCTTCTATTATCGTGGATCTTATTAAATGATTTAATGGACGAAGAGGCTGCCGGGAATATCAACGCCGGATGAGGTCCTTTGTCTGATACCTTCGGGGTTAGTGTCCGGCCATTTTGGTCCTTGAAGCAAGCTGTGGCGTCGATGGATGGAACTAAAAGTCGAAACGAAAATCACTAGCGATTAGACAATAACTATCGGGTGTGCGACATTATTTCCGGTCTCACCAGATCCTTTCGTTGCGGGACCCTCGCCATATTTCCAAGCCAAGGAGCAGATATGCACGATATCTACATGCTCTTGCAGTTCTACAGCACTAACAAAGTGGTTTCCGGCTTCTGCGCAGCCCGACCACTGGCAGTAAGTGACATGGCTGTTGAAAGGTAAATGTACTCTCGCCACGTGCTTTTTGAGGGTGTCAAAGTTGTGGAGCTTAGCATTGCAACCGTTCCACGAACAAATGTATTCCCTATAGGTTGGAGACGAATGCGAGCTTGACCGCACGACCACCTCCACGCGGGAGGCCGGATTGCCTTTTGGTCGGTTCTTGGAGTTTGGGGGACGGCCTCGGGAACGACGGGGTAATGGAGATAGCTGAGACATGGGCAACGCCAAAGAGCGAGAACTGCTAAGATGAGAAGGTCGAGACGGTGCGTTGTTTGTGCTGGAAGGAGATGGATTCCGCTTTGCGCCTGGACTGTGTCCGTCACGTGGCTTGGCGCGGTCTTCGGCAATACGTGACGGCGGATTATGTAATTCGGACGACGATGCGTCGGAGTTGAGATCGGAGTTAGGGAGCCGTTCAGGAAGCGACGGTCGAGCAGGCAAGGGCGCAAGAGGGACCTCGGGCGGCGGAGCGCCTGGATCGACGAGGTCCCATCGAAACGTCCGCAAATCTGAACTGAAATCCACGGCGTGGAAGCTCTCCCGCAGCTTGAGTAGATGGTAATTCAATGGCTTCTCTGTGGGATGTCGTCCAGCTGCAATTAAGATGTCCCTTGCAATTGTCTTTGGGTCGTAGTATGTTCTTCTCAAATGCCCTCAGCCCTTGTTGGACGGGTTCACTATATCATGACGACGCCGTAATGTGTTCTCTTTTCTCCATGTCGGGGGGCTCAACGAGCTTGAACTTGGGACAAATCCATAGTTGGTAATGGAGCCGTTGCTGGGCTGCTGGGAGCTGCGGTTTTGGGGTCATCCGAAAAGGGCATTTTGCTAGTGAGTTCGACATCTGCCATATCTTCATCACTCGATGCTTGCGCCAGGTCCACAATTTCAGAAAACTTGCGCTTTTTCGCTTGTGCTTCTTTCGACCCCGGGGGTGGCTCCTGAGTGTGCGGTATAGGAACGATTGTTCGCGGCTTAGGTTTATTGTTGGCTAAGGATCGGTTAGAATTAAAAGACGAGAATGTAATATGCCGATTTGGCGGTGCTTGCCCGGCTGGTGCTTGGTAGAATACCATTTTTGACAAGTTGGGTCGAGGGCCGTTGCTGGATGGATTTTGTCCTTTAGGTGGGAAAGGAATGAGTCTCGTGACGGGTGGAAGAGGAGGGAATAATCTAGAATGGGGTCCAGCGTCTGGGGCCAGAGCTGCTAGAGGGAGCGGAGTTGTAGAAGAGTTTGGCGGCGGTAGGTTAACCATTTGAGGTGGCTGAGGGAGAGTTAAGAGGGTTGTGGTGTGTGGTGCGCCCGTTGATGGATTCTGGAAGAGGTCCGGTCGGTTTGGGCCCTGGGATGTGGCAGGTGCGTTCTGGTGTAGTGGCGCTGGAGAACCCGCAAGCTGGGGAAACATAGGTGGAGGAGCCATTTGAGCCCTGTTGCCTGGGTGGATTGCCGGGGGAGGCATTGCCGGTAAATTTTGTGCTAGCAATGGTGGGTGGCTAGCTGCTTGATTAGGCAATCCCTTGAAGGAA